CTCTCTGTTCCTGCAGGCTCACGCTCACATTCATGACCCTGCTCAGCAAGCAAGACTCCGTAATAACCATTTCGGGGATTCCTTGATGAAGGCCTGTTGCAGTAACCACAGCAGCTCCTTGAACTACACTACCCGATAGCCCATACGCTCAAAGACGTCAGAGAATGTGCGCACGAGGATATCATGCGGCTGAAGGTCGTCATCCGTGCTGGGCCTCAGCATGAGGGGAGAGGGCAAAGGCGAATGCAGTACAGGCCCTCTCATCAACTGGAATCGTGCTATTGATGGCTGGCGCCAGTAGTAAGGTTTCTCAGCAAGGCATCATAATTGAAAGCAGAGCCAGTGGTTTGAAAAAAACCAGTGAGGTTCATCCAGCTCACGAGAGTCTCCATAATAACCTCTTGCATCCAAAAGGCGAGGACTGGACATATAAAAAATATAAAAAATGGCCTAGGTCAAACCTCTGCAGGGCCTCATGGTGACAGCTATGACGGTAGCGAAAACGGCCAGCTAGAGGTGGATGTAGGTGAGGGCGATGGCCGAGCTAGGAAAAGTCGAGAATACGCCAAGCTGGAGGAGTTTTACACGTACAGGCTGCAGATTCGTCCTTTGAGCTCAACAGACCAGCGATTTTTCATCAGGATGAATACATGCTTGACTTATTAGTACGCTACCGATCAATACAGTAGGCTTGAGGTGGATCAGCTTCAATTCATCAGCGAGAACCAATCTAAGCTGAAGACGGATCCATATATCGGTGTTGTGGGTGCAATTGAACTTAATCTCAGACCTGGGCTATACATGCGGGACATTGTCTACAAGGGTGCTTTGTAAATAAGCATCCTCTCATTTACAACCGTATCTTCCAAATATTCTGCCTTATTTTGTGTTTTATTTTTTGTTTATTTTACTACTGTACATGTATATAGTCTTAACTGATTTTGCTTTATTGTATTTTATCGCGCGATTCGTAAAAAAGACCCAATCAATAAAAAAGTTATGCAAAGATACAATTGGTTGTATTTGACTACGATTTTTATTTTCACTTTATTTTGCCCTCATGAAATTTCTAACGAGGCAAGGCAAGAGCCGGCCGCGGCGAAGCCACGGTCTCCGGCTCGTTATAATTATTATGGAAGCAGTTTGATGTACTATTCTCAAATTATTATTTTATACCGCTTTAGTTCTGCCCTCAAGTCTACCTCGCTGTAATTCTGCGTTTAAGTCTACCCCCATGACATATTGCTTGATACTTGATAGTTCTTTTGTCGGTTTAGGATCCACCCGACCAGCCCCAATCTTGAATTTTTGTTTCTTATATTCCTCAGCCTTAGCTTTTGGAACAACAAAAATAAATACAACGTCCTTCTCTGAGCGAATCCACTTTTTTTCTTGAAGCTTTTTAAGAAGTTCTTTGCAAGATTCACTCTTGATACCATGCTTTACATTTGCCGTAATCTGGAGTAGATAATTCGGCGCTATTAGCATATCAACGCAGGCAAAAGTCTTGCTTTTTGGGATCCATAGTTCTCCTTTCATCGATTCCTTGTAAACATCAAAAGCTTCGAAGAATTTAACCGTCGGCTTGGCATCGATGGTGATGGTGATATCTTGCTTTTTCTCTACATCTAGACTCTTGGCCACGAAGGTACAGTCGCCTCTCCGTAGTATGCGACGTATACATATCTCGAGCATAGCTCCTAGATCTACTCCAACTTTGCCATTGACTAATCGATCCAATATCATATCAAAAGTATTGTCGTCCGCTGCTTCGTACACCTTTTCGAGAATGTGATTAGAGGCCCACTCTAACACAAATTGCTGGTGATCTCCTATTGGACGACGATGAAGAAGTCGGCTGCTATATTGTAGTGAATCTTTGGCCTGTTCAAAATATTGTAACAGCTTCAATGGATCCTTGAGGTTGTCGAGGGCTTCTTCTACGCGACTGTATGCTACCCTCCTAGCTCCATCAAGATCTTTTTTATTAAAGTGCAGTCGGCTCGCTGGTTTCTCGAGAACATACCTTGGCACACCACCTATCTTCTCATAGAGTTCCACCATAAATTCTTCGCTGACGATGTTAAAGGTCCGAACCATTTTTCTACACTGTCTTAACTCATCCAGCTCCCATGGTGCCATGTAATAAATCCATACCACCCTCTTTACAATTTCTTGATACATGTTGGACTCGGAAAATAACGTCTTTGGTGATACTGAGAAGATAGTTCGAGCCTCCATAAGCTCCGGCTTTGGTGAGCTGTCGACTAGGAACCAAGTGTTAGGTAGCTCTAGGAAGGCGGCGAAATCCTTTATATCTCCATTTTGAACAGTAGATGACCCACCAAAAGCGTAGCACATTGAATCTTCTTTTCGCTGGATGATGACAATAGGTGGATCATCCTCGGTACTGGTTGCAAGTAGTCGGATGGCAAAATATATGAGAAAGGATGACTTCCCTATACCAGCCGTCCCTGTAACAACAATACGGTTTCGTGCATCGTCCTCAGCGTTGCAAAACTGTTTGGTGATTAAATCGTAGAGATCCTTGAATTCCTTTCTTACATATAGATCTTGCGCATCGATCACCGGAAGCCTTGTCCCTGGTGGACTGGATATCACATAATCTGCTTTTCCAAAAGATGAACGTTTTAGCCTGGAAGCTGTTCGGGATATTGCTTGGAAGATGTTGGCCTCTGATGTTCTGCTTCCAATGTTCTCAAGCACCGAAACCAACTCTTTACTTGTAAGACGAGGAAGGTTGGCACGCCCATCTACTATGGCTTTTTCGGAAAGTCCTGCTGCTCGAATTGCCTTGATTAAGTTGTCCTCTTCAACTTTGGGTCTTTTGGAGGAAGTTTCGTCGCCCTCGTCGACTTCAAAATTGTCGCGACCCCTCTTTTGACCTGTTTTATTAAATCGAAAAGTATCAAGACTATGTTAGTGTTGCATCTCTATGTTTTCTCAAACACATCAATACCCCAAGTAAAAACCTGACGTGAGATCCATCTCAATAACAAATAAAACAGCTGTATTACAACGAAACAAACATAAAAAAGGCGTGATATCACATGGTGTTGGGCATGAAAATAAGCAAACAAGCTTCATCAATTGAAAATATAACTATCAGTCCGTCAAGAGCTAATACATACCTCGCTGCGGTGGCTTGACAAAAACATGGATAGTTTTCCTTGGAAGTTCAGAATTAAATATCTCCCAAAGCTCCATTGACGCGATTGTGAGAGCCTCTTTCGACACAATTTCTGACTCAACGACGGTCTTGTCTTCGTCAGGAATAGAGACCCTGTAGAGGGTGAGCTGGTCAGCGTCAATATCCTTAAATGCATTTTTCTTCGCTGCCTTGATGGCTTGCTTGAGTTCATCGACTGAACAATTGGAAAGGATCTTGACTGAAAAAGCTGTTGCTTCTCCATCAACAATACAAAAAATCTTTAGTTCGGTCGGCTTGGGGGTTTTAGATCCACTAGTGCTTGGACACTCTTCATTCGCTTCTCCTTCTTTTCTTTTTTCTTTCGTTCCTAACGGATTAAGTCGAGGTGAGGGGTATCGTGACGATGTTCTGCTGCTTCCCATTGTGATTTCAAAACTGTTTAAAAACAAGGGTATAAATGGACAGAGGGCAGAAAATAAGAAAACTTTGGAATATCGGATAAAAATGTTAAAAGGATGTTGATCCAGTTCAAAATTGTGACAATGTAAGTTGTGATGATGATAGGAAAAGTGCATACGCCCAGCGTGACGGAAGGCAAAAGGAGCGACAATTGATGAATTTGTTCCTTTCAGTCAGAACTGTGAGAAAATATTTTTTTTTTAAATCAATCACATGTCATTTTCTTTGTGACGTGACCAATTACTGTAGTTGAGGGGCAAAGGAAGAAGGAATTTACACCAGCGTCAACATTTGCAACAAGTTATTTATTTGATAGAAGAAGGTTTTCCTTTTTACCATCGAAGTTAAAACTTGTTTGTAAACAGAAAACATTTAGGAGTACAAGATTTTTAATCTTAAAAATAAATTTTGGTGGCGACATGGCTTGTGTTTGTCAAAAGATCTTTAGGGCTACGAAGTTCATGTACACATACAAAGGTAGGTTCGTCACCAGCCTGTGTGGCTTATGTGCATTGCACTAACGCTCACTGACAGGCTGGGACCAAACTTGAGATTTTGGGGGAGGTCAACATTTTTTCTTCAAAAAAAATTTCTAAGTCGTACAAACGGCGGGGAAATGGTCCTTTTTTTTTTTTCTAAGTCGAAATATGCCGCTAGATGTTGACCCCCCCAAAATCTCAAGTTTGATCCCAGCCTGTCAGTGAGCGTTAGTGCAATGCACATAAGCCACACAGGCTGGTGACGAGCCTAACCTCCAGCCAAAATATCAAGTTTGGTCCCAGAAGGCAAGAGCAAGCCACATTTGCCTTTCAGCATGTGCATGTGCACATGAACTTCGTCCTCAGACTGGTGACGAGCGTAAAGATCTTTGTGGGAGGGGCTTGTGAGATTGTCTTTTTTGCAAGATGAGCCACAGCGATTTTTTTTTTTTTTTCTTTTGTTGCGCTTGAGAGTAATGTAAAGCTATTCCTCTCTTTGGGCTTGCCAGACTTCATTGGTAAAAGGCAAGGGCCAACAGTCAGCAGTATAGTCAGCCTAGGCTCACGTGCAGATCCAAGCTCAAGACAACTGCTGCGCGGTTGAACCAGTTAAATGCATTGGTTTTTTTTTTTATTTTGGATAAATAAAAAAAGCCCATCCGACAAATGGATGGATAGGATGTTGAAAAAAAAAGAAAGGCATGCAACACATGGAACATATCCCGCACTTTACTCGCCTCTGACTCGTATTGTTCCAACCTACTAATTATTCTTACTCCCTCTTTCTCTTCCATTTCTGTCTTTCCCCCCTCTTTCTTTTCTTCCTTTCATCTCCGCCTCTCCGCCTCTCCTTCTTTGCTTCTTCTCTTTTTTTTTTTTTTTTTTTTTTTTTTTTTTTTCTTCTTCGTCTTTGTTTTTGATCTTCTGCTACAGCACATTTTTCAAATCATGAGCGACACATCAATAACCACTGCTTTACAAGATATGTCGATGGTGAAGTCTTCAAATTCATGTTTGAAAAAAGACATCAACAACACTAACATGAACTGCAATAACAATAGTACTCTTGATTTTAAGCAACTCTGTCCAACAACTTCTAATCCTGATAATGGATCAACAACAACAACAGCAGCAGCGACAACTTCACAAGACATCTTGCCCTCCTCGTCTGTTCCCATTCACTCTGGGGACACATGTAGTGCTTCTACCGAAAAACAGAACGACCCATCATCACTATCGCCACCATTCACAGAAAAAGATTCTACTGTGATTGCGGCCGCAACGACAACAGTACCTACTACAACTCCCCTTTCTGATTCTGATTCTGATTCTACTTCTACTTCTGATTCTACTTCTGCTTCTACTACTGTCCCTATTTCTACTTCAACATCTCTCGCAACAACACCAACGACACCAACGACACCAACAACACCCACTCCAACCGCAGGCACTCTCTCAATCTTACCACCCCTCATCATCACTCAATCCACTATTCGTCTTGACATCGCCTTCGACACCACCTGCCCCTGGTGTTTTGTTGCCAAACGTCGAATCTCTCGAGCGATCCGACTCTTTCATTCTCTTTCCCCTGAAGCCTCCAAAGTTCGTTTCCAAATCCATTGGCATCCCTACCAATTGGATCCTCAAGCACCTCAATCCCCCATCATGAAAGCAAGATTGTACACTCGAAAACACGGCCCTGATCGTGCAGATTTGATCAAAAATCGGGTCGGGAACGCGGCAAAAAGAGAAGGAATAGAGTTTATGAATGCGGAAGAGATTTTATACTGCAACACGTTGAATTCTCACCGGTTGATCTATTATGCAAGAGAGCGAATCGGGAAACAATGGCTAATGCAACTGATTTCATCCTCAGCATCGTCACAATCATTAACATCAGCATCAGCATCAGCATCGTCAGTTCGTAACACCATTCTTGAGGAGTCATTCGCAAGAATAAAACCACTACAAGAAAATAATAACTATAACACCAGCAATAACAACAATAACATCACTAATGATTGTAACAACAACAATGGTGGCGACGAAGAAGAGAGAGAGGAGGAAGAGGAGGAAGAGGAAGAGGAGAGAAGGAAGGAATTGCAGGATATGATGGATGAACTTGGAGCTCTAACTGAGGGTGCAATGGTGGAAGAACTGTTTCAAAGTCATTTTGAACGCGGAGAGTGTGGTGACTTGCCTACGCTCTCCATAATTGCTCGAAAGATCCTATGCGCAGTCGTTGCAGATCAACAAACCAAAGGCCGATTGGACTCCAGCAATGATTACAAAGTGGAAATCGAACAGGAACTTGACAGCATCTCCGCTTATCTCGCTTCAGATGAAAATTTACAAGAAATTAAGAATCAAATCAAAGTCGCTAAGCATGAGCTGGGCATTCAAGGTGTACCTACCACTATCGTTCAGAACACGTACCTCTTGTCTGGAGGCCAAGATCCTTTGACGTTTGTAGAGATTTTCAAGCGCGTTGTATAGCAATCAAGACCAGTAGTATGGTACAAATAAACTCTATCTGATGGATGATGACCCATGATTGGCATTAAATACAACTTACAGATAATAATAAAAGGTTCATCACCATCATAAAAAATCGTTCTAAAGTAACAAGATAACCAATTGATCAAAACCAGAGTCTTCGAGGTCATTTTCCCTCACTAGGAGTGCTTCTGCTCTTGTCTCCACAGACGTCTGCATTGATAGTAATAATATCCCCGTAATAATGCTTGCGCTGACCATTGATGTTTGTTATTCTTGCACGCGTCCCCTATGGCTTCTCTTTCCTTATCATTCGAGACCATACGCGTGTTCCTGTCGTGGCTCATACGCTGTAAATTGGCGTAGCGATGCTTGATAATCGCGTAAGGGGAAGCGAAGAACTTGGCTAACACAAATTCAGTGTTGGCCATTTTTGTGCTTGGAAAAAAAAAAAAAAAAAAAAGTCATTCCCCCGCTTGACAATGAAAGCTTTGATACATTTCGTCCTTTGACGCCTAGAATAGCTTTTATCAGCAGGCTGCTGTGTTGTTGATACAAGTCAGTGGGCTTTAAACCTTGCTGAGGTATAAGTCTTGCTGAGGTATTCGATAGAATGGCCACAGTGGGTCAGCAGCGATAAAATGTACATCAGCATCAATACCTGGGATTGTGGCATATAGGCTAGATAGACATATTGTATTGGTGGTATCACCATTAGGTATGTCAGGACTGGCATCGATAACATTAGATTCCTGCCTGTATTTCTGGCCTTCATTTGGTTGTTTTGATTGGCACCCACAGGATAGAGCCTATTTCAACGAATATAAATTGCCCAGCATTGAGGAGTAGGTATCCATAGTAGCCTCTATCGTAGCGGAGTTCATTCCATCGAATACAGTGAGCCCCAACAGTACAAAAGTGTAGAAGGCGCGAGCAAAGCTTTGAACTCCTGAAAGAGTAGATATATGGGAGGATTATGGTGACAGCAAGGGCATTGGAGATCTATTTGATATCATTGGTCCATCCATAATCTCTGCGCAATGTTTTATGACAACTGTGCCCAGCGAAACATACGATCGGTAGGCTAAGCGAGGCGATGGCCAGGAGTTGGATCCATATCCTGAGCCATCGAGTCCAATAGGGTCGATATCTTTTGGACACAGAATGGAAAGAAGTGGTAAATACTAATTGAGAAAGCAAGGATTGCCTTTTTCGTCATATAGCTGCATATTTCTTTACAAATTAAATTCCAAACTCTCGGAGGCATGCATAGTCTCACGGTTATTTCTAACCGTCTTCATGCATTCTTGTTTAAAGTGGTTTTTCCCTCGATGCTCGGGGTGCTTGGCGAAGAAGTATTTTCTGCATTTTAGGATTTGACTCAGGATGGCGAAGTATTTTTTTGCACTTTAGGTTTTGGTATCAGAGTAAAGCGAAGTATTTCTTGCAACACTTTTCGTTGACAAAGTATTTCTTGTAACACCTTTTCGTTGACAAAATATTTCTTGTAACGCTTTTTTGTTGACAAAGTATTTCTTGTAACGCTTTTTTGTTGACAAAGTATTTCTTGTAGCACTTTTTCGTTGGCGAAGCATTTCTTGCATTTTAGGTTGCCCGGGGAAAAAGAGTAGACAACCGGCTGCTTTTGATTGCGATCACAATATGAAAACTATGGACAATAGATAGTCTAGCGGACGTGGTTCGTCTTATTGCTACTTTGCAGTTGTTTAAGGTTTGAAGTCCACAACATTTAAATAGAGCCACATCTCCACTTTTTTCTATAATGCATGCTTCACTCCCAAGCCCTTCAACCTCTAACACCTAACCATCAACCCCAATCCTTACGAATCATTGCCTCCAATCCAAACCCTTGTGCCTTGTGCTCTCAGTATCCCAGGCCTTTGCGCTTCAATTTCAATTGCTTTGGCCCCTCCATCCTTCTTCTACTGTATTATCTCAGAGCAGACTATTAGGCCATTATGACACGTCGCCAAGAAAAGCGAGCAAAGATAATCCTCGTAATGGGAATGACCGGCGCGGGGAAGAGCTATCTGATCAGGGATATATCCGGCCAGGATGTCGAAGTTGGAGATGATCTAGAATCATGCACTCAGAACATTGAGCCGATAACCTGCGAGATTGATGGCGAGCTAGTCACTATCTTGGACACGCCTGGATTTGACGACACCAAGCGTTCTGACACCCAGGTTCTAACTGATGTGGCTGAATACCTCGCCGTGCTCTACTCAGGCGACTATAAAGTCTCTGGCATTATATATCTCCACAATATTGCAGAAACTCGACTCCGTGGCAGCAATGTCAAGAACTTGGAGATGTTTGATAGACTCTGTGGCAAGGACGCATATGGCAATGTTGTGATGCTGACAAGAGGTTGGGGTTTGCAAACAACTCCATCTGCACTCAAAAGGGAGTTACAGCTCAAAGACAAGCACTGGCGTGATTATCTGGTTGAAGGCTGCAAGTTGGATCGATACCAGGACCGCGATGACCTCATTCGAATCTTCAAGGCAATGCTTTGTAACAGGCCCGTAGCGCTCAAGATCCAGCAAGAAATGGTTGTTGAGAGGAAAGGATTGCTCGAGACTGCAGCAGGACAGCACATAAACCAAGAGCTAATAATTCAAAAGAAGGCTTTTGACGAGGAGCTGGCATCAATTATTCGACGTTACGACAATGAGACGGAAAAAATGAAGGCAAGATTGGATAAGATGCGATTGGAGGTGGAGGCTGAACTAAAGAAAGTTGAGACAGATAAACTCATGTTGGCAGATACCTTAGAACGTGCAGATGCGGCGTCTAGAGCAGGTATGAGGGACCTGTTTGACCAGTTGGAGAAGGAGCGAAGGGTCGAGAGAGAAAAATACGAGCAGAAGCTAGCGGAAGCTGAAAACGAAAAAAATGGGTTGGCTCGAGAAAAGGCAGAGTTGGAAGCAATGTTCAGCCATCACCGAGAACAACAGAGAATCAAGAAGAAAGAGCGAGGGTTCTGGAATGATGTTATCGCCGCCCTTCTGGCAGGCCTAGTGCTAACAGCGAATGCGTTTGGGCTCGGGCTTTACTAGCCTGCATGCTATGGTTCTATCATGATCGGCTCTTGCAACAATAAAGGAAATGTAAACGAATTTTTTTGTAAAGAACCTTATTAGGGCCCTGCCTGGGTGAGCTTTTGTGATGCAATGATCGGCGATGTTTTTACCTGATCTTTTTTATTTTATCTAACATACACTCTCGTTGAAATAATTTTATCCGCTAAACGAAGGATATTTTTTTAATACTGGTATTGAGAGAATAAAAAGTTAATATTGATACCAGGCAAAGGCAAAGGAAGGGAGAAGAGCTAACTTTTAGAGAGAGGACTGGATCAAAGTCGTTTGGATAAGTTGATGAAAGTCAAATGCGCAAATTTGCCCGTTTTACGACCCAGAAGCTTAATATTGCCATTTCCATTTGCAACTGAATTTGGTAGTCGGTGGTTTACATGTATTTTATTTGACTGTTGTTTCATGAGATGCCCTTTCTACGGTTAAATTACATCATAACATTTACACTTGAGTATAAATAATAAATAATAAATAAATCTTACAGATCAGATCGTAACATTTAAAAAAAAAAAAAAAAAAAAAAAAAAAGAATGCTTAGTCAAACTCGGCTCATGGCAGGGCGATGCACAGCAACGCTTACAAGTCTAACATTCAAGAGAACGACTTCGATCACAAGAATAAGAAGGACGATCGGATCGAATTGCAATGATCACTTTTTTCATCCAACCCTGTCACGCACTTTTGCTTCCACGTCCAGTCCGAAGCGATCTGAACATTTCAATATCACTAACAATATCAATACTAACATCAACCGACATCGTCAAGGAGAAACAGCATCAAAAGAGAGCGCAAGGACTGAAGAGATTACTGCTGCTACTACCTCTACGACTTCCCGGACCCTCAATTACACACGACAGGAACTCGAAGCCATATCGATTTCTGATCTAAAGCAAATTCTTCGAGATAATGGGCTCAAGGTGACTGGTCGTAAGAAGGAACTTACGAATCGTTTATTGAAGCATCTTCAGGAACAACAACAACAGCAACAGTACCCTACAGACGTTAGTATGAAACCATTATCCTCATTGTCACCATCATCAGGAAACATTGCAGCTGATGGAAATAGTGTGGCCGCTACCACTACCACTGCCATTAGCAAAAACCATTATAATAATAGCAGTAGTAACAATAGCCGCAGTGGTGGTATTTCTGAAGCCAAGGAAGGAAAAGAAGACACGGTAACCAAAGGACGACTTGAGGCTGAGAAGAGGCTGAAGGAACAAATGGAGAAGGAACAACAAGAGAAAAAGGAAGCACAGTTGAAAGAACAACAGAAAAAGGAGCAATTACTGAAGGAGCAGCAAGAGAAGGAGCAGAGACTGAAGGAAGCACGATTGAAAGAGCAACAAGAAAAGGAACGGAGGTTGAAAGAGCAACAAGAGAAGGAGGCACGATTGAAAGAAGAAAAAGAAAAGGAACGAAGACTGAAAGAGCAACAAGAGAGGGAGGCACGGTTGAAAGAACAACAAGAGAAGGAGGCACTGTTGAAAGAGCAGCAAGAGAAGGAGGTAAGGCTGAAAGAACAACAAGAGAAGGAAATGCGATTGAAAGAACAGCAAGAGAGGGAACAAAAGCTGAGAGATCAGCAAGATAAAGAAGCACGATTGAAGGACCAGCAAGAGAAGGAGCGTTTGCTCAAGGCTCAACAGGAACAAGAGACACACCTTAAGCAGCAACAACAGCAACAGTTGCCGCAACAAGAAGAGGTAAAAAAAATTGAGGAAGCACGTCAAGTGGATACGATTCAAAAGTCTCGTGCTGAAAACAGTGGTCATGAAGAGTGGGCACGAGAAAAGATTCCGCTAGGCACCAAAGCCACAGCCACAGGCATGGGAATCGCCATTGTTGCCTGGTTCCTCTCTGGCAAGCGCGATCGAAGGACAAGAGCTCAAGAATTGGAAGCTCAAGAGCACTCGAAAGCAACTGACCATAGTCAAGGTTAAGGAACCAAAGGTATCCATCCATCCACCCATTCTTTTAAAGAATAAAAAAAAAAAAAAAAAAAAAAAACATAGAACATAAAACACAAAACATAGAAAACAAAGAACACATAGAACACAGAGCATAGAACATTGAACACAAAACATTAGCATCCAACATAGACATAACCATAGAACATGAACACATTAAATCTCTTTACTTTCTTTTTGCATTTAGTCTTGTGTCTTGTGACAACAAAAAATATTCACTGACACATGAGAAGCAAAAAAAAAAAAAAAAACCACCAGGAGTTTGGGCTTTGACCAGCCTTTGCTAACGTATGAAGATGAAGATGTTTCTTTGATCTCTTTTCTTTTTCACCTTTTTTTTTTATTTTTTTTACTTTGAAGTGAGGGCAAATATTTGCTAATAGATGATTGTCTGGATATCTAGGGAAAAAAGATTCAAACGCATGATATGGCATGGGAGAGGGCTGTGTTGTAGGAGCATTGTCAAAAAATCATGCTAATTGACTTTCGACGCCCTTCCCTTTTCAACTGGGTACGACTGAGTAACAAGGTTAATGTTAAGACCTAATTAATATGTTTAATGGGTATATTTATACAATAATGCATTATGCAAAAAAAAAAAAAAAAAAAAAAAAAAAAAAACGCCTTCTCCTTGGCTTGAGTGTGTACAATTTAATATATAAATATAATCATGTATTTGCCTCGCTCGAAAGAGTAGATTTTTTAGTGCAATTTTTTTTTTTATATCTGTATTCTGAAAGGCTTTTCTCTGACTTTCCTGACAGCCAATGTTTTATAATGTTAATGTGTGCAACGAGTGTGGGGAAAAGGGAAAGAGCCCTTAGCCTTTTCCCCTTCTTTTCTTCTTCATCGTACAGCCCTAATTGCTAATTGCTTCGTTAGTTAATTGTTCAGGTTCTTTTCTTCATCTTCATGCTAAACACGCTAACAATCAGTCAGCATGTCATCGCGATTAAGAGTGTCACCATAACAATAACGAACGTTGGGTTGAACACAAGACAACAAGCAACAAAGTAACAACCACAAAAAAAAAAAAAAAAATTCTCAGACAAATGAAAATCGCGATTAAACCTATCCGAAATTGCTCTTTACGGTTGAATGCATAGACTAGCTTGCTATTATCACAAATTGGTAGACTTATTGTTATTACATATTGTTATTATCGGCTCAATGGACGTGTTGGTTAAAGAGTGGAGAGGAAAAAAAAACTATTATGTAGTCCTCTGTTGTAAAAAAAAAAAAAAAAAAAAAAAAAGCGCGCACAATCACACTGGATTTTTTTGGTTAGATCTAAAATAATTACTATTACGATTATTAGTTATTCCTCAACTAGGCTCTACACCAGTAAAATAACTCATCCTGGTTTTTTTTTTTTTTTTTTTTTTTTTACAAATGAGAAAATAGTATGACGATTAAAAAAAAAAAAAAAAAAAAAATACGGATTAAAAGCTTTTGTAAACTTTGTCATTGCATAACTCAGCTCTTTCAAAAAAAAAAAAAAAAAAAAAAAAAAAAGTAGAGCTGTGTCAAGCAGGCCTCAGAGTTCTTGTTAAATTGTTTAAATCGAACTGTTCAAGATTGTCAAATTGTCTCCAACGTTTTGACCATCTTGAAAAAAGGATTTGAATGATTCTTTTTTATAATTATTATTATTATTATTTATTTTTATTTTGAAGTTTTTTTTTTTTTCTTGATTCTTGCCAGTTAATCAGACTATATTTACAGATTTTTTTTAAACTAGCTGGGTAAAGAAGAGAAAAAAAAAAAAAAAAAGAAAAAAAAGAGGAAGACTATTGTAGCAAAGGTATAAGGATAATATTCTAATAAAAAATAAAAAAACAAAAAAACGATAAAATTGCTTCTCATTGCCCTTTTTCATCTAATGCTACACAAAAGACATTTAAAAAAAGGGAGGCCAAGGGAAGAAGAGGAGCGGTCATTGAATAAAGCTCCAAAAGTTTGGAACAGAGACAGAAAGAGAGAGAGGTGTGTGCCGTGCATGGATTGGCATTTGTTGCGTGGTTCTGAAAGATGAATGATGTACAGTTAACAATGCGCAAATTGGAAGAGATGCAAGATAAAAATAAGTAAAGAAAAAAAAAAAAAAAAGCAAGGGGGAAGGCAGAGGAAGGAAAGCCCAGGTAAGGTTTTCTGTTGTTGTTGTTGTTGTTGTTGTAGTAGTATTAATAGGCTTGATCATCATATTCGTCTTGGACCTCATCCTGACGATCTTCAAACTGAGAGAGATTGACGATGGGCCAGGCAAGCATTTCCTCCTCTGTCGGTTGTTCGCTCTCGACGATCAAAGACCGAGCTCTGGAGATGGATGGCTGGTTTTCATTTTGTTCTTCAAGAGGGACCTCCTGTAAATCTTCGGCATACAAGTCAAAGTGAGCACCTTTGTTGAGCAGGATGCTCTCATGAGAATCTGTGTTGGCCGATTCATCGTTCGAGGGTTCTTCTTGGTTCAGGGTCTCGAACTCTGAATCGGTCATCCAAAGACCCATGGATTCTTCCTGTCGTCTCCTGACGGCCTCGGGATCTTGATCGAGTTGTTCTTCCTCTTGGTTATCCAACAACTGATCGCGATCCTGCTCCACCTTTTCGAGCTCATCTTGTTCCTTTTGGAGACGAGCAAACTCTTCACCCTGTGGGGTTTGACGTGGATGGAGTCGCTGTTGACGATAGTATTGTTCTTGTTGTTCTACTTTTTCGACCAGGCGAGCAAGAGGGGAGGGATCTTCGGTGTTGAGATCGACTTTGATGGTGATGGGACGAGAGATTGTATGGAAGGGAGTGTTGGAGGGAGAACCGGATGTGGATGTGGAATCTACTGATTTGGATTGAGGTGATGATCTTGGATTGCCGATAGGAAGGGAAGTGGTAGTTGTGCAGATGGACAGGGCCAGGAAGCAGGCCAAAGCATTTGTTATCTTTGTCATTGTGTGTGGTTGTAGATGTGGTTCGTCGAAGTTCTTTGTAGTAAGTAGTAGTAGTAGTAGTAGTAGTAGTAGTAGTAGTAATAGTAATAGTAGTAGACAGAGAAAGAGATTGATAAAGAGAGAGAGAGAGAGAGAGAGAGAGAGAGAGAGAGAGAAACGAAAAAGACAGAGAAAGAGAGAAAGGACAATGTGTGAATGTATGAACGTATGAAGAAAAGAAAAGAAAAAGAAAAGAAAAAAGAGAGGAGAAAAGGAATGGTTTTATAATGTCTCCACAGAGAGAGTAAGCAAAAGAGGTCTTTTCTAGTCTGTCCAGTGAGGTGATATACATTTTATTTTATTTTTTATTTTATTTTATTGTGTTTTATATATTGTATATATCGATATCGATATATACACTTGCTGAACAGTACATAATCAAGTCTTTGTTTTATTTTATTTCGTTATATTTCTTATGTTTTATATTTTATTTGTCCAAAAGAATTTTAAATTGCACTCAACTCACTCCCATTCAATCCTACTCAATACAATCGCATCCTTATTCAATACCTCTCTGTTCTTATTGTTGTCTATCCTAATGTGTTGTATGCTGTAAAAAAAAAAAAAAAAAAAAAAAAAAGAGTGAGGGCAAATATTATAAATCCCAGTGGAATAACAAGGAAGCATTGATTGGGAATCAAGGCTTGATGTTCACTCACAGTAACATCCATATCCATGTTCAATATACATCTTATTCACACCTTCAGACAAATTGGTCAATTAAATTTCCAATTTCACATCCAACTTCTTTGACGGACCAAACACAGCTCTTCTCATACCCGGGCTTATCATAATCCGACGGTTCCTATCTCTTTTCTTTTTAATTCTTGCTCTCAAAGACACTGCAATATCCACCAATATCCTCAATTTCTGCGAATACTTGAGAATATCCGACTCGGCAACTCCAATGAAAACTTTATGAAAAAGAAACCTAGTTTTTCTCATCTCAAATGTAATAAAGAGAGGAATAGATAAATAAATAAAAAAAATAAAAAAACGAAATGACAGCAGAATTGCTTGACAATTAAAGAAATTTTTTGATAATGATGACAAGTAATGTTTAAAAGAAAAGAAAATGTATGATGATGATGATGATGATGATGATGATATTGACGACTATGGCTTTGACCTTTTTGAACTATGGTGATAGACAAACTACAAGTAGTCCATTACACATTGCTTATACATCCAAACCCTTCTTTATAATTGCTTATATTCAGCCTTTGCTTAGTCTAGCAAGTTCAACGCGAACAATTTTTTTTTTTTCTTTCACTTACCCAACCATTGCACATCCATTGACCCATTAAGAGGGCAAAAGACCCTTTTGCTCTGATTCGCTCGGTATAGTAGACTAACCTGACTATAGTCCTCTTTGTCTCTACCTCTCTAGCAATGACTTTTTTTTTTTTTTTTTTTTTTCAATCTGCTCTATTTGTGTCTTATTTTTTCTCAGCCGCCTTTGTTCGTTTGTCCTGAATGAGCACAAGTCTTTTTTAAAGGAGCTGCTCTACCCATCTACCCATAGCACGCTATTATAAACGCTGCAATTAGTCCAAATAGCGCAAAGGGTGCAACAAAGGGATTGCTGAATCGATTTGCTGGGCAAGACCTCTGAGGTACCACAATGTGTTATTTTTACAGAATGTGTGTTATGCACCAGAAAACCTTCTCAAGCTCTGTCTGCTCTGTCTGCTCCACCATAGACTCTGCCTGCTGTATAAATATATATTTATACTGTATACAAATGTGTGTGTGTGCGTGCTCCAGATGTCTGAATATTTTTATCAAACTGTCTTTTCAACGTTGGTTCATTTGCTGTAAAGTTTTCCTGTGCACCAGTTACTTTTGCTTCCTTTATACTACATGAACATGTATGGACTATACATGTACATGTACAATCTAGCCCCAGTTCTTAATTTCCCTTTTCTTCCTGACATTCTCTCATTCTTATCATGGTATATATTTCCTTGCTTGCCCTTGCCCTTGCTCATTGATTTGCCTCTCTCTGCTTTTTTTTTTTTTTTTTTTATTTTTTTTTTACTCATTTAGAATTGGTTCAGGGTCATTGGTTCCTTTTGAAGGTTTATCCTATGAAGGTTAAAGTAAGACTATGGACGAATGGAATAGGAATGCAATGGTACAATGACATCTAGATCTTTGTAGATTTATCTAGTAGAAATAATACGCGCACAATGACACGTCTTTTTCTTGTTTCCTAAAAAAAAAAAGAAGGGAGCCTTACTCACTCCCCTAGTGTCTATCCTTTTCCCTCCTTCTGGGATCTATTCCCCTGGGATCTATTTCCTCATTCGTCAGGTGATCTAAGCTTGACCTTCCAAGCGGCTCTCTTCTCTTTGTCTCCTTGCCGAGATGAAGATGGGAGATGATGCAGGGAGGGTTCGGGCCAACTAGAAGGAGATAATCAATGGAACCAAGGAACCAAAAAAAAAAAAAAAAAAAAAAAAAAAGTTCTCGTAAGAAAGCATATGTGTTGTGTGATGTTTAAAGGGTTCTTGCATATTGCATACTTGCTTCGTGCGCGCTTTTTACTCCCTAATCATCTATCTCATCATTGCACTATATACATATACTATGATAGATGATAGATCGCAGTACCTTTTTTTTTTTTTTTTTGCTCTCTTCAGGTTATTCTTTCTTTAGCTTGTTTTTTTTTTTTTTTTTCCGGCCGAACGTAATGTGGAATGCGAGATGATGCTTTTTGTCTTTGTAAAAGGTTACTCTTATTCAGGGATCGCTCAAAATACAATCGCAAGATCCCGTAGCACAGAAAATAAAAAAATAAACTAATAGAGCTTTTGTTATTCTAACGGTTAGATGTAAAAAAAAAAAAAAAAAAAGTTGTTGTTCTGATGATGTATTCTATGAAGTGATCATTCCAATCATACACAGCATCGGATACTCCATGATCGAAAATAAATTCCCAATTGCTATGAATTTGAATTTGAATTTGGATTTGGATTTGGATTTGGATTTGGATTAGAACTCCTACCGTTATAAAATTCTCTGGATTGGAATAGGTTTTTTTTATTTTTCCCGCCTGTCATCATCATCATCATCATCCACTGGACAAAACAAAAAAAAAAAAAAAATGAGCGCACTGGCATTTTGGTATTCTAAAAACAAAGCAGAGCAAAAAGCATTGGGATCTTTTGTTCTTTTGTTATCCCCCGCTCAGTGTTTTTTTTTTGTTTATTTGTTTTGTCATCATTGTAACAAACAAACAAACAAGCAAAGAGATTTTTTTTTTTTTTTTTTTTTTTTTTTTTGTTTCTCCTTCTATTTCTTAAAAAAGACATGCACACGAGACACAACAAGACATATTCATCCAACATGTTGTGCAAGCCTAAGGAAAGTCACTTATTCAGATCAAGTCAGGTCAGGTCAGGTCAGGCTAGGTCAGGTCAGGTCAGGCTAGGTCAGGTCAGGTCAGGGTCCTGGTTAAAGAAAGAAAAAGAAAGAAAGAAAGAAAGAAAGAAAGAAAGAAAGAAAGAAAGAAAGAAAGAGAAAAACAGCCAATCTAGTCAACCTAGCCAATCCATCCGCCCTTAACCAACAAAGTAAAAACTAGCCAGCCAAAAAAACAAAAGGTGAAACAACGGAAAAAAAAATACTCCTCCCTTTTTCATTTATTAAACGTGGGCGATGACAGGAATTTTCATCGCCGATGAAAAAAAAGTCGACGACAAACACGAACGCGCACTGCCCTTCCTCTGAACAGCGCACACATCATGGCCCATAGCGCTGAAACAGTTGAAGGGGGAGGGCTAGCATAAATCAATCTTGTAATCACAACATCGGTTGATGTCTGAAGATTCATTGCAATGTTGGCTGCGTAATGGACAGTAAAGGATAGTCATGGACACTGTTTGGATTTTTTTTTTTTTTTTTTTTTTTTTTGTTACCGAGGAAACGGCAGGAATTTTAACATTGGAGTGTATGCACCCCTGGATACTGGAACATGTACTGTGCATGAACTCTATGCTGAACTTGTCCTGGACATGTACAACATTTTATGTTTAAAAATGTATCAACAATAGGTTTGTGCATTGTCTCCCTCTCCCTCTCGCCACTTCATTCTCCAGAAGGTGTTACCCGAACCTTGTTTCGAGTAAGGAAGGTTTATACATGTAAAAGAGGAGAATGGATTTCCTGGAATTGTCTTCCTTTTGCATAGCACGTAAAAAAAACAAAGCCATCCCTTTTTTTTTTTTTGTGATCAATAATAATAAACAGCCTAACCTAACAGGAAAGAGGAGAGAAGCTTTAGTGTGAAAATTTGCTTCATCTGCATAGATTTTTTTAAACCAGGGTCTACATAGTCTGACAATCTAACAAACAGCCCAACTCTATCCGTTTCAACATAAAAATGTTTTCTAAAGAATCCTGGCCGTTAGGACCCTGCCTGGTTGAGCTTTTGTGGCGAAGTAAAGAAGAAAAAAAAAAAAAGAAAGGTTCCACTAGATCGACTACGTTTTTACTCGATCTTTATTTTTTAATATGCAACCGTTGAATTAATTTTATCCGCTTCACAAAGGGCATTTTTTAATCCTGGCATCAAGAAAGGAATAAAAAAGAAAAGAGGTTGTTATTATTACAAGACAATGGAAGGGAGGAAAAACCAATTTCCATGCTAGTAATATATCTTTTGACAGTACTTTATATACATTATGTTACATTAGCTTCCTTTGAACATCAATCAATGAAAAAAGAAAGAAAGAAAAATATTTTCATAAACCAGTGAATCATACTTGTTATACATATGTTTATTCCCTTATAATTTTTTGTGTATATGAATATCATCGTGAATGTGAAAAAAGAATATCTGTTTATGCTATACAATGGAAAGGGGACCAACAAACAAGAATAAGAGCAAGAGCAAGGACAAGAACAGGAACAAGGGCAATAAACGCGACGACAACGACAACGAGTTTCATCGGCTCTTCAAAATGCTTTTGTGATCTCCTCCCCTTGCATCAAAATAAATGGTCATCACTAAATAATACGTTGTACATGTATGTTTGTTGTTATAAATATACATATCGTTCTAGACTATGTAGTACAACATGCTGCTTCTTTTTTCCACCAGGTTTTATCTCTGAGACATTAAGGAGAAAGGAGAATAATAAAAAAGATATTCGTTTCAGCCCAAGCCCAAGCCTAGTGCAAGCTTTTTGGCAGTGCAAAAAAAACCCCCCGGGCACAATTTCACGCCCACACGCCCACAGGCCCATTCACATGCGTACATGCACAGCACATGACATGACATCTATATACTACTTGTCCCGCGCATAAATGTACGTAAGACCTAAACTACCATGTAGTCTAGCACACACTTGTCATTTGCCCTCTCTCCTAGTTGCCTAGATGTTATATGTTAGATGTTAGATAGATGCATATGTACATGTGAATGTATCTTGAGACGCGACTTGGTACATTAAATGAATGAAAAAAAAAAAAGCAATAATACATCCATGATTATTTAAGATCGAAAAGACATGCGTTGGGTCGCGGATCGCGATTTCATGAACCCTTTATCTCACTGTTGATATAATTGTGATCGACACTGAAATGTCGATCACTGTACACATATACAACACAACTTTATCCAGATAATCTTGGAGCAATGTATAGAAAGAAGATAAAAAAAAGATGTATAAAGGAGTGCGGGGCATATATTATATTTGTTAAACACGCATACAGGTATACAGACACAAGTTCAAAAAAAAAAAAAAAAAAAAAAAAAAAAATCCATCAGTAAAGATTCATTGTCTTTGGAATAAAGCACGGGGAATTTTTTTTTTTTTTTTCTAATATTATTTTTGGGGGATACGCGGAACGGACAAAGGCGGGAATTTTTTTTTTTTTTAGACCCTTTTGAACTGGTGGCGCCACCCTCCACCAACGCGGGCTAAGCTGCACTACCAACTACAACTACTACAACTACGATTACGACTATCCATCGTCCCCACTACCAGAATCAGTATCCATGCGGACAAAACAAACAAAACTTGGGTAGCCTTCATGGCTCTTTTACTTTACTCTGCTCCACTCTGCTCCGCTTTATTCAAATTTAGTGGATCGTGCACCATTTTTTTTTTTTTTTTTTTTTTTTTTTTCAACATGCGTTGGGTAGTTCCTATTCCGCCCATTTTATAAACATTGCTCCTACTTTCTCCATGTAATAAAAATAAAGTTAAAGGTCGTTTAATTCATAGGTCCTGTAACATAGTATATATTGACTATTCACTCTACCGTTGCCCCATGCTCGTCCAGTTTTCTATCTCTTTGGCCTAATATGATTCAAAAGCCCAATAGAAGCAAAAGTCAGCATGGATCGTGTTAGATACTAAATGACAAAAATATCAAAAAGATAAACCCCCTCTTACAACTGACACCACTTACTCATTTTTTATTCCCTCTCTCCGAGATGTTGAGTGCCAGTGGGGTCAATGGCTTAGTCAAGCTTCCCCTTCTTAGACAGCATTTGCTCACTTTTGATAATGATATCCACACATGTACTTTTGTTTGAGCGACGCGTAGCTCTCCGCTCAATGTTGTTTCGTATCTAGTTGTTCTGTAGGGAGAAAATGAAGAGAGAGTTTTTTATTAGAGAAAGAAGCGGGAAAAAAAAGGTGTCACTCATGTACCACTTTTTGAGGATAACTCTCATGTATAAAAAAGAGTCGTTCCTTTTCTTTTTTTCTTTTTCTTTTCTTCAACTCATACTTCATAGTTCCGAATTCGAGTTATCTAACGGTCGCTTCTAAGCACAATCCCCCTCCATCCATAGCTCATACCCTATACCCTCTCTAAACTAAAAACAACCAATTCCCTTTCCTTTGCACGGTCTGCACCCACCCCCCCCGAAAAGAAATTTGAACATTGCCCTCAATGTCTCCAGCTTCCACTGTGACTACTTCTTCGTCCATTATCCTTCCGATAGTGAGTCCTCTCAAGGCTGCTGCTTCTGCTTCTGCTGCTATTGCCTATGAGATTATTCCTGTTGAGGAGATCGACACTGCCTTCTGCGATTATGTTGGTGAGTTTTTCCTCTCTTTAATTTCTTTACTCGGAAAGTAAAAAGCTTTTCTTTCTTTCTTCCTTAACACTTTTTTTTTTTTTTTTTTTTTTTTCCTCCTTATTCAGACCTTGCTGTCAAAACACGAGGTGGCAAGGTCTTAGCGGTGTCCGATGAGTGGTTTGCAGAGGCTCATAACCTGCTCACCCCTACTGCCCCCATCTCGCGTAAGGGCCACTTTACCCCCAAAGGAGCTTGGTTTGATGGCTGGGAGACCCGTCGCCATGGACCTGACTATGATTGGTAAGCTACTTTATCATTGTACATATATATGTTGATTTGCTTTACTCGCGTTTATTAGGCTAATTCCCCATTTCTAACCTTTACAATGATAATAATGGGCAGGTGCGTGATTCAGTTGGGTTACCCTGGTACGATTGCAGGGTTCGAGTTCGATACCGCCTTCTTTACGGGAAATCACTCTCCTTTTGTGTCTGTGGAGGGTTTGGTGGCAGCTAGCTCTGAGAAGGCTGATAATGGTTGTGATAATGGTTATGGTCAAGGTACTGACGTTAATGGTGATGGGGATGATGCAAAGAGCGTTGGAAGGACGACTTTGAATGGGGGATGGGCCAAGGCTATCGGTGGTACTGCCGGTCCTCACTGGGTCCCCATCTTGCCTAAAGTGGCCTTGAATCCTGATTCGCGTCATGGTTTCAAATTGGCTCAGCCTACCACGTCTTTCTATACCCATATCCGATTCAGAATGTTCCCTGATGGTGGGGCGGCTCGTTTGAGAGTCTATGGTAAGGTCCACCAAATTTTGCCGGAAGATAAGGCCGAGATATTTGACTTGGCTGCTGTGGGGGCCGGTGGCCAGGTGAAGGCGTTCTCAGACGCTCATTTTGGCCATCCTTCGAACCTATTGCTCCCTGGACGTGGCAGTGATATGTCGGATGGATGGGAGACTAAGCGATCGCGCGCTCCTGGCCATGTTGACTGGTGCTTGATCAGGTAACAAAAAAAAAAGCTTATTGATAGTTTTATAAGTATCTTGAATGAAAGGTTTCGCGTTGATCTTAAAAGTTTACTTCAAAACTAACTAACTTTTATATTCTTTTATTCTTTTCTATAAAAAAAAAAAAAATAAAAACAAAAAAAAAAAAAAAAAAAAAAAAAAAAGATTGGGAGTCCCTGGTCATCCTGTGTTGGTTGAGATCGACACTGCTCATTATATGGGCAACCCTCCAAAGTGCGTCACTCTTCTTGGCTTTACTGCCTCGGATACTCTTGAAGAGAATCCTGTTGTCTTGTTGGATCAAGTCCCTGTCAAACCCCATAAGCAACATATTTTCTCAATCCCTGAACCGATCAGTGCAAACAACCTGATTTCGACTATCAAGGTGGTCATGATTCCCGATGGTGGGATCAAGCGTGTTCGTGTCTTTGGATCACAATCCTGGCCTGCTCATCCCATCCCTGAGACAAGCTCCATTGGTAAGACACAGCCCTTGCCAGATGAGCACACATGGAACTTGTTGACCATTCAAGCTGAACCGATTACAAAGGCCGCGTTCGAACCTTGGGGTCAAGTCATTGAGGTACCTCTATACGACCCAAATGCTATCAAGGTGAACCAGGGAACGGCTCAAAAGTTCTCACATATTGGCCATTTTGCAAACTGGCGCTCCTATGCGTTAAATGAGGAAGCGATCCAGGACCAAAACAAGCTGATGATGGAAAATAGCAACAATAGCCAGAAAAAGTGTTTGGACAGACCCTATCCTGCCAACATTGTTCCTGCTACTGCTAACATTGCCATCTTCCAATGTTACAAGCCCATTGAAACCCAGGAGATTGGGGTGCGATTGCTAGAGAGACATCCTTATTCATCTCAGATGTTTGTTCCGATGGGTGGAGATGGTAATGGTGGATTTGTAGTGGTGGTGGCAAAAGATCAAGAGGGATCCGAGGGAAGGATACCTGATTTGACGACCTTGAAGGCCTTTACGGTCAAGAACAGCCAAGGAGTGAATTATAAGCCGAATGTATGGCATCACCCTATGATTGTGACGGATCGGCCAGTGACCTTCTTGACGATCACAAACGAGTCCGGGGTTGGAAAGGATGATTGTGAGGAGTACTGGTTCAAGAAGGAAGCCGAGGCTGTGGGATCGGAAGGAGGCGTAGCAGCTATTGTTCGTCTCTAAAAAAGGGAAGAGGAAAAAAATAATGATCGAATGATGAAGTTTGCGTAGACTTTACGACGTTTTTGTTTACTTGATCTTCTAGCTCGATGTTTAGTCTTGTATAAAATAAACAATACATGTTAACAGACTATTAAACCGACCACTGCTTGGCTTATTTTTTTATTTTCTTATTGGGCAAAGCAAAGCCGAATGTTTTTTTGGGCGGGTATCGTAAGATTGCCAAAATGAAAAAAAAAAAAAAAAAAAAAAAAAAATAAATAATGGGCTGATTCCCTATTGGATGGACAATGATTTTTTTTTTTTTTTTTTTTTTTTTTTGTTTGTTGGTTTGGGTGACTGAGAATCCCTCATTGCAATGGAAGTCAACTTGGACAGGAAAATAGGAAACATACACCGTTGTGTATAATACAATCATGTCCACGTAGACAAGGTTGCTACTGTTGTTCTCCGCTGCTAGTTATAGTAAAAGTAGCGATCTCTTTTTTAAAAATGGGGATGTTCTCCACTCTCTCTCTCTCTCTCTCTCTCTTTTTTTTCTCTTTCCTTTCTCACAAACTGCTCCACCTTTCTTTTTATCTTTCACTTTTCTTTTCTTTTTTTTTTTTTTTTTTTTTTTCTAAAAGTTAATTGTGTTGCTTTACTCATTCAGATCTCACATTCTCCTTCAAAGTTAAAAAAAAAAAAAAAAAGACATGCCAGCCGAGTTGTGTGAAGATGCCAAGGAGCTTGACTTTCTCATTACTCGAATGAAAGATCTCCTAGTGGAATGTAAGATTCAAGTTGTAAAACTTTCCCCTTCTTTATTCTGTCACTTTGTTTATCTTATTCGGTTGACTCACGTTAATTTCCACCGCGCATGGCTAATGTTTTTCAAATTTGGACAATCCGAAAATAAAAAATTTCCTCCTTCGATCGATCTGATCTGTCCTTGACAATCTGTCCCTATCAATCTGACAAATGTCACCTTTTTTTTTTTTTTTTTTTTTTTTTTTACAGATATGGACCAAAGCAGGGCGAGTGATGGTCTGTTGGTCGATTACAAAGAGCCTGAAGAGTTGGAGCGGATCATGGACTTTTCATTGCCGGATCATGGTGTAGGATCTCAAGGTAAGAAAAAATAAATAAACAGGGGTAATGTATGTGTGTGTAACAGACATGGAACCTCAATTAACAAATGTTCCCTGAGATCCTTTTTTTTCTAGGAATCTTTCCAACGATCACACAAACATTGAAGCACAGCGTCAATACGTTCTCACCTCGGTTCATGGATAAGCTCTATGCAGGTTCTTCTCCCATTGGAGTCATGTCCGAACTTCTCCTTTCAGGGTTGAACGGGAACTCTCATGTGTATCATGTTTCACCTGTTTTCACAATGATGGAGATCCACGTTACTCGAGCCCTTGCTCGTCTCTTTGGATTCACGGGACCCTTAGCAGGCGGACTTTCATGTCCCGGTGGGAGTGCCAGTAATCAATTAGCAATGGTCACAGCCAGGAACGTATTGTTTCCGGAAATTAAAAAAAGAGGGTATTTTCCTCGATGGTCTGTTCAGGAACGGCGTGAATTGGAGAGACAATTAGGAATCACCCTAGCTGAACCATCTACCTTGTCCTTAATATCACCAACATCATCAACATCGACCTATGGGAAACTAATTGCCTTCACAAGTAGTGCAGGGCATTATTCGTTGGAGAAATCAGCTGTTATTATGGGCTTGGGTTCAGAGAACATTGCTTGTGTCCCCTGTGATTCAACTGGAGCGATGATTCCTTCAGAATTAGGTGAGTTTTTTTTTTTTTTTTTTTTTTTTTTGTAAATCATTTTACCTGTTCGTGAGGTGGTTTTTGTTTCTTACACTTCTTCTCTTCCCTTTCTTTTCTTTCCTCATTTGTCTGGTTTATTACTTAGAGCGCTTGATCCAAGAACATATTGCAATGGGGCATACACCTTTCTTCATCAATTGCACTGCAGGAACAACAGTCTTGGGCGCATTCGATCCGATTCGCCCTTGTGGTGAAATTGCGAAAAAGTACAACTGCTGGTTACACGTCGATGGATCATGGGGAGGTTGTACCATTTTTGTTCCCGAGTTGGCAAAGACTTTGTTGGATGGCTCAGAAATGGTAGGGTTATATTTTAATTAAGAAAAAAAAAAAAAAAAAAAAAAAAGTTTTTTTATCATAGACGGATGAACTAACCATCTCTCATCTTTTTTTTTTTTTTTTTTTTTTTTTAAAAAAAAGGCTGACTCGATTACAATCAACCCTCACAAGATGCTTCAAACACCTCTACAGTGTTCATTATTACTTGTTAAGGATTCATCCATCTTTCCACGTGCGAATGCGCTTAAAGCAAACTATCTTTTTCATGATCAAAGTCACGATCTAGGTGATGGAACCTTAGGATGTGGCCGTCGGTCAGATGCCATCAAATTCTTTTTGGGATGGAAGTACTATGGCAAGCTTGGATATCAAGCCAGGGTTGAGAAATCACTTTCCAATGTGAAGCGATTTATCGAGATTTTAACTCAAGATGATTATCATGGACAGAGGATTCAGATGTTGCGTCTTGGAGATGGAGATGAAAATGGAAAGAGCTCTCAACCTAGTCTGTTGCAAGTCTGTTTTTGGTACCGACCTCGAGGTAGTCGACTCATTGATTGGCAAGGTACAGAGATCCTCTGGAAGAATGAAGCTGAGCAACAACAGCAGGAGCAACACATCTCCTCTGCTTTGCCACATTTTACTGCCCCTGCAGTTGAGACAGACATAGAGGCAGAGTCAGAGGCGTCCTTAATCAACAGCAGTATTACAGGTCAACTTTATGGACATCATGACTCCTCATCTAGGACATCACCATCGAATTCCTCTGCTGTCTCGTTATCGTCATCTGATTCAATGTCATCAGCCTCATCAGCCTCATTATCAACGGCCCACGCAGGAATCGATAGCGACCCAAAGCCTTCTACTTCTTCTTCTTCTGCTAGACCAGTAGACCATGGTCTAATTTTGACAGATCCTGAGGAGCGAGAGGAGGCTAGAGCATGGATGGAAAAGGTGATTAAGGCCATTCATGCACGTATCCGTACTAGAGGGATGTTCATGATTGATTATGCACCCTTGGGGCGTTATTTGCCCATTTTCTTCCGTGTTGTGTTGAACCCACCGACGATCCGGGAGCTGGACCTTGTAATGCTTGTAGATGAGATTCTGGAATGTGGAGAACTTGTTGAAAAGACTATACCCATTCCTGTCTGTTGCCGCGCTTAACAGAGTACCAAAAAAAGAAATAATAATAATAATAATAATAATAGATCCATCAATCCAAAGTATACATTTATATTAATCATATAGAAAGGAATAAAAAAAAAAAAAAAAAAAAAAAAAAGATTATAAAAAGGACAAGGTAAAGAAAGGAATAAAGAAAAATAAAAAATAAAAAGATCGAATGGATTTTTTTTTTACGTTAATCAAGAGGACTATAAGTTCCCTTCGGCGCACGATAACCCAGATGCCAACTGAATGACAGAGTCGCGTGCTTCTTTAAGAAACTCATTTGCGATCTTGCAAAGTGGTTGAAGCTTAGAGCGGATCAACCTTGGCACTCAGATTCGATGATTGTCATGTGACCATCAATTGAGCGTGGCAATGATGCGTGCTTTTTTGATAGGGATCTTTTGAGGGCCACGGGAGAATAGTTTATTTAAATGAGACGAGACTGCTCTTTAAGCTAGAACAGGACATTGTCGTACATTACAGAAATTAATTGTGGGATCTAAAAATATTCCGCTGCTTTCGAAATTAAAAAGTAAAAAAGAATGGTCACGCTCTTTACCTTGGTATATATATCATATTAACAAAGAACGAGAAGCCTTATTTCAGTGAATTAAGAACGAAGGCTTGAAAGGAAGGGCAAGGTGAGTAAAACAGATCCTTAAAGATTCTTCTCTTTTCTTTTGGTGCATATCAATACTATGTCTTCAAAGCATGGACAGGTCTAGTCAAGTGATCCAAAACCCTCCGAAACAAAGCTGAGCAAGTATAAGGCTTCATAGTTCATCAATGTTAATTTTTCCATTCTGTAAATCGGAACGATATATCAATGTTCAATAGAAAATGAGGCTTATCTTAAGAAACGAGGGTGGATGTATGTACATAGAGTATATATTGGTAGTTTAATCAAGTATTCAATCATGTCACTTGTTCAACATTAGTAGAGTGGACGGGGAACAGCAAGAGCAACAGCGAAATGAGTCCTGTATTAGAAGATAGGCAATGGCGTTGTGCCATGAGTGTAGGGCTCTATTTATTGTGGAAGCCTGTCATAACTTTTTGATCTTGACACGGCTCTATAACGCATAGTTCCGGATAGTCATGTCGTCTTTCGCAGCTCCGTTGGCAGGATCCATTTGCTTCATCTTTTTGGACTTTTGGATAAGCTCCACGTTTCATTCTTTCTGCCTTCTCCTTGTAAATAGCTTTGGTTCACTTTGTTGCCAGTTAGTTTGCTTGTTATGGATGGATGAAAAGGCAAAAAATCAGCCACCAAACGGATTCAGCATTATTGGGAGGTGGTCAAATGATTGTGTCCGGAGTGGTAACGGATATATATATATATATTTATTGCAAAAAGGGTTTTACATGTTTCATAGATACATGTGTAATAAATGTGTGTAGAAACTCAATCAGAGTCTTTGCATTCATCTGTCCAATTAGAACAACAGGTTTCATCTCTCCCACTCTCTCACGTCAACATTATCATTAAATCAAAAACTTTGTGCCTGGGTGAGAGAGTTTTTTTAAAAAAAAAAAATATTAATGTCTGCCTGCAAGGGAGCCTTTTTTTTTTTTTTTTTTTTTTTTTTTTTTTTAATTTCTCACATTTATAGAGGGAAAGCATTGTTTTTTTGATGTTGGGGCGCCTCTTTATTTTAATTATTTTTTCTTGTTTATTTATCTAAGCGATGGCCATGAGTGCAAAGACGAAAAGGCTATGAAATGAAGATGTGGGGGATGCCAGAATGGGGAGGGGGGGGAACACAAAGCGGAAAATAGAAGTGCAAGAAAGATGGAAAGAAAAAGAGAAGAGTCAAAAAGAAAAAGGTTGTCTGTCATACAAGTAAAAAAGAGCGCGCGTAACAAACAATCATCTTCTCCAACCAATCCCATCACTCATGAGGTCACTTGCAAAAAGAAAAAAGATTTCTAGTCCTTTTAGGCCATCCCTAGTCCTTCCTTTTAGTCTTCGTCCTAGTCTGCAACACAACATAGCGGTTATCTTTGATTAAAAGTCTTTCTTTTATTGCTTTGACACTCTTTTTCTTTTTCTTTTTTTTTTTTTTTTGTTTCTTTTTCACTCCTTTTTGAATTGACAATTCCATTCCATTCCTTTTCTTCGCTCTCCTTTCATTCTCCCTCACTTTCTTTCTCTCACACTTACTGACACAGCTGTATTCGCATACTCACCCACATATTCATATTCATATTCATATTCATTCATACACATACATTTTCACACACACACACACACACACACAAGCATATTTATACATAGCAACAACCATGTCGGCTACTCCAAAATATGCCGCCAAGAGCACACTTCGCTCAATGTAAGACTCTCCTACACAAAGTAGTAATATCCATCCACCGCTAGGAAGCCTTTTCTTTTTCTTTTCTTTTTTTTCTCTACATTGTCTACTTTGCCGCCATTTTTTTTTTTCTAGTTTATCTCCTGGGATATGAATGAACAGTAAACGGGGTTGGTTCATTATGAACCACATTTCTCTTTCCAGGCATTAAACTCTCTCTTTCTTTTTTTTTTTTTTTTCTCCTGTGGCATGAATCAAAATCATTTGTTTGCAGTAAAAACTTTTCCAAAGGCTATACAGACATGCAAGCCAAGGTTCGAGAAGCAACCTCAAACGACCCTTGGGGACCAAGTGGCACACAGATGAATGAACTCGCTGCTGCAACCTTTAATCAGTAAGTTTTATTTTTTCTTTTCTCATGAAACATGAATGATTTTACAATGTGTAGGAATTGACGCAATTACAACACATGACAACCCAACTAAAACAATGTACTTTTTTTATTCTTTTATTTTTTTTCTCTTGACATATATTATCGTGATGCTTTTACAGGCAGGCTTTTCTTGAGATTATGGAGATCTTGGATAAGCGCATGAATGACAAAGGCAAAAATTGGCGACATGTTTTCAAGGTAAAACCTTGTCAATTATTTTCTCCTCACGTACTGGAACTTTTTTTTAAATAGTGACTCGGGACTTGGAGACAGCATGGCGTACAGAGCAGGAACTAAAGGCGCAAAGGCGGATGTATTGGAAGAATGGATCACGACAAAGATTATGAGCATTGAAGAGCTGGGACTAAAGAGCTCCCAAAAAAAAAAAGGGTGACCGAAATTCAATGAGCATTCCCAGTACCTAAGTAACATTATGTCTGCCCATACTACGCTTCTGCAGTAGTAGCAGTTGCTATTGCTGCAATACTTGGAGTCGAATTGATCAATCTATTTAGCTGCAAGTTCGATTGCCTAATTAATATCTTTTGACCTTTATCTAATCCACATGTATCATTTTTCGTCCGTTTATAGGCCTTGACTGTTCTTGACTATCTACTTCATGTTGGTATGTAGTCTTTGGAAAATTAAGTTATTTTAAAATCGATCGGAGGAAATGGGCTGTGGTGCGAGAAGGTTCAATTGTTTTACTAACACTAGAGTCTTATGCTTAAATTACAATCAATGTGATACAGGATCTGAGAATGTGGTCCGATATGCCCGTGAAAATATCTATATCGTCAAGACTCTTAAAGAGTTCCAGTATATCGATGAAGAAGGAAAAGATCAAGGATCAAATGGTATGTAGTGAGCATAATAGGGCCTCTGAAGCAGCTTCTGCTTAGTAGGTTCGCTCAAGCTACTTTAAGCTCGTCTCTCCTACTTTAGATCAACTAAGGTCTGCTAGGATATATGAATAGTTTTCTAATTTCATACTTCTTCATATTATTGCATATATATATATATATATCAATAATCGTCATTCTCTCTATAGTGCGTCAGAAAGCCAAAGATATTACAGCCCTACTCTCTGATGAGGCTCGATTGAAGGAAGAGCGACGGTCTCGTAATGCTATGCGTGACCGTATGAGCGGAAGGACATATGGAGACGATCATTCACCTGTCTATGAGCGTCCTGGAGCTATCGATGATGATCGTGACCTGCAGCGTGCGATCGAGGAGAGCAAACGTACCGCACGTGAATCCAGCCAGCGCAAAAGGTATCGCTATCAAAGTCCGAATGGACATTTAGTAAACTAATCGAGTTCTCCTCTTGTATGCGATCACTTACATTTCTTTTTTTTTTTTTTTTTCGCTATATAATGAAACAGTGAAGAAGACGATATCCAAAAAGCACTTGAGCTGAGCATGAAGGAGGAGGAGGACAGACGAAAGAATGTTGAAAAATACAACCAACTTTCATTGACAGAAGATTGGGAAGCAGATTCAAAGTATGCAAAAAGTCTAATGCGAAACATGTCTGGGTATTTTCTAGATGAATCGCTGCGGACCATCGGTAATTGATCTCTTATATGTTGCTCCTTTTGTTATTGCATTTAGGCCAGCGAATCAGTTTGAGCAGAACAATTTTGACTTTTTCGGTAATGACTTTGGCGGCCAAAACAATAATAATGGGAACAATCTTGATGCTTTCTCTTCCATGAATGGCTTCAATGGCAACAACAATGCTTTCCTTCAACAGCAACCCACTGGAATGAACAACCCCTACCTTCAGTTCCAACAGCAGCAGCTTCAGCAACAACAACTTCAACAGCAAGAATTAATGCGCCAGCAGATGTTGGAGCAACAGATGCAGCAACAGCAGCAGATGGCATTTATGAACTCGATAAACAACCCATATCAACAACAGCTGATGGTCCCTCAAATGACAGGAACACCTACAATTGGATCCAATAACCCATTCAGTGCTTTCGCTCAAAAGCCTGCCATGACGGGACAACCCTTCAATTCGAATGGCATGAGTGACTTAAATAATGGCCTCAATAATAATAATGGTTTGAATAGCAGCATGAGCAATGGATTTGGTAACAATGGATTTGGCAGTAATGGGTTTGGCAGCAACAGTTTCAACAGTGGAAGCAATACCAATAGCAGTAGCAATAATGCCAGCAACAATAATCCATTGGGCGATCTTGCTTTCCTCCAGAATACCATGACTGGATCACCTGCTGCTAACAAGGCTGTAAGCTTTTTGTTTTTATTTGTTTATTTACATCCTGCAGTGTGGATATATTAGCCATTTCTTTCAAGGACATGAACGTTGACGCTGACACGAGCATACTTTTATGTTTTTTTTTTTTTTTTATTATTATTTATTCTTCTTTGGCCATTATCAAAAATAGACTATAGCAAAGCCATCTAATCCAAATGACGAGAAATACTCTGCGTTAGCTATGGCACTTCAAAACCGCGAAGATGGCATGGATACTTTTGGAAATACAGGACAGCTTCGTATCCCAGCGTAAGTGTAGTTACCTTTATTTTATGACAATAGTGGGATGCTTATATTTCAATCATCTCACTTTCTGTACATAATTGCATTATTGCATGTTACTATTATGATAGTCACCATAGTTTCGGGTTAGGCAACCGTGGAGCCAACAACATAGGTGGAGGAAGTGCAGCCAATCCATTCCAAGGTTTCGGAGGCAACAGTAACACCAGCAACTCGTTGATCGACGTTGGTGATACCTCGCTTGGTCGCAGCAATAGCAACAACCCTTTCCAGGCGCAGGCGACTGGCTTTGGCAACAATAACACCTTTGGACAGTCTACAAACATGAACGGCGGAGCTTACAGCAGCAACACCCTGTTTTAAGGAAACAGACAAACAAAAAAAAAAAAAAAAAAAAAAAAAAGAGAAGAAAAGCATATGAAAAGATATGATATGATCAGAAGTAATGCTATTAGTAACGATACATTTTTGTTTTATTTTTGCTTTTTCTCCAGCGAGAAGGGAGAAGGAGTTATCTTTTTTTTTTTCTCGTAAATGAAAACACTTTTATGAACCTGTGTAAAATAAACAAATTCCCAACAACAGTTATGATTTGTGGCTTGGAATAAATAGCTTTTTTTTTTTTTTTTTTTTTTTTTATTGCAAAAGTCTGTGCGTCCTACTTTTTCTGCTCCTTCATTCCACACTGCATTACATTGACTCACCCACCATGAGCAACCGCATTCTACAGGCTGGGGCCTCTGACGACGCTGCAGCGGCCATCAACGCCAGACGTCAGTCGACCTATTCACAGGCATATACTCAGTCTGAATATTCAGAGTCTGAGTTTGGTGATCAAGGTATCAATCGGTCCACATCTGTATAAAGCTATAGAAGTTAAAGATAAAAAATCATAGGGATGAATTATTACAATATTGTAGAGCTGAGACTAGTGATCCATTCTGGATAGTATTGATACCAATTTATGATTAAAAGGATCCTAATTTTTTTTTTTTCTTTCAATGTATTTATTACCTTGCTCCTAACCTAGATAACACATGGGATGATTGGGAGGAAGATGAGATGTCATCAAGTGAACCCAAATGCTTGTTCTGTCCCGAAAGCTTTCCATCTGCACGTGAGGTCTTTCTTCATTGTCATCAAATCCACGGGTTTGATTTTTTAAAAAGTCGGCAACGATTGAATTTAGACTTTTATCAATCAATTCGCCTGATCAATTATCTCCGTCAACAAGCTGCTACAGTTGAAGGGTTTGATCAGACCAAAGAATGGACATTGGATGGGAAGGAAGCCTTCCTAGCGGATGATGAGTATTTAAGACCGGTGATGGAGGATGATTCATTGTTGTATGCATTTGAGGATCTGGAGATCGAAGACGACGACGACGATGATGATCGTCATGGATCACGGGAACAGAGTCAATACCAAAATCAGGATGATTATCATGAGCATGGTACAGGATTTAACAGCAAGAATAAGGCAAAGATGACAGAGTTTTTAATGCCTCAAGGAGATGTCAAGAGGATGGAGCGATCTGTTTATGAAGATATTGAACCGACAACAGAGTTGGAGGCCAAATTATTGAGACAATTGCGTCAGGCAGAAGAGAGGATGTTTGCACTACAAGTTCAGTTACATAACACCGAGGCTCAGTTTTTGGAGTACAGAGCTAGAGTCAAGGAATCATTTTTTGACACATTGGAGGATGCAACTGCCAGGAGTGTTGTTTCTGATATTCCACAATTATCATCTCGTCGAGAGGATGGTGTTGTGATTAAAGCAGATGATAATGGTGGTAATGGAGGAAAGGTGAATGTGCCTGTGGATGAAGGCAATTATTATTTCAACTCATATTCGCATTCGGATATTCATCAACAGATGTTGAATGTAAGTAAAAGTGGAGACAATAAACATATATTAGCAGGAGAGAGAGGAAGAGGGGGAAGAGGAGGGAAAGAGTTTCAGGAAAGGAATATGTGTTGATCATGGCTTTTTTTTTTTTTTTTTTTTTTTTTTTCATTTATTTATTTATTAATTTTCTTTTATAATATTTATATTTGTGAACTACAAGGATCGTGTGAGAACAGAAGGCTACAGAGATTTTATTTATGAAAACAAGGACATTTTCAAGGGTAAGACTGTATTGGATGTAGGATGCGGAACAGGCATCCTGTCTATGTTTGCAGCTCGAGCAGGAGCAGCCAAGGTGATCTCAGTCGATAACTCGGATATTATTGAAAAAGCAAAATTGAACGTTATTGAGAATGGGCTCCAAGATGTGATCACACTGGTCCGGGGTCGGATCGAGGAGATTGATCTACCTTGCCAATACGTTGATATTATTATCTCAGAATGGATGGGTTACTTTTTGTTGTATGAGGCCATGTTGGACTCGGTTCTGGTAGCCAGAGACCGTTTCTTGGCTCCTGGAGGCATCTGTAAGTTTACTTTTTCTGTCTTACTACTGTTATAACTGTCCTGTTGGTCTGTTTGTTTGTATTAATCTTTTTTTTTTTTTTTTTTTTTTTTTGTTTTTTTGTTTTTTTGTTTTTTCTTTCCTCCTTCCTAATTCCTTCTTTCACATACACAGTGGCACCTTCGCAAACAAGGATTCTTTTCACTGCTTCATCGGACGAGTCCTTTTTGAATGACAGTATCCACTACTGGAACGATGTATATGGATTCAAGATGTCATCTATGAAAGAAGACGGCAAAGTTCTTCAAGAGGCCGTTGTGGATTATATTTCTCCAGAGACAATTGTCACCAACACAGTAGCGATCAAGGATCTACCCCATCAGACGATTACAGTGGCAGGATTGGATTTTGTATCAGATTTTGAACTGGAGATGCAACAAGATGATCAAGTATGTGTGTTTGTAGGCTATTTTGATACATGGTTCACACGAGATGGTCGAGATGTACCCATGGATATGGGGATTTCAAAGGAGGAGCTGAGACGACATGGAATGAATGGATTCACAACAGGACCTGTGTCGACAAGAGCAGAGGAAACTCATTGGAAGCAAACAGTGTTTGTGCTGAAGAAACCGATTGTGATGAAGAAGGGTGACAAGATCAAGGGAACATTCTATTGTACCAAGAACCAAAAGAATCCTCGAGCATTGGATCTTCGTATTGTATATGAAGTGATCCGAGGAGAAGGGACGACAACAGTTAATTTGAAAGAAAGGGAAATAGAAAAGGCGGACTTGACCTTCTTCCTTCGTTAAAGCCATTTTTTTTTTGTATTTACATGCATAAACATTTATAAAAAACTTTGACTATTCATTCACGACGTTTTTTGTGTATTGTAAGCGGTTATAGTATGCATTGCATGAACAACGACAACGTGGCAAGAGCAATCTATCTTTTTTTTTTTTTTTTTTTTTTTTTAATGTCTAGGATAGGAAACGATCTAAAGAAAACAAAAAGATTGATAATAATGCTACATGAAATGGAATCAATTGATCAATGATAATGCCTTTTTTTTTTTTTTTTTTTTTTTTTTTTTGTTCTCCATGTTTTTGTTTTAGTAAAGGCCACTGTCTGAGCGCTGTTTGACGTTCTTCTTTCCTTTCTTATGTTTCTTGTTTCCAAGTGCACCAGCAACACCTCCTTCGACCCCCATATCTGCCAAGTTTTGAGCGACCATTTGCATCCTCATCTTTCTAGAGACATAGCCTTGATTGTCTGTTTGTTGTTGATGGGGATACATTTGGACACGAGTCATGCCTTTGGAGAGATCAACTGCAGTCTTGCCCTTGACTTTAGGCAAGTACGAAGTAGAGGGAGCTTGTTTAAAGAAAGTGTTGTCAATGGCTGTGGTCTTGCCTGTACCCGATCCAGTGTGAGACAAGGGTGTGACAGAGTTCATGTTGATGTAGGTTGAAGCATTAGCGGGAAGACGACTTGTGGGTAATTGTTTACGCTTCTTGAATCGATCGAGTTGGTTATGCTCCTGGTTGAATTCAATAGAATCTACACCTGGAGGAGGCGTGCAGTAAAGCAATTTTCCCTAATAATAATAATAATAAAACAAAAAATATATGAAAAAAAGGTCCTTGGAAAGACTAGTACATTTATATATTCATGGTCATTCTCAACAAAAAAAGGAAAAAAAAAAAATTACTTACATTGACATAATCCTTCAAAATGTAACGGGCAGCGCGAGATTCATCCGGGTTACCTTGACCGGCTTTTGTAAATCCACGGGCAACAGCGTAGGCAATCAAGAATTCTTCTGCAGTGGGTACACCAGTTCCTCCTTCTTCCTCACTCAGGACTGCGATCTTGATACCATAGATGGCCTCAAGAACTTCCTTTGGGATCCTCTTGGCGACCAAACCAACTGATCCTGTAAACTCACGCAATTGATCGATTGGCAAGACACCATTACAGACCATGTCTCCCTGTGTGGTTGCAAACGAAGGGAACACCAGTCCGGGACAATCGCAAAGAATCATCTTGGGTGTCAAATGAATCGTTTGGAAATGTTTGGTCTTTCCTGGTGTGGACGAAACAGAGACAGCATGCTCACCCAGAAGGGCGTTGATGGTGGAGGATTTACCAACGTTGGGATAACCGACGAGACCAATGGACATGATCCCATTCAGTGGGTTCCGAGGATCATCAATGATGGGAGTCTCCTTGAGGAAGAGCTGATAGAGTTCTTTGGTGTCACGGATACGGGTGCGCTCATCGTCCTTCTCGGTTTCTTTGATAGCTTTCCAATGAGAATGTGTCTTGTTGGGTTTATCTTCTGTATCTTCTTCTTCTGTATCTTCTTCTTCTGTATCTTCATCATCTTCATCATCATCTTCTTCTTCCTCCTCCTCCTCTTCCTCCTCTTCTTCTTCCTGCTGTTCATCCTGATATTTAGTAGTAGTAGTGATAGCAGTAGTGGTAGTAGTAGCAGTAGTAGCTTCAGACGATGAAGAATCTTCAACAGCCTTGCTTGTCTTCTCTTCAGTATCCTTTGCGGAGCTGTCGTTTTCTTTTTGTGCTTTTTCATTTTCATCATCAACAACATCATAGTCTGCTTCATCTTCACCTTCATCCTCATCCTCATCATCCATGTAATCCGAATTGGCAGCCTTCATCTCCGCCAGTTCTTGAGCCAGAGCTTCAATTTTATCCTTCTCGGCCTGTTCCTTATCCAGTCTTTCTTTTGCTAAAGCGGCGGAGAAGAAAGTATAACGGATGCCTTCGGAATCAAAGTAATCAGCCCATTTTTTACGTTGTTGAACTGTCAGATAATCGGCCTTGTTGATCAATAAGAGATTCTTTTTACGAGGGTCGACTTGTTGAACATAGATTTCCAAATCAGTGGATCTGAAGAACAAAGGGTTACGAGCATCGACGATTTGAACGACCAGATGAGAACGTTCGATGACACGCCAGAGTTGACGCCAGACCTCGATATTACGTTCAAAGGGGGTCAAGAGTAAGGATTCACGTTCCGCCAAGGTGGCAAGGGAACGACGCCAGTCCAAGAAGGATTGACGTTCCATCCGTTGAAGTTCTGAAGCAGTTGTGGTGGAAGTCCAAGGGGGGCGACGAGGAACTGTAAGTTCTTTTTTGAATTCTTTGTGTTTGGCGAGGGTTTCTTTTTCCTTGTCAGCAGAGAGCATGAATGGGTTTTCATAATGGTTGGAAATGACTTTGATGTTCAGTTTTTCTGTTTTTTTTTTTTTTTTTTTTTTTTTTTTAAAAAAATAAAAAAATAAAATAATTGGATGTATTAGCATTATAAATCAATCAAGAAAACAGAAAACCCAAGCAATATTGGATCAGTATTATATTGTTATGTGTTATTGTCAAAAAAAACAAAAAAGTTTTACCTGCAGTGAATTCTGTACCAGCCAATTCTGCGGTACTTAAGAAAGACTCAAGATCGCCCTCCTGTGTGACGGATTGGAGACGAGTCCAACTGGCACCATCATCAATATCAGCTGAGTGCTGTGGGAAAAATAAGAAAAAGGCTCTCAATGGATTAGATATAAGAATAAACGAGCCATTTCAATGATGTCAATTGAAACCCTTCTTTTCCTTTTTTTTTTTTTTTTTTTTTTTTTGTTAATATGTCTTTATACACAGATATAAACGTACAAGGCGCTCGTCCCCGTCTTTTGGTCTGCTACGGCCTTTGAAGCGTGCCTTAATGAGGGCATTGCCTAGACCAACGTTCTTTTTGCTTTTTGGGAGTACCATGAAGAATGGGGAGGAGTAGAAAGGAAGAAAGGAGAGATAGATAGAGAGAGAGGAATGAAATGAAAGAAGGAAGGAAGGAATGTATGCGGAATGGAAGAAATATGAGAAATGGAGATGCTTTTCAAATAATGATATCCTTTCTCTCTGCCTGACTAATCATTACTTCGCTGCGGCAAACAAACACACAAAAAAAAAAAAAAAAAAAAAAATCAACAAACATTTTTAGGACTGGTTATATCACGTGGTTTTAATTAAAAATGAAAGACGCGTATTTACAACTGTTGGACAAAACAATAAACAAACTTGTTTGAGTTTACAGGGACGAGTTGGTTCTGGCTCAAAGAAGAAAAAAAAAAAAAACACGTCCTGCCTGCTCTTCTCTTCTGGTCTCTCCCCTCCCCCCCTTGTCTCTCCTCTCTCTCTGTCTCTGTATCAAACAGGCTTCAAATTAACCATGGCTAGTATTGGATGGGACGCTGGGCGCATTCACACCGCTCAGGTGCTGCCTCCACAACAGGACGAAGAGCAGGCCACTATGGACAGAGTGCAGGAGATGTTCTATGCCTTCATCCAACAGTTTCACATCAATGGCGTCTACATTTACCGGTAACAAAACACAATGGCAATTAAAAAAAAAAAAAAAAAAAAAAAAAAAAAGTCATGTTGTCCGGCAAAGTAGAAATTCATTCATCTCTTTTTATTGCATTGCTTCGCATTGTGTTTTTTTAGTGATCAGTTGCGTCAAAATATTATGCTCAAACGCAATCTGCTGGAGGTGGATATGGGTGATTTGATCTCTTTTAACCAAGAACTGGCTCATAATCTCTCTCAGAGACCTGCAGACTTTTTGCCTTTGGTATGTCGTTCATGGACAGGAGTATTCATTCACTGCAACAATGCAACAATGCAACAATACAACACAACAGCATTGGTGATACTGATGGAAAACACGAATAGAAGAATAGCTGAATGCGCCTGATACTGATTTTTTTCTTTTTCTTCTTTTACCATGGGCATGGATGGTGGTAAAATCTATTGGAAAATGTTAGTTTGAAAGTGCTGTCAAGCAGCATGCCAAGAGAATTTTGTATACCAATGCAGCCATTGATGTGGAGATGGACGACTTCCAAGTAACTCTTCATTCAAGCGCCAACCTGATCAAGATTCGTCACCTTAATGTAATTTGCTGCACCCACACTTCTCTTTGTGATTCCTCATTGAGTGCAATGAAGCATACCTCAATTTTTTTTTTCTTTTTTCTTTTGAAGAAGAACATCATATCATGGAATAACCAAATTACCTTCCTTCCCCTCGCCTCCAATCAAACAGGCCAATAGCATTTCCAAATTGATTCGTATTTCGGGCATCATTATTGCTGCATCGCCTCTGACGTCCAAGGCCACAGCTCTGCAGATCCGATGCAAATCCTGTTCAAAAACGAAGCGCATCCCTATTCAAGCTGGATTTTCAGGAATCAGCATGCCTCGCACTTGTGACCTGTATGGCAATAGAGCTTTTTCTTCTTTTTTTTTTTCTTGGTCGAATTTGAAGTATTGTTCAACATTAAATAGGACTCAAAGAGGAGACGCACGCTAATATTATTTCATTTATTTTGTAATTTCCAGAAATATGGACGCAGAAGCCAACCCATCAGGATGCGGTTTGGATCCATATGTCGTTGACCATGACAAGTCAAAGTGTGTAGACCAGCAGGTCTTGAAGCTACAGGAAGCACCCGATGATGTGCCAGTTGGAGAGTTGCCTCGTCATGTCTTGTTGAGTGCTGATAGAGAGTTGACAAACCGTGTTGTCCCTGGATCCAGAGCTACTATCATGGGTATCTACTCTGTTTTCCAAAACAAGTCCGGCGTACGTATTCTTTCGAATGTCTTGGTTTTTTGATACCAATGGTGCTGACCTGTGTGATTAAAGCTTAGTTGAATATCGGTGTCTTTTTTGTTCATTAGAAAGGAAATGCTATTGCTATTCGCACACCATATATCCGCGTTGTTGGAATCAGAACAGATACAGATGCCACGGGTCGCAGAAGAACTTTCACAGACGAAGAGGAGGAAGAATTCATTGCCATGTCTCGTGAGCCTGGTCTCTATCAAAAATTTGCCAACAGTATCGCACCATCTATCTTTGGCAATCATGGTCAGACACAGATTTTTTTTATATATATTTTTTATATTTTTTTTTTTTTAGACGTTCTGAATTGTGTATCTGACTCGATATGTTCTCCTTTCGTTATACTTCAACCGTATTGCCAACAGATATTAAGAAGGCTATCTCGTGCTTACTCTTTGGCGGATCAAAAAATGTGTTACCGGATGGAATGAAACTTCGTGGAGACATCAACGTTCTACTGCTCGGAGATCCAGGTACAGCAAAATCACAGCTGCTCAAGTTCGTAGAGAAAGTCGCACCCATTGCTGTTTATACTTCGGGAAAGGGTTCCTCGGCCGCTGGTTTGACAGCATCTGTAGTCCGTGAGCCCTCAACACGCGAGTTCTATCTTGAAGGAGGCGCCATGGTGCTTGCTGATGGAGGAGTGGTCTGTATTGATGAGTTTGACAAAATGAGAGATGAGGACAGAGTTGCGATTCACGAAGCTATGGAGCAACAGACCATCTCTATTGCCAAGGCCGGTATTACTACTATTCTCAACTCTAGGACATCAGTGCTGGCAGCAGCCAATCCCGTTTTTGGACGATATGACGATATGCGCTCCGCAGGCGAAAACATTGATTTCCAGACAACTATCTTATCTAGATTCGATATGATTTTCATTTTGAAGGATGAGCATAATGAGAGCAGAGATATGACCATTGCGCGACATGTTATGAATGTTCATATGGATCGACCCAGCGAAACCGCGGCAAGTGAGATCAGCATTGAGAAGATGAAGAACTATATTAGCTACTGCAAGCTCAAATCTGCACCACGTCTTACAAAACAAGCATCTGAGAAGCTCAGTAGTCATTTTGTGGGTATTCGCTCAACTGTGGGACATATGCAGGATATGGAGGGCATTAGGACATCAATCCCCATCACAGTCCGCCAGCTTGAGGCTATCATTCGTATCTCGGAATCGTTGGCCAAGATGACATTGTCTCCTCGTGCCACAGAGGAGCATGTTGACGAAGCAATCCGTCTTTTCAAATTTTCGACCATGGACGCCGTCAATGCTGGAACCAGTACGTATCATCAATGCAATGATTTTTATTTTTTATTAGCACTTCTATGTTCTTTCATCAGTAGATAAAATGATTATTATCTGATACAAAATTGTTGGAAACGTGCTGTAGTGGATGGACAGAGCCGTCAACAGGGAGCACAAGAAGTGCGTCAAGTGGAAGATGCAATCCGCCGTCGTGTGGCTATCGGATCTCAGATCCCTACAGCCATCCTCATCCGTGAGTTGGAATCACAAGGATTCAATACACGCAATATCGAGCGAGCCATCTTTATGCTGGAACGACAGGAAACATTGCAATACACCAACATGCGCAAGAGTTTGCGTCGTCAGCGCATGTAGATATGATCTTATAGCAAACACATTCAAACAAACTACAAAAATAAAATATAATTTAATTCGAAAAATTGGGCTAGGGCTTGTGACATTACCCCTTAATTTCCGAAGCAATGGTGGTACACGACCAGAGCGAGCTTTCATTCCTTCCTTCCTTACGCGTCCACGTCTCTTAGTTCTCTTTCTCTCACTCTTTACTCTAAATACATTACCTCTATTTTTTCCTCGCTGCTACACGAAATCAGCTCTTGAAGGACCCAAAACATCCAACCAAGCAATAGCGCGGGATCTATAAGTTCAGTAATATAAACAGAGGAAAAGCATACTTGGACACTTTCACCGAAAACAAAATTCAAACATGAGGAAAGGGTTCTTCTCCGGAGTGTTGATGGGTATTGCACTGCTCGCAACTACTACCATAGTCAGAGCAGATGATGATGATGATGATGGCGTGCATCCCCTCCGTACTCATTCCATTTACATGCCATACATCGGTAAGAGCTTTTTCTGTCATCAGATCATACCTGTAGTGCATCATGAAGGCTTTTGTCATAGTAAAGAAAAAGAAACAAAAAAAGTATTCTTAAAGGCAGTGAGAAAGAAGAAAGGATGGTGTATACTACGAATGTTCCTTTTTTTTTTTTTTGCATTCACGTCATCTCGCGTGTTTCTTTTTTTGTGTTCATGGAGGTTAAGAGATCACTTCTAGTGTGTGTATGAACGTATGAAGATTGAGCCCAATAAAACGAGCAAGCATGCTATCAGGTAAACTATTTTTAACATTTTTTTCTTTATCTTTGCTTTTTAGATCAGGATTTACAGAACCGTTGGTTTGACTTTGGAGGCGATGCGCTTATTAATACGAACAAGCACGTCCGTCTCACTAGCGATGTCCCCTCACAGACGGGATATCTATGGAGTCGCCTTGTAATGAAAAACTGGAAGCAAATCTCTTTGCTTTTGCTATCTTTAATTGCATACAAGTCCCAGTCCTACAAAAAATCTGACAATTGCACTTTTTTTTTTTTTTTTTTTTTTTGTTGTTAACAAAAAAAGCCTATTACAGCAGCCAACTTCCAGGTCGAATTCGAGTTCAAGGTGGATGGCAAGAGCGATGGACTTTGTGGCGACGGTTTTGCAGTATGGTTAACGAAGGAACATGGAGAGATGGGTCCTGTTTTTGGAAACCGTGATAATTTCGAGGGCGTGGGTATTTTCTTTGATACCTATGCCAATTCTCGACAAGCAGTAAGAAGAAGAAAAATTCTAATCAACACTATTGAACGTAAAACGATCAGTCTACTTTTCTTTCTCCTTTTCTTTGTTGTACAAAGTAATAACTTCTGTGTTTTATAACCTTTGTTCTAATGCATTTAGCACTCGTTCCCATTTGTGATGGCCATGGTTGGTGATGGCCGAACGAGCTATGACAATGCGAATGACGGTCAACCTAATAATGTTGGATCATGCGAAGTGGATTTTAGACGTAAGGATATTCCTACCAAAGGCAGGATCACATACTATCGTGAGAGCGGCACCCTTACTGTAAGTTTCTATTGGTTCTAAAAAAATGGTTCTTTGGAGGCTGTTCAATGTTGTCACTCAAAAGGCATGGAAACGAGTATTAGTTAGGAAGGCAAGGATTATTTGATGTACTCACTTTTACTTTTTTTTTCTCTTCTTTAGTTCCAAATTCAGACTGTCGCATGGGACCAGTGGGATCCCTGCTTCACATTGTACGACGTCAAATTGCCTCCACTCTCGTATCTTGGCTTCACAGCTGTCACGGGAGAAGTTCATGATAATCACGACATTATCTCTGTTACGACCAGTACTATGGCAAAGGCTGGTTATTCACAGAAGGTAAGAAAAGAAAAAGAAAAAAAGGTACTAAGACAGATATTATTCCAAACCATTCCTCTCTTCTAAACTTTTTTTTTTTTTTTTTTTTTTTTTTTACGTGTTTACAGCAAGCAAACAATAATACGCCTCCTCCTCAGAAAAAGACTGGCGTGATGTGGTATCTCAAGTTCTTGGCGGCTTGTGGTGTCTTTGTTGCTCTGATCATGGCCTTTAAACTGTCCAAAAACAGCAATGGCGGTAGTAAGCATTTCTAAACAAACACAAAAGGTGTCTTTTTGGGACAAATTCGACCACAGCAAAATCAATTTCATTCAGTTGAATTAGTTGAAATAAAATTTTTTATATTTTTCTTTACACGGTTCCATTTACATTCATGACATGTAAAAGGAAAGATTCTTTTATACTTGTGTTGAAGCAAAGTAAACATCTTGGAACTGAAGGATTTTTATTTTCATACTTTATTTACACTTTTTTTTTTCTGTCTGCATCATTCACATTCATCTCACTAGAGATTTTGGTGTGATAAAAAAGGAAATAGTAAAGGATATAGTAAAAAAAATAATAGGTACTGTACAGAAAAAGTATATGAAAAATGCAAGGTTAAAAAAATATATATATTTTAAAAGTCGGCGTCGAGAGTAAAAGTGTTGGCGCTCTTGTCTGCAGCAGAAGCAGACATGACACCAGCCTTCTGGTAATCCGAGACACGCTTCTCAAAGAAGTTGGTCTTGCCCTGAAGAGAGATCAAGTCCATAAAGTCAAAAGGATTCTCAACATTGTAATGTTTTGGGTTTCCGAGCGCGACCAAGAGACGATCGGCCACAAACTCAATGTATTGTTTCATCAACTTGGCATTCATACCAATCAACATCACAGGGAGAGCATCGGTCAAGAACTCTTGTTCGATCACAACAGCCTCTGTAATGATAGCATTGACACGTTTTTGGTCAGGACGAGATCTCAACAATGAGAACAATAAGCAGGCGAAATCAGTGTGGAGACCCTCATCACGCGAGATGAGTTCGTTGGAGAAGGTCAGACCAGGCATGAGACCACGCTTTTTGAGCCAAAAGATGGAAGCGAATGCGCCAGAGAAGAAGATGCCTTCAACAGCAGCAAAGGCGACCAAACGTTCAGCAAAGGTTGCGTCCTGGTCAGAAATCCACTTCATGGCCCAGGCAGCCTTCTTGCGAATGCAAGGAACTATAAAAAAAAACACAAAATAAAATAGAATATGTTTTGTTAGGACAAAAAAAAAAAGTGTGGATTACTTGGGCTGAGCTCAAAGAAAAAAAGAAAAGGAAAAAAAAAAATTCAGGTACGCAACCACAAACTAATCAAACTAGTTTTGCGTACAGACAATTGTTTTTGCTTTAAAAATTTAAAAAACGCGGTACTTCAATAACACAATAACACAATAACACAAGCCATTAGAACCTCATTGGAATGAGAAAAGGGGAGGGAAGGAGAATGAGGAGAGGATGAACAATGCAGAAAAAAAAAAATTAAAAAAAAGTCCCTCCTTCATAAATTGACACTTACTAGTATCGATGGCATCAAAAAGATGGTCGCGTTGAGCAGGTTCTTTGACATAGGTGTCAATGAGAAGAGAGTACATCTCTGAATGAACATTCTCAATCATGATTTGGAAGCCATAAAAGCATCTTGCTTCAGGGATCTGGACCTCATTCGAGAAACGTTCCAAGAGGTTCTCATTCACAATACCATCGCTAGCAGCAAAGAAGGCCAGGATGTGTGAAACGAAGAATCGTTCATCTTCTGTCAAACGGTTTTCCCAGTCATGCATGTCCTTGGAAAGATCTACTTCCTCAGCAGTCCAGAAGGATGCTTCAGCCTTCTTGTACATCTGCCAGACCTCATGGAACTTGATGGGGAAGAGAACGAAACGACGAGGATTAGGCCTGAGAAGAGGTTCGTCTTGTTCAGACATCTTGAGGTCATTCATCTTGGCGGCAAGAGAAGCAGCAATTTGGAGATCAGCGTCTTGAGTCTTGGAAACAACAGTCGTGGCAGGGGTGGTAGCAGTAGTGGCCATAGTGAAAAAGAAAGATTGCTTTATAAAATATTAATGACAATCGTTATGGTAATAAAAGAAGAAAAAAAAAAAAAAAAAAAAAAAAAAAGCTTTGAGTGAGTGAGTGAGTGAGGATTATGACTGGTAAAGAAGGAGGTGTGAAGTGTGGGTAGATCAGTCGTATTTGAAAGAAGGTTATTTGTCTAAATGAGGATTAATGAAAAGAGGAGGAGTTGAAGAAAAGAGCGAAGAAGAGGAGCGTATTTTATAGACAAAAGAGAAGAGAACGCGTCGAGATTGATAAGTGCAAAATGTAAATAAACAAACATTAAAGACGCGGTTTTTTAAGAGAATCTTAAGCAGCACGACTAAAAGTTAAGTTATGTTGATGCGTAGCACGTACGATCATTTAGAAAGACATAACAAAGGGCAAAGGAGTCCAATTGCGCGGACGAAAAATGTAATTAAGCCACAAAAGGAAATTGCCTTCGTATTGAACACAAGATTTACGCCCGTTAGAAGTGTGTGCCCATCTCAATAAAAAATACTTAATAATGAACTCATCATACGATCATACTATTCATGGTTGATTGGGATTGTGCCCAGCCGTTTTTTTAAGATTCATGATCAAGATACCCACTGATACACTGGGAGGCTTGGGCTTGAGCAGATAAGATCGAAAAAAAAAAGAAAAGTATCCCACATCCTCTTTGCAACGCAATATGACGCAGTACCTCATTATTGCTTTTTTTTTTTTTACTCTCTATCAAAACTCACCTCTTGACTGATTCCCAAACCGTACTGTTGTGGTTGATTCCTCGACAGCGGAATAGGTCGCTGCACTGAATATTATTAATTTGTAATAAATATTTAACAAAGAACGAGCGAGGGTAAAATCTACAAGTGGTGAAGGTCTGAAGGAGTTGTTCGTCGGGTTCTTTCGGTTTATTGCCTTATATTTATAGATATAAGACCTACTGGTGGTGGCTTTTAATATATTTGATTTTGCCTTGTTTCGCCACCAATCTCTTGAAAACTTCTACTGCCTAGTGGGCAAAGCCGATCAGTGACACAGCCAAGCTTGGGCTTGGTCCGTGCCAAAGCCAATTTTGTGACTATCAATATGAACACCAGAATTCAAGCCACTAAAGAATCTGGCCTTACTTCAGCACCTGCATGTCCCCTAACAAAACTCCACCATCCCATCCCATTCATTTCAATGTCTGACTTAGAGCATCAGATCGCCATCGATCTCTCAAGAGCACTCAATCTAGTCAATGCGAATGACTTGCTCGCAAGACAGGTCATTCAGATTGCACGGAATCATAAACAGGCCAACGGCTTCGTCAAAGGTAATAAAAACAGCACACGAAACAAAGCTTTAGTTCCTATTGTCTTTTAAAATTTCACAACCTTTTTCACTGCCTTTCATCTCCTTTAAAAGTGCACTAATACTAAGCTCAAAATACTGTTGTTATATTATGGGTTTTATAGCATGCGCAGCTTTTGGCAAATTCAAAGATGAGTTTTTGTTCGACGTATACACAAAAGTTCAGAACCATGATCGAGAATTTGGTGTCAATGGTCCTGCTGGAACAAGTAAACCAGGATCAAATAATGTCAGTAATGGGGGGCGAGATGATCCAAGGAGCAAATCAAACGATGCAGTGGAATCATCTGTTGCCATGACCAACTTTACGCGAGCTTATGATGATGAAGAGGAAGCAGCACCGGCCCCTACTTTGCCAGGAGGGTTGATCATCAAGAAGAAGAAGACTGCAGTGGATGACCAACATGTCTTTAAAGCACCTGCGCTCCCTCCAGGTGTATCACGCTTTGGCCTCGACAAATTGGCCAAAGAAAAACGAGAAGAACGAGAACGTGCAGCAGCAGCGGCGGCGGCGGCGACGGCGGCTGCTAGTGGCGACAGTCGTAGTGAAAAACCATCAGAGTCCAAAAAGATCAGACTACAGGTTGAGGAAGAGTTGATAAATGGAGATAGTCTATCTGATGCACAGGAAGATACCCGAGATGTAGAGATGGATAGTAAAGCGAAGGAGGGCAATTCAGAAAAACCGTTCATTCGGCGAGGAGTCCAACCGCAGTACAGAACTAAGCGCATGGAGACACCATCTCATCATGGCGGTGTCAATCAGGAAGCATTGCGTCGTGCAGAAGAAAGAAAACAACGTGACAGAGGTCGTGGAGGTTTGTATGACAGAGCCCAGGATAGACGTGACGAAGACAGAGATAGGAATAGAGATAGAGGCAGAGATAGGGATCGGGATAACGACAGATACGGTCGTACTGATTCAAGGTCAAGTCGAGATAAAGAATGGGTTCGTGATCGGGACCGATACAAAACAATCGATAGGGATGACAGAGACAGACGTGATGATAGAGAGAGAAGACATACTGAAAGGCGCGATGATCGTTTCCGTGAGCCTGCTACCCCACGGAGAAATGACTTTACAGAGCCTCGTACCCAACGTTCCAACAGGAGCGAATGGGATGCCACGCCTGCAAGGACAGGTCGCGACACTGATAGCTTCTTGCAGGGTGGATTAACGCCAAGACGAGGTAAGTAGTGGTTACTTAAGAATTCAACCAAAAAAAAAAAAAAAAAAAAAAAAGAGAGAGAGAGAGAAGCTATATTTTACGCAGACCATTAATATTGATTTTCTGATTCCAATAGACTATAGGCCGCCTACACAGAGTAGAGGGACATCTGACTGGGATACGTTTACACCGCGCGTCTCTTCGTCAGGTTATAATGATGCAATCGATACCTTCCCTGATGATGACCTTGAGGATGTTCCTGACAAAGATGAATGGGAGAGTGAGCAGCGTCAGGTTGATAGAGATTGGTATAGCATGGAGGAAACTGGAGGCGCTATGGATGACATTCATAATCCTTTTGCAGACTACGAGGAGCATGATGCTAAAAAGGAAGAAGAATTGGAAAAAAAGCAGATGAAGAAGATTTCTGCGCGCCAAGCTCAATATAATAAGGACAATGAAATGTGGGAGACTAATCGAATGCTGACTTCAGGTGTCTATCAGCGCAAGGAGGTGGATACAGATTTCGAAGATGAATCTGAGGCGAGAGTGCATTTACTTGTGCACGATATCAGACCACCATTCCTTGATGGCCGTGTTGTTTTTACAAAGCAAGTAGAAGCAGTTCAGTCTGTTAAAGACCCTACGTCCGATATGGCTGTTTTTTCAAGAAAGGGCAGTGCTCTTGTTCGAGAGAAACGTGAGCAGGCAGAGAGGATGAAAGCGGCACCGAAATTCCAAGTTGCTGGAACAGCCCTTGGTAATGTCATGGGACTTGAGAATCCTGAAGAGAAGGCGCAACAGGAAGCGGAAGCAGCTGCAGCGAAAGTTAAGGAAATGACTGATGAAGATGACAACATGGATGGCAAGGGCGATTCTCAATTTGCATCTCATTTAAAGGCATCAGAGGCTGTCAGTGCATTCTCAAAGTCAAAATCAATCAAGGAGCAGCGCCAGTACTTGCCTGCATTCGCAGTAAGAGAGGAGCTCATGCGGGTAATTCGTGACAATCAAGTGATTGTTGTAGTTGGAGAGACTGGTTCTGGTAAAACCACACAGTTGACGCAGTTCTTACATGAAGACGGATATAGCACATTTGGAATGATTGGTTGCACACAACCTCGCCGTGTTGCGGCCATGTCTGTCGCTCGTCGTGTCGCAGAGGAAGTTGGTTGTAAACTTGGGACTACTGTTGGATATGCAATCCGTTTCGAAGATGTTACTTCATCAGAGACTGTGATCAAATACATGACAGACGGGGTGTTGCTTCGCGAATCTATCCGTGAAGGCGATTTAGATCACTATTCTGTCATCATTATGGATGAAGCCCACGAGCGGTCGTTGAATACAGATGTCTTGATGGGATTAATGAAGAAAATTCTGGCTCGGCGGCGCGACTTGAAATTGATTGTCACTTCAGCAACTATGAATGCAGACAAGGTAAATTATTCACTCCACTAATGCTAGGTGCTTTTCTTTTTTTTTTTTTTTTTTTTTTTTATTTTTTTATAAATATATGGTTGGCTGCAAACTTATATGAAGGATATGCTATTCTTTCATTGTTTTTCAAATAATTTTAGTTCTCGTCTTTTTATGGAAACGCAGCTACGTTCACTATCCCTGGACGCACTTTTCCTGTCGATATCATGTTCAGCAAAGTGCCTTGTGAGGACTATGTAGATAGCGCTGTCAAGCAAGTGCTTGCAATTCACCTTGGGCAGCCTGCTGGAGATATCCTTGTGTTCATGACCGGACAAGAAGATATCGAAATCACTTGTCAGGTCATCAATGAGCGGTTAGCACAGATCGACAATGCACCGCCATTGTCCGTCCTACCTATCTATTCACAAATGCCAGCAGATCTGCAGGCCAAGATTTTTGAACCTGGCGAGAACAATGCCCGCAAGTGTGTTGTAGCGACTAATATCGGAGAGACTTCACTTACCATTGATGGTATTTTATATGTGGTTGATGCTGGATATGTAAAATTGAAAGTCTTCAATCCCAAGATCGGTATGGATTCGCTTCAAATTACACCTATCTCACAAGCAAATGCTAATCAACGGTCAGGCCGCGCTGGACGTACGGGGCCAGGAACGTCATGGCGATTATACACAGAGCAAGCATTTGTATATGAGATGTTTCAGAATCCGATTCCTGAAATTCAGAGAACTAATTTGGCGACGGTTGTCTTACAACTCAAGTCACTCAATGTAAAGAATCTGCTCGAGTTTGATTTTATGGACCCTCCACCACAGGACAACTTGCTCAATTCAATGTATCAACTCTGGATCCAAGGTGCACTTGATAACACAGGAGAGCTCACACCTTTAGGAAAGAAGATGGCAGTTTTCCCGACAGAACCTTCGTTGGCCAAAATGTTAATCGTGGCTGAAAAGATGGGCTGTACGGCAGAAATCGTCACGATTGTGTCGATGCTCTCTGTGCCCTCTGTTTTTTATAGGCCCAAAGAACGAATTGAAGAATCCGACTCTGCACGTGAGAAGTTCTTTGTCCCAGAGAGTGACCATCTGACGCTCCTGAACGTTTATACACAATGGCGGTCAAATGGATATAGAGATGATTGGTGTGTAAAACACTTTGTGCAACCGAAGGCAATGCGCAAAGCTCGTGAGGTCAGATCGCAATTGATGGATATGATGAAAACAGAGAAGATGCCTTATGTGTCGTGTAACACAGACTGGGATATCATCCGGAAATGTATTTGCTCCGCTTATTTCCATCAAGCAGGACGGATTAAGGCCTTGGGTGAGTATGTCAATTGCCGTACGGGTATGCCTTGCCATCTACATCCAACGTCTGCCTTATATGGGCTGGGCTATAACCCGGATTACATCGTGTACCATGAGTTGGTGATGACCTCGAAGGAGTATATGCAGTGCGTCACATCCGTGGATCCACATTGGTTGGCAGAGTTGGGGCCAATGTTCTATTCTATAAAGGAAAAGTCGTATACGCATCGAGAGAAGCGTGCAGCAACTAAGGCTGAGGAGGCAAGAATGGCTCTCGAGATGGATTTGAAGGAGACGAGGGAGAAGGAAGAACGGGAGGCGGCTGCAGCGGCTGCAGCTGCTGATACCCTGGCTGGAGGATCAGCTGTAGAAGCAAGGTTCAGGATCGCTACTCCAGGATTCAGAGCGCCAGGAACACCTATGCGGAAGCGAAGACTTGGCATTTAGACATACCTATAGAATTGGTTATCATTTGTTTAAGAGAAAATATATGTTATGTAATATGTATATTAAATGATTGAATACTTGAACTTGTAAACAAACAAACAAACAAGCAAGACGATAAAAAGGGTGCACAATGCATTTTTTATTTTTAATTCTGAGCACGGGTGATTACTTCGAGTCTTGCGCTTCATCACGTTCTTTGAGTAGTTCACGAATATGAGAGGCGACATAGTACTGATCTATGACTTTGGTTGACAAGAACTTGGCACCCTGGATACTTTTGCAGCACTTTGTAGATCCACACCAGCATGGGAATGGCTGATCCATCTCCCACTCACTTGAGGGATAAAAGAACGTCAAGGCGTCACCTGAATGGAAAGATTATGTATAAAAGAAATGTTTGTTTGCCAGTAAGGTGTTAATAGTCGTTCAATTCGCTATTGTTTCCACATTCCACGACATGATGTCATATGTATTAGCTCGGGAGCAGAAGTGAAATAAAGAAACCTTTCTTAATGTCCTTGGCTGCTATAAGCTTCATTTCGTCGGTGTCAAGAGTGACTGAAGGGTCGCATGAGTGGTTTAGAAAGACGACTGAAGGATCCCAAAAAAAAAAAAAAAAAAAAAAAAAAAATCAATATTAAGTTGATAAAGAAAGAAGCTTGACAGTAATTTTCGAGGGACAATATATATATATATATATATATATATATATATTACGGTCAGAGTTCAGTTCGATATGCGAGTCCTTGGATACTTGAACGCTACTGTATCTTTTCGGTCCTGGTTCCGTGCCTTCAATCTTACAAATGATTTGGCCTTGTTTAAAATCCTGAGAAGCAACTAGCTGCGAGTTGAACGATCCTTCTGCATAAAAGACCTCAAAGAGGCCTGGATGAGATGGTTTATAGGCCTCTTTTGTGCCAGCAACATCTACAATCGTATCTTGTTTTTCATAAGTTGAAGGCATTTTTTTTTCTTCAAGATTTTTATGAAAGTGATAGAAAGGATTGTTAGAATTTGCGCTGGAAGTGAGAAAGTTGAAAGCAGCCACCTGATAAACAGCACAATTTTTTCTTTCCAGAAACAGCACGTGCCTGAAGCAGAAACAGCATGCACTTGATGCAGACACAGTTCATCATCTCAGCTTGTGCCACGTCTAACTAGTCTATTGATGATCCTGGAGCATTGTGTTCACATTCACCATCATCTTTTAAAATTCATCACCATTTAATAACTTTGACTTGTGGAGAGAATCAATAACGGAAATTGTATTCTCTGCAAGCCCAGCAGGGGATGAGTATCGCCACTGTCAATGAATTAAGGCAACGAATCCATAGAATATCCCATGACTCGTATTTCCTTAAAGACGATTCCAGTTTTAAGATCAACGATAATGTTGGGATCACCTCTATTTTCAATTCTAAGAGTGCCACTTGTATGAAAAGGCCGTGTTATAGATGTCTAATGTCGTGTTGGTTGTGATATAGTGTAATACTTGGAGAGTAAGACGATGGCGGATAGGGAGATTTATCATGTAATGCTAATACAAAGTCTTCTGGCGAGGCTTCCATAACATCAACAGACTATGAAAAAACTTTTGTATTTGCGGACCGCAGGGATACGTTAAATGTAGTCATGGTTGAGACGCGTTTAGACGCTGCACAGCAAAGAGAACGCTACCGATGTTAATCATTACCCAGCCGTAAATGAAGGAAAATGTTTCCAGAAAAATAATCATATCCATGTCTCTTTTGGTAAAGGATATGGAGGTCTTGCAGAGGGAAAGACAGTTCGAACCCAACTACCAAACTCAGCGCTCTTTTCGACTTTGATAATACCTCTGAGCCTATCGATATCGATGGCATCATCAAGCGGGGCTTCCACGGAGAAAGGAGACAAAGCTGAGCCTCCATCGATGATGTAGAAGAGTTTAATGTTATTATTCACTGTATTTTGTTGGCAGATTTATGTGAGAGAGAGGTTCGTGCAATAGGAAGTAAGGAAGCATTGACCTGCTCTGGAATAACATTTTAAAAATGCAGCCATAGCCTTGCTACTCTCCGATTTTGTTACGACAAGTATTCAAAATGGAATGCTTTTTGGTTATATTGTAAGCTCGATCTCAAGGAGGGCAGTATTCGAGTAACAGCACCTGCAATTTCCCTTGAAGGCCTCTACTACATTTGCACACAGCACACAAATATATTTAGGCATGTAGGAAATATCCCTTATAGGCGTGCCAACAAACATGGTTTAGCTTTGCAAAGTACCGTAGTGATGCATCTTCTGCACTCAGGGTTAGTGGCCATTCTGATCAAATGCTGGGCGGCACTAAGGCTTTATGCTAATCTCGATTTTTTTTTTTCCTCTACGCATTTGATACCACCGAATGACCAAGAGCGCTTACATCCATCGAGTTCAGCTCCACCAATGCCTCAAGATCACCCTAATATAAAGCTGAAGAGGTGTTTTTCCAGTGCTTCAAACAAAGTGCACTGAATACAAGTATGTGATATGTCTTACCTTGATAACTGAAAAGACGGCCAGGGTCAGGGAAAGGGAAGTAATACCCAGGATCGCGTTTGGTATGGTGAATGTTCCTAGCTACTCTATAAGGTATACTCCATGGGTTCCTTCTACAAGCTACATGTACATAGCCTGCATAAATACGAATTGCAAATTGATTTCCAGAATCCATTGCTTTTGCCATAGTGCACTAGCTTATTCAAATCTCTTGAGATATTTTTCATGTTGTTTATTTGTAATAGGCCAACAACTTCCATAAATATCCTCTTTGTTCCTGAGCCTCACAGCTATGTCTGGGTGGCTGTTACCCTAGCGACAGCTATCAGGACAAAGACGGCTAATTTGACAGCCTCACGGTGTCCTGTTATCTCCCTGCGCAGCCTACGTTTTCGTCTGTCTCGAATAAAGATATCAGTCTCTGTTACTGACAGCAGTGTATCGTACTGATGTACTGTACTGAACATACGACTTGAAGTTTTCTTTAGTAAATTTTTACTTACTATTTACTTAAACATAGTAAAAAAAAAAAGTAATTGATTTTTTTTTTTTTTTTTTTTTTACCGATGTTTGTAAAAATTTACTGAAGAAAACTTCAAGTCGTATGTTTAGTACATCAGTACGATACACTGACTGACAGCATTATACTATTTATCCTTTTTTTTTTTTTTTTTTTTTTTTTTTTTTCAAAATAATGAAATAAATGTTGGGCGGCCAGTGCATTGTCCTCTCGCTTGAAGTATCCATCAGTTATATCTATTAACGGATCAACGCTATCAGCGTCCATGGGAGCATCTATATTTTCCATACTTACCTGAAATACGACATAGAGTAAGCTGGGCTGTTGAATGACAGGTGCTGTAAAGAAGGGGCTATCCGCATCCTAGTTGTCATTGTCCACCCACTCAAGTGACTATTCGGTCATATAAAAAATTCTTTTTGATCGGAATTAGATGCTCATTAAGCTAGATATTCCATTTGGTTTAAAGAGATTCCAGCTGGCCATCACAAATCCATTCGGATTTTAGGAAGGCTATTGTTATAAAAAGCGTAGAGCCTTGCACAAACAACGAGGCGAATTGGAGAGACCTAGCGATTCACCATGAACGGGCACTAGGGTGGCTTCGTCTCGTGGGGGCGCGGCCACTCGTCTTTGAATAATTTTGACCGATCTTTGGCGGAGCAGTCTACGCCTTCTGGCCTAAGTCCCAAGCCCCAAGGCTTTCCAAGACTTCAGACTTAGGGCTTCATGGTATCGCTACATCTAAGACGTAGCTCTCAAGCGTCGAGCCCTAGGTTGTGAGGAGAAAAGACCGAGGAACTCAAATGGGAGCACTCGGCGGTTCTGCTAATCTATGTAAAATGAAATAACTATTCCTATATGATAAGCAATTGATAATTTCGCAAGGAGCTAAAAGTTATCAACACCCTACCATTCCTGAAAATAGAAATCAAACTTACACAAAATTTGGATCAGTTTACTTTGCTGCTGACAAGAAGCAAACCTTGGCTCCACAAGTAAGGGCTTATAGATCAAGGAAGAAATGAATTCATATATGTTTTCAAGTCCTTGGCAACAGAGTATGATCGATAGATTCATGTGAATATGTCAATAGAGCCCATGCGCCCAAGTAGCAGTTGTGATCACAAGTTGATTTCGATGAGTCTACATGAGTTGAACATAATAATAGTCATAGTATCAAGGCCCTATCTTACATGCACGGCATGTGCGTAATCGCTGTTTTCAGGCTTGGCACCAATCATGCAAGGCATTTTTTTTCTTGCGCGAGGTTCCTTGTGTTAAACGGAGAGACAGAAAGCTTAATAGACATACAAACACACCAATATTAAAAAAAAAAATGTACATGAATGTGAGCAAACAAGAGGAAGACACTGACCAAATAGTTGATGTGCTTCTTTGTTGTAAATACTATCTTGCATCGCGGTTTTTTTATTGTTTCGAAAATATTTGGCGGTACAAATGTGGAACAGGGGCGAGAAATTTTTTTTTTTTTTTTTTTTTTTTTTTTTGATTCTTTTTTTATTCATCACTGTCAGCTCTGTGGTGTACACGAACATGTACCAGGCTATTGAACAAATAGTTGAATCGTCTCTTTGCTTTCTGTACATTTAGAAACACATTTTGCATCGCGGTGTATTTTTGTTTTTGTTTCCTAGACAATTCGAATCAAACGGGAGCCAAAACAAGCATTTCCAATGGAGCCTCCAGAAGAAATAAGCAAACTTTATTTTGGCGGTAACTCCACAATCGTGCAGACACCTTTGCCATGGCTGTAACAAATTTTCAGGAAAGGAACTCAGTATATCATGTTGATATTATTTCTTTATGCAAATGTTTTTGTGCTTGGTGTCGACTACCAAATTTACACACATGCACACACCAAACGGCCGCCAAAATCACCACTCCCTTCTACAAGATCATTAACAAGGCGCCGTCTAACAAGAAGAAGATTAGATAGCTTTTACTCCAACCAATAAACGCAAGCAATAACGTCACTCCTATTTCCGTCATTGATTCCGGAATCTGAAAGCCAACGAATGTCTCTGCTTTAACGCAAAAGCACTGGAGCTGTTGGAGCAAAGAGCGACAACTGAACCCATTTCCTGGAAAAACAAAGATTATTTTATTTAATACTATCCTCTTCTTCTCCCGCGGAGCTAAGCTTGGATTGTGTGGTCTCTTTGTGGAATTGGCGGCGTATCGTTATGAACCCTCCAATAAGGAACACTGAAATACCAATTGGACATAAAATACTGAGTATAGATGTTCTAAGTATTAGAAGTACTACGAATACACAGAGCATAAGACTTAATGTAGACACTACAAGTGTGGTGTACCATCTACGCGGGGTATATATGACTAGTTGTATGATATTGAAATATGCCAATGTTGAAGAAAAATATGTCATGTATGTATACTGCAAAGGCATTTTCAATGTGAATTGCATGATGACATCGGTGGTCTTGCCCATCAAAGATAACCCCAGAGATATGTATGACTGGCCATCAACAGATCGCCTTTTCATGTTCAATAAGACTTGGAAGTATGTCTCGATGGACCAAAGTACAATTGACACCCACACGAGCTTGGACGATGTGTCTTCACCAAATGCTTTCGTGCATTCCACGGCTATAACTGCTGAATATATTGTCAAAGAGATTAAGACAAGCGGGAGCTTTCTGGACATTGATACTTTGGAGTATAGTACAAACTGGAAGAGCATCACAATTTCGAGTATCGGCATGTACCATCCACTTATTCTGGTAAACAATGGGACGTCGATGTCGAGTATGAAAAAAAGGTTGATGAGACTGGCGCAGAAATTACAAGAGGCCCAAATAAAGCTGAGACCAGCAGTGGATTTTCGACGGTAGTTTTTAATAATCTGTGGGAGGAGAACGATAAACCAGATTGTATTGCTCACATATCCACAGACATTTGCGGCTACGCAAAGCCAGATTGGCAGGCGATCGTCGCAGTTGGCTTGGAGAGTAGCCATGTTGAAGGGAATAAATGCTCGCTTTTTCATTTACATCTCCTTTTATATTTTTTGTTGCGTCTTGCTCCAATGACTCCAATAGCTCCAATGGCTCCAATCCTTAATTTGAGAGGGCCCAAGCAGCCTCATATCCGGTACAAGTTCAGCCGCCTTACAGGTGCTGTGCGAGGTGCTGTGCGGGACACTGTGTGATGTAGTGAAACATTTAAACAAACAAAGAGCCAAGCTTAAATTATGCTCAGAAATGCTATCCCACAGATATTCATAGGTAGGAAAATGGGGTACTGTGATTCCTCGAGGGCAATGATATAGCTTGATATATGGTTTTTGCTGATTATTTTACTGATTTTTTACCTCCATGGAGATTGCACCAATCCGTGTTTAACATATTGTTAGGAAGTTTAGGGGCTGACTGGACAGGAGATTTCGGATGGTTTGTGAAGCCGGTCGCTTCCAGCTACAGAGATATGAAAATTACTTCTTCGAACACAAATAGCACAATACAAAAGTCTGAACGAGGGCAGTCGGTACTCTATTGGTTCTGTATACAAAAGAAGGAACAAAGAGCCAGAGTTCCCTGAACTGCTTACTCATTTTATAGTCGACCCAACGTGACCATAATTAAACCAACGATATCAAGTAATGTGAAAAAAAAAGTCTATCAAGTAAGAACATCGGCAATGCCTCATAACTATGATGAAAGCACAGAGAGTTGGATCTGACCTACTCATGAGTGATGAAAGCTAAATGAATAAAATCAGTCCAAGGAATACTTTGGAATCGAGCTCCACTTACTTGCTCTATACAGAGTCTAATGACACCCATTCTCCTTGAATTGCGACCAAAAATAGCCGTAATCTTTTCTACTAAATATTTGGGTTTCCTTTTCTTAAGCTATCTTGCCGATATCCACGCTGTAGGCAAGAGCATGTTTCAAAGAAATTAACCGGCTAAATAAACAAATGTTATTTTGCCTTTTTCGTAAGCAGTGCCCATCTCTCGCAAGGATACACGGCAGACGCTGTCGGCTTTTTCAGCGGCGAATTGTAACAGGTATCGAACACACAAATTGAAGGATAACTAAAGTGATAGCTGAAGCTCAATAGGGGTATATACAGCGGTAGCATCACTACAAATGATCCAGTCATGTCATCCTACTGCACGGTATGGGGAAGGGTTTAAAAGGCTCCAGAGAGGGACTGTCGTGGAGCTGACGATCATTTGAATCGATCATTCACCAACATACATAATCTTCTTTAACAAAAGCAGAAAAATGCTACTGGTGTTTGAGCGGGCATCGTTACTAAAATCGACTGAAATAGAGGGATTTTGAAGGAGTGCTGTGTAATGAGTGTTTTATTTAGACCGTAAATTGCCTTCTATAACAGTTATGACCCCGGTTTAGCACCTATGAATGGAAGGTGGTATTGTCAGCACTCTCTATTGAGGGTCCTAGGTCTCCCAATAGCCGGTTGAAATATCTAACAGGGCTACTTCTCATTGCGACCGAGCTGTTCAGCAGGCCAAACTTTATAGTATCAGAGAGACCTCGATAGATCTTTGTTTCTTAATGGAGGCAGCTTTTTTTGGTGTTTAACTGTCTACTATGTCGAGATTTTCTATCGCACAAAAATGCTGTTATTATTCCAAAATAAAAAAGAAATATATGTATTCACTAGATGGTGCACCATGATGGATAAGGATCTCAAAGGTCTTTCATTAATAAATGTATAATAGAATGATCAATTCCCTTGTTTGATGTTGGATTATCGATCTTCTTATATGAGCAGTCTTGGTCTACTCTCTCATGCCTTGGCTTTCTACACTCATCCTAGGTGACAACACGATGCTTGTTGATTCTCCAAATCTGTCTTGATTTAACCGTATTTAGCGGAATTGGTTAGCATCCCTTGAATAGCTGCCATCCAGAGAGACTACTTAGAATGGACAGGATTCACCATGTTGTTCAAAACAACAAAACTTGGCTGAAAGTCTGTTAATTCTCAACCATGAGACAAATAATGCCTCTGGACGCTTCAATAAAATTATGGCGTGCTTTTGGGACGCAGAAAAGACAGCATTGTCTCTTTTGAGCAATGGAGGATATGGGATTTGTTCTTTGGAGGCAAACTTTTTGAAGCTGCGCCTGTTGCTAGTAAAAACACAAATGGTTCCCGTTTTCCGCATACTTCAGCGCTTCCACAATTCAAAGACTGCGACGTAGCCATCAAATCTTACATGTTTGTCGAATATTGACACACCCCTTGCAAAAGTTCAGGTGTATGCAAAGAGTATTGTTTAAGGGACGTAGAGAAGTCAATGACATGTGGCAGTGTTCAGGTTTATACAGGACCATATAGAGTCCGAACGGTCGCCTTATCCTACTTTGCTCACTCAAGAAAATCAACGCAATACTTAAAATAAAGCGCTTTCTACTCCTGAAAGCGCTTCTAATGCTTATAAAGTACGACCAGCAGCTTGGGCGGGTGACGTCTGAAATTCTAAAAATTTTGATTATTTGAAGTACATGAATATTTGAATGAGCTCTTGAGAACTCAACGTTTTGGACAAATGGCGTCCGCTGCTCTGTCATTCCCAATCGCATTTTGGACTGGCGTGGAACCCATCGCAACCGTGTCTGTGTCTCTCGCCTGTGCTCAATATGTCGTGACCGGACTCGAAGACGGACTCATCTGGGTGTTTACCATTTGTCAGTTTGAGAATACCTTGACAATCAAGGCAAGTAGACGAGCAGACGAATTACGTATATTTTATTACAAATACTTGACTGGGGTCAGGATCTTGGATATCAAAGATAAAGATGCCAATGGTGTCCGACAGACAGGACTGGAGTAATTGACGGTCAATTTGTAAATGATTTTATCCACCTTGCAGTTTAAGCCTACTACTCTTCTCATAGGACACAATGCCCGCATTACTGCGTTAGAAGCAATGTTAGTTGAAGGTGCAACAATGTCAGCAAGCGAATGGATTCTCATTAGTGCATCGGAGGACGGGTATGTTATAATATTATATTAGTGAGGGCTATTTAAAATGATGTATCCTTTGTGCTCAGACAATTAAGTTGCGCAAACCTTTTTTAGCGAAGTGAAAAAATGGAGCCTCGCTGATGGACGATGCCTGCAATCCAACCCTGACGCGTTCATCGGCGTGCCGACGTATCTAGGAGTGATCTCATCCCTCAAAAAGGTATCACTTGTTATGAAGTACAGTAAACTGTCGTTGTTGTAATGTGATGTATTATTATTGAAACGGTTCTCTAAATGGCTTACACTAATTTTCTATATGTCACAACAGTCAGGATCTGGTCCCAACTTTATTATATGCGCTGGTACTTCAAATGAAGCATGCATATTGGATTCAACTTCTTTGGAGGTGGTTCGTGTTTGGGGAGGTCACTTAGACTGGGTTTATTGCACTGCATTGCCAAGCGATGGTATGCTTCCTAGGACAGCAATATTTGTTTGTAAAAAATATATCATGGCCCAATCTCAATACCGAAGCTGAACATTTTTATTTTCAGAATATCATCAGAGTCGAATATTATCTGTTTCCACAGACTGCAAGATTTCGATTTGGGTTTTTGACACATCTAGTTTGACAGTGATCAAGTCCAAAACATACGACATCTGTACAAAAACAGAAGACAGTGTAGTTTCCTTAGTATCATGTCGCTACGAAGCGTCCAGGGTTGCCTTGGTGACAAGGAGTCTTATTCAGGTATAAAAATAAGATCTGTTCCCCGCACAGCCTAGGAGCTGTCATTCTAACTAGAAAATTTCATATGTAGGTGTATTCGCTACAATCTCACAACAATATATGCTGCAGTATACCATGCCCCGAAAAGGAGCCATTTGCAGGCGCAGAATTTATTAGCTCGGAGCAAATTGTGCTGTGGACAGAAGTAAGGTTCATCTGCTTTGGGTTCAAATTTGTAACTAAAGTCAGTAAGTCAGTAATGAGATTGACAGTGTGCTTTTTACGGTGGAAATCAAATAGTTGGGCCGAGTTCGTGTATATTCACTCAGAGGGCCACAGCTAGCCAGTGAGCAGATAGATGTGGATGTGTCAACTCTATCCACAGACGTAAGGTAAGATGTCGATGGTAGCGGTCTTTCATGGTATTTTGGCATGAGACATCGGACGCGTTAACAACCTGGATTTAATAATAGGGATATGTCAGATTCGGCGGTGCAAGGTAATGGTGTTTAATGCGGCATCATTTCTCATAATCGCATTCAGAACTTGCCTTAACCAAAGCTCCTCAGTTTCCGAATTTAATATCCGATTGGGGTACCGCCCCACCGTGACTATCCTAAGGAGTAATGAGTTACAATATGTACTATGTCTTCGAAATGCTTCTGTGGGGCTCGAGTACTCCCTAGCTCGACTGCCATGCGGAGACAATGATGAACAAGGTACTGTTGGTGACATATACTGAATCTAATGCAAGTGGTCATAAAAGCATACACACTAACTGTATTTGTTATTACATATAGCTCCCCATATCTACGAGTCGCATATTCAATGGGATTTCAACAGCGCTGGGCCCATTCTAAAGCCCTCTATAAGTTGTTCCATGATGCTTACCGATGTCTTGATAGCATTGGGTGACAGTAGGTTTCATCACTCGACATATTGTTGAAATGACATTTTTTGGGAACCAGAAGCACTAATATATGTTTTGCTTATGTTAGTATCAGGTCATGTTTGGATAATATCTGTAGACCAGGCGTTACTAGCCTTAACTCTTACACTCGAATCATTGCCCTCAGAGGAAATAATGATTTTGAGAGGGCATGTAGGAGCCATTACTACTATTTTCACATCCGATGACCTAATGCAACGCTCCTTCTTAATGTCAGGCGGCGAGGATTGCTCTGCCAGGATATGGAGCATTGAGTAAGAACTCAAAATGGCGCAATACGGAACTTGTCTCACGCATCAAATACGGTGAATTAAATGTGGTATTTTTCGCAACTTCTCCTTAACCTGTTTCCTTTATGAATTCATTTCAGTTCAGGTGCCGAGATTGCATGTTTTAACAACCATAGTAGACCAATTGCCCACTTCCTACAAGTCCCTGACGATGTTAATTCAAGGATTAGGAGAAGTGTGATATCTGTAGCGCAAGACTGCTCAATTGCCATCATTTCAATCGAAGAGATGAGCTGGTAAGGATAATTCACGGATTAACACGTCATGTAGTGATGTGCATAGGAAGGCGAGCTGATATTTTTTTCTTGTCCACTACAGCATCTATCTTTTTGGAGGCTATGAGCATGCTCTGCTATCAATTCAGTGGAGGCCATCAGAAGATTACATTGTGCTATGGTATGCGGACGCGACGGCATTTATTTGGCAGGTAGGATCAAGCGATTCAAATCAGTGGCCTAGAGATTTCATTTGTGCAAATTCATCAATCATGTTTTTATTTATACCCTCTGATAATTTCTGAACAGATGCAAACCGGCCATCTAGATCGTACTGTCAGAGGAGATTCTGCTCGTGAAATAATAATGGATCCTCGCTGGAAAAATTGGTGAGTCTGTAATAGAGAATCAGCGCCGAACTAATGGTTTGCAATCCATATTGATAACTAACTACCATCGCTCTTTTGTTCCAAGTGACATCGTCCATACGCGGTCGAACTCCTCTAAATTAGCATTTGACTGCATTACTACATGGCTCAGTGGCACAGGTAAGAAATACGCGTAATGCGATCATAAAAGTCATGATCAACAGGCTTTAACATACGGACTCTATCTTTAGTTTGCGTGCAGACTATTATCGTCAACCTCAAGCAAATTCTTAGTATATTAGCTCCGGCTCGCGTAGCAGAGCAGCAAGATTACATTGCAGTCCCTAATCTCGCCTCTCAGCCATCGAATACGGCTGATGTTAAAACACCTGCCCGTCGAGGAATGCTTATTGGGCAGTGGAGGTCCTCTACTAAATCCAAGGCGAAGGCAGTAGATCAACCAGTTACTCGTTCAGATGATATTCAGAAATGCTTGGATGCAGCGAAGAGAATTTTAAGTTTGATGATCACTGAAGATAATGCTCATGCGATTTCAATTCGGAATTCGCTCGGATTATCGCAGCCAGTTCGATCTGCTGCATTTGGAATGCGAGGGTACGATTGAGAGCAAAAAAGGTCATCAGTATAGTGTGCGTGGCAACAATAATCATGACTGGTATTGAATCTTCAATTATTTCTATCTGTGTTTTATAGTGCCTATGGAAATATATCAATTCAGGCGCCTGCGCATAATTGTGACACCACTTCTTGGTGCATATCACCTACAATGACGGCCTCCAAACTTATTACTATCCTTTCTTTGACTAAGATTGTGGTGTCGGTGTGCAACCTTAGTGTTGACATGGACATCTGGCCAAAGGATTATTGCAGTGCTGTCCAAGATTCAATTGGGGCGAATTACTGTCCACCTTCACTTTCTTATTTAGCGAAGTACTGGCAAGATCCTCAAAGTGAGTGAATGAAAACGACCTGGTCTTATTGATGAAATATATCCAGAGCCCCTACTATTTCTCGGAAGACTGTACTCACTATAGTCCTCTATAACATACTTCAGTGGAGATTCAAGAGGCAGCGAGAATAATTTTGCTCTCCACAATTGAGCGGATGTCAAAAGCTGAGATCTCATCGCTAGTAAAGTACTGGTCTGTATACTGTAAGTAGGTATCCGGTGATGATCATTCTGATAATAACTTTGCTATTCGATCGAAACTAATGATTCCCCCACTTCTATTAGTACCAGCAGCAGCTCTGCCAGACACATGCTCAAGTCAGTACATGGCTCGCTCCGCTATCATTCTAGGGATCATTGGAGCCGAAAACGCAGATGCTTTGCCCGAAACGTATGTCAAAAGATAAAAATTCGAATGCTTTATAATTAATTCACAATGCTTATTAAATTTTTGATTGTCAAATAGGGTGCGGAAATTGGTGGCTTTGTCACTGACGATCCTTCTCAATGACGATACTCGTCTATCATACAGAATTGCCTCGATTGATCTACTATCTCAAGGATTTGGGTCGTGGCAGCCATTCATTCGCGCAGATGCAGTACTGCACACACTATTTACTATGGCAATGGATTCACAGTCCTATAATACCCTAGTTTCCCGTAGGGCACGCCGAGCCATTGCTCGAATCGCTGCCATCAATCCTACTCTCTTTGTGACTACTTTGACGCAGGATATTTTGGATGTCAAGAAACAGGCTGATCGAGCAGGTCTTCTAAAGCTTGTCTCTATTTTTTCACGAAAAGTAATGATCAACATATCGTAGAGTGATGCAATCGTTACGACTACGTAGATGGGCACCGTTGCTGCACAAGTTAAAAGATGCTCAATCGTACTGACAGTCTGATCGCTGGTAATCATTCTAATTAATAGAATCCCGCCGTGTTGTATAAAGGTATTCCACGACTCACTGAAGCCATCGTAAAGTCACTTGATCCTATTGCTCCCCAAGCCCGTGAGTCCTTGCTTCCTGTCGCCACTTCCGTTATGATGGATCTTGTCCATTCTTTTCCCCAATTAGACTTTCACACCGGCTCGCAAAAGCTAGCCGTAGGTACATTGGAAGGCGCCATTGTTGTTTACGACCTTCATACAGCGACTCGCTGGCAAATCCTAGAGGGCCACAGTAAATCAGTATCAGCAGTGTCATTCTCGCGGGATGGTGAGACAATCGTATCGTGCTCGATCAAAGAGCGCTCCGTCCGCTTCTGGCATCCCAGCCCTGGCTTTTTTGGTATGCTCATGGGTGGCAATAGCCTATGGGCCCAAGTTAAATCTACCTCCGTAGGTGGCAGCAAACAAAGCCACAGCATGACTTCTCTATCATCGCAGCAATCCAGCCGTAAAATTGATTTTGCTCTAGAAGACTCAAGAGCGGCTGGTATGTAATTGAGGTAGCTCACTCGTTCCTAAATTTAACGGATTTGAGGCACTAACATGTTTTCCTTGTCAAAAAACGACATGATCTAGGATCAGAGGAATCTATGCTGAATCATGTTCGATTTGAGTGGACAGGAGACAAGGCTGTCAAGTTGTCGGTCTACGATCATGTCATGTCATTAAACATTTAAGCTATGACACTAGCATTTATTCAGTTGGCTCCGTGAAATTACTTGGAAATAAACCGCGCATATGGTTTCGATTATCATCGATGAGATCGCCTTCCCACCAGCCATCGTCACGTGTATGCAACACAGCGATGATATTCCCTTCCTTTAGACTTAATTCTTCAGGTATTGTGGCCTCGTAGTCATACATTACGCGAACTGTTATTGAGCAAATACCAGACAGTCAGACTGTGATTAGAATGATGACATTTCAATTCGAAGAAAAAGTGGTAGCAGTGATACCTACCATAAAAAAGAATCCGCCGCCCATCATGCGTAGATTGGGTTCCAGCCTGCGTGTGACTCTGTTCTGTGGCCCCACCATATTCATGATAGGATGTTTGGTGCTGAATCGGGGCAGAAGACCCACTATACGAGCTATTTGCTTTTCTATTCTGCAATGTAGCATCCATGCCATGGGTATTAGGCCAAGGGGCATCAGACTGGGCAGACATGGTCTGATTGCACCCTTGCGCAGCAGTTGAAGTCAACCTATTGATGCTAGTATTATTGACGGTGTTTTGGTATTGAGGATGCAATATTCCAAGTGTCGGCTGAGTAGTGGGAAATGAGGCTGAAGATGGCTGTAATGGCGCTTGCGACTGCCAATGTGGGAATCTATTCTCCTTTACAGTGCCACTAGCATCCAGGGATATTCCAAGACTATTGTCTGTAGAAATGGATGGCGATCTATCTCTGGTGAATTGCCGAGTGGAATTATTTTCTGCCGGAGGTTTAATGGCGCTGTCATCTTGGTCCATCAGAGCGGCAGTTTGAGGATCCAGCTTGAAAACGTTATTACCAACTGCTAGTGCCACCTCAACATGTGAACCTGGATTAATCCCTGTGTCGGCTCCATGGTCTATTGAGTGGCTTGGTGGAGGGCGAGAGGATGCTCCCGAATCATTATTGTTTATTATTGGCTGATGCGGTCCACAAACAGTTCTGACTCTTATCTCTTGCATTGATGCTCGAGGAGTAATTGTATTGTCCACTGTACTGTCGGATCCTTCGGAAGACTTTGGATTCAGATAGGTAGTAATATCAGGTACATCTTCTCCAGTAGCACACTCCTCAATGAAACTTTGCAAGTTCTGATTGACATCGCATAGCTCCAATGATGATCGTATCCGTTCGCAAGACTGGTATGTGATATAGGTATTCAAAGAAGCCATGATAAGTCTGGATAAACAAATTAGTACATGTGAATGTTAAGCCCGAAAGTATCACAACTGACCTCGTCATCCGCAACACATGCGCTCGATATGATATTGGCATAGTTCCAAAGAGTAGTCCGTAGGTAATCTATTCTCTGCTCTTCAAGAAGTTGAAATTTCTGTTGAAGAAATGACATAATAGATTAGGATCACAGGTGAAGACACAGCATTCTAGGCGAGTTTAATCTGTTCACCTGAAACATACATCACACGCCGAGCGCCAATCTGAAATCCATTTTTCATTGATTTCTGTTAATTGACGAATGCTTGCTTGGTATTCGATATCTATGCGGCCATAAAAAGAACATATGAGTTGTAGGATGCATGTGTAGACAATTTTAAGGAAGAAAGAGCCCAGTATCGAGTAATACCTGCAGCCCTTGATGCCAGCTCAGTTTTTTCCATTTTCAAGGTGACTTTATCAAGGTCCTTCCCTACAAGGTTCATTTTCGCAACTGAAAGACCCCTGGTTCGAATACATTCTGCATCATACTTGTCTTTCGCCTTTTTTTTTTTTTTTTTTTTTTTTTTTAAAAAAAAAAAAAAAAATATGTCCATGGATCTGTAAGTTAGATAAAATAAATTTTACTCGACGATAAAGCACAAAAGCATCAATACCTTAACAAGCTGTTGTAAGTAGAGCTGTTTGTTGCGGAACGATCGATCGATCGCTGTTTGATGCTATTGTTATTGTATGGTCGGGATTTCTGCCGTCAGCATAATTTGTTCTCAGTAGGCAGTAATATTTATCGCAAATGTTTGCTAATCTCATCAAGACAAAGAGTTCTACCAGTTTTCTTTTCTCCTTTTGGCTGTTATTAAAATCTGCAAGGGCAAGCTCCAACTGATCACGCATTTTGCCTGCCAGCTCAACATGGGATTTTCCGGTGGCTTCAATTTCATATCGGACGACATTAAGAGAATCGCGAAGTGATCTAGAAAGGTCCGTTATTTTCAAACCATTGGTCGGCGCTAGGTCATTTTAGATGCATCATGTATCTATTGTTGTCTCCAGAGCGCCATTACATCATTCTCAGAAAACCAATATTGCATACCCTAGCTCGTCTTTACCCAGCGGCGACTTTGACAATTTGATTAATTTCTTTCCATATTCCTCTTCAAGGGCAGCGCTAGACACAAAATAATAGTGATAAAGAAGCCCATGACAAGCAAACAGCCGTTAATAGAGGAATTAAGGCTGGTTGGTGAATTCTTTATGAGACTGTAGTCGCAGTCTTTTTGTAGATCCTCAGATGACTCCTCAGAGAAATAATTGGATGGATATTAAACTCACCGAGCCTGAAACATGCCTAAGACCTCTTGACAAGTCAGTTTGGCGTGGCGCATGCGTGTTGCAAGTGCAGAGTATCCGGCATCATCCTTTCCCTAGAAAGGCGCTTATGTAACAAGGTCAATACTGTTGTAATTATTGCTACAACGAAAGTTCCCAGATGGAGTATGAATGCAATCGTTAAGTATTAAATAAATTGCTTCAGGAAAGTATACGTAAGGGAATTCCCTCTTACCCAAAAGCTCTGAGCGAAGCGTGGCGGTGTAGAGTCGTTGGCTAATGTAAGTCGTTCTGTGTTCATTGTTGAGGGTTGTTTGGAAGCAATAAAACGAATGAATGTGTGCGTAATAATGCAAGAAAGGCGACATTACATCAGGTGGACAAACTAAAAATAAATAGGGTCTTTCACACTTATTTTGACCAAATAGTATTATTGATTTAGCTAGAACAGCAATGTTGGCGAAATTATATGACTGTAACTGACGCGCGTCGCTGTTACGTGTATCCAATTGGAGAAGAGATACACTCCTATCTTTTTCTGCATTTCTTCTATTCATCTACATTCACATTCACATTCACGTTTATACAAACTCAGTCTGCATTTGAAATTCTTTCAACTCAAAACTATTCAGCTTACCAATAACACCATGGTCGAAAAAGACTTAGGTTCGGGATAATTTGGATGGCAAAAGACTTTCTACAACAATAATGTTATGTTACTAACGCAGCATGAGGGGTTGTTTCCTTTGATTAGAGCTCCTAGACAATGTCGAGTTACGGTTTGCTTTAGCAGAGAGTGACGCTCAATTAGAAAAAACTCTCAATACTTTCTTATGTCCTGTGCTCTTGAAGCTTGCAAGTCCTGCTGAGAACGTGCGCGCAAAAGTAAGACAGATATCGACCTTGATAATGCAAATTGCGTTTGTAGATTTTGTGGTACTTGGTATTCTTATTGATCAATGCTAAATATATTATAAGGTGGTGAGCATTCTGACACACATCAACAGACGGGTGAGACCCAAACCGGAGATCAAGCTACCTGTCCCTGCACTACTGAAGCAATTCTCAGACAGTAGCTCTCCTCTTGTCAAAAACTTCACTCTAATATATATTGAACTAGGGTACGAACGTATTTCCTTACAGGTAGGACTTTATTATCTGTGTGAATGAGGTCGCAATCCACAAACGTAAAAAGAGGGGCTCCCTATAACACTCAATACTAATGTAGAAAGGGATTTGGTAAACTGAAATGAACGTAGGACAAGTTGGAAGCCTTGCCTCAATTGATTAAAGGCATTTCCCGTCGCCCAGTAGCACAGCAAACCACTCTGCTCCACATGGCGATTGCTGTAAGCTATTAGATTGCTAAAACTTTAATTAGAATGCATGCATCGGATCCGTTTGCTTCTCCAGCTCTAAGTAACCCTCGATTTTATTCAGGCTCTTTCATCGATAAAACAAATCAATGAGGATAGCACTATGACAGATCCTTACGGTTTTACAGGCTCCCCATCGGATGCTATGTGCTTACTTTTACGATTCCAAGATGTCCTCCTCTATCGCCAACCATTAATTGGATCATCACATACTCAGCGACAGCAAAGAGACAATGCTACATCCAGGTCCGTTTTTTTTTTTTTTTTTTTTTTTTTTGCAGCAGCATTCCGAATGCTATTAATCTTTAACCTCCATCAATATTTTCGCCTCTATTAACAGCTCTGGAGACAACCAATCTAATGCAACCGGATTACTTCCTATCATGAATCCTCCTCCTGAAGGAATGAGTCCACATTCTGTACAGCTTGTAACAAACAGTGGAAAAGCTTCTTGGGCCTCTACAAGCGAACTCAAGAACGTTAAGGTCAGCCTTCTTTAATAGTGGTTCATTTCACTTAAAATTAAATCTTTTGTGCACTTGTGCTTGTGCCTAATTATATTATTATTTGCATCTGCTAGATTGGAGTGTTGAGATTTATTAACTCGACTGTAAATTTCCCGGATTCGTTACCTGCGCAAATACACCTTGAAAGGTTCATAGCGCTAATCGCTGCTTCTGGCGATGCCTACCACGAGGTTTCAAGCATGGGCGAGGATGGGCTGAAGCGTATCAAAGCCCCTGACTTTGAGAACAAGATGGTCATCGATAGACTTTATGAAATGTATCAAGGGTCCAATAAAGGAAAGCCCATTGCTGGTAAGAAGAAAAACACTAGAACGGAGCCTAACTGTACAAGTTCATTAACACGCTAACTTTATGTATGGTCTTATAGGCCAAGAGGACACCATCCGTCAGCCAAGCTCGAATCCAATTAAGCTGAGGATCATGGGCTATCTTTCAAAGTCAAAGGTAGCAGCGGATTCCTTCCCATCTGCACTTCAAGTTTCATTTGACTGTCTGTATGGTAAGCCAACTATTTACGCTATAAGCAACAGCAGTTGTTAGCTTGGCAGTATAAAGATGTACTATTATTTAGTAACGCGCTTCTACCCTTAGGTACCAAAACAAATGCAAAATTAATAATGGCAGGCATGGCTTTTGTTCAATGGATTGCAAGGATGGTATAAATGCTCTGATATTCTTGCTTGCTTGATGTCTGTGCAAAGGCCCTTCTATAGCGTCTCGCTAATGCACATCGCTATTTTGTTTAAAGGCGTCTTTATCAACCCTGAAACCGATGGCGCCAGTTCTTCTCTCTGGGATGCTCAAGTACATCCGCGAAAGCGAAGATGCACGTGGCTTAGGTAGGCCCAGTAGTGTTGCTGTTCAAATATTCCTACTCCTGAGCCCCAGGAAGCGGTTGTAGTCAAAAAGTATTGATAAATTATCCTATTGCCATTCTTTAATTACTTATTTAACCAGAAAGCGAAACATCCAAAGGCTTTGCTTATATGGCTCTGGCATTAATCTCTAAACGAGGCAAGTCATCTCTGAGCTGCGTGCATCGTGGGAGCTTGCTAATTCAGCAACCCATAATATCAAGCTCACTCATTTTCCTTTTCAATAATAGTGCCCGAGCTTTTCAGAAATGATCTGACTATTCTGGGCGGTCTGTTTGACCAATTAGCCACTCAATCTTCGAACGTAAAGATGTCTATTCAAGAGAGTATCTGCACGATGTTGGATGCTTTTCATCCATTGAAGGATTGGGCTACTGATGCTGATGTCGCACGAATTCGATCATTAATTGAAGATAATATGAATAGGGTAAACATTTACTTTAGAAACGTAGTTAAATCTACTCCAATTCTAAAACATTCACTGACCCGTGGAACTTCTTCATTTATAGGAAGAGCATCAAGCAAGATACTGTGCTGTTAAATACGCCAATATCCTTTTCTCCTTTTCAGATATTTTTTCAAAATATGTGTGTCTGATGACTGTAGCAGATGAAAAACTTGAAATTCGAGAGGAAGCCAAACGTGGACTAACCTTCCCAACTGCACGCCTACTTGAGCAAAACCTTTCTTCTGATGAGGCCACTCTACTACCAAATTTTACCCAACTATTGGAATTGATAACAGCTAAGTCGGTAGCACTAAAAGAGCATACTACTGGAATGCAGGGAAGATGGGCTTCTGGGAAATCTACTCTAATGGGGTACTCATTGGAAGTATATACACATATGCTCCAGTTCTTCAGGCGCCTCTTAATCACAACTGCAGATCCAGAAGTAATTATTGAGGAATCGTCTAATGAATACGAGCTGCAGCAATTTGTATTTACGCCATCGACACGTACACGGATCAAAGATTTTCTTAAGAAAATGTGGGACCTTGATAACCAAATTGACAATGAACAAAAAACAATGTCACGTTATATCTTCTTTCTTGAAGCTGCTATGAATTACCAAGGGTCTCATGGTGGGTAATGACGTCTTTTACAATGGCCTCCTCTTTAATTCCCCCACTAACTAAATCGGTCATAAAAATATATAGAAAAATTTCTTCATTCAACTGCATTGACATGCCTACTTGAGCTTTTGTCTCTTGCTCCGAGCAGTCTTTCCCAGCAATACGCTCATCGATTGGGTTGGTTTAAGGTACGTGTATACCATTTCTTACATTATCATTCTGTTCTGACTTATAAGGTCATCTAATGAACGTGGCTTTTCAGTCCTTCATTGGCTCCCCAAAGCTCGAATCTCGGGTCGCTGTTGCACATATCATTGGGATCGTAGGAACAGATAACCTCGGGGCCCTCAGCGCTCAGCGCGAAGTGTTTTTACAGCTCATGCATGGTCTACATTCTACTATCAAAGATACATCCAAGTCGGTAAGTGGAGTAGCACATGGTTATACAGATGATCGGGTGTGTGCTTCAATCCTAATTTCCTTTCACGCTTTATTATCGCAGATATCTAGCGAGCAGCAGCATGGCAGCGTTCTGACTATTGGTTTCCTACTGGGGCGCCTCAAATACCGCTATTCTAACCAGAGTTCTGAAATAATACCTATACTGGAAATGCAGAGTATTGTTAATGATATTGTGGCGCTACTCGATGGAAAGCAAAGTATGTTTGTTTCAGGAGCATGTGCCGCACTAGGAGAGATTGGCAGATATGGTATACTACCATCAGATGATACTACTAAGGTTATACAGAAAATCATTGGCGTAGCCAACAATACTACGGATGTCAAAACGCAGGAGCAGGCAATCACGGCACTTGGCCACATTAGTGTAGGCGATCCAAGCCAATCTCATGACATATTATCATTTTTGTACGACTTTGGCCCGAAACAGACTAAGCAGGCCGAACTGAACTTTACTATTGGTGAGGCTATTGCTTGTATCGGAGCTGGTTGGCAATGCACTCTCATGGATACTTTCGCTGATATAGCGGACAAAGAGCCGTCAACGGATGAAGTTCCATCGTCGGTTATGGATGGCATTCTAAATTCTATTCTCAATGATATGAGCAATAGTCCAAAAGCTGCATTGAAAAAAGCTGCATGTATCTGGTTGCTTTCATTAGTCAAGTTCTGCGCCAGCCATGCAAGTATCAAGGTAATATTTGTGGCTAAATAACCTGTCGCGAAGCCAGACGAATTCAGCTGAGCTATATTTTTCTACTCTTTACTATAAACGTACCTTACCTATCATATAGACTCAGCTTCCTAAGATCCACGCTGTTTTCTCCAGCCTTTTATCTGATCGTGATGGTATGTTCCAGCCTACAATTCTAATACTATGTGTTGCCGAGCCACCATTTTGCCTAACAATAGCTTCTCCTATATTTATTTCTCCTCGTAACTAGAGCTCACGCAAGAAGTAGCGTCCAAAGGAATTGGTTTGGTGTATGAGCTCGGTGATCAGTCGATCCGAAGCCAGCTTGTCGAATCACTTGTGGGAATGTTTGGGGAAGGAAGGAAGGCGGCACCAAAGGTCACAGGAGATACAGAATTGTTTGAAGGTAATGCTCTAGGTCAAGCGCCAGATGGATCGTCGCTCTCAACATACCAGTCTATTCTTTCTTTGGCAAGCGATATGAATCAACCTGAGCTCGTGTACAAGTTCATGCATCTGGCTAGCCATAACTCAATGTGGCAGTCACGAAAAGGCGCTGCATTCGGATTTTCCACCATTGTTTCTCAGGCAGAAGCGGAATTAAAACCATATTTAGCAACATTGATCCCCCGACTCTACCGCTACCAGTATGACCCTAACCCAAAGGTGCATGATGCAATGACCAGTATTTGGAGAGCGCTGGTGAAAGAGCCTAAAAAGGCAGTTCAAGAATATTTTGATGTTATCGTCAAGGACCTGCTAGAAGGCATGGGCGCCAGGGCTTGGAGGACACGGGAATCAAGGTGAATAGTTAATAGATCGGTTTGAGATGTGTAGCGCCTCCGAGATAACTCATTAACCTTAATGAAAATGCTTATCAAATGTATTTGCTGGACATATAGCTGTTTGGCCATGGCGGATCTCCTTCAAGGACGATCTATCGAGGAAATTGAAAAATATCTTGAGGATATTTGGACCATGTCCTTCCGCACATTGGATGATATTAAAGAAAGCGTCCGCACTGCAGCTTTCAAGACATGCAAGGCTTTAACAATGATGACCGTGAAATATTGTGACCCGAAGCATGTCACTGCTTCACAGGGTCAAAGAGTATTGGACATAATGGTCCCCTTCTTGCTTCAAAAAGGATTGATGTCGAGTGCAGAAGAGGTTTCCAAGTTTAGTTTGTCCACTATTCTCAAGATTTGCAAACAAGCGGGCCCACTCCTCCAAACCCATATACCATCAATCGTTGTGGCGCTGTTGGAGGGATTGACGTCAATGGAGCCGCAAATGATGAGTATGAAGGCAATCAAATATCTGATAGTAAAGTCTAATTTGTGCAGTAAGAATTTACTTTTTTTTTTTTTTTTTCTTTTAGATTACCTAAGCTTTCATACTGAAAAATATCAAGTATCTCAAGAACAGTTAGAGAGCACAAGACTAAATGCAGCAAAGCTATCACCAATGGTACGACTATTCTCTGTAATCAAATCGTGAATTGATGAGACAACTACTAAATATTTATTAAAAATGTATGACAGATGGAGGGCGTTGAAGCTTGCCTTGAGAACGTTGATGAGTCTACAATGCCAGCTCTTTCGGAGCAGGTTATAGTAGTGATTAAAAAGGCGGTCGGCCTTCCAACGAAGGTAAATCGAAGTCATGATAAGGCCAAATACAGTTTCGCTATCATGTAGCATGGTATCGAAAGATTAACGTTTTACTTGTTCGTACATTAAACTTGTATGCTTCATAGGCGGGGTGTGCCCACCTCCTAGTGTCCATCTGTATTAAGAAACCTTCGCTTGTTGCGCCGTATAGTGATGCCATCCTGAAAATCTTGGGATCAGCGATTAAGGATAAATCCCCAGCTGTTCGGAAATCGTATGCAGTGGCAGTAGGATACCTCTCAAGATTGACTACAGATAGCCAGTTGGTCAGGTTTATTGAGCGTCTGATTGGCTACTACCTCGACACAGAAGGTAAAAATAACCTGCTATCAATGATCTTATGGATCAATAGTGTCCTGTCCTATTCTAACAAGGCTTTTTTCGCATTACATAGAGGAGGAACTACGCTCCATCTCTGCTATCACGGTGCGTGAAATCTCGAAGAACGCATCTGACAAATTCAAAGGCGTGGCGTCGGCCATCCTTCCTACTGTTTATTACGGGACATTTGACTCGAATAAGACTATCAGTGATATTTGGAAGGAAGTTTGGGAAGACAATACCAGTGGCTCCTCTTCAGCTGTTAAGCTCTATGCGCTCGAAATCATCCAGTTGTTATCTAAGCAGCTTACTTCAAGTTCCTGGAATGCCAAGAAGCAATCTGCATCCGCGCTTAAAGCTATGTCAGAAATAATTGGTAAGTCAACGCGAGCACATTCACCTTCTCAAACCTAGCGATCAGGCTAATGGTGAACATTGTTTCTTCACATTCCACTTAGATTTAACTGGCAATATGGATCTCCTTTTACCTTTGGTTTTGGATGGGCTCTCTGGAAGGACTTGGGAAGGCAAGGAGCACATTGCAGAGCTACTGCCTGCAATAGCCATCTCTGCTAAAGAGTTTTTTGTTATGAACCCAACTAAATTACAAGACATTGCCAAGGTATTCAACATTGCAGATTAGTATTGGGATGAATACCTTTGATAAAAATATATGCTAACAAGCTTTAAATATTTCGTGCTTAGGTTCTCTTAAGGGAGTCCAAGAAGATAAACAAGCAGTACCGTCGACATGCTATCAGTGCACTTGGAACATTGTTGGATAACTTTCCAGAGCTTGATTTTTATTCAGAAGTCAAATCCATTCTTATTCCAATTGTTGAAAACGAAGGAGACAGCGATGGCGATGATGAAGAACAAGGAAAGCCGTTGCAACTAATTATTATGGCCAATGCAGCCAAAACTTTAGGAATGGCATGGACGACGGATGTTCACTCACAAGGTATACGAAGCTCTTGAGATACTAAAAGTAATAGAGCCTGGCATGTATGCTCCAAAATATTGACATTGTTCATCATACCAAAATTTCTAGAGCAATACTCGGAAGAATTTGTATCTTGTGTTTGCAAGGCGCTTGTGCGAAATGTCTGGAACGTTCGCAGTGCTCTGATTGTGGGTTTAGAGAAGTTCCTGGAGAGACTGCGGCTTGATGTGCCTGAGAGGAAAGTGATATCTGAAGAATCACTTTTGACCCTTCTTGATTCACTACTGGAGGGTAGTTTGCAAGACTACAAATATGTTGCTTTAAGGAATCAAGGACTGGATTTACTGAAGGCTCTCGTTGATAAACTTAAAGGTAAATGCGTATTATTATTTTAATAACAATTCATTATATTGAAAGTTATCATGGGTGATTGACTGATGAATGGCTTTATTCAACCTTGGTAGGTACACATGCTCTTACTCCTGTTGTTTTGACCAAGCTTCATGATGTACTCTCCATTGTAAAGAATGATCCCCTCCCAAGCATCTCGGAAGTAGCGACGTTGATCCGGAGCGAGCTAGAAAAGTAAAGGTGTTGCTGAGAATTGGTTTTCGAAAACTATGGGTTAAATTAAATGTACATTCAGACAGTGTACACTTAGATGTGAAAACCAATTACTATGTGGTGGTAAACAGATTAGTAAAAAATAAATTCAATCCTTTCTTTAGTATTACAACTATGACTAACTTGAAGGAAGAAAACGTGGCTCATCCAATCTTCTGGATCTTTAGGTGAACTATATCTGCACAGTGGCGAGATTCCATAATCTCTTACGACGTATTTTGAGAAGGAATCTCCCTCTTAGAACATGCTGATCATTTTCCCCCCATTTGTAGGTGATAGACTTGAAGTTCAACTAATAAGAATAGGCTACATGGTCTTTGATCCTTACCCCTTTAATGTATGAAGGACTAGAACGTGAAGACTTTAATGCCATTTGGACAAAAAACCATTCCTCCTTCCAATAATTGTCTCCTTCCGTATTTATTTAAAATAGTTTAGACGGGGTTTTTTTCTTGGTACTTCTCTTTCAGTCTTTCGATATAGGGGGACTATGGTTTTGACCAGTTTGGATTTTCCACCTGCGAAGCACTTGTCCTTCCTCCAGAGACAAATTGGCATCTTAGGGCGATACGATTGTCTGAGGTTTAGCAGGTAGCGCATGGCGGCGGACATTTTCTTTTAAGGACGCTGTTAGACCGGAAACATCTGACGATTGCATCTTCACTGCGTGGATGTGGGCTCTGGGGGACGACATACGCTCGCCGGTCGTCACTTCCTCTCCGTGAACAACGACTTTGATATTTGGCTCGGTCCGTAATCTAGAGACTGGTGCAGATCCTGATTCCATAACTTCATCCGCCGTGAAAGAATCAGATTCTACATCAGATATAGGTTGCTGATCTTGGCCCATCGCCGATGCTTTCGATATCAACGCTTCCTGAGCTTGCTCTACTGTTGTTTCTTTATTTCTACCCTCAGGTAAGGAGCCAACGCTCGAAGCAGCAGGAAGATTTTGATTAGCTACATTGTTACTGCTAATTTGAGGATTTTTTAGGTCTATAAGTGCATTAACATGGGAATATTTGAAGTGAATATTTACATGTACAAAATATTATTTCCATACATCTAAGCAATAATAAATATTCACCAACCTTTTGCTGAATTGTACGATAGTCTAACAGAACGCAATGCGGCGTTCCATGCTTTAAGTGCCTCGTCTGCTGATTTTGGGTTTTCAGATTTTGGGTTTTCAGGTTCTGGGTTCTCATTTTGCTTTAGCATTGACATGGTATTCAAGACCGATCTCTTTACAGAAGGGCTGGACTCAGCCGATTTGGTGCTTGTGATGGAGAGTGCTGTCCTTTTTGCTACCGTGGGGGAAGTGTTGCTGTCGTCCACAGATGGCGAGGGCTTTGTGCGACTGGATATGGTTATCCTGTTATTTGGCCCATAGTCTTCTACATCCATGCTCTGTGTTGAGAGGCCTCGCTTAGAATCTGATATTCTTGTCGGCGGTGACGGTATGTTAGAATTTGAGCACTCATTGTTTAAATCCTCAGGATATCTCCGTTTTTTGATACTTGTAGGTGGAAAGCTAAGATTTGAAATAGATGAGACGCCGTTGGTAAAAGGATTACCTGTATGTGAAGTCGAGCTCTGCAACGGTCTTTGATCTTGCACACCTGGAGTGTTTTCCTGATTTGTATCAATATCCATGGTAGATTTGTGGTGGGTTGAGCTATCAGAGGCAATTTGCTTGTCTCCTGATCTAGCTATCAAGTCCAGCCTGCCCGAATGCGCATTTGATACAACTGATGAACTAGAAGACATCATGGATACGTCGTCTGACCGGACTCGTGATCTAATTTCCTTACTAGTTGGCTTAGCTGGAACAGAATCTACATCAATTGGCTCCATTTTAATCGCTTTCCATCCTTCTGCTACTGGCGACATAGACATTCTTCTGGAATCAGGATCCGAAGTCATGGAAAGATCGGTACTGGCTGATAGGACCCGACGGCGCTCGAATTTCTCAGGCAAGTTGCTGGCAGAGCGTGGTGACGTGGGTGTGAGCGTGGGTGGCTCCGAAGGGCTACTGATGTTGACAGGAGGCGGTACTGACTGTACCGACATTAATAGCGGAGATGACCGCTGGAGCGGAATTTTTGCTTTAAAGGTATCACTATTCTTCCCTGAAGTATCAACACCGTGTGTGACATCTTGATTAGGTCTTGTAAGGGAAGTGGTTTGAGGCAAATTTTCAACTGTTGTTTTTGGAGGGGTGTCTGGTATATGTACTACTGTTAGGTCTGCTGTAGTGGCCGTGGATGATGATGATGATGATGATGATGATGATGTTTGAGCATTTGACCCCGATGTGTTAGCTTCGCCATGCTTATTGACGACGTTAAATGAAGGGATAGCCGCCTGGGATATTGATACAGGTACTTGAGTAGTGATCGGTGATGTGGTGCTTCCGCTCTCTATTTCGATAATCGCGTCCCTAATCTTGTTCATATTTTCGATCTGTAGCTGGCTTTTTTGAAGAAGCTCTTGCTTCATTAATATTTGCTGGGTCATACTCAAACCGCTAATATCAACGTTGCGAATGCTATGGCTAATGCCCACCAAGATCTTATGCATGTTATTCCATTCGTTTCGAAGGTCGATCGCCTTTGCATAAGCTTGTCTTGAAATATTCTCCTGCGTTGGAAGTGCATAGAGCGTAAATTGCTCATTTCGATGACGTTGCCTCTGTGGTTGAGTCTGCTGAGATACGTTCTGTTGCCGTTGCTGCTGTGGTGGTTGCTGCTGTGGTGGCTGCTGCTGTTGTTGTTGTGGATGCTGCTGATGGTGTTGCTGCTGTGGTTGCTGTTGTTGTTGTGGCTGTTGTTGTGGCTGTTGTTGCGGCTGTTGTTGCGGCTGCTGTTGCTGTTGCTGTGATGGTCGTTGTTGTGGTGGTTGTTGCGGCTGTTGCTGTTGTTGTTGTGGTTGTTGCTGTTGTTGTTGTGGTTGTGGTTGTTGCTGTGGCTGTTGTTGGTGCTGGCGCACCTGTTGCGATAGTCTCTGCTGCGGATGATTTGAGTATTGTGATTGCGCCGGCTGTTGAGTGGGTGCTTGCGGCTGCAGAACCGATGTTTGATATTGTTGAGTATTGAGTGAATTGGGATTATTAACTTGTTGCGAGGTAGGTGTACGAGTCTGCTGTTGATTGCTAGAGCGATGTTCTGTCTGTTGCATGTGCTGTAACTGCTGAGCTAACAGCTGCTGAAGATGTATTTGCATGGCCTGCTGCGATGAGAACTGCGCTCTTTGTTGGTTTTGATAGGCATGAAGCTGCTGCTGTGTTGGTTGATGTACATGTTGCGACTGTGTATCTCGATTCTGCTGGGCTGCTTGCTGATGTTGAAATAATAGAGCTAGATTTTGTTGTTGCAGCTGCTGGGCAGAGAGCGCTTGCGGTGTAAGCTGGGTTGATGGCTGGACTTGAGACGGTCGCTGAGGTTGCTGCTGTGGGCCTAGGGCCCGATTCTGCAACTGTGGAGGGTGAGGAAATTGCTGCTGTGTGACCTGTTGCTGATGCAGAAGGAATTGGTGCAGCTTTGCCTGATCACTAACCGTTGAACCTAGTCCTTGTCCCTGATTTGATAGTAAAGCATTCATCTGAATTCTTTGCTCTTGCGTCAGTGAACTCAGGTCTATGGAAGTGGTAGGAGAGTGGGTGCATGGCTGTTGTTGCTGCTGCTGGTGTTTGTGCTGGTGTTGCTGTTGTTCCTGTTGCTGTTGGTGTTGTTGTTGTTGTTGTTGTTGTTGATGCTGATACTGTTGTTGTTGCTGATGCTGCTGCTGCTGCTGGTGTTGTTGTTGTTGTTGTTGTTGCTGCTGGTGTTGTTGTTGTTGCTGCTGCTGCTGATATTGAGGCCCTAACGAGGACATAGGCGTAATCGGGGATGAACTATTTGTCCATGAGGCTAAAAGTCGCGTAACACGTGTATCATTGCCAGCACCAGTTCCTATTTTTTCTGTCATCGCTGCATGATACTCTTGTAAAGCTTCCATCGCATTCTTCAATTCTTTCTCTACAGCAGTCAGTCTTAATTGGAGCCTTGACTCTGAGGATGTCTTTTCTTGTAGTGCCGATTGTAAATGTGCGGCTTCAACCGTTTTTGCTTGGAGCGTATTTTGAAGATTTGTAGCTTTCCACGTGTGTTGCATGATTTCCTGGGTCTTAGCACTCATATTTTCATGTAACTGCGCGTTAAGCACTCCTCTCCGGGTGTTCTCTTCTGTCAAACCAGCGATGGTGGCTTCCGTATTCTTGAGCCGTAGTTGATGCTCCTCTAAGGCCTTTCGGTTCTTCTCCGCTTCTTCAAGAGCTGTAACTAGGTCTTGGGTTGCCCTTTGAAGCTCCCGTTCCAAGTTTGCAATTATCATCTCGGAAGTTACCTCTGTGCCAGTGCTATTGGTATTATCGTTACTACCGCCTTCTCGTGATCTACTTGATGTTGCTTCAGTCTTTGCGCCTTCTAGCCTAGCTTTCATTTGCGCGTACTCTTTTTTCAGATCCTCAATTTCAAGCTCCATTGAAACGCACTTCTTTCTAGCCTCGATAAACTCGGTAATAATAAACGCCTCATCTTCTCGTGTTGATTTTTTATATCCTGAGTAATTGCGTGAATGTAAAGAGAGTGTTTATTACTAATTGTCGGAGCTTTTTTATTTTTTAATACAAGCATCAGAATTCATTCATGTGCGATTAACCGTACCGTCAAACAGATTTGCGATCTCACGAGTGAAACGTTCATGTCGTTGCTCACCAACACGAAGTAGGGTATTTTTAAGTCCCTCAAACCCTTCGAATCTTGTTATACCCCCAGCATTGCCTTTAGTCTGAGACTCGCCACCAAGTCTTGTGTTGTTGTCACCATCCTGATTGCAAACATTGGCAGAAAAAGACTCAGTCATGACCCGTCAACACTATTACAATAATAATTTATACAGCCAATGCTTTCTGTCAAGGTCTAAGCTCTGATGAAAATAAAAAAAAAAAAATAAAAAAAAATAAAAAAAAAAAGTAATGAAAGTAGAGAGAATGAGTGGATCAAAGGGGAAGGTTATGTTTTATCTACTAATGCCATGACAGGAACAAAATGGCTCGGACTAAATGAAGAAAATGAGTACGAAAAACTTTAAAAAAAATTAGAAAAAAGGTCCTGCACAGCTCTATTAGCCACACCATTGTAACGATATACCATGATTCGGCAAAAATGTTTCTTTATTTATTTTCGTATCTCTCCACTTACTGAAGATCGTATTAGTGAGTTGATTGCTATAAAAAATGCATAAGACTTCAAGGGCTGATTCAAGCAGTAGAGAATATCTATTAGTCTATAATACTGTACAAGGTACAATGCCAAGATACCCTCTTCAATTGAGGGCCCTGTGGATCCTATTTGTTTGCACAGAAGTTCCGTTTATCTGAAGAAAAAAAAAAAAAAAGTATTAAACTGTATCGGTTTCACATCAACCACCGATGTGGAATGAGAGCAAAACCGTCTATAAACCCTGCATTTATCTTTGAGTAATGGCACCGAAAATTAGACCAATGCATGTTTACTGTCCTAAAAGTCTTTTATTTTGTTTAATTTTCCCCATTTCATTTAGCGCGAGCATCTTCAGTAAGATGATAGACATCTTCAACATTGCCAGGCCCCTCAATGCAAAGACCTAAATTGCGGATCACTCCATCGCTCAAGCGGTAGCACCATCCATGGATGCTAAGCTCCGCACCACGGCTCCAAGCCTTCTGAACAATCGAGGTATGGCAGACGTTGAGCGCGCTCTGGATCACATTAAGCTCAGTCAACAAATCCTGCTGTTCTCTACTGCCCTCTGGGAGGGCCTCAAATTTCTTTCGATGGATCGTGTACAGATCCTTAATGTTACGCAACCAGTTGTCGATTATACCGATTTGCTTTTGTGTCAATGAAGCTGCAACACCACCGCAGCCATAATGTCCACAGACGATAATGTGGCGTACTTTAAGGACATCGACGGCATACTCGAGTACCGACAGTAGGTTCATGTCTGTATGAGTCACGACATTGGCAATGTTGCGATGCACGAAAATCTCTCCGGGGTCGAGATTGACAATCTGGTTTGCGGGTACTCGCGAGTCAGAACAGCCTACATGTTCAAAAATATGGTGAAAGACGAGCATGAGGGCCGAGATTCATTATAAAGATAGCAGTATCGTGTATTATATCTGATGCAGATAGAAGATCCGTCAGAAGATTGATCTCATATTAAAACAATACCATGAACTCGAACTTACCAATCCACAGCACCTGCGGCTTCTGTTGCTTTTCCAGCTTTGCAAAGAAGCCGGGGCGCTCTTCTTCTGTCTTAAGGGCCCATGCCTTATTCTGTCCTAGCAACCTTTCAGAGAAGTTTCGTGCTTCCTCTGAGATAGGAGGGAAGTCGGATTGGTCAATTGTGCGATGATCATGAACACCTGAGCAACAGCTGGTGTCAGCTGTAGACGCACTCAGCTTGATCTCGCTGTCGAGGCAAAAATCGTTAAGGCGTTTGTTGATAATGGCTTCTGTAGCATTAGCAGCCATGGCTCGAGGGCTACTGCTACCGACTTTTTGAGATGTAACGGCCGCAATGGCTTCATCAATGCTCTTGTTGCTCGAACCAGCAGCACTGCTAGTGGAGAAAGCCGAGGACCCAGCGGTGCTCGGCTGAAACTTGGTGAAGAATGGGTGCGACCGCGCATGTTGATGAACTGGCGAGCTGATACGGGGCGACTCTGCAGCAGAAGAGGCTTCTCCAGAAGGTTTCTGTATCGGCTCGGTGGAATTAGTGGGACCGGATGACATTTTAGTACGTTTTGTAATGAGATTCGAAGGAGAGGATGAGGAAGAGAGAAAGGATGGGGCGGGACGATTGACAATGTTACGATGGATGAATGGAGAGGATTTGATGGATGAATGAGAAGAAAAAGAAGAATAGAGGGAGGTAGGCAAAGAAAAATAGGAGCGAGACCGGATGGAAAGATGGGGTACGTCAGAGATAAGCAGTCTGGGGTTTAGGGGAGAAGCGGCAGCAGCACCAGAGGCGATAGATACCACTGTGGGAGAACGACTAAGAGCAAACATTAGTAAAAAGAAAGAGATGAGAGAAGGAAAGCAAAAAAAAAAAGATTGGGTGCGTCAAGAGAGAAGGAAGAATGGAATTAGATAAGAGAAAAAATGAGATGGAATAAAGTAGAAGATGTAGAAGATGTCCAACCTTTTTTATATCGCGCAAGCAAACAGAAGAAACAGATCAAGGTTGTCGAGAAGCTATGACAATAACTATAGCCACCCAATTTACTATCACTCTTTTTCTCTATTTCTCTATTTTCCCTCTTCTCAAAGAGTCTCGGATACCTATCTCCTCACGTTTACAACCCCATCTTTCTATACCGATAACCCATTCATCAAGGTATATATATCTTTTATTATGATCACCCCATCTATCTAAATAAAAATGTGTCTTTCTAAAGAAATGATGTGATTAGATGCGTCAACGTAAAAACAGGATCTGTGCGTCAATTACAAGAATTTCGTTAAGCAAATCATTTATATTTGAAAAGGTCTAACCAAAAAGAGCGAACAACACAGGTCCCTTTTATAAAAATGAGGAGACCCGTGAGAAAGTAATTTTCTGACTCCGACTGTTGTCACGTACACTCGGCAATTTTTTTATTTTAAAAAAAAAAAAACGGCAAAATTCCCTGACTGATGCAAAATGACAACATTAATCCAGCACAGATTTAAAAACTTGCACCTAACAGCTGTATGGTAGTCTGCAGTAACATCACTTTACCCCCTAAGAAACGGTTCCTAGTCTAGTCTTAATCGGTATGACCTAGGCTAGTCTAATTTGTGTCGCCTAGCTTTGGCATCCTTTTTACAACGCCTTCCGTGGCCACACTTTGCGTCGAATTCGCTCCATATCTAAACCCATCAAGAACCCAAATCGATCAAAGAACTCGTCTGGCAATTCCCAGCTGTGTACATCCATGGGTGGTCCATGGCAGATTGCTTTATCCAACAGCAGCTGAAACAACTCGTCGATATTGTATTTGTTTTGGTGTAAAATCATCTGCGCCCGCAGTTTGGGACATGGAATCAAGTCAATCCTTGAATCATGAGGTATTTCATAGATCTGAGGTGAAATATTCGGGTCCACTGCAGGTGGAGATGTCGCCATGATGTAAAATTCCTTTTGCAGACGATGGTTACCATTCACAAGTCCCACTTTGGTTGCATAGTTTTTGATACCCCCTTCTCCTCGAACCCGTTGACTGTTCGTAGTAGTTGTTGCCGAGCAGTATCCATGATCATCGCCCATGACCGCGGTATTCGAAGGAATCTGCTCAAAGAAAGTATTACTATCATTCACAACTTCCTGTGGGGTCGCCATGCCGCTCTGCACCAGAGACTCCAGTGTACCTGGAGGGAATAATGAGGATTGAAGCTCATCAAATACGGTTGGATGTTTTGTGTAGTCTGTATGTTTGGGTAGATGAGTTCCCGGTGCAACAAAAGATGGGCGGGGTGCTGACAATGGTTCTGTAGGTGATCTGATTGTCGTGATTTTTCCATCATCAGATGCAACAGTTACAAAGAGCGGAGGCGCTCTATAAAGGATCTCCCGATTGACAGTATAGGACAGTATGTCATGCGTAGGATCTACAGCCGTGAGAGGCAATGTCAAAGGGTGAGGTGCTTCTTTGGATGGTATTGTTGACTTTTCAGAAAAGTCGTCATGCTGAGCTGTAGCATCTGATCCAATGTTTCTAGCCATATCTGACTTTGCTTGGTGTGTTTGCGCATGCTTTTCATTATGATGGCGATAAAGTTCCTGTTTGACATCTTGTAAAACCGCAACATGCCCTCCTTTACAAAGTGCCGTCTCGAATGCGAAAACAACTTCACGCAAGTATTGATTTTCAAGCATAGTGGTCTCAAGACGTGAGTTGAGCTCTGTGACCTCGCGTCGAAAGCGGGTAACCATATGTACTTGTTGATCTTTAAGGTCTCTGATCATGTTTTCGAGCTGTTGAAGATGTCTTTCTTTCCTGTCTCGAAATGCTCGTTGTGCAGCTCTGTTCTGTTCCTTTCTTAGTTCAGGGGATGTTGCAGCCTTCTTTACGACGGGTGTGGTTGTAATAGCTCCGTTATCTCCCTGCTCCCGGTCATAGTTTTGACTCTGACCTTGGTCTAGCTCCTGGTCTTCAACACTACGCTTCCTCTGACATGAAACAGATGTCTCATCTAATGAGCCAGTACAGCTGTATTTTGAATGTTGGGAAGGATGATGTGAAGACATTTCTTATGTAGTAGCAGTAGTACTAAATGTAGTGTGGTCAGGTAGTTCAGTACTAATAATGTGAAGGGAAGAATCGAATCAGACAAACATTCAAACAGACATTCAGACAGACAATCAGGCAGATGAACCAAATTAACCGTTGCCCTGAATTTTTCGTTTTAAAAAAATATAATTTTGTAAATGCCAATATGTTACGATGAATTTAATTTTGCATTGAAATGGTTAGTGGGTTAGTGGATTGAAAATGCCAATGGACCAATGCGATAGCTTCTATCTGATGGTGCGATCGTGCGTGCGCTGGCCTGCACTCGGCGTAAACGCAGCTAGTTCGCGTGCCATCTGTCGCACCTTTGGATCGAAATGCGACTATTCCCGTCCAGAGTATTAAAGAGAGTAAATAGAGATGAAGCGTTCTGTAAGAATCATTTCTTTTCAAACTGCAACAATATGTTATACTTTTTTTTTTTTTTTTTTTTTTTTGCTTATTTACCTTCATCAACTCAAATTCCCATAGATTGGCAGCCATAGGGTTGCACAACTCAGGATCATTGAGCGCTGGATGATACACTCCGTTTCCTGCCCGATCTTCATCCGAGCCCGTTAACAACTGATCCAATTGTGGCTGCTTCTGAATAAGTCTCCTCATGATGCTCAAAAAATCCTTCATTGATTTGTTTGGGAACTGTAAGGACGCAATCGCAATCCGCTTTAAGAACGATGCCGATCGAATTACTGGAATCTTACCCTTTGTAGAGAAGAATAGCAATTCAAATCCCTTCAAAATAAGCTCACGGTCCGTGTCAAACACCACTAGTACTTCGTCCTCTACTGTCTTCTTGGAATTTTTGCCTTTCCATTGAGCTTTAGAAGCCTGCTTTTGTTTCTCCTTTTCCCTTGCCGATGCCTCTGCTGCCTCGAAGATATTTCCTTCAATATCGGGATTCATAGTCACTGTCAATAAAGTAGTATAGAACTCATTATAAAATGCTTTCAAATCAATATTGAGAGCTTCTCCTTGATCTTGAAGCAATCGGAAAGCCGTAACAATACAGAGCAATTGAGTCCGGCGGTTGGAGGGGTTGTATGGATCAAACTGCTGTACTTCGGAACCACCGATCATGATTCTCTTGAGTACCTCAACTAGATCTGTGAAAAACTCTACATTAATCAAATGAGCGAACCTATCAAATGAAAATGAAAATAAAAGAGAACCCACATCAATTGTGTCAGCTGTAGAATAGGAATAAAATTAAAGTAAAGGTCATTCTTAATAGCGTCGTATATGATGATGACTTCATACTTAGCAAGACCTTCAAGCACGGCTGGTAAGAGCGTTGATCCCGGAGCATGCTTGAGTATACGAAAATAAGTCACGAAAACCAACTTCAATGTTTCTGTTTGCACCCGCATCTTTTCCTCTTTGTCCACAACGGCCTCTGCTTCCTTCATTTCAATCTCAACTTCCTTCTTAGCCTTCAACAATTTGCGGTTTTTCTTGCTGATGTGAACCTTTTCCTTTTTCTTCCTCTTCCTAGTATTGGTATCTTCTTCGCCACCTTGGCGTGTTGGCAGCTCCTCTTTGAGTCGGAGCGATAAAAAGACGTTGATTACATTGGGGTGGATTAAATACGACTTGGATTTTATCATTTTTGTAATAAGTTTGACAGCATCCAAGGATGCCTCTCCAGATTCATCTTCTGTAAAAACATCTTTTAGCGCTTTGCTACAAGTCTCTGAAAGTTCGCTCCAGTGCCGCCGGCTCATCCTGACGATCAGAGCAGTCATCAAATTCAGACGGAAATTGAAATGTGTCAAGCTTGTCAGTAAGTTGCACATGCAGTGGAGCGCGACCGTAGCTAAATCAGCTTTTGCCTCTTTAGCAGACTCATCCTTAGTAAGCGAGCTGGCAGTAGGAGCAGGGGCAGTCAATGATGCTGTTGTATGGTTCGTTTCCTGTTCATCCTCGTCTTCTTTCCCTGACTTGTCCTGCGACAAAATTTTTTCAAGGCTTTGAAGATAATGTTGATAATTCTGAAGAAGTGATTGTTCGTAGTCTCGTAGCTTGGCTACTTCCTTGGAGACGGTGACGCCCTGCTCTTTCTCTGTCAGTGGACGAATCCTGTATCCTGGTAAAATATCTTTATATACGGCTAATTGTGTTAACATGGCTAACTTCTTTATCACATCACTGGGGTCTTGTGCCAAAGCTCTAAGCCTCTTGAGTGCACCAAGCTATCGGAGTGAATAATAAAGTGCATAAAAGAACGTGATGAACGAAATCAATATTAACAAAATAAGCGGATGTTTTTCAAATAAGACCTAAAAAATAAGTAGTGATTTCCGGGAGGAAGCCCAGCTTAACGACCTACATTTGATTCCGGATCAGCAATAATAGTTTGAGCAATAGATGCCATTTCCTCCTTCTTTTGGGCCAAGATCAACTTCTTGGGAAGCTTCTTCTCTGGCGTGGCTTCATCTACTTGCGCTTTCTCTATTTGATCTTCAGCAATGTCACTACTTTCAATTTCTACCTCTTCGTCTTCTGTGTCATCGGCCTCCTCCTTTTCCTTAGTCTTTATTTCACTTGGTCGAATGCGATCATCTTTAACCTCCTTAATGCGGCCATCCGCCAATTTAATAGGCAGACGCATACTGCTCTTTTCAGCCCACCCTTCGGGCCTACGAGGTGCCAACTCATAATCCTGTTCTTCATCCGAGTCCAGATCTCCAGGCTCTTTTTCATCCTCACCTTCTTCACTATCGTCATCATAGCTTCCGTAGTGACCATCTGCCATTTCTACTATTTCATCATCCTCTGACATAGCCCCATCGCTATCATCATCCATATCAATGTCCATGCCCTCTATGTCACTATCCGCAGAGTCTACTGATTCTGGTTCTGATTCTATATCGTCTACTGTTTCCTGAACAGATCCTCTCTTCAATGCCCCAACTGTTGTTTTCTTCTTTGCCTTGATAATCTCATTTCTTATATTTTTTTTTTTAATGATACAAAGAAAACAGATAAAATAAATTTGTTACTGCTATTCAACCGTTGTCATGACCAAAGCGGAACAACCAAAAATCTGATTCCTATACAGAGAGCATACTTTGCTAATTTGACGGCATCCATATTATTTAAAAACCCAGACAGCTGGCTATTCGCTTTAAAGAACTCGATGTCCTCTTCATCAATTTCGATATCGTCAGAGACCTCAAAGTTGGGAACAACTACATTAGGGACTTTGATTTGTTTCTCAGTTTTATCTTTTTTATCTTTCCTGTTCCCAGGCTTCAGAGGAAAAAGATAGAGAGAAGAGAGAGATTAGATGAATTTCTGTTTTTAAGATAATGTTGCAGAAAATTGTCTTTTATGATTTCAATGATACCTTTTTCTTTTGTGTGGTCGATTTCGCCCCCTTTTTTACGGGTGCGGGTTTGCTGCCCTTCTTTTGAACCATGATAGTGTGCTCTCTGAATATTAGGATGTCGATGATAGTTGAGATTTAAATCGATGAGTTGGTTGTAATGAGAAGACTAGAGAGAAGATGAGATGAGGTGATGCAACCTTGGCATGGTTCTATCAAAAAAGACAACATAAAAAAAAAAAAAAAAAAAAAAAAACGCCACTAAATTATTTGTTTATCTTTGGGTGTCCAAGCAGTCTCTTTATTTTTTAAATTTTACATGAGCACTTCTGCCATTTGTTTCTGGTACTAGCACACAATGGACAATCCTAATCAAAGTCCCCGAAATGAATATACATCTATATCTGAGGAGAAGCGGCGCTTCCTAGAAGAAAAGTACAGACGTAGGAATCTTGCCCCAGAATCTCTCATCATTCGCCCAGGTCTCCGAAAGTTGCACATTGCAACCATTGCACTTGCAATTGGTAAGTTTATAATCGATAGCACCATGTCTTTCTATTTCTCCCATAGTTATTAAACAAGTCTTCGACTCTATCTGACTACTTCTTACAACATTTGCTTGGTTAGGAATGAGTGGCTATTTTGCTCTCTTTGCGGACTTTGGAGACAAAGAGACATGCTTTACACCGGTATGAGAATCATTTGACGCTTTGTTCATTAAAACAAAGTGATTTTTTTACATGTTTATGAATGCGCTCTTGCCTGCATCGTATTAACTTGTTTGTTGTCCTTTTTTTTACTATTTTAAAACACTCTTTAGATTCGTAGATACTACAAGCGTAAAGTAGATGAATTCTGGTCATTAAGCGAGGAAGAAAAACAACAACTGAAGGAGCAAGGGCGGTTATAGGATTTAATTGTCTATCGTGATCAGAACAGACTTATGGGCCTTCGGAAGCTTGTAGGTCGCCAATTCTTTTGAGACGAGTAACGCTCTGACCTCACATTTGAATTCTATATGTTTGCAGATAACTAAGCTTGTTCATGAGCACTTCGTCAATCTGTGGAAGCCAATTAATCATAATACTACTGTATTTGTATATCTTTGTACCATGTAAAAGAAGAAATAAAAAAGGCCATCGCTTTTATTTTAATAAATCTAGAAAGGGGAATGAAAAAGTGTAACAGCATATCTATTCTAAAAGTGATGATCCTTTTTTAATGATCGCTTTAAGCTGTTAGAATCAAAGTGCTGTTGTTTACTAACGTTTTTATGTCGGGTTTCTTGGTCAGTCACAGTACGATGACGCCCAGATATGGTCGATGCTCCGTCAAAATCCTTTCCAGTTCCATGCCCTTGATAACGCCCTTGCCTGGAATGTATAGTCAGTCCGCCATTATGTATGGTACGATTCGATGAAGAGGTTCCTCTAGTATTCGATTGAACATCAACGGTTCCACTGTCTGGTACGTCTGTGGCAGACGGACCGGATGAAAAAAATGAGCCTAGAGAGGCTGATTTGTGGTGTCCTGAGCGAGATCTCCCATGTCGATGTCTGTCCTTGGGCTTTTTTTCATTGATTTCTATCGGAGATGATTGGATCTGATTGCTTTCCTCTGTTGCAACTTGATTTTTCATAACATCTTGTATTGTCAACTCCACAAAATTGTATTGCAGCTCCTTAAAGAGAGGCGGTGGCTGATTTGCTGCTGCGGCTAAAGACATTTCAATTGAAGCATACGGATGAAAGCTTGTTGTATCGGCGGATGATAATGAAGCATTTGAATGATGAGCAAGGCTGGGGAAAAAAAACCCTTGACGGATAGCCTCTCTCTCGATTTCCTTGTCTTGCATATGATGTAACCCCTCACTACTCCCGTTTGAACCAATCCTGTTGTCCGCATTCATAACTCTGAGAAGACTAGAGTGCCGGTCACGATCAGTAGCATGGTCCACAGTACTCAGTGTCGATGAGGATCCGAAAGCGAGGAAAGCCTCTGATGTAGTCGGTTCCGTTTGGTATGAGTAGTTTGTTTCCCAAGGGTTCATGAACGCCGGAAATTGGGGCTCGATCGGATCAGAGAACCTGTTTTCTGTCCGTATAGAGTGATTTATGACTGATGGAGTCGACGCAACTGGATTGGATGCAAAAACAGTGGAAGCAGCAGGGGTTGCTGAGGAGTTAAACTGAGGTGGAAGAAATATCGACCCTGAGATCAGTCCATTATTTTCTTCTGATAGAGGCAATGGACGTGAAATTGACGAACTAGGAGGAGACGAGGCAAACATTCTTGATCTCCCGCACAACAATGACTCCGTCAAGTTATTTTCAATCGATGCTCTCCTACTACTGCTGGCGCTCTGGCTACCTCTAAAATAATCCCTTGGGTTCACGTAATCCGACTCCTGTATTGAAACTGTAGATGATGCTAATAGTGGCGGCGATCTCCGTGTTGACCATCTTTCGATGTCCAGTGTGTTTTCTTGATGATGCTGATTAAAGGGCATGATTCTTGGTGTTCTTGGCGATGATTCAAAAAATGAGGAGGGAGGTAGCAACTGACTAAGATTGGGGTTGCTCTGGGTATTAGAAGAATCAATCTGTATCCTGGGCCCTGAGTTCGACCTAGATCTATGTTTTCCATGCTCTTGGTCGCTCTCAATAGAGATATCCAGCCCTGACTGAAAAGGCGAATACCATATAGACGAATCACTGAAAAGACTATAATCCTTAGATGCCACATTCTCTGATTTATCCTCGCTAGTTTGTGCCGGGTTCATCAATCCATTAGGCTCGCTCGAGGTATCAGGAGATGAAACTTGACATAAAGACGATTTAGCCGCCTTTTTACCACCTGGCGCTGAAGCTTGCGGAATGCTCCAACGTGAAGCGGAGGGAAGATGAGCGGATTGTGATCGTTTGTGCGATGACTTTGACCGCACAATAGGGCTTGTCGAGTTGAGAGCATGCAATGGATGTATGAACTTCAATTCGGTGGCTTGTGATTCTGATGTGTCCGCCGCCTTTGATACTGAGATATTGGGCTTTGAAGGTGCTGTCGTTGTGTTCGAATCCCGAGACAAATGCTCATGATGGGTGTGTTTTTTTTCTCGCTCGCAAACTAAAGACGCATGATTTGAGTCTGAGGCTTTTGCAACTTGGGCTTCAGGCAATGTATTGGACGTTGGCTGGATTGTAGTATTTGGGTTGATGGAGGAAGATTCCTGTTCTCGGGAAGAAGGGGCTATGGGCTATAGCAATCGTTAGAATAGATATATCTCATAGGTGAGATACATATCTCTTGTTCAAATAGCAAAAAAGATTAAAGCTCCTTGTACACACCTTAACAAGAGATTCTGTAGAATTAGAGGCTGTATTGGACTTTAACCCTCGCATTTTTCTCCGACGCCTTCGATCTGTTGAAATAAAATATCCATCATCTGCAGTCTCATACATGGCGGTGGTAGTTTCTATCCCCATTTCAGACCCATTACGCGTATCCGCATCAGCTACTCTTGTCTTGGTTGATTTTGCTTTTAATTGCCTTGATTGCGTGGATATTCCCGAAGATGCCAAAGATGTTGTTTTCCCTGCATTATCCACTATGCTATTTGCGTGACTATAGGATGGCGAGCGGTTGGAAGATATAGATGCATCATGGATGCTGTCCGATGAAGAAGCTTTACCTTTTCGAGCCTTTATTTTTAACCGCGCTTTGGATTCTGATCCAGAACCTGCTGAAAAAGCATCCGTGTCTATTGCGCTGGAGGTCCCTGCCCTTCGTGGATGATGACGGCTTGGAGTTGGCGATCCTACAAGGCTTCCTGTGTCTTTGAACTGGTCTGTAGCTGGTGCAGATGATGGCTTTCGCTGGTGTCGTAAACTTTGCCCTGTCGATTGGCTATTCGATCGAGTGATTTTCCAAGGAAATATCCGTACCACATAAACCCACAGTCGTTTCTGGTATGTCATGAGCCACGTCCAATTATTACTGACCAAAACGATCCAAATCTAAAATAAAAAAAAATAAAAAAAATAAAAAAAATAAAAAAAAGGAAAGCAAGTTTTATGTCAACCACAATGAAAAACACAACAGCAATTTTACGATAATGCAAAGTCCGCTTGCATGATCTGTGTTTATATTTATGAGCAATTAATATGCCGATTTACTCTTCCACTTTGCTTCTATGCCCGACTTGGTTGTCGGTCTTCCCATTTAGTTTAATGACGTGACGATCATCAGCAGGCTTTTAGCTCTCGTCGTACATTATACATGTCAAGATTGCAGGTTTGTGTTGTACTACGTCCCCTGCACTTTTACTTTCTTAACACAGACAATCCATTGGATAATCTTGCGCACATAATCTGTTTGCACATTCAGGGCGGATTGAGGGGGTTCACTGGAATAAAAGCATTACCACACACCTTTTGAATTTTTTTGCTTACAAAGTAGGTACCACCTACCAGTAAGACGCAAAAAACGCTTCGGAGTGTCCACTGAATGGCCTCGACATAGACAGCCTCCTGCCCATCATGGATCAACGGCTCCAAAAAGTAGCAATCATCGCTGCGACGTGCACAGGCACTATAGGAAGATAGAACCAAAACTAGGAACTCCAGTGCTGTTGTTACGGTCCTGGATATCGTCGGCCAAAGTGCATTGAGAATCGAACAAATGAGAATTATCTGTGCGGGTAATACAAAGTCTCGAAAAGCCGATCGAACACCGATACTGGAACTGCTCTGACCGCCACTTGGATTATGAATGGATCCATGATGTGAGTGATGATGATCCTGTGTACGTCGATATGGTCGAGTAAAAAAACGAGGCGGTGGGTTTGCAGGAGGAGCGCTAGGCAAACGAGCAGATAAGGAAGACGAAGATGATGGATTGATAAGCGTAGTGGATGAGGATGTGCGTGAAGAAGGAAGAATGTTGCTATTACTATTGCTATTGCCGTTTGCAGCGCGAGTGTCGTCCCGTACAATGCTCCCGTGCCGTGAATGAGTAGTTACCAATGGGTTGCTGTCATGAATGTGATTGGATAATGATGCTGAAACATTGTTTACAGTGTTGGGATCTTGGTCCAAATGCACCCCCATTGGTCGGTGTGAGAAGGCCTGATCCTGAGGCTCCATGCCTCGATCTGTTGGAGGATCAGTGTGCTGGCAGGAATGAGGATACAAAAAGGTCGAAGTAGAACCGAAAAAATAAAAAATAATAAAAAAAGTTTGAAAAACGGTTTCAAAGCCAGAGAAGGATGGGAAAGAAGAGAAATGAAAGGAGGAGAAAGAGCAGGAAGAAAAAAGATAATACAAAGAGAAAGTGAAAGGCTGAATGAGGGTCGAATGGAAAAACTGAATGAGGGTCGAATGGAAAAATTTGTGTCAACTCAGACAAAAGGGCAAAATGCAATTTTATTCACAGGAAGAAAAGACTAAAAATCACGTGGACCCCAATTTACCATATCCCTGACAAGTTATTCTTCACTCTAAGCTTGAGTCGTCGCGATAAAACTGTCTGTAACGATGATAATTCTGGCCTCAGAAAGGTAGGGATGGAAATCCTTTAAAGCCATGATGCATGATGAATACCAAGATACATTTAATAAACTCATTAAGATCATACAGAGTTCTATTAGATCAAAGATAGGTAGGAGGATATTACTTATTCATAGCCAATAATCCATGTCAAAGCTTCATGCATTTTGTGCTTCAAATTCTGTAAGAGGCACGAACGATAACTAGTCCCAGGCTATAATCTTTTTCAGCGTTTCCAGCAACAAATGTCAGCGAAGAGAGTATTTTATTCTTGGCAGCTTCTGTCTATTTTTTTTTTTTTTTTTTTTTGGTCTAAGAATGGAAGCAGCCATAGCTCTACAAAAAACATTAATCAAGCGTGATCTGGAGGGCTTCATCAGTGAGCATGTTGTCAAGCCCATGGACCCGATGAAATGGAGCGAAGAGAGATTGATAACCTTTGGATGCCTTAGCCAGTGTAATAATAGTTAGCAACAATATTCAAAAGACATTGGCGACCACCCTTCATTGAAATACTTTTTAAAGGAATCCATGGTATCGTTGACAAACTGAAGTATAAGGTATTTGGTAAGGCATCATAAATGAAACGAGGCGAAAGTTCGTTCTATCTATAATGGCTCTTGTTTCCTGGAACGTAAAGAGTTAGAGTGTTCTATTTTACAACACATGAAGCGCTAACTCGGCGGTTTGGATCGGTTTATGTCGAGCCATATGCATTTCAACTATTTGAAAAATACCTCTTTCTTTTATTTTCTTTCAACAATAGCCGTTTGTGAGTCATTTTAAATTAAGTAGAAAACTCATACTAATATGTACTGTGGGTTATCTAATGGAAGGTGTAAACCTTGAGATTTCATTAAAAAAGCTTGTTAAATAGGCATATATTCTGTATTATTCTTTTTGAAAACAAAACCATTGTATGACCGAGGATGCGGCATATAAGTAGATTCACGAGAGGTTTGCAGCAAGTAAAACCCAAAATAGGTCGCGAATATGCTTATAGACAAATAGACTAACTGAATTTTCTTGGCAGCGCCAGTTCAAAAACAAAAATGCCCGGCAGAGCATGATATGGACCATCGGGACATCCTACCAACCGTTTCAAGGCATCAAGGCCTGCCTTGCACATACAACATGGCTACCGAAGCAAGGCCTAGCGATAGCAGCAGACTAAAAAAAAAAAAAAAAAAAAAAAATTGAAATTGAACCACGTAAAAGGCTGGATGGCATCCTTCCTGTTTGCTGTACAGCTATTCAACAGTCAAAACATTAAACACTTTCGTTCGCAAAACACAATCTTTGGACTCATCTTTGAAAGAAAGCTTATAGCCTTCTAGCTTCGCCTTGTACGCGTAGACATTCAGGCTTGCTTCTTTACAGCCGCCCAGGGAGTGTACGCCAGTCTTCGTCCACATTGTAGGAGAAGCAACTAAATTAGGCTTTGAAATCAAACACATTTTTATTCATGGGCAGCAATGAAGTTATTGAAAAGAACACAGCCTACAACGGGCAGAAAATAGAGGGTTTGTATGTTGAAACTCGTTGAGGATCTACTAAAAGAGCCGAGAAGCACATAGAAGAGAAGAAGAGAAGCCAAGGAACAACTCCATATGAACTGTAAGGAATGCTTCATCAATGCATACTGCGGGCTGCGCGAGAACAGTACAAAAAACGCCTGAAATACACCGCTGAGGAAGTAATCGGAAAGGAACCGCACTGCTTCTAGACTATAGTTAGCGTGCTTGCGGCCACGCAAACGCTAAGTATCAATATCCTTTCCACACTTTGAGCCGCTGGCCACGAGCCGGCGCTGTGCTATGCCTGTATTTGTGTCTATGTCTGTTGGTAGCGATCTTTGCTGCATCCAGGGGGGCCGTCCCTTCGCGCCCAAAGGCTGAAGATAGAGTGGCCATTGCTGCTTCTTCAGGTGGCCAAGGATGACATTGCAAAAGGTGGGCTTCCAAGTACAAGCAACAATCCAAAATCCAATAAATTCAGCAGTGTCTGATTAATCAAGCAGGACTCGAGACTTTCCAGCAACGGTGGAAGTGGTCTGCTGAGGGTGCGAGGTGACATGTTGAGCCGCTTGCATTTTAATCCGCGGAAATGCTGCATATTCAAATGGAGAGCTAAACTTCACCTGTGATAGGCATTGTTGGTCAACTCATGACGTAGGCCAACAGGCACCAGACCTGCCTTTAGGTCGGGACGCCATGCATTGGGCACAAATGCTATAGCCCCATTAAAACATAGGGTTTAGTCCATGCCAGGCTGATATTACACATTTTTCGGTTTGACCATTTCTTTTCTAAAAGTGTTGTAAAGTCCCAAGGGGATTTATCAGGGCGACTGGATCAATTCCAACTTCGGAAGTCTACCTAGAGAAGTATAAACATTTAAAATTATATATATTTTAGTTAAAATGTGCACCTAGAGTTCCAGTAATCATTAATAGTGCGAGTTTGTTTAAAGTCTCTGAGCGGTACCCTTGTAGCTTCACGTTTATTGTATCTCTCCCAATGAGCATGATATTTTATTTCATCCCCTTTCCCTCGGTGGTCTAATATTCTAATATCTTTTTAATTTCGAAAATGTCGTCAGTGCTATCATCGCTCAACTCATGGTCGTTGCCGACACTTTGGACAGTAGCAATAGTAGTGGTGGTAGCGATAGTGAGATCTAGGAATAATCCTGAGGGCTATGAATACTATGAGTGTCTTTGATTTTGATAGAGTTACTTGGAGAAAAAGGTTTTTGAGTAGCGTTTGCATCAGTGCCGTCTGGATAGTCGAAGCTCTCTTACATCCAGAAGCTTTGATGCGGCTCTGCTGTTACATTCCACAAGGCGACCATGCGTTTGATATTAAGGAGTAAACAGCATAGCTTGAATTGCAGTAAGAAAGCGCTTATATCAGATATCCTCTTTACCACAGTATGACTAAACTTTGTGAAGGCACTCCGCATCTCTCCAAAGCAACTTTCTATCTCGGAATGAAAGCCTCCGATCATTTCGTTGAGCTTTTTTTCTGGTCTGTCAATACTATTCCTCTCAGCTTCCAGATTGCACAACAGAAATTCGACAATTTAATTAGCCGCTCTTTTCAACGATGCCGTGAAGAAATTGTGCATAGCCTCCATCCAGAGTAATGCAATCAAGGTTACGGATATTCTTCTCAATAGCCATCTTGAAGAGCATGACTTCGTCATTGAAATCGTGGCATTCGCGGGTTGAGATATAAACAATATCATACTATTTATGCCACAGCACACCTGAATGCGGAGCCCAGACTTTTTGAGTTTGTATGAGTACATAATAGCTTCGTCCGCAATAAGGTATGCCACTCGGCTATCATGGTTATGTGAAGTGTATTACACTTAAACTCCTCTGGATTAATGGACCGCGACATTAGCAGACGAAAGGTTATACTTGAGAACATGTTGCTAACACATGAGGTTAATTTTTAATCTAAAATAAGCGTTTCCCTGTCAAAAAAGTCTGTAATAACGTCATGAAATGACCTCTTGGGCAAAATACATTCATCTCAGAGATTGAGGTGCCCTTCAACAACATATACAGTATTAAGATGCCTTCCTTAACATTTCGGTAGGGTCAGGATAACCCATAGCGCCAAGAAGCACCACTAAGAAAAAGAAAACAGAGATAATAACTGGGATAATACAAAGTCTTAAGTCCATTGAATATTTTCCACATTCTTGATTTCAGAGCAGTGAAGTTTACTCCGCCCTACAACGAGCCAGCCTGCGTGAAAGAACTCCACTGAGTCGATATTAATCTGCCAAACATTCATTAGTCAAAAAAGAATCATCAATAAACCATGGAATTAGCTCATTTTATGAGTTTTTTTTAAAGAACCTCTTGCACAGACTATGTCACGCACGGACCATGCAAGGATGACGACAAATATACTATCCAACCGTTTATTGTACAAATTTGTACAATAACTTTATTTTTCTCTGTTTTTCTATGTCGCAGTAAAATCGAAAGAGCATAAAAAATACATCGGGTTTGCCGTGAGGATCAAACAAGATCCAGATTTGTCATCAGAGCAAATGGCAAGTCCTCCCAGGGATAGCTTAGATATGTATATTTCTTTGGCATTGGGGGAGCGGGTTGGAAAAGCCTGCCATGTCCATCGACAACCGTAAGGCCCCTACGCCCTTGTGACCTCTGCATGAGGATTTTCTCAAACATTGCTTTAGCGGCTGAGCCCCGGGACCTAAGATGGGCATTAGCACGCCTTTTCTAATCGTCGGAAATCAAAATTTCGCCATCGAGCACCAGGAAACGTTGAATCAACTTAAACTCAGTATCTTCATCAGACCGAACCAACTCTCCTGCATCTGCGATATAGAGGGTATGCCATCTTTAGCATATGCTCTTGCTGTCAAAAAATAGGAGAGAAGCTCTTACCGACACCCATTGGATCCGTCTGTATTCGAAAGATTGTTCCTCTTTCATCTCGTTCCAAAGCTCAAGCATTTGGCCCGTGGCGAGAATTCAGAACGTTGGTTGAATTTCTTAAGTTTGCTAAATCTTTTAAAACCCTTTGGGATCTGGCCCTAGGATGGTATAGGGACCCATGGTCTATGCCCATGCCCCGACTTTCACTGTTGCTTTTTTGTCCTCTCGCGAGCCTTTTTGCTTAAAGATACATTTTTTATTTTTTATTTTTTATTTTTTATTTTTTATTTGACTTGTTTACATTGATGAATTTGTTATTTTTTCTGCTTGAGCCTATTTCGCATACATGCTCTAGCTCTCCACTGACTGGCGTTTACATCTTCTTACACCAATATATTCCTTGATTTGAGCACAATGTGAATATCCTTGCCATTAACACGCTCTTTCATTTTTCTAGAGTCATCAGACGAAAATCTCAAGAGAAGAATGAATGGGGTAATATCCTGTTTTCTGCTGTGTAAATAGATTGGCTGGGTGTTTGACTATACGTTATGGTACTAACCAACTGTAAATGTGTATGGTGATCATATTTAGACCCTCACTATTTTCTAGCATCAAAAAGAGACACATCGAAGGTTGATGGAGAGAGTACCAAGCTTCCGATGGAAATCTTGTGTAGCTGCCGCCTGCTTGGATTGATACACTAAAAAAACAGTAGTCTCCACACAATGAATTTGATCATCTCGAATGCGATCTACAGCCTGGTGGGTGGGGTGACTTTCATAATTCTTTTATGGAGACGAAATCCAAAGTCGCCCCCGATTAAATAGTATAGCTTAGATACATCTGAATAACAAATGAACTGGCTGTGGTTGTCCAGTTATTTTCAGAAGATACTGTTATCAGAGGATAGCTTTGCATATAGTCCGTCCCATTAAAAAACGAGACATTCCATCTATTGTAAAAAGAAGAAATGTATTAGAACACAGAAATAAATAAATAAATAAATTAACCAAGAAAAAAAAGTATATCGAGCCAATACTTACAATTTTTTTAAGACGAAGGCCTTTCTGGACCTAGTCATGTTTGTAGTAGATTGTGTCCTACTGTTGTTGCCGGCTTGTCTCTCCCCCTCCTCCTGGACCCAGCAAAGATCCTTTCGGTGGTCTTGATCCCTCTACTCCTCCTCCTTCATCTGAAAATTTCCTTTTTCTGATTCCTCCACTGCCACTTCCACCACTACCTCCTTCTCCTCCTCCTCCTTCCCCCGGGCTTAACAAAGGTTCCTTCGATGGTCTCGAACCCTCAACTTCCCCTCCTCCATCATCCGAGAATTTTCTTTTTGTGGTTCTGCCACTACCACTACCACTACCACTACCTCCTACCCCTGGACTCAACAAAAGCCCTTTCGGTGGTCTTGATCCCTCTACTCCTCCTCCTCCTTCATCTGAAAATTTCCTTTTTGTGGATCTGCTACTACCACCACCACTGCCACCACTACCTCCACCGCCGCCACTACCGCTAGAAGCTTGGCCTTGAGTTCCTCCGTCCGGCGGCATATATTTTGCAGGTCGTTTTTGCTCTCTTATCTGCGACTCACAGACCCTTGCGATGTTCTCAGCACCAACAGCATCTCGATCAATGTATGCTTTACAATTTCGACAGTACTTGGATCGAAAAGGAACATTCTCCAATATACTGTCACAGTGAGGCCGTGGACACTTGGCAGATGTGTAGTATTCATGACAACCTACAATGGGGTAGTCTAGAGATTTTGCCTGTTCGAGCCAGATTTAATACTCGTTAAAAAAAGACTCAAAAATTAAATGTCATTGATCAAGGGAATTTTTTTTTTTTTTTTTTTTTTTACCTTTTCAACAAGCTTCTTCATCAATATCCCATGCTTCGATACTTGTCCTCGGTTTGTCTTGAATGATCCTAGTCCAATACAGATCACCGCATTCGTATTGGCATCTCTTCTTCTTCCATTGCTTCCGCCCGCAAGCTTCAGAATTGCCTTGATCACATAATCAACGCATCCGTTCTGTGCTTTTCTAATATCCCAGCTATTCCGAACAAACCACCCGTCATTATAGAAATCGACAAGCGCCCTATATATAGTCTCCCTATTGTCGTCACTGGTCCCAGATCCACTGCTACTACTGGCCCCAACCCCACTACCAGAGAAACTACCTCCAGTACTTGATTGAGCTTGATTTAGCGGCAAGCTCATATAAGCGAAATACTGTGTTAAAGTAGGCCTTGAGAATGACGGAATATTGCTTTCAATCTCTGTAATTCCTCTTCTAAGCTTTCGCCTCTCTAGCTCGCCCTGAAACTTCTTGGATGGTTTGTAAAGGTACGCTCTAGAAATCCGGAGGATCTCACGTTCGTTAGGTTTCCTTGGATCCAACTTTGCAATTGTCATCGAGTACCTCTCGCCTGGATCGATCCCGATGATAATGGTACTTTCGGGGGGAGGGCATGCTGCCTGGGTGTCATATTTAACTTCTACATTCTCGAGGAGACGGGATCTCTGCTTCCAGTTGATCTCACGCCGGGGACTGGGACTCACCGGGAACAGCTGATTTGTGCTCGATGTACCTTCTTCAGCTGCTTCTTCTTCCTCTTCGCCATCTAAGAATGGTTCATCAACTTCCAGCAAGTCAATATCGCTGATGCCCAGCAAGATATCGTCATCTTCATTTCCGTCGTCGTCTCCATCATCACCACCATCACCTGCACCATGGCCTGAAGACGAGGATCCCTGCTGAGCACTTGAAGAAGCCTGGACTGCTTGAGATCTTTGAGTATCCGAAGGTTGGGCAGCTTGCGAACCTCTACCTCTTTTTTGCTTCGATGTGTCATAGGCAAGAAGTGTTAGGGTAAGGCCGTTTGTAAAGAACGATGTCCGTAGTTTCCTTCTAGGGCCATCATCAGATTGCAGTCCAACGTCCTTGTATCCTTTCAAGGAAAACAGCTCCTGCAACAATATCCCCTTGTGGTTAAGGATCTTGTCCTCTGCAGCCCCCTTGGTACTCATGTTTAGTTCCAACAATTGGGCTATTTCCTCTCGAACTGTTGGGTTAGACCATAATATATCCAGGAGACAGGCTTCCGTTAGGCAAAGAGACCGAGGCGAGAAAGCAGACGTAGGGAAATCCAGATATTTTTTGGCAGTTGCATTTTGCTCAAAAAAGAATTGGATGGAACTTCTTCCATCGTCTGGAATATCTATGTCAAACTAGACATTATATTGAAGAAATGATTAGGAACATTTCTATAAACATATTATAAGATAACCTCAAAATATTATAATATTATATTTACCTGCGCATTCCGATAGTGAGACCTTAGCGCTGCTTGAACAGGGACCATGACCATCCGAGACGACCTGCTGATCACCAAATCGGGATAGATCTGGTTTAAAGGACCAAGCCCTGTCTTTGCATAGAAGTTTTCGTATGCTTTGAGCTGGGACGGCTTGGCTACGTTCCCTTCGCCTTTTTTCTTCACTTCCCTGCTATACCTAGATAATGGACTCATCACTCCGTGATACAACAACGCAGCAAGGCCGTAAATAAAGTCCCTGCTATCAAGAACTTCATCTAGGAGTTGTGGGAGATCAGCTGGATTGGATGGCCCAGTGGTAAGCAGGTTATCGATCCACAAGGCGCAGGCCCAGAAAGCTCGAATCCGTGCCTCATTCAACATTTTAATAAATGATTGAATGAGCCCTTGAATTGTTGCAGCAAGTTGCTCGGGATTGAGATTGGGATCGGAAGTAGAGTCCAGCTTGGCAACTACACATGTCTTTAACGTGCCCAGAGTTAATGCAACAGTGGGGTGGGCCCTCTTCAACCGTCGGTCCTCGGCAGTAGCCTCCTTCACTTTCCTGGTCTTATCAGTCTTTCTGATATACTTGGCCTTCCCTTTGTTATTCTTTTTTTTCTTCTTTTCCTCCTTAACCTCCTCTTCTTTCTCATCCTCTTTTTTTCCCTTTTCCTTTTTTTTGGGGGACTTTCTTTGATGGCTGGAGCTGACGGGACGGTCGTGTTGTTTGCAGTTGGTCAGGTCATATTTCTTATGGGAAAGTTCCTTTTTCTGGGTAGGGAAAACAGGCCGATAGCATCCGGCTTTGCGCGTTTAGGGATATAGAATCTAATTAGGAACAACAATGTCAAGGGTTAGATGACTTTTTTTTTTTTTTTTTTTTTTTTTTTGTATATGCTTTGGAAAATGTTCATTTGAAGGAGCTTACCTGGGTTGAGGTTGATTATTTTTATTCTGGTACCTAGCAGATATCGCAGTCCTCATTCTATCATGGTAATGAAGGAATCTTTCAGCGGTTGGTTGCTGTGAAGCCTGGGTTTGGATTCTACCAAAGAAAACATTAATTGAATGGTCAAACTGGCCTTCTGCAGGAGTTCGACGGCTACGGGCATGGACCTCACGAACATATGATACCGTCAACTTTTCGGCATCAGTGTCAGTGAGCGCGGAGATAATCTCAGCATTTGTAGCAAGACCAAAGGTTGGGATATTTGGGGTGTAATCGTTATCGGATATAATGCCATAGACCAGGAGTTGACTGTTCCTTGAAAACCCAAGGGCTTGCAGGACCTCTTGTTTCTCATAGAGTGCAAACATGTGATGGCGACGAGGGATTGGACGAAGAACTCTTTTTATAGAAGGATAGATGAGAAGGTCAGAGTCCCCAGACACAGCGATACTGGTTGGTGTACATTTGGCGGCAATACACACATCAGCCTCATTTCTACAATGGCAAATCACAAAGTTATTGTATCGACCGAATGGCGCCGCGAGCTCCCTCTTCTCGTTATGACTGAATGTGAAGAGCTGTCGAAGATTCTTTTTAATGGCAATCATATGGCTTCGAGATTCCCATTTGCCTTCATTGGACTTGGTTTCCATGTTGGCTATGAGCGTATCGAGTTTTGCATCCGCTGCTGTACGCTTAGCATCTCGGTCCCTATAGGCACGCGTTTTTTCTTCGCAGCGAGGCCCATCAATGTGTATCGTCACTGTGGCAAGAGGACCAAAGATCTTTCGAATGATACTAGCCATAGCATGGCCGCAGGCAGTGAAAGAACTCTGCCAGCTGAATCTCCTTAGGATGATATTATGTATATCGCTGTGGAAAGTGCCAAGCAGATCCAGCTCAAAAGATGAATGGGGTTCAGCAGCAAGCTCATGTACATCAATCTCCTTTGGTGGCAGGTCTCTCCTTGAAAGGTATGAATAGAGTCCTTTAATACCCATCTAGAGAAAGTATAGTGTAAAACAGTGCAAGCAATGTTGGTTTAAGCGGCTAAAGATTGAAGCTGAAGTTGTTAGAGTAGAGATAGTTTACCTTTAAGAAAGCAAAAAGTTATGATCTGTGAGGGGATGAGGGTGTAAGAGTACGGGTGAGAGCGCGAAAGCAATGTCGTTGTAAAATGAGAGAGAGAGAGAGAGGGAAAAAGAGAAGGAGGCAGGACGTATTTATAGGTGTATGAAAGAGAACGAAACAAAAGGCTGATGAATTTGGAACAACTCGAAACAATAAGTTTCTCAGCGACAAGTTTTAACTTTTTGGATTTCGAGTATTGTTTACAGCTCTTCTCCAATCATCAACATTTACCAAATCAAGCCTTCGCCATGATAATCAACAAGAAATAAAAAAAAACAGACTTCCTTACGTCCCCCCTCGGTATGTGTATCTGTCTGAACACGTCCTAACTGACATCCTCTCGACAATCCTTCCAAGGCTGCAGTGTTTGAATGTGTACAGGGAACAAAAGAGGTCTAGATACAGGCTCTCTTTGTGACATTGAAGGAGATCGCATGTTTCATGGCTATCAAGACAAGGTACCCCTACAGGCACAAGACAAAGGTATAACTCGGTTCAAACTCAAAGGAACGATATTGCCAATGGCCTTGTTCTGAATCCACTTGCCTATGACACAGTCCAGACGAAGAGACAGCAGCAGTCTGACGTAGATGAAGAAGATCTCAGCCAGGAATTGAAACTTTCTCAAGGATTCCTTAACACGGCGTGTTTTAAAGGCAGCCGGTGAAGGCCTGATAGATGAAGACTACGCAAACATAAGCTGGAAGAGGGGCCCCAAACTTCTTGAAAACGTTGGACTCATATTCCATGAGCCAGGGCGATGCTCATTTGCAAATACCACAACTACCGTCTAATGCGATCCTGGTATTGTTAATGCCCTTACGTTTTCTTCGCTAGACCGTCACAACCCTGACCTGCGTCAAACGGTGAAGGTGAGAAGTAGGCTCGTCAACAGCCTGTGTGCCTTATATGCGTTGCACCAATGCTCACTGATAGGTTGGGAGGAAAGACACCAAGCCGGCAACAACAATAGGATATGATCAGTTGCATATTTCACAGTACACGTGCTACATGAAAATTTATAATACAGACATACTAACAGCTCTATGGCCCATGGTGTGGTGCCCGAGACAAACTTGCAGTTTTATTTTGATACAAATTTGGATAAATGCCCCATGGATGTGATGTGTGAACCCACATCCTATTCTCACTTCTGCTCCCTTGTTACTATTTGTCTGTCTAAAATTTTTCATGAGCTACTACAAACATGACTAGGTCGGGAAAGGCCTTCGTCTTGAAAAAGTTGCAAGTATTAGCTTGACAGTGCTTTCTTGACTAATCTCTTTATTTCTATGCTTGGTCTAGATGGTGTTTTTTTATGGGGAGGACTATTTAGACAACATATAGACCCCACATATCTTAATCATAATAAATTGGTTTGGTGGCATTGTTGTAAAAAATATCTTTGCTTAAGGGACAGAAAGATAGACACAATCAGGAAAAGGCAGGACAAAGGGTGTCAACAAGATTAACAAGAGAAAATAGAGTCAAATAACCTTGACTACAAACAGCACCATAGAATGTCAAAAGATGGGAGCTTTATAGGTGAGCTCACAAACTGAGTTACCGGAAGACAAATGCTTGTTGTGAAAAGGGGAAAAAGATAAATGGCAAGATGAACTGCAGGTGAAGAATAAGACATATGGGGAAAACTGAAGACTTTATTAAGAAGGAAGTTTCTTTGGCTTTTATACTCGGTAGTTTCTAGGTGAGGCGGACCCGCCTATGACTACAAAATAAACTGAAATTAATTTTAATGACCAGTCACACCACTTGCAATAACAAGCGAGTCAATTGGCTGCCAATACATTTAAAAGTATTCAAAAAATATAAGGGATCGCGACCAAATGGAACGGGCTATACAATGGTGTACATCCTTTTTGCGGCCCAGGCCAAATATTATTTTTTATTTATATTCCTTTCAGGGAAGCCTGGTACAAACAGGGAGCACTAATGAGTAGCAGCCAGGTCAGGAAGGTAGAGACTGGATTGGCGGCGAACTTTCATCAAGACCTGGTCATGCACATGGATTCAACAGAGCAATGGGAATCAATAGGATTGAACATTAGTGACCCTGTCAAGGATGACAAAGATACACCCGTCAAAGATACAATAGTCTACAAACCTATCAAGAAACGAATCAGTAATTCGGATGATTTACCACATCGCAGGCTATACAATGTCCAGATTTTAGACCATGCAACCGGCACAATTCCCCAAGAGCTTGACAAGCTCAAAACAAATGGGCCTTTCCAAGTGAGAGGTTGGGTTCCTATTGAAGAGACAATCCTATCCCAGGGTAATTTGCAATGCACACTCACTTGAAATACTGGCCTATACGATGTTATTATGGACCAACACATTATCTAACCCCATGTGCTATAATTTGCTTTGGACAAATCTACAATTGAAACTGGATACTTGGGACGTGGATGTTAGGAATTAGCAGTCAGGAAGTCCTGGAACCCTCGAAGTCAGAGTTAGTCTATGTCAAAGCTGAAAATATTGTGGAGTGGACACATGAGTATAATCCAATGGACGTTATGAAGCCAGTCTTTTGGGTTCTTTCTCAAAATGTCTGTTGGTATCAGATCCAGGTAAAATTTTCGCTACTGTTTTGTTACATCTCTAGCAACAACATTTCATGAACCAAAAACTAAAATAAATGTTCGCTTGAAGAGTATCCATGAAACATATAAACCATATTTTTTACCACTAGTAAATGTATGTGCTTATCTAGGTAAGACAAATAATATGATTGAAGCTTCTAAAAACGAATATTTTTTTAAAAGCTATGCCATGTCATTAATGAATCCTAATGGCAACCATTAGACGCGATCATCCATGCGGTCTTTGAAAGGCGTGTTGCCGACGACTTATCTACTTTACTTCCTGAGGTAATTGATTTAGGCATTTGGTAACGGAAAATATTTCGGCTTGACCTGTTATTAACCCTATATCCTCTGTGTAGATCTCACTCATTCTATCTCAACCACAATCAATTGTCAGTCAGATGCTAACTTTATACAGAGAGCGTTTGATCGATTTATGTTCTGCAGACCCTACGCTGAAAAAGACTGGTTTCTACCGGCAGTGGGCTGAACAAAAGGCTAAATCTCAACCAACTACATGGCAAGAAGTCATCAAGTCATGGAATGGGCCTCGGGAACAAAATGCTGCTCGTTTTCTTCAGCCAGCCTATAAGACTCAACTCGCGCTTTTCCGCACACAACCTACTCATGTCTCGACCAACATACCAGTCCAACTCCAACCAAATATCGCTCAAATTCCAGAAGGCTACGAATATGAAGATACAGACACTTCATGCGTATGTCTAGACTTCGTGTCTATTTGTCCCCCCAAATACGAGGAATTATGTGCTAATAGCCAACCTCACTGTTCATAATTTATGATATAACGATTAGGAACACACTCAAGAGGTGTACGATCGTTTGCCTGCTCCCTGTACAGCTGATTTCTGCCCACTTCACTTTTCTAACTCTTTACCAACAAGCGATGGTCTCAAACGCGAGCTTGAGAGGCTTATTATATCAAAAGTATGGAACTACCTAGATCTGATCTTTTACTACAGTAATGTACTTACTAACATCCATCTTCTCTTTTGTGTATATGAAAGTTTTCTACTGGACATTCTGCTTGGTCAGAACCAAATCAATTTCAATGTCCAATCCCACTGTGCCTGGCAGTTATATGCAATTCTTTGTGTGCCTCTTCTGATGAATTTGTAGGCGAAATTATACAGCATTTGAGTAAGCACGATCTGTCAGTGAACGACAATGAGGCAGGTGATTCTCTGGAGTAATAAATCAATGTGATGCTCTTCAACCGACCTAACGAATTGATTACATAATGCTGTTTTATTAACCGTGCTTTGTCTCAACTTCCTCTATAGAACCGTCTGAGAGAATATCTAGTGCAAAGGCCATCAAGAAAGAAGAAAACCTCTGGTACTTTATAGCTATGTTATTACTAAAGATTTCGTCTTTATTGCCATTCATCGTGCTTCGAATATCTTATAATAACCTCTTGAATCAATTTAGACTTGGGACGAACGCTTAATGTGCAACTTTATTGGAGTCTGAAGTCAGGAGCATTTCAATTACAGGACACGTCAATCTTGGGATCTACGATCAATACAAGGTCTAGAATGTTCAGGCCTAGTGTTGTCAATAAGACATCAAATAAACGAAAGTCGACAAGAAATGTTGCACAAGCAAGTATGCTTAAACACTATGACAGATGTTTGAAAAGCATTGTCTCTTACATCAGAGAGCGTCAAGTTACTAACTTTGAAATCTTGAAGGTTTATCCAGTTCATCCGATGTTAGAAATGCAATTCTACCGCAAACAACAGCTATGCCTGATCAGCTCATGCAAACCCCTAGGTCCCTTACTAGTCCTACACCTGTTGTCAGCCCTACACCCATTGCCAGCCCTATACCCGTTACCAATCTTACATCCGTTACCAATCTTACACCCATTGCCAACCCTACATCCATTACCAGCTCTACATCCATTACCAGCTCTACATCCATTACCAATTCTACACTTGTTACCAACCTTACATCCGTTGCCGGCCCTACATCCGTTACCAGCCCTATTTCCGAAGATCTCAAAGCTAGCACTGAGGTTGATCACCCAAAGGGAGAAGGCAAAGGCGAAGAGAAAAAAAGTACCGAGGCGATGTTTGAAAGCGACTTGGACATTGAAGTAACCTTGCTAGATCATGGAATTCGTACTATTCCTTCACAGATGGAGACGGTGAGTGCAGGACCAAGGCAAGGTTCAATAATGCGAGATAACCATATCAGTGACGTTGAGAATGACGAAATCATTGCTCTTCACCGAAATCGTCGAAGGAATTCGTTGACGCGGATGTCGTTTGTCATATCATCGGACAGTGAGTGCTCGATCGGGATTAGGAAGCGCCGAGATGATCGTCCAGTTAGGGATTCAAGGAGTAATGGCAAGACGCGATTGCAAAAGGCTGGCTTGAATAGACGCCATCCTAGAAAGCGAATGCGATATAGAAACAGGGGTTCACCAACTGATAAGCACATGTATCACAATGAATATAACGACTACAGTAGCACTAGCGGCTACGACAGTAGTGGGAGTAACTCTGACGAAGACAGCCGTACAGAAAGCAGCAGTAGTGAGAGAGGAGATGACGAAGGTACCGAAACTAGTGTTAGTGGCAGCAGGAGTGACAATACTAGTGATAGCAGCGAGGGTAGCTCAGGAAGTGAAACTGAGAGCAGTACGGACAGTGATAGCTTGAGTGAAAGTGATGAGGAACTCTTAAGAAATCAAGCACGATCTGCATCCAGACGGCGCCAATTAGGTGAGGGATTCCTACTATTTTGCTATTCTTATTATTCTTGAAGTGTTGTCTGATGAGGGAATACTTGATTCTAATCTGGGCCAACCAAAATGCTTGTTTGAAATATCTCATAGCTCGTTGGGAAGAGCAGAGAGTAAAAGAGACAAAGCGTCGTAGTGGCGGCAATAATGGACATGATCATTGGCGACCGTATTAAGCAAGGCTTTTTTATTGATCCCTTCCTGCATCTTTTCTCATCCATCTCGCCATTGTCGTCCTCAAACACTATTAAAGCAATTATTCTTATGCAATCTAGTCTTTGAAGCACATCATTCGTACATCGGCATTCTCATTCACACACACACACACACACACATACTCCCTCGCTATCTTTCATTGCTGGTTGCATCCTCGCCTAATATTCTGCAATAGCTGTCCCTCAATATAATTGCGGTGGTGAAGATTGTAATAAAGACATTTACAGCTTGGCCAAAAAAAAATAGACATCCATGACAGGAACACCTCCCCAAAGTATAATTGCCAACTCGGCAACGCTGAGTATCTTAGCATATTGCTCGTCCAGCATCATCATGACAGTTACCAACAAGACTGTCCTTTCTCAATTCAACTTCAATATGAATTTTTTCCTGCTTGCAATTCAGGCAAGGCAACAATCCTAATATTTGAGATTCTGAAATACGTGTAGCTATGCAAGATGATATGTCCTGACATCTGTACCTGAATATGCAACTATCACCTGTTTTTGATTATCGATAGGCGTTTTCTGCTGTGGTTATGCTCTTGATCTTCAAGAGATTGGACCTGATTACCTATCGAAAGTTTGATACTAATGAGGCCAAAAAGTGGTTTCCTATCTCTTTTGGGCTTGTGTGTATGATCTATACAGGTAGTAAGAGGTAATTAGGCTAATTACTTTGCTTATCGCGCTCGGGACGCTCATCACATAAAATCACGATGATTAAGATGGTCAAGCATCGGTTCGATTTGAATTTTTGTCACACTGACATGTCTTGACGATAATTCGATAATTTTGTCGATAATAGTCTCCAGTACCTCCGAATCACAGTTTATACCTTGTTCAAGAACCTGACAATTATCCTCATTGCCTACGGTGAGGTTCTTTGGTTCGGGAGCAAAGTTACTCCGTTGATGCTGTTGAGTTTTGTATTTATAGTAAGTTGGCAGGTCATGTCAAATAATTGTGGAGACATCACAAATATGTGTAACATTCATTAATGTCTCTCATTTTCTATTTTGGTGTGCCTCATATAAAAAGGTCCTTTCCTCAGTCATTGCAGGCTGGTCTGACATAAGCTCGTTTGTGCCTCAGAATCCTTCAGATCTCATGGAGTTAAACGCGGGATATGCATGGATGGCACTGAACTGTTTCTCGTCTGCTGGCTATGTGCTCTATATGCGCAAAAGAATTAAGTACTTTGATTTTAAAGACTTTGACACGGTGTATTATAACAATTTATTAAGCATGCCAATAATGCTGCTTCTCAGTTTTTGTCTCGAAGGCTGGACATCAGGCGAATTCGAGAGAACATTGTAAGTGCAGAGCTTTTCATATATATATAAAAAAATGATGGTTGGGATTCTAAAAACGATTCTTTTTTTCTCATTTTTCTTGAATGAATAGCAATCCAGAAGTGCGATCAGCCCTCATGTCCGCTATTTTACTTTCAGGTCTTTCATCTTTCCTCATTTCATATGGTAGTGCGTGGTGTGTCCGATGCACATCCTCCACCACATATTCTATGGTGGGCGCACTTAATAAGCTGCCTGTCGCAGCCAGTGGGATCCTATTCTTAGGCGATCCAGCTACATCTGGAAACGTCTTTGGCATCTTCTTCGGTTTTATTGCAGGACTTTTGTACAGTTATAGCAAAACGAAACAGGCCCAGCAGAACTTCGCATTAGCAAATAATTCCTCACTCTCGACTAAATCTGACATGATCTCAAATGCAGCAACAACAACAATATCTGGAGGGATAGTCGAAGTAGCAGAGCTTAAGGCGCCTGCAGCCATTTCAATTAAGCCAGCAGGCCTTCCTCTCTATAAAAGCAATCCTGATGGCAAGATTGCTGATTAGAGTGACTATTATGCATTCCCCCCTCCCCCCCTTCTTTCTCGTCTAAATACAGATTGTATCCTACATTAATACTGTGTTCGTGTCTTTGTAATTGAATATGAAGTTTGAAGAAAGGAAAAATAATGTTGGGTTCAGGATTCTTTAACAGATGTGGTTAGAGACATGGATGAAATCGTCCTAAACCTAGGCACCTGTTAAGAATACCCATGGATAATGGTGTAATCACGTATGCTGAACATTCTCTTTTTCTGTATTATGGACATGATCTATACATCCCATTGGCCTTGCTGAACAGGGTTAAGTTAGGGCAGTCCTAGAGGAAAGAGGCAACAAAACGGATATTGTGCATTATACCACAGGTGAAGGTCATCATAACCCGATTTTTTTACTCGCTAGCATCTCCAATTCATGTCAAACTAATATCAAATCCATCAAAGGCGGATCATCTTTGGCTAAAGTTCTTCATTTCTCGCGTACAAACGAGATCAGGGAAAGGAGAATGATGGAAAAAGAAAAGAGAAATAAAAGTTTCCTTAAATGTCATTAAGTGACTGTCCTCTAAATAATTTTATGAGATTGTTTGCCCTGGGTTGTTGCTGTCCATCAATAAAAGAAAAAATCATGACGCGAGAGTCAAACGCCGATGAGGAACATTACCCTCATTCAGTTGACTTTACAAATAGACCCCCGCCCCCAGAGGGAGGATACAGCTGGGAGCAAATCAAGCGTGCCATGGGTAAGAAAAGCTGAAAAGTGTTCTGCTATTTCTTAGATACTTTAATGAGTAAATCAACTACTTCCCTTGATACTGATCTTCCTTATGTATTTAACATGTGATTTTCTTGTAACAGATACCAATTCATTAAGCGATCTCAGAAGGACAGACAAAGGACAGTACGAGTATGAGCAGTGGCAGGGACTGATTGATCGCACGAAATATAAGAATGTAGGCGAATACATCGCCTTCACCATCCTCAAATGGCCCGATCTGCAAGACCCAGCTGAAGCATTGAACGTACCCAACGTAGAAGATCATTGGACTATAGAAGATAGGTATAAAGCAATTGAACCGCGACTGACTCTTCGTATTAATCATTACCCTTTCCCAGTTCAAGAGTCAATCCAATACTTTGTCCTGTGGGCTACCCGAGATATGAGCTTGCCGTCAGAGAGACAGCGTTTGGACAAGTTTCTAGAGGAGCAATTAGATAGCTGGTACCATGACCCATCTACATCCACAGAAACGGAGCCAAAAGAACCAAGACGTGGCCTCGCGCCAGAGCTATTGCCCCCTGCTCCTGGCAAACGGAAGCAGTGGATGTGGTTTGTCAACCCTATAGAGTTGCGAAGCGTAGCAACTGTACATCATCTTCATGTTTTCGTGCGCGATATCGACATCTAAATTGGTGGATTTTTCTCTAGACAATGCATAAAGCATTTATGAGCTCGCTTTTAATTTGTTTTTCCTTTTTCTTGGAACATTTGTCCGTGAACATCGACTATCATTATTTTATACTTTCATTAAATCGCTCTGAAAGGTTGAAGTACGGGAGATAGGAGACTTTTAATGTGTTTTTACAGCTATATAGAATTGCGCCGCTCTTCATGTCGTCTCATTTTCATTTTCAAACACTTTCGATTGATTAGTATTATTTTCATTTAGAGGAGTCAACAGTGTTCAATACTTGATATGTATAAAGATATGACATTTCTTTGTAAGATGGCTGAATGAAGGCTTGAGCACGTGACTCCAACGGCTAAATAGTAAAATAGAGCCCTTGTTTGCCATGTATATTGTTGCGATCGGAAAGAGATCACTCAGCATGTTGACCATTTGGAGACAGCATGTCTGTCGGAATGTCAGTTCGGGATTTATTTCAGGATCGAGGAACTTACACAGGTGGACTCAAGGGGCTAAAAGTATTTGGCATAGACAAACTTTCTCGTCATCAACAGATAGTGTCGCAGGCTCACAAAAACTGGAACCTGGAGTGGGATATAGAGTAGGGATCCTACTTTGTACTTTATTTGAACCAATTGCGTGCATACAATCTCTTGGCTGAAGCTTGACAAGCGATATCTTTGATAATTATTTAGATGAAGCCCTCGTCGTCGGGAGCCGTGGAGCTGGAGTCCTTTAGTGTCGATCAGATTAGGAACTTTAGTATCATTGCCCACGTTGGTATGCTGCAACACAACTATATATGAAAATGCCCCCCGAAAAGACTTCAAATCAATAATAGCAATATGAAAAAGAGAAGGTGTGAGGCATTTGTCATTCCAGATACTTATAGTATCTCATATCTCATGGCATAGATCATGGCAAGAGCACATTAGCTGACAGGTATAGTTAATCAGGTTGAACTATAGCATTGTGTCGGAACACTATCGTATCGTCTTTAGGCTCTGACATCCCTGCTCTAACACGATAGGCTATTAGAGCTGGCTCACACTATCAATAAAAGAAAAGATAATAAGCAGGTGCTTGATAAGCTGAAGGTTGAACGTGAACGAGGTATCACTGTCAAGGCACAGGTATTGACTTCATCCTACATCCTAAAGGAGGCTTTATATTCCAAAAGGAAATTAGAGGAAATGGCTCGACAATACGGTGCCCTAATTATTGACATTCATCTGTTCTCTTTTTACAACCTTTGGATAGAGCGCCTCAATGTTTTACGAATACAAAGGCAAGAAGTATCTCTTGAATCTTATTGATACACCCGTACGTACATCCTGGAAAAGAGGATCAAGCAAAGCATTTTTTTTAATACCATTGAGTCGGCTAATAACCCTCTTAATATTACAATACACTATCAGGGTCATATGGACTTCAACTTTGAGGTGTCACGCTCCCTTGCTGCATGTCAAGGCACACTCCTTCTCGTGGATGCGGCGCAAGGTATTCAAGCCCAAACTGTGGCCAATTTTTACCTCGCATATGGTCAAGACATCACGATTATCCCTGTAATCAACAAAGTATGTCAAAGATCTCAGTCATATTGTATTTATTAACATTCTATTGCAATGCTGTTTTTTGTCCAATCAAGAAAAAAAAAAAAAAACGCTCCTAACTCTTAACTTCTACTATCTCTACTGTTAATTGATATTCAAGATTGATCTTCCAGCAGCAGAGCCGGATCGTGTGGCCGCACAGATTGAAGTGGCTTTCGAAATGCCTGCCAGCGATTGCCTTCAAATATCTGCAAAGTCGAATATGAATGTAGATCAAATTTTGCCTACGATTATTGAAAACGTTCCACCGTATGTCATTTTCCATTTTCATATGTTTTTTTGGATGTCAAATATGACATTGGATGGATGATGTACTCATTTCTCTTTTTGTTTGTTTTTTCATTTTATTTTATTTTTATTTTGCTTTCAAGACCATCAGGAGATATCAACAAGCCTTTCAAAGCGCTTCTTTTCGACTCTTGGCACGATACATACGTCGGTGTCATCTGTTTGATGGCAGTAATTGATGGAACTGTTAAAAAGGGTGAGGAAAAAAAAAAAAAAAAAAAAAGCCCTGGTGTTATTTTCGTATGTCTGCTAAAAATGAATAGTTCGTATTTATATACTGGCTATTAATGCATTTCTTGCTCGGCTGTCGATAGGCGATAAGATAGTGTCGGCACATTCGGAGAGACGATACGAAGTCTCAGAAACCGGTATCATGTACCCAGAACAGACACCAACAAGCTCTCTGTAAATTTCATTTCATTCTTCTGTCGTGTAATGCAAACATACCAAAGGTTACTGGTCTTTTTTTTAATTTTCAAGCTCGTAAATGTTGCTAAAGTAAACTATTATTACCATTACCATTCTTGTTTATTATAGACAAGCTGGCCAGGTTGGCTACTTTGTGCTAAACATGAAGACATTGAGCGAATCTCATGTAGGGGACACGTTCTTTGATCATAAGCACATTGGCTTACCAATGCCTGGCTTTATCCCAGCCAAGCCAATGGTTTGGGCAGGCATTTTTCCAATAGATACGGCTGATTTTGAGAAACTTGATCATAGCATTGCTAAACTGACGCTCAATGACTCGTCTGTCGCGGTCCAAAAAGAAACAAGTACAGCTCTGGGCCAAGGTTGGAGACTAGGATTCCTTGGAACCCTCCACATGGATGTGTTTCGACAGCGCTTAGAACAGGTATATTAACATTGGAAAGCTATCACGCTCCTTTCCTCTTTGTCTGTATTCTATCAGACGGTTTCTAACGGAAGAATGGGTTCTATGCTCCCTCTCCTTTTTTAGGAGTATGATGCCAACATCATCATCACTGCTCCCACAGTACCATACAAGATTGAGTATCGAGATGGCACAAGCAAGCTCATTCGTAATCCGACAGAGTTTCCCGATATGGATGAAATCAACGCCAGAGTGAAGACTGTGCAAGAACCTATGGTTAGGTCCACTATTATTTTCCCACAAGAGTATCTAGGAGACATCATGGTCCTATGTGGGGTAAACCTTTCTTCTTTTTCTATTTTAATTTACTAGTAAGGTCTTCTGAGTGTCTTTATCTTTCATTTACTCGATACTCCGGCTGACCTTTGTACTTTCTTCTCCTCTTCTCCTACTACCCTAGTCCAGAAGAGGAGTCCAATTGGAACACACTTATTTGGATGAAAGTAGAGTTCTTTTAAAGTACAGGTTACCATTAGCTGAAGTTGTTACAGATTTTCACGACGAGCTCAAGGGCCGATCTAGTGGCTTCGCATCATTCGACTATGAAGAAGATGGATACGATGACGCCGACCTTGTCAAGGTAAAGATATATAAGTTTGTGTGTTCGTGGAAATGGCTCCTGCATTATATTTCTTGAAGTATATTGACATTACCTTTCAAAAAAAAAAAAAAAAAAAAAAAAAAAGATGAACATTGTGCTCAACTCCAAACCTGTTGATGCGTTGTCGATCATACTTCACCGCTCGCAAGCGGAAGTCGTTGGACGCGATTGGGTCAAACGACTGAAAGGGTTATTGTCACGGCAGCTTTTTGAGATTGTTATCCAAGCCTCCGTTGGAAATAAGATCATTGCTCGAGAGGGCCTAAGTGCACTACGCAAGAACGTTACCGCCAAATGTTATGGAGGGGACGTCTCTCGCAAGATGAAGCTCTTGAACAAACAGGTACTTTACTACATCGCTTAAAAAAAAAAAAAAAAAAAAAAAAGAGAGAGAGAAATCTGACTGTATTTATATTGCTATATATTCTATCATTATAGAAAGAGGGCAAGAAACGCATGAAAGCCATTGGGGGTGTTGAAGTCAGTCAGGAAGCATTCTACGACTTTATGTCCAAAAAGAAATAGATGGGATATTGCGCGTCGTCGATGTATCATAGCATATTATTAGCCATTGTATGTAGATCTAAAGAAAGCAAAAAAAAAAAAAAAAAAACTAATCCTCGTGTGTGTCGATGCCTAGCTGATCCAAGTAGGCCACACGGCGATGTTCAAAAATAGTTACAGCATCCCTAGTATTCCTTTGCTCCCACTCGGCAACAAAAGGATTGATATTTCTTGGATTTGGAATGGGTTTTGGAGGGGTCTTGACTTGCACCAAGCCTGAGCTTCCTATACTTTCTTCCTCTGACAAAGATGCTATACTAGCCTCTCCCCACGCTTGTTTTTGAGGAACCACTGGGGTCTTGACCATATCTAATAACTCTTCTCCAAGTACTCTGACTAAATCTCTCATCTCTGGAACAATGCCGGTCATCTGCAAAAATGCATGCGAGATGCCGCTGACAATACGCAAGGTATCACTCTGTAGATCAACTGCGGCACCACGCTTAGCACGACGCAGTTTTGCCATGAAAATGATGGAGTCGTCTACCAATGGGTCTTTCTCGCCACAAAGAATATATGTTCGTGGATACTGCGCCAAGATATGGTCAGGTGTATGAATAGGCGAAAGAAAGTAGTTTGATTTATGGTCAAGTGTAGGATCTCCTCCAATATACATGACCATTAGCGCTCGAAGCTGAAAGAAAGAAAGAAAAAAAATCAGAAGAACTATCGAGACAGCCTGTATAACGAATACCAAAGTGACAACATCATTTTAACCTAATGGCTCAATAACCCAGCCAAACTTACGAATGTAGAGCCAAGGATCTGATCATCCATGAATGCTGCCTTGCTGTTCAAAGTCATGCCATCGCCACGGCCTGGTCTGGACGTCAAATGGTCAGAAGGAATAGGTCCACGTGCAATCTCCTCTTCCACGACAGCCAAATCATTATTGCTAATCCAAAAATCTAACCCAACCAGCATGCATGGATATATCATCAGCAAACCAACAGGTCGAGGCAACGCTGGAGTGTGCTCAATAATCATATTCATCACCGATGCGACAAATGTTCCACCTCTAGAGGACGAAAAATATATTTTTCTATTAGGATGTGATTGAATGTGTGTTGAATGAAGGACTTTATCAACTTAAAGAGGTGAAACCGACCGGCAGACATATATTACTTACGCAGAGTCTCCTGATAGGACGATACGTGGGATACCAGATCCATTAAGGCCAATACAAGTGCCGTTGGTGGCAGTAAGCAATTTATATACGTCAAAGCATTCGTAAACGCCTTGAGGGAAGGGATATTCAGGGGCTTTCTTATATTCAATACTGATAATTGGTATTCCGGTTTGTCCTGCCCAAGCCATGAGGTAATCGGCATGACAACGAGGGTTCATGGCTACATAGCTATTAGAGTGCATTCATAGCAAGTAAAAAAAAAAAAAAAAAAAAAAAATCAAGGTCTCCTCTCCATTTCAAGATTAATAAACTAGATAAATGAATTTTTTTGAAATAACATACCCTCCACCTGGGATGTTATAAATAAAGGCTTCCTGGGTCTTGAGCTCTTCTTCAGTGCCTCTGAAGAACAAGGTCAATGTAACGAGTGCATCCTGATGGTATCCTGCATCCTTCGAGAGCTTGACTGTGATGGTTTTGCTAATACCCAATCGAGGTGCATTCACCCATGTCATGAGACGAATAAGAGGATGTAGCATTTTTTCCCAAGAGAGACGCATATGTTTGGCCGTGATGGTTCTGATCATTAAATTATTCTTTTCAAGTGCACGCTTGGGGAAGAACAGGTAATAAACAGAAAAGATAGCCGACATAGTATCCCGAAGGATTTTAGGACGGATGTTCTGTGCCATGAAAAACCCGGCATCAAGAGCTGAAAAGATCCATAACCCACGTGTGTATCCACGAGTGTATCGACGCGAGAACTATATTATTCAGAATAATAATAATAAAAAAAAGAGGGCACAGATCGAAATTCGTTCCTGTAAATAAAATTCCCTTTCGGTCTTACTTTTTTTTTAGGAATATTTGTAATACAGCTAGAGTGTTTGTGTACCATCTTTTTTTCGGGCTCTGCAGGTGTCAACCCGAGAAGAATATCTGCGTGATGAGTGGCATAGACAGTGGTCAGGGCCCCAATGAGGATCTGCCAGGGCGTGAACCTTTTAAGTAGATGGTGCAACCGTTGGAATAGGCGTGGGCCATTTGGAGGGCATTTCCTTAAAGCGATGTAGCTATTGCATTAGGAATAGGTACGTGCGATAAAGAGTATAATGTCGAGAGAGAAAGAATAGTAATTAGATCAGACAAAAACGTTCGCCATACAAATGAGGATTGACAGATATGACACTAAAAGGGTACTAACCTCATGAAGAGCACGACGACCGCTTGGATCTTGTCCCACGAGGGCGAGGGTCTACCAGCAATATGTCCCAACATGAGAAATGTAATATGATCTGCAAATTCAACTGAATTCAAGGGATAAGAGAGAAAAAAAAAAAAAAAAAAAAAAAAAAAAAGAATGAGAAAGTAAAGTAAAGTGAGAATGTGAAGGAATGGAAGATGAGAATGAGTAATGAACGATGAACAATAAGAAGTTGATTCAGCTGCAAGCAAACAAGCAGATAGAAAAGAAAAAGAGAAAGAAGAGCAAATATCGAATGTGGAGAAAAGGACATATTCAAGATCCTGTCTCACTGCTGTAATGTATTACTCACATGGATCCCTGTCCATCCATCTTCACGTGGAGAAGATGTGAATCAGGTACTCTGTCAAAGGTATATTATATAAATATACTAAACAAGGACATTTTTACATACAAACACCTGTTTGTTTGGACATTTTCAACATTCACAAATACATCAAATACATCTTATTTAGTTGGTGTGTCTGTGTGTGTTTTTTTTTTTTTTTTTTTTTTTTACTCCATGCTACACATGCGGGAACAGAAAGAGGAAGAATAGAGTCTTCATTATGACTCTCAACGCATACTGAGCTCGATGGTCAAATGCATATTCTTCTCAAGTATGATCTGCATCTCACCCTCCAACTTGTGTATCCGCTCTTGCAAACTCCGGCGCTCTGTCTCCCATGCTCCTCCTCCAGACGGTGATTGACCCCCTCTACTCGAGCGGCTGGCCACGTTCTTCAATCGTTCCACCTCCATACGCAACTTTTCACGATCGTCCTCAAGCTCGTCTCTGATCTTATTCAGCTCCTCTAGATCTTCCCTTGTCATGTTTAATTTACGTTCGAGGCTCATCTTTGACCGCTCAACTTCTTGCAGATCTTGTCCAAACTTGGTTCTCGATTGGTTAATTGCAGCTTCCTTCTCCGATCTTTCTTTCTCGAGTTGTTGCTGCAGCCTCTCAAGTTGTTCCTGGATCAATCTTTGTTGTTGTTTCATCAACATGTTAGATTCTTCGAGAGCAGAGTCATGTTGATCTCTGAATTCTTGGAGCTGCTGCTCAAAGATGATTGTTAACTCTTGCTTCACTGTCTCCAATTCCTGCTGATGGATGGACTCGAGCTGCTGTTCTTTCTGTACAGAGTCTTGTTCGTACTGGTGTGTCAGCTCATCATGCGTCTGCTGCTTTATACGCCTCTTCTCCTCCTCAAACGCCTGTTCCATCTCGTGCATCTTGGCAGCCAGACTTGCCTCCAGTTTCTTTTGCGTATTAGCAGCATCACGCTCCATGCTCTGAATCAAATCTGTCTGAATCTTCATTGTCGCGTCCGCTTCCTGTTCCAGCTTGCGCACTTGGGCCTCTTTAGTCTTCAAAGCTGCCTCGACTTGATCCAAACGGTTCTTCCACATAAACTCGTCTTGCTGTAGATCGTTTTTAGCTGTCGCGGATTTCTCTTCTAGAGCACGCTCGAGCTCTTGAATCTTTGCACGCTCAGCCTCCAGCAGCTTCTCCTGATGATGCAAACGCTCTGAGAGTTCATCATGAATATTCTGCATTGCCTCGCTATCACTTCGCTTCTGAGCTTCCAGCTGAGATTCTATAGCTTTCTGGTTATTTTCTAGCGCAGCCCATTGCTCCTTTGTAGAATCCCTCTCTTGCAAAAGTGCTTTCTTCTCTTGCTCTAGAGCTTGTTTCTCTCTTTCAAGTGCTTCTTTATCGTGCAAAAGAGCTTCTGTTTTGTTTTGAGAGGCCAATGCCTCTTGTTCAAGCGTCAGCTTTGCCTTCTTAAGTGTCTCTACCTCCTGTTGAATGGTTCCCAACTGCTGTTGAAGTTGTTCATGGCTCTCTCGCTCTTGATCCAGCAACATCTGGCGTTCTGCGAGCTCTTTCTTATGGACAGATGCTTCCCTAAGTAAGCCCTTGACAATGCCTTGGAACTGCATGTCGGCTTGTCGTTTGGATTCAGTCATGGTCACGAGCTGTTCATGCATCTCCTGTAATCTCGTCTCACGAGCACTTTCATCTTCATTTGCAGATGATCGAAGTAGTATCCGCTCCTGCTCCCACGATTCTTCACGTCTCTGCATCTCCTCCACAATTTGAACATTGTCTTGCATTAATTCTCGCAGCTGTGACTCTCGCTCCGTGACTCGAATCTGAAGTCGCTTGGATTTCCCCTCAAGGCCCTGGACGAGCTGCGCATGAGCCCGCTTATCTTCCGCAAGGACAATTTCGAGGCGATCTAAGGCCAACTCGGTCTCCTTTTTATGATGCTGAAGGTCCTTAACAGCCTGATCACGTTCTAAAGTCACAGTCGACAGTGATTTCTCTGCTACTTCAAATCGAATTCCAAGCTCATTAATCTCGGTTTGAACTAATGTAAGGGAAGTCTCATGTTCAGATCGTAGAGTCTCCAAGTCCTGAGTATGCTTTATTCCGAGCAAGTTCAACTCATTCGTTAGGTTATCGATAGCCTGTTGGTGATCTGCTTGCAAATATTCTCTTTGCATCTCCAAGGCTTTGGAATGCTCTTCTGTAACTCTGATCAGTTGATCTTTCAAGGCAGCTGCATGATCTAATGTCAGACGCTCCAATTCTTGTTCATGTTTGGATCTCGCTTGCTGTGCGCTCTCTTCTAGTTCTTCCTTGTGCTCCTCGCGAAGGCGGTTCATATCTTTGAGAAGCTGAGCACGCTCTTGTTCCCAAGTCTCGCGTGCAGATTTTGATTCTTCTCCCTTTTCCAGGGCAAGGGCCTTCTGGTGGTCATCAGTTAATTTAACTCTGGAAAGCGGATTCTGCATTTTCAGTTCTTGAATCTCGTTTTCTAGCTCATTCACCTTGCTCTGTAGCTCCTGTGCATCATCTTGGCTAGCTTCCAGATCTTGTTGAGCAAATTCGAGCTCCTTCTCCAGTTGAGCAATCCGGTTATTGAGACGTGTCAACAGGCGCTCATCACCCTCAATTGTAATAGCGCCTATCTGAGATTTACTCTGATCTTCGTCCGCTAACATTTGAATCTGAACTGCAGATGTTGTTGCTGCTACAGCTGGAGTTACGACAGCTCCCATCCTTGCGAATAACGGACCAGCCGAGTCACCATTCATAGAGGGGTTGTTGAAGGAAGATGGAATTGGTGGAGGAATGATTCCATAAGATGGTTTTTGAGCGCCACCAACTGGAGTATCAGACGGTGGCGGGATATTCGCAGGCAGAACTTGCTTGCTCAAGCCAGAACGCATCCCACGCGCGCCTCCACCACTGCCCGAGCGCTTAGTTGTATTATTAAAGAGCCCAGAACCAACAGTGGGCGAGGCCGAGTCAAAGTTCGAGTCTATGACTGGAATGGGAGGTGGGGCTCTCTGAGGGGGCGGCGATGCAGACAATATTGACGTGACTGAATGTGCAGATAATGGTGACATAAAGGAGCGAGCAGAGCGAGCAGAGAGAGGGCTTGCAGAATTTGTGGACGATCCGTTCCTTCTCAATTCCTTGGTAGTAACACTAAGAGGATTGGAGCGAGGTGCAGATGTAGGAGCAGTGGACGCCTGAACAGTGCTACTAGTAGTGCTACTTCTGTTGCTACTACTGCTACTGTCGTCATCGCCCCGAACTGTCGTCATGGAAACAAAAGACGATGAGATAGGAGGCAAACCACGATCATATATCGTATCTGCTTCAAAATCCAATTCTACATCCTGATCTTGGCCAGGAACGGTCCTGAAACTTTCTACAGAAACCCTGGAGCTTTGAATCGTGGCAATGGTAGCCTCGATTGATACATTTGTCACCGATGTCATCAAAGATTGGCTCTGGGTCCCGGTAAGCGCCGGAGAGTCCGGTATCGGTGGTGGTGCAAAGCTTGAATACGGGCTAGAGGCCGCAGTTGATGGATAGGTGCTTGGTATAGGCGGTATCGGAGGTGACGTGGGCGAAGTAGCAGGGGGTAGATTAAGTGTAGAGATAATTGATACCGGATATTTGGATGAAACAGTCTGGTTATCATCGTCATCATCATCTTGAAGGGCTCTGCGTCCGTATTGCACTTTAAGTGGAGGTGAATCTTGACTGTCCGAATCTGAGCTGATCAGTGTACCCTTGCTTGACCGCGACACCGGTTCTCTACCCTCTAAAGTTGAATTTGACATGTTGTGGGTTTCAAATCCATAACCTTTGACATCTGTATTAATAGCTAAGGATGCCGTTGTTTCCCAAGAACGTCTAGGGTTTGGAGATGCATCGTCTATAGAACGCCAAGAGAAACGAGTAGAGCCGTGTTTTCGTAGCCCTGTATCTACTGAGCCCTCGATACCGTCGAATTCGTCAGAGCCACGGCTATGGGGCCGCGGAGAACGGGAACGGCAACGGGAACGGGAACGAGAGAGAGATCTTGATCGCGAACAGGATCGGGATCTGTACCGCGAGCGTGAGCTTGAACTGTCTCGTGAATTCAACGATGGAGATCTTGACCTAGAATACGAGCCTCGGGATTTCAAATCGCGTGACCGCCTTTGGGAAGAAGCAGATCGCGATCGGGAACGAGATTGAGAGATGGTCGACGCATATGAATCGTGTCGCCAAACATTTGAAGGAACGGTGCTCGTCTCATATTCAGCCTGATCACTTTGCAAATGGCCTGATTCCTTAACGGCGTCATTACGGATCAGGCCAGGAGGTGGAGACCAAGAACGCGATCGACGATGAAGGCGATCTGTACCTTGATCTGATAAACGCTTGAATTTGCCAGTCTCTGTGTCTCTATAGTTGTCTTGGTGATCTTTCATCGCATTGGTAGAGACAGACGTTTGTTCAGGCACCTGTCTATCCTTGGCCCATGATGGTTTTCGCGCCAAGGGATCAATCTCAGTGTTAATGGCGTTATCTGCAGCTTCATAGAAGCCACCTTTGCTGTCTGCCATCCAGGAGGGCCGCCTTTGACCGATGCTATTCCTCCAATTCTCTGTGTGCTCATTCCAATTGGGTACAAACTTGTCTGGTAAACTACTTCGTCGCTTGCCCTTCAAATCCACAAAGGATTTCTCACTATTATCTTCGCGAGGATGGAGGGGAGGATAGGTGCGCCAACTGTTAATGGCTTGTTGACGACTGTCTTGGATGACTGTTGGGGGGCTTGAGAGCATGTCGTCAAGACTAATCCGTTGGCCATCCCATTCTGACGACATTGGTTTTTCTGTGGAGCGAGGGAGCCGAACTGGTGCTTCATCTTGAAGAGTTTTTTGATTGCCTAACGCAGCTGCTGCTCTCAAGGCGGAGGCCGCTCCTGCCATACTTTGGATCGCGCCAGTAGGTGCCTGGTGATATGAGGTATTAACGTTGTTGATGTTGCTATTATTGTATCGCAAAGCCATAGAGGGTGAACTGGGTATGTTCTTAACAAAGTTGACGCCGAAGCTTTCACTTGTTGTTGGGATGACCGTGGTTGTTTCTCCGACTTCGACCTTGATCATATCAGAATCCATGCTCCTTCCACTAGCGTTATAATTAACATTAACTCTGGCATCAACATTTGTCACTGCTCCTTTACTAGGGATCGGAGGTAACGTCTTTTCGTTCAAGTATTCTGTAGGCGGAGATCGAATCGCTTTCGTTACAATAGCTTCATCATCGCTCCAGGGAAGAATCTCGGTCTCATTCTCTGTTCCCGTAGGTGATCTGGACCACTCATCTGAAGTATGGGGCTTGGGCCGTAGAGTTGGTTCCTTTCGTTCATTTCTCTCACTCCTTCCTCGGTCTCGATCATCATTATACCAGTTCTGTCCCTGATCCTGACTGGAGCCATAGCTAGGGGCTCCATTGCGGCCACCAGATCGATTGTAATAATCGTCTGAATCATATTCATGACCACGGTTGCTTGGTCGATGCTGAAAACCAAGATGATCATCATTCGAGACGGAAGATGCAGTTGGATAAGGCTTTTGATGCGGATGTTGGCGATGCTGATTTATGGAGGAGTATTGTGGAGCCTGAGATCCATATCCACGTGGTCCAGGTGGAGATCTCCAGCTGTCAGGGGTAGTGGGCGACATCATAGGACTTTGGTCGTGACGACCTCCTGGACTGTAAGCATGACCACCAGCGCGTGAAGCTGATTTACTTTGAGATGAGCCCTGATGCTGATATTGTTGATGTCGCTGTGATGGTGGATATGCATTAGAATGCGAACGCTGGTCTGGGGAATAAAAATATGAAGAGGATGAGGATGGCGATGAGGACAAGGGAGGTGGAGATGCTGGCGATCCAGACGATGGACCCATGTAAGGGGACTGATGGTTATTACTGTATGGGTAATTTTGCGCACCTTGGTAAGGTTGTTGTTGCTGATAATGTGTTGGTGGCAATGTGCCACCTTGCAGAGACGAAGCATCACTCCATTGCCGCTGGTGGGACGACTGGTAAGAGCGCGGGCTAGGTACATCAGGAATATCTTTGTCTATGTATGCTTGTTGTCTATCGGTGTTAGAGTACTAATGGAATTGATAATAGCAGTTGAGTATTAAACACACAGCATCCTTTTGAGAATCTATCTCACTTTTTTTCCTCGTGCCATCGATCCATTGCACTCTTATTCAACAAAGAGATATTAATAATAATAATAACCTACTGAGGTATTGTCCGTATGATCGCGTGGCCTGGAACGCTGCCTTGGCGCACGAGGTTGTCCACGGAGGCCCGCTCCTGGGCCATTGTAACGTGATGACATTTTGTAGTATTAACTACTGTGTGTGTTTTAATTAAAGGGACGTTGGCGGCGAGTATATTTCAACTGTAATTTTCCAGATACCGTTACAGAAGGGCTAATGAAACATTAAAAAAATTAAGGTATTACAGATGAGAATGAAAAGGATAATAATGTACGAAAAAGGGGCTCATTGGCAAGCAACATTAAAAGGTGCTTGATACCTTCAATGCCCTCGAGATGAAGGGTCGATGAATATGTGTGAAAGAAAGAATATTATGTCGACTTTGTTAGCTATTAATGTTGAAAACCAGTGCTTCAGTCACAGATAAAAAAAATAAGCTGTGAAGGGGAAAAAAGATAAGTGAAAGATGATGATGGGAAGAGAGAATGATAAGAAGGAGGGGGAGAATGGGAATGAGAATGAGGAGAATGAGGAGAATGAGGATGAGAATGAGGAGAATGAGGAGAATGAGAGTGAGATTGAGAAGAATGAGAATGAGAATAAGAATGATGATGAAAGAAAAATATCATTTCAGGTACACCATCGAGGTGCACAACTGAAACTGATAAATAAGGTTCAATTTATAAACAGTGATTGGATACATCTTTCCTAATTGCTTACCCGTGCCACGCGAGAATGTAATGATCTATTACATGTGTATTAAAAATGTTTTATATTTCAATTTATTTATTTACAGGCGTAAACTTATTGTTTTTTCCGGTCTTTTCTTTTTGTGAATAAAAATGAGCAACATTGTCCCTCATGTTCAATTATTTACAGTGCGCCAGCAGCAAAAGGATTTATAGCCACTACCTTAATCGCTGGAGGAGACACGCTTGTATCCGGGGTGATCAAAACTTGAATGCGTCCAAACATCTTGATCTTTTGTAGATTATTAGCTAGCTCATCATTCGCATCATCATCAATATCCATCTGTCTAGGCTGCCTTGCCAGCGACTCATTATCATCCTCTGAAAAGCTATCGTCATCAAACAATCCGCGCTCATCATCGTATGCGTTGGTTGCATCGTCAGGATGTCCACCCATCGCATCAAAGCCGCTAGGACGAACACTTTGTAGTGAACCAGATGGCGCAAAAGTCATAGATAATCTTCTATTGTTTACTTGGCTATCGCCACCCTTGGCAATAATGTCATCATGAGTCTTGAAAGGCTGCGTGCTCCAATACAGCTTGAGTGTCTCTGTCGACTCATTCCAAGAATAGCGCTCAAGTGGTAATTGATCCAGATGTACACGTTTCTCTAGTCCAAACTCTGTCACCATCACATCAAAAGCCGTATCGAGAATCTGCACCACAATGCCTTCACGGATCACCATGCCTTTCTGCTCGGTCATCTTTCGGAGTAAAACACTTAGATACAGGTGGCTACTCTGCTCCTCCGCGAGCTTGGCGGCATCTTTTTTCAGGTTGCAATGGTTGGCGCACTTCTGGCAAGCTTCCTTGTTTAGATAAACCTTTGAATCTATAATAGATATTGTTGCATCAATTAATGACACAATCACAGACACATACACACAAAGATGGGAATAACAATAATAGTAATAGTAGTAAAAGAGAGAAGAAAGGAATAGGGAGGGAGAGAAGAGTCAGAGCGATGGAAAGATTTATCAAAAAACTTTTTTTCTTTTTTGCAAAACTTTGCTGTTGGACAAAAGGGGTATATGAAAGGCAAAAAAAAAAAAATAATAATAATAAAAATAAAAATAAAAATAAAAAAAAAAGGGCAAGGCGAGGAGCAAAAAAATAAAAGGAGCAATGGCGGTTGAGAGGTGTATCCTTTTTTCTTTTCTCTTGTCAAAATGCTGCAGCCCGCTGCAAACAATTGCCGCCACTGTCCTCATCTCTTCTAGCGTCCATCGTCTCGTCTTGGAAAAACTTTATGGTTCATTCTCTTTCCCTCTTTAGAACCGACCACTCGGTTCCACATCCACTAACCACCCACTTGTGAACATAGTCTTCATATTCATCAAGCATGTTCTTTTCAGGTTCTACTCCCCTTGCCTCCCCTTCCTCTCAAGAACGAGCAAATCAATGAAAGCAAGAAACACATAGGCACATGCCATTCGCCTCCATTCGTCCCCTAAATTTGGTGAGATCAAGGCCTCTCCCCCCTAACCCCACGATATTTGCAAGCAACCCGTCCTTTCTATGGCTCCAAGTCTCCTAATCGACTGGTCATGACGTCAGCTGGCAACTCACCTCCAGTCAAAGATGCCTCCAGTAGCCGGTGGACGATAATATCGGCGTAGCGTCGGATGGGCGAGGTAAAGTGCGTGTAGAGTGGTGCATTCAATGCGTAGTGGTGATATTTACTAGGAGGGAGCATGCCGCTACAAATGTACTTGCCACGGTGCATTGGCTTGTTCGCCAACAAGTGAACAACTTTGCGCACATCTGGATCTTGAATTGCGTCCATGGACGCCTGTAGTGCTCCTGCACTGGATGCGTCTAGTTCCAGTCCAATCTTGTTCATGTGCTGAATAAAGTCACCCATACGTCTCTCAAGGGGTCCTTCATGGCGACGTAAAAGAGCCTGTTCTGGGAAAAAGTCAAAAATTTGCTTGGCAACGCTCATGTTGGCGAGGAGCATAAATTCTTCAATCAGTCGATTACTCTCTTTAAGTTCAAGCACAGTCACGTCCAAAGGCGAGTCCTGTCCATCAGTTTCGAATGCCAACTTGATGGAATTGATGGAAAGTGCGCCATTGTCAAACCTCTTTTGACGCAAGATCATGGACAATTTCTATCGAAAGCGATATGATATCATATTGGCAAATTGTGAGCGAAAGGCGATGGTGTTGTAAAGCATATTCACGCACCATTACAAGCTATAAAATATAAATAAATACTTACGAAAAATGTTTTGATGTTCTCTTCTACAACTTCCCGTGGATGGTTATAGACTTCGACCTTCGAGTCGAGAGCACCGGTTGTGATCACACGCTGAGCATCATCATATGATAACTGTGCGCAAGACCGAATGACAGACTTTGCAAATGAGGTCTTGAGAATCTCACCGCTCTCAGTCATGATCCAGAACACTGAAAATGTAAGCCTGTCGACATTTACTGTCAGACTACAAAGATCCTCCGAGAGTACGGTCGGCAACATTGGGATCGCCTTTTGAACCAAGTAAACAGTAGTAGCTCTTGCTTTAGCTTCTCTGTCTAAAGCAGAACCAACTTTGATGAAATGGGAAACATCAGCAATGTGGACACCAATTTCAAATGTGCCATCCTCGAGGCGAATGCAGGACACTGCATCATCCAGATCCTTGGCGGTGGCGGGGTCAATTGTGAAGGTACAACTCTTCCGAAGGTCACGGCGGTTACTCAGTTCCTTCTCCGGAATAACCCATGGAAGTTCAGGGAGACATTTTTCAACCTTTTCGCCAAATGCAGTAGTAGTGACGTTGTTATCCGCTAACAAAGCTTCTGTCTCGATCTCAATATTACCAATATCGCCAAGCTCACGTTCAAGATGCCCAAAAGGATGAAGTGAGCTAAGAGGCCAACGTTTGATTGTAGCTAAAAAGAGCTTATGGGCATATGCCATATGATTCTCTACAAAATCCCTGGGGGCTTGATCAATAGGAATAGCAATTAAGGGCACGCGCTTATCGGTCTAGAGAAATCAGATATAGAAAATCGAAAGAAGATATCCATCAATTATCTGAAACTAAAAAAGAGTAAATAACAGCAAAATAAATAATAAATATCTTATTCGTAAAAGATATAATCATACAGGTTTGAACCAGACAATTCGGGGTTGGCCCTTCGAATCATCATCATCTAGACGGCGACGTTCATTTTTCTTTGCTGATCCACTTGGTCGTTGTAAAGTTAAAGTCCCTGAAAACATTTGGACTAATGAGCGCTCAACAATAGAAACGACACGGCCGCAATATTTGGGTTTGATATCTTCAACGTCGGCTTCACCAGCTTCCTCTACATCCTCTGCACGCTTGTTCTTCTTTTTGTCCTTTCCGCCTTCTAGTTTTTGGATAGGCACGTCCTCAAAATCGATAAGCTCAATACCAACAACATCTCCTTCCAATGCACGGTTCCTGTCCTTACTTCCACAAATGTAAACATCGCCTTCTGGCAGAGAATCAACTGTGACATAAGCATCTGAACGGTTACGTTTGTTGATTCTGAGGACGCCTTGAACATATTTGTGCTTCTGTTTTGTCAGAAGTGAATGAAAATCTGAATAAGTCAAATGAGCTTGGAAGAGCGGGCGACGACCATTCGCATTCTCCTTGAGACTAACACTATCCCTATTGGACAGACCTGTATTAGAGGCCAGTGATGTAGCTAAATGATATGATGCCCAAGAAGTCATGCAGAGAAACTATCGTTTAGATAAAATCGCTCTTCCTTTCCACTTTTCTTCTTGATACCTCTTCTGTTTAAATTAAGAACAATACTAAAAAAAAAAAAAAAAAAAAAAAAAAGAGAGAGAGAGGGAGAACTTACATATACGCCATTCTTTACGATCAGCTTCCCTGACAGCCGGCGCAGCTGAGAGACGTCGACTAATTGGTCCAGTCATAGCTGATCGACTCGCAACCGTAGAATTGAACGAAGTTGAGTATCGTCTGCGGTCACGAGCGTCATCATTATTGACAAGACTTTGTCCGAAATTCTGGAAGGCCGCAGAGCCGGTGCCAGGCTGCATATGGTTGGGAAGCTTAGCGGCAAACTCAGCAAGAGAGTTTGGATCGACGCTGGAGATAGACCGGCGGTGAGGGGCTTTGGATGAATAACTCACACCATGTCCCATACTAGCCTTACCCTCGAGGGCTGAAAGAGTGTCTGCAATGGCATCCGCCTCTTCATCGCTAGAATAGCTGCCTCGTCCTGAGTTCTTTGCGGCAGGTGAAACATAGGTGCGACCCTCCTGCAATGCTGCAACTTCTTCTGGGCGAATGATGACTGAACGACGATTAGGCTGATATCCAGAAGTAGGGGTGGTAGGAGTGAGTGGAAGAATGTCTGTGGAAGGGTTGAAGTACAGACTGTCCACAGATGAACCTGTAGCTGAGCGTCTATTTCTTCTACTGATCTCCTGTTGGTCAATGCCCATTGTGCCTATATCCTGGGGAAGCACAATAGAACGGCGGTTATTGGTTTTTCTGGGAGCTGTGTTGTCCAATGTCTATTTTAAAGAATAACAAAACCCAAGAGGATAAAAGAAGGGAAAAGAGGGCGAGGTTGGAGGACGATGGATCAGTTACACGCCAGTTGACGACTTTTCTTTTTCCATCTAAAAAAAGGGACAGGTGCGCTCACAGGCGTACAATTTCATTGAGCATGTAACCCAATGTTGTTCGAATAGACTTACAGGATCGTCATCCTTTTTGATGGTAGAAATTACAGGGCGTTTTGAGTCAGAGACAGAGAGACGACGCAAAGTTGCGACTGTAGATTGAAGAGCATTCTCAATAGAGGTGCCACGGGGCGGTTGCGAGATGTGGAGGGTAGTTGTGGTCCCAGAACCGGAGCCAGAAAATCCAGACTCTTTGGTATTAAGACTTCCTGTACTAAAGTAACCCATTGAGGACCGCGAGGGTAGCGAGGACATGGACGAGCGTTTCTCATGGCGGGAAAGGCCTTGGCCTTGGCCAATTGGTGGCTGCTGTTGCTGTTGCTGTTGGTGCTGCTGATAGGGGTCAGCGGTGCTCACATTCGATGGTTGGCTATTATGGTTAGCAGGAATGCTCTTGAGGCTACTAATGATCTCCTGCAGAGACTGCAGGGTCTTTGGCGCATTGTCCTTGTTACCACTCTGACCAAATTGATCAAGCTGTTCTTTCATAGACTTTGAGCGTACATGGCTGCCACGTCTATTGCTTCCAGCAGGAGGAGGGCCAGAATGAGATTGGGGCTGGGACTCAGGCTGGGCCGGAGGTTGAGACAGAGATTGACGCGAGGTATTGGCAGAATGTTGGAGGTCATTTTCGTTGACAGTAGGTAAACCCGAGCCAATGCGACCAAACTTGTCACCAAAGAGAATAGAGGACCGGCGACTGGAAGGAGCGGAAGAAACGGTCGGAGCAGTGATATTGGAAGGAGATGAAGAAGGAAAGACACCTGTTGCAGGAGCAAAGGTGAAAGTGGAAGAGGGAGAAGAGGAAGAAGAAGAGGAGGATTCTCGTGACATAGTGGTAAAATGAAAGAGAAAAAGAGAAGAGATGATGAATAAGGATGATGATGAATAGAGGTTTTGAAGAAGAAAAAAAAAAAAAAAAAAAAAAAAAAAGAGAGAGAGAGAGAGAGAGAGAGATTTATCGTTGGGTTGTTAATTGATAATAAGATGATAAGATGATGGAATAAGGAAATGGAAATAAAACAATAGGATGAGACCGAGGAAGAGGAACGGAAGGGCAGAAGGGATGAAAAGAAATGGGGATTGAGGAGTAAGAATGAGGAAGGAACGAGGAAACGGAGGGAGGAGAGGTAAATGGTAAGAAAGAAAGAAAGATAAAATATGTAAACAAGTAAAAAAGAAAAGAGCACATTTTTTTGCTGACTGTTGTACATTCTTGGAGACCAGGTTTGTACATGCCCATCTTTTGTACCTCCGCAGTATTTTATATCCATTTAATCTGTGGCTTTCATTCTCGCAGTATGAAAAATGGTATTTCTCTTTTGCATTCTTCCTTTCCTTGCTTTTATTCCTTAATTCTCTCACTTATCCTTTGCACGATATTTCCTACTCCACAAGGCAATTGCTGCTGGTGCTATTACTACTATTAGCGTATTTTACTACTACTATGACAACTAGAGCTCCTGTATCAAAACCCATTCCTCGCTCCTTACAAAATATCGCTCAGGATCGAGCTGGTTCTTCCTTGCGCGCTTTTGAGATCTCGCAGATCAAGAATCGATACAAATCGTCCTTCATTGCTATTGCTCCTACTTCCTCTCCTGCTACTTCTACTGCAGCTAGTGTCGGTGGCAATGACAATGACAATGATAAGGATAAGGATAAGGATAATATCTTGAACTACTGCGATCAATTTCAACTCAAGATTTACCCCAGCGATCCCGACTTCCCATACGAGATTGAGTTTCTTCATATCCAGTTGTCAGTCCCCACGGATTATCCAACCTCGCCTTGTAGTGTCACTGTTCTCAACAAAGATATACCTATAGGATTTGCTACCAATCTTGAGCGTGGATTTGCGGAGGCAGCATTGCAAAAAAGATCATTGTTGGCTCATCTCAACTGGTTAGATATCAATATGGAGCAACTGCTCCAGAAACCGCCTGCACCTACCATTCGTTTTATAGGCCATGGACATGGACATCAGCAATCTCAACATCCTTCTGCTGCTGGGTTACCATCATCAACAGTGCCCACTCTTCCTCCTCCATTACCAAATTCTGTTCCAAATTCAACAGTCCTGTCCTCCTCGACTGTGCCTTCAATACAACGTCAAGAAATAAACCCAGTGTCTTCTTCAAAAACCTCTGAGACGTCTATACCAAAAACTTACACAGCAGAGCAGATCAATCAGGCTTCGCTTCAACGCCAAAAGCAGCTGAACCAGATTCAAACACGTTTCCGTTCATCGTTTTCGACTATCTCATCCACGGAATTTCAGATCTCGCTAGATACAATTGACAAGAGCCGCATGCCAGTCATCTGGGAAGGCCCTCTTTGGATTAACTTGCTAATCCCTAATGAATTCCCTCTTGAGCCTTGCGAGATTCGCTTGAAGCAAAATGGCCTTAATCCAGAGATTGAGATGTGGCGCGCAAGGTAACATGACTTGGATACTAGGAATAATCAAATTTTCAAAACTGGGATCTTACCCAAGATTCGCTTGAATTTGTTTAGAAATGTTGAGCAAGGATTCCGCGATATTGCCAAAACAATGAACCAACTATCGCTATTTCAACTTCTGAATCAGCTTAATCGGGATCTCAAAGAACTCCTCAGCAATACTGTACTTCCTTCTCAAAGTCCTGCTCCATCTGTAGCAACCGGCGCTCTCGGTATTAATCAAGACGACATGCAGAGTCAGGCAGGATCCTCCTCTGCTGCCAAAGTACTTTCAGCCTCAAGCTCCACGGCTCGTATTGGCACTACTAATTCATCGCCTCAACGTGATCCCATATCTGAGTCAGATCGAACCATGGACCAGACAAAACCAAAACTGATCTATGTCAATGCGCCCAACTATCCTCCACGTCGAAACTTTGATCAATATGAAGATCACGGAGCCGTGACGAGTGAGGACGATAATGAACGAGATGATGGTTCTCAGCATAGTGATATGGACATAGGGTCGTTATCCCGTAATGAAGACTCAAATAATGATGATGACGATACCGATAACGATGACGATGACGATGACGATGACGATGACGATGACGATCAGCAAGGATCCTTGAATACGTTAAATGGACCAATAGTGGATGGCACACCACCCAAGAGAGGCATCGAGATCCGTATGCCTGATCTCAAGCTTGAACATATATCATTGCTATATTGTCGCTCATTGAGTCTATTAGTCAAATGCAATCGTTGTAAGGGACTGTTTGAGATCCCTGATATCCTCCCAAGTGATGGAGGGGGACCACCATTGTCAGCGCCTGGTAGTAAATCCAACGCACCTACTGATACCCGCAAATGGAAAGTCTGTGAGAATTGTCAGTCGCTTATGGGGGCCCATTTCCGAGTAGAGTACATCCACATGCAATCTCGCACTATCGGCTACCTGGACTTGGCAGGCTGCACAGCGTTTGACATATTGCCCTCTATCTTTGTTCCCACCTGCAGCGAGTGCGATCAAATCCTTGGTACTACGGCTATTACTAGTGATCTCTCCACTGCTATGAGTACTACATCTATTGATGACTCTACATCGACGTCCAACTCGAAACTATCTGCAAACAATCGCCAAAACCCAGCATCTGCCCAAGTACTGCCGTCTGTAGCAGCAGGCTTCAGACAAAGGGTTGGACGTGGCATGTCCGCCACTGCCAACTGTCGAAAATGTCATTCGCGGATGACTTTTTCAATGGAAGGCGAGATCAAGTTTGTGAAGCTTAGTCCGGGAGATCTGATGAAAGCTAATGCTTCTACCCTGGAGCAGCTTCCACTCAAGAAAAAAGCTGCCATGCGCAAGAACAAGAACGGCCTTGATTTTGAACTCAAAGTTGGTGAACCCCTCCCTCGAAAGGGAGCGTGTGATCATTATAAGAAATCCCGACGCTGGTTCAGATTCCCGTGCTGCCAAAAGATTTACCCCTGCCATATCTGCCATGACGAAAAGGAGTCTGGCTCCCATGAATGCGATTACGCAAAACGGATGATCTGTGGTCACTGCTCACGAGAGCAGGTTGTGAGTGACAAGCCCTGTGTCTGTGGTGAAAGTCCAGTCAAAAAGTCCAGTGGTGCTAGCGCATTCTGGGAAGGAGGTGAAGGTATGAGGGATAAGACGCGGATGAGCCACAAGGATCCTAGGAAGTACCGTGGTACCAATAAAACTGTTGCAAAGAAGCAAGTGGGCGCTGAAAATATGAGAAAAAGAGCGCACAAGGCGGAAAAATGAGCCAGATATTTTTTCTTAACCGGAGGAAAAGCAAAAATTAAAAAAAAAAAAAAAAAAAAAAAAAAACTATGCTGTGTTTCCAGGGACAGTTTGCTAGTGTCAAACCATGCCCGTACCACAGTAGGTGTCCAGAGCCGTTTCCAGTGCGAAGGCCCTCCAAATCCTTTTACTCAATGAGGTGCCTTAGGTTGCGTAAGTGATGCTCTGCGCAACCATCAGATCATGGTAGGAGGGCATCTCGCATTTGTGGTAGTAGAGCCTTTTCCTATAAATAAAGAAAGTCCCATATGAATGCCGGGATTACTGCAAGATTCATTAATCCCTATTACAGTGAAGCCCTTTGTCTTGAGATATACATGTAATCCATACATTGTTTGTGGGCCTCTAACGTTGAAGGGATGAGATATCTATTCATTATCATAATAGCAATGAATACCAAGGCATTTATCCTATTAAATGGTTCGAAGTTTCATCAACGTCTTGTGAGGCCCTAAAAATGTATGGATTCTCCGCAAAATTTTGGCCAAAGCATATATCACGTGCAGATATGAAAGTGCACAAACCTTTGACTTTTGATGCATTCTTTTTACTCAAGTATTCGAATCCTTCTTTTACGTTGATCTCATTCAGATTCCTGTGATTTCTCTCAACCATGGAAAAAAGATCCACCCAGCCTCCAAAGGCATGGCATCATTTTTGATTCTTGGCTTCCAGAAATATCTTCGTCATATTTTTTTTTTGATCACTTTCATACTAACCATCCAATCTTATTTCCGACCTGTTTGTAACCTGCAGATCAAAAATAAGAATGCTGCGCCAGTTCAAATTTCGGCTGAGCAGATTCTTCGCGAGGCCAAAGAACGACAAGGAGTAGCCATCAAGGTTCCTAAGCAAAAGATTCACGACCATGAGGAACTAATGGAATACAGGGGGAGGAAGCGCAAAGAATTCGAGGACCGTATTCAACGCAGCCGACTTCATATCGGAGAATGGCTCAAATATGCAGCATGGGAAGAGAGTCAAGATGAGCTGGCCAGGTATAGAATTTAGACAACCGAAAGAAAAAGAGAATTGTACGCGTATTTGATTTTTTGATATATTTCTTTTCTTTTTCCTCTTTCATTTTTTCTTTGTAAAGAGATATATTTCACAGATTAAAATTCATTCTAATAATACGATGTGTCTGATAGGGCTCGTTCCGTGTACGAACGTGCGCTGCAGGTGGACAGTCAAAATTCGACACTGTACCTCAAGTATGTTGAAATGGAAATGAAGCACAAGAACATTGCTTTGGCACGCAATCTTTTCGATAGAATTGTTACAATTCTTCCACGCCGAGATCAGTTTTGGTATGTTTTCATTTTTTTTTTTTTGTTTTTCCTTCAACTCGCATTAAATTCTTGACATTCTATGCGCAAAAAAAAAAAAAAAAAAAAAGAATTAGAAATGCCCTTATTAACGGTTTGCAAAAATGGCTGATTGTAGGCTCAAATACACTTATATGGAAGAAATGCTGGAAGAGGTTGCTCGAGCTCGCCAGATATTTGAGCGCTGGATGCAATGGGAGCCGGAAGAAGAGGCGTGGATGGCTTATGTTAAGTTTGAAAAGCGGTATAAAGAACTGGACCGTGCACGCGCCATTTATGAAAGATTCGTGCATGTCCATCCAGACCCCAAGAACTGGATCAAATGGGCTGAATTTGAGGAACGGGAAGGATCTACCGAGAAGGCACGCGATATATTCACAAGGGCCATCGAAGTGATGGGTGAGGAGCTAATGGAGCAAAGATTGTTCATTTCATTTGCTAAATTCGAAACCCGACAGAAAGAAGTATGATATTATGTTATGTCTTGATCGCTATTTTTGAACAAGTTGCTCCTATTTCAATATTGATCAGAACATCATTACTTACTCTTTTCTTTAAAAAAAAAAAAAAAAAAAAATCTTTGAACAACAGATCGAACGGGCTCGCGTCATTTATAAATATGCGCTGGATCGTATTCCTCGCTCAAAATCCCAAGCTCTTTATAATCAATATGTTCAATTTGAGAAACAGTATGGCGACAAAGAAGGAATCGAGGATGTAGTTATTGGCAAACGAAGACTTCAATACGAAGCAGTAAGTCAGAGTTATAAGCGATCACCTTCTGCATATTATCAGCTCGATCTAGTCATTGTGGAGAAAGCTACTCCATCTCAAAGTTCAACACATTATGCTGATGCTATGTGACGCATACTTTCGATTATGTTCAATGCTTAGGATCTTGCCAATAATCTCAAAAATTATGACATTTGGTTTGATTATGGAAAACTTGAAGAAAGTACGGGCGATATAGATCGAGTTCGAGAGGTATATGAACGTGCTATCGCACAAGTTCCGCCAGCTCAAGAGAAACGACTTTGGCGACGGTATATTTATCTTTGGATTAAGTATGCCTTATTTGAGGAACTTGAAGCAAAAGTAAGATCATCGTGATGCCATGGAAAGCAGATGCGATGATGTCGGCATGTACATTGGGCTCAAGAAGCATGGGTCACTAACCAAGTGACATTGTATTTCTAGGATTACGAGCGTACACGGGAGGTATACAAAGGATGTCTCCAACTCATTCCACATAAAAAGTTCACATTTGCCAAAATCTGGCTGTTATACGCCAAATTTGAGATTCGACAGCTGGATGTCGCTGCTGCGCGCAAGTCCTTAGGAATGGCTCTAGGTATGTGTCCCAAAGACAAGCTATTCAAGGGATACATTGAGCTAGAGCTGGAGGTGAGTTGATAGGTTGGTGATGACATAAATAGCCCATAATGTAGACAACAACTGTAAAGCATTTTGCGATAACTTCTACACCTTATTATTTATTTATTTATTTCTTTTTTATAAAATAGCTGCGTGACATTGATAGAGCAAGGAAATTATATGCCAAGTACCTTGAGTGGTCGCCGTCCAATTGTGCTGCCTGGATCAAATTTGCAGAACTGGAGAATGAGCTTCAGGACATTGATCGTGCACGTGCTATTTTCGATTTGGCTATTTCTCAACCGGAGTTGGATATGCCGGAACTTCTCTGGAAAGCGTATATTGACTTTGAGGTTGGTGAAGAGGAATGGTCCAATGCTCGCTCGTTATATCGGAAACTGTTGCAGAGAACGGCGCATGTGAAAGTATGGATCAGTTGGGCACATTTTGAAGCAAGCGTGCCGGGCGAAGGTCAAGCTGCTGCTGCACGAGAAGTGTTCAAGAAGGGCTGCAATACCATGAAGGAGCATGGGCTCAAGGAAGAGAGAGTTATTCTATTGGAAGCGTGGAAAGAATTTGAACAGGCGCAAGGTACAGCCGAGACCCTCAAGAGTGTACAGGACCTTATGCCTAAGATGGTCAAGAAACGTCGACAGGTCGAAACTGCTGATGGTCATGTTGCGGGCTCATCACAATGGGAGGAATACTACGACTATATCTTCCCAGATGACCAAACCGAGAAACCCAATTTCAAATTGCTCAGCAAAGCCCACGAATGGAAAGCAAGAGTAAGTTTGTACCTGAAATGCTAGAAATGAAACCTTTTTGTTTATTTTTTAACAAACTATGTTTTTGCCACTCTATCCTGGTAGATGGAAAAAGAAAAGGCTGAAAAGGCTGCTGCTGCTGCTGCTGCTGCTGCCGCTTCTGCCGCTTCTGCCGCTTCTGCCGCTTCTGCCGCTCCTGCTGCTGCTACTTCCAATAATTCCGATGCTTCCGCTCCTGCTCCTGATGACTCTGCTTCTGATGATTCTACTAGTCCATAATAAATACACACATAATTTGAAAACACAGTCCCATTACAAGTATATTTTTTTGTGTCAAAGGAACAGCATTGTTCTTTTTGATCTCCTTTCCTGACAAAGTTGATCAGCAATTACCATCTCCCATTCAAGCATCAAAGCAGCACATGTAAAAAAGGGGAACAGTACATATCACGAAGAATTGATTAATAATTTAAATATTACACAAAAAAAAAAAAAAAAAAAAAATGGCGGCAGTACAACCGCTGTTAAAATCTCTTCCAAAGTTGCCAGCACCATATCTCTGGCCAACACTTTTCAAGGGCTCGAGAGCACGCGGACATGCAAGAGTCTCTGTCATGACAGAGGAGTTGGCTGGTATGATAAAAGAAGGATTAGAGATCGAGACAGCAAAAAATAAGCTTAGGGAAGAGAACCACATGTGTTTTATATTAGCTTTCGCCAGTCTCTCTAATTTCTTTTTCTGTCGATCTGTGTCCAAGATAGAATCGGCAGCCAAAGTTATGGACATCAGCAATCATCCAAATCGATCCATCATCGAGATTTATCCAGGTAAGAGACAAAGGGTAGAGCATTGATACAAATTGAATACTGGAAAAAGACGAAATGACCTTTTTATTTTTTTATTTTTTAATAAAATAATAGGACCAGGACAACTGACACGATCCATGGCATTGGCCGGCGCAAAGAAGGTTGTAACACTAGATAACGGTGAGATGTTCCAAAAGTCATTAAAGGTAATTTATTCTTGAGAACGGAAGGTCGTATATGAGAATCGTAACCGATCAAGATCCTCCAATGAACATGTGAAATTACATTTGGTCTCGATCGCCCCTTTTGACATGTTTTCTTCTTCTTCCCTTCTATCCGCAAGCATAGGCTCTGGAAGAAAATTCAAAAGGCAGGATCCAACACTTTGCATTGAATCCACTCGGAGAACCCTATGATGATCTTTTGGCCTCTGAACTAAATGCACTGCCTGGATTGACCCCACAACCTTGGGATACGATTCAATCGGACATCATGCTAGTAGGATCGATCCCAAATTCAGCGCTGGGAGAGAAGGCTTTTATAGATCTCTTGAAGGCATCCATGGAGCGTATGGGTATTTTTAGGATGGGCCGTGTTGGAATGTATATGTTTTGCTCCAAGGAAGCTGTCAAGGTAATAAAAAAAAAGGAAGAAAAATCGATTTTTTCTATTATATCTACTATCAATGTTTATTAAAAAAAAAAAAAAAAAAAAAAAAAAAAATAGAGATTTACATCACCAGCAGGGACAACAGCTAGGAACCGGCTAACGCTTCTTGCGGAAGCAGCAGCCGAAGTATCATCGATCATGGTCCCTGGAGCAAGCCACTTTCATTTACCATATGAATACGAGCTACTGCGAATTGTTCCGCACGAGAAACCCAAGCTGGAAAGTAATAGCTCCCCCTCTCATCTCTTTCTCTCTTTCTTTGAGGCTGCTCGTGAAATTTGTATGATGAAAATAGGACACGTAGAGCCAAACTGATTTCTTTTTTTTTTTAAAAAAAAAAAACCTCCCCTTGATTGCCATTAGCTTCTTTGGATATAATGGAATTCTGCCTTAAGAGTCTTTTTACAAGCAAATCAATGCCTCTTAGCAAAGTCATCAAGTAAGAAACGACTTGCCTCTTTTGGCTTTTATGAAAATAGATGCGACCTCTTGCTATCTTATTTTTTTCCTGATTTCCTTTTTTTTTTTTAAAAAAAAAAAAAAGGTTGCTTGGACCTGGAGCAGAGATCTTGCTAGGTCGCCTGAGTTTTGACCACAACATCAAGGTTAAATACATGACACTGGAGCAGGTGAACGAAGTTGCTTCCAAATTTGATCAGTGGCCACTTCGCCCAACGAACCTTGTGGATGATTTGATCTTGCACGAAAAGAAAGATAAACGACATTGATTATTTCTTCACTTATTTATTTTTCTCCATGCGCCATCATCCGAATGAACAGAAAGGCTAATTTTTGTTCTTTCAGTTTATAATAAGTCTTTAATACAGAAAAATAATAGAAAAATAATAATAAAAGGAAAAATGAAAATATAAAATGCCATGTTTGTATGTATGTATATGTGGGTGTTGCAAATTTGAATTCAGTACATCACATTAAAAAGCACCTTCCTCATCGTATTCAAACTCGCCTTTGGCAAGCTCTGTCTGAAAGCTTTGAATGACATGATTGCAAATATCAGTCAAATCATCTAGTCCTTTAAACATAGCCTCTACTGCTGTTGTTTTGTCTGATGTTTGGATCCTGATATTTGTCCTTGCTTCTGAAGGATGAGGGATTGAATAAGATGCAAAGTCGACTTCGGGACTAAAAAATCAATTGTGAATATAAAAAATCATCAGAAAAAACAAAAAAATCTAATGAAAAATCACCTCGATCTTGCTTAAAATCTTTCAGTGACACCTACTTTTTCATAAGAGTCCAGCGAAGTGCATTTCCGAGAGTATGATCTTCGTCCTGTAGACAAAAGGTAGCGCATTGAGGCTCTGTCATCGTTCCTGGGACCTACAGCCCATGATAAAAAAAAAATAAAGCTTTATATATAGCCTTTTTTTTTTTTTTTTTTTGACTTTACGCTTTTGGACAGGTTTATTTTGTTGTTTTTTTTATATCTCTTTTTAAAATAGAGTTATCTTGTCTTAAAATAAAACTTACAATAGTAACTTTCCCCGTGTCGATTTCCACTGGATCTTCTTCCATCCGGACAACTTTTGAGGCGGACATTTTGTGTAATGAACGAATGAATGAACGAAGTGGAGGAAGCAGAAGCCGTAACAACAAAAAAAAAAAAAAAAAAAAAAAAAAGTGGCTGAATGATGGACAACAAGCCACGAAATTTTATTTAGAGTAAATGAAAGTGCAAAGTAGACTACACATTGAGAGGAAAGAAAGAGAGGGAAGCGAAGGGAAAACAGTGCGAATAATGAAAGAAAGGGTTTTTGTCTACCACTCCTTTTTCTTTTCATCCATGCTCATGCCACCAGGCCCAATGTTGACAAGGAGCAAGAGACCGCCCATAATTGAAAGGGTCTGGAAAAAGTCGTATTTGAGAAAATCCTTTTGTGAATGAGCATTCTCAACAGACCACCAATTATTGACCACAATATTGAACACAGATAAGAAAAGAACCAGGAACATGGCCGACCACTTGGCCTTGAAGCCAATGGCAACCATCACGCAGGCTGCGAAACCAATGATGGCTCCAACAACACGAGTAACCGACCACTGTCCATGCAGGGCAAAGCCGAAAAACAAAAAGATAAGAAGTACTCGACCAGCGAGTTGGAAGTACGTTCGCTTATTGTTCTCGGTGATCGAAGGCAGACCAGCGAAGAGTTGACGACGTTTGTTTAAACCATCTGATACAACCATCAACAGACCACCGATTACAGAAAGGTTACGCAGGAAAAAGCCGGCGTCGAAAATCAACCCATAACCTAATGCCTGAATAATCACGACACTGAACAGAGCCGCTGCTGCGTATTCAGTATGTTTCCTTGCGATTACCATCGCGGAGCAAGATAACATGGTCTACATTAATGCAACGTGGTATATACGATGAAGAATGTTTCATACAAAAGTGAGTAAAGAGTCCTGTCATTAACTAGAACACAATCTGTAGCACTTGTTCAAGGAATAATAAAAAAAAAAATCTCGAGTGGATTTGACTTACCAAGACATTACCAAGCAGGAAAAGATGACTAAGACCCCAAGGGAAACCGCGATAGCGTTGAAGATAATAAAGCTGGTCGCTGAATTGAGTTGAGATACGAACGGCATCCTCAAGAAAGGTGACGACAATGAGGAGACGTGCAATCGCTGGAATGTATGGTTTGATCGGCTAAATTCAATCAGGTTCAGAATGGTCAGTAACGAACATTGCAATGTAGTTCATTCTTTGCTCGCTTACATCGCAAGAAAAGGAGATAAAAAATAAATAAAAAAAAAATAAAAAAGGCTTACTTGGCCAATACGATCGATAATATCCTCAATCTTGCGCGAGTAATCGTGCACGGAATCCATGATAGTTATTTGTTGAGAAAAGAATGAAAAAGCGTCTAGTTGTCTGAAAGTTTGTCCGAGAACGACGTGTGAATATGCTATATTCCTTTTTGATTTGTTGCCCTTCTTTTAGACGACCTTAAAAATAAAAAATAAAAATAAAAAAATAAGAAAAAAAAAAAGAATCAGTCAATGGTCATTCGGACAGTATGGCTCATGGTCCTGACATCATTCCATGCAAAATGAGAGTCCTTGCAACCACAAAAGTACCTGGTAATGATGAAAGACAAAAAATAAAAAATTTTAAGGGAAGTAAGGGGATATGAAAGAAAGAGTGGCTAAAGAAAGGAAAAGGAAGAAAAAAAGAAAAGAGAAAAGAGAGAGCGTCTCTTTAAGTGAGACCATAGTCCATTGCCTCTCAGTCCCTTCCAACGAGAGGACAAAGGCCGAGACATGGCATAAACATAGAAATGGGTTATTGCCAGGGTGGCATCCTACACATCCACTTACGGTACTTCTTTTATTTTGTCCCAAGGAAAAACACAACCTCTCTTCTCCTTCCCCCACATTCACAAATGTAGACACAAACAACCCATCCAAGTCTCACAGACCTCTCCTTCGGATGCAACAAAAGGCCACTTCTCTGAACAAGCAAGGGGTTTCAAGAAAAAACAAATGAGCAAAATAACTTTAAAAAGAAAATATTATAAACATGTATCATCAACATTATTAGCAAAATAAAGACACATGAGTGTCGATGAAGGATAGATAATTGATAAAGTAATAACTATCGAATATGTCTTTGCAACAAAGTTGTCTATTAGCTTTCTTAATCTATACTTTCTATCTATCCAGTGTCTTCAAATCAAACCTATCATCACTATCGTCATCATCATTATCAGTCCACTCATAACTGAATATTGTGCTATTTATCATCAGGGGTCGCAGTCGCTCTTCTCATCTTTATACAAAAATGATTTGCTTCTGAATCCTCACTTTCTTTCTCAGTCTTTCAGTCTTTCATGTAAAGTGAATATTCCTTTACATTGTACATATTACATTGTCGACTGATCTGCAGTCGCGTGTCAACCGCAACTATGGAATTTCCAAGACAGAAAACATCGTCTCAGAATTCTGTTTTCACTCACAAAAGTATATCGTCTATCAACGCGCCTTACACATGCCGTCATCTGTCATTGTCTCCTCCCCTGCTAGCTGCATAAATCGTTGCACAAGAGCTCTCATCAATTATTTATTCTTTCGCAATAGTTTGCATCCATTCAAAAGGTTCGTGTGCAAACAAGGCCCTGCTGCCATCCGACAAAAGGGCGCACATTAAGCCGTCCAATCAGAACTCTCCAGCACGTACCCTCTTGTTAGGATGGCATGGGAAACAAATACTCTTCACAATAGGCTATCCAGAAGAATGATTCACTCCAGTGATGGAAAATACACGAAAAAGTCAACGAGCAGTTTAAAGATCAAGATTACAGTAGTAAAGGCTACTTGCTCTCTATTCTAGCTTTAACAAAAAAATAACAGAAATCTGCTTTATTAAGTTTTTTTTTTTTTTCTTTTTTTTTTTTTTTGTACAAGTTACAATATACAGACCCATAACAAAAATTGAGAAACATTGGTTGCTCTGTCTAAGTAGAAGCCTCAATGGATGTTTCTGATGGTCCTAGAGCGGAAGCAGGAGCAGAAGTCAGGGAGGAGTCGGAAGTAGGGGCTGAGGCAGGAGAAGAAGCCTGTGCTCCAGATGTAGAAGCCCGTGATTCTTCTACTTGCTGCTCTAAGCTAGAGCCATCCGCAACCTTGGATGGAGACTGAGATCCAGAAACGACCGATGCATTCATATGGGCCATCGCTCCAAGTGTCAGTTTTGCGCTTAGTTGCTCCACTTCCTTGATGAGACGAACATTCTCATCGATACGCATGGCGCTCAATGTCAGCTTGGCATTAAGCTCCTCGATTTCTTTGTACAGTCTTGCGTTCTCTTCTTGCAATCGTGTGCAGGTATCCTGGAGCTCATTAACATAGGCCTTCTTCTTCTTGCGACACTCCTTAGCCGCTACGCGGTTCCTCAAAAGGCGCCGTTGTCTCCGTTCTTCATTTGACATGTCACGGCTAGTTCGCTTTCCATTAAGGACGTCGTCTTCAAGAATGGCTGCTGCATCATTTGCAGAAGCGCTTTCTGTGGTCGCAGGCACCGATGCCAAAATTCCTTGGGTAGTCTCCGACTCTTGTACATGTTGTGAGCGTGACTGTGTCTGTGCCTGAGGCTGCGGCTGGGGTTGTGGTTGTGATTCAGGCTCCCGTTGACTTTGGATGCTATTTTGAAGGTCACTAGAAGAAAGAGGCGCCTGTGCAAGGACATTTGCTAAAGCACTGGACGTAAGAGACGTGAGTTGCTCTAGAGTAGCTTGGTTATTGGGATTAGTTGTGAAGGAAGTGATTTGTCTAGGATCCTTCTTGACCATCTGCTGCATCCTCATCAGATCCGCCATAACTTCGTGCATCCCTGGGGTGACTTGAATTGATTTGGATTGCTGTGCTTGGGTAGTTGAAGTAACTGACGTATCCTTAGGATCCGACTTGGCGTTAGGGGGCACCGTGGCGGTATCCTCTGTCTCATTAGATGCAGCGACATGCGTCTCTGTTCCAGAATGACTAGGGCTATGGGTACTACTGGTATTACTGCTGTGATTGCTACTGCCTGACAGAATGCCAGCAGCAGCATTGGCGTTGTTGTTAACTTCCTCTTGGAGCCTGCGTAGCTTGGCACTGTCATCAATGTTCCCAGCGTCATCTTCAGCAGGTCGCTTAAGCCTGGGGATGGCTGCGACAATCGTCTCGATAGCCGATGAGTTGAGGTTTTCAATAGAGCTTAAATTGTCGATATGACGGATACTGCTTAAATGATCATGCGTAGCATCTCTACTTGAGAAGGTTGATGTTCCTTCACCAGCAGCAACAGCAGCGACGATAGCTGCGTTCACTGCATTGACTGCTTCGGACATGGTGGTTGGAGCTGTCCTATCATCGAAGGTCGAGTTTGTCATAGTGCAGCAGTGCTACAGGTTGTGGGAACGTAAAGTTTGATAAAGACGTGACGATATGTTTGTGCCTGCAGGGATAGAGTAAGGTAGTCAGCAAACATGTATAGTCCTTGAAGTGTCATTGTAAAAGATTCCATTGAAGCCAAGGCAAAGAATAAAGACAAAGAAGTTCACGCTTCACAAGCCCTAGACTACACTTCATAAACACGCAGAATGTCATTCTCTCGCAACAATGACATGACAAGAATGATTTCGCGATGGAGAAAAACAAAAAAAAAAAAAAAAAAAAAAAAAAAAGGAAAAGGAAAGAAGAAAAAGAAAGAAGGAAAGAGAGGAGAGAAAAGACTTCTCCTAATCCAACAATGTCGTTGACAATCCATTGGCACGACGTCGACAATTGTGGTAGTCCGCGATCATACTGGGCATACCTGTGTTGGTGAAGTGCTGCGTCACGGAAGTGGAGGAAGAAGCAAAGAGTGTGTGATAAAATTGCATTCGTCATCTTTTATTTTTTAGTGGCTTATTTTTTGGAAAACCACGACATTGATGCCATCAAAGGGCAGGTAGTCTTTGGATATGCGATTTCCAAGAGGTTTCTTCTCCATTAGATATTGAACAAACTCAATTGTCGTGTTGACCCTACCGCCATCAGACAATCGTCGATGCGGGTTGTCGTGCGCAAACACGCAGCAAGGCACTACAGCGAATGGCTTGTCATGCTTTAGCGCTATATCTACAATAGGCTCAGTCGCCTGGTCAGGATGCATCCCGATCAAGATAGACGCGCCTTCAAACACATCCTTATGGTTTACTAGAAAGCTCTCATCGAGTAAAGCGGTCAATCGTGGAACTACAAACTGCTCTATCTGTTGCTTTTTGTGGCGGCGTTTCTCGTCCTTTATTATCTCGGCATCAGTGGCGTGATCAACTTCTTGCTGGGGCTTAGTTTGCGCATTCATACTCTGCTGGTTGTTGAGTGCCAACAACAATGGATCCATTCTCTTGTATAAATGACCATCGCCTCCAGCCTCGATATCGAGTTGCTTTTTAATAGCATTCATGAGAATCTTGCGCTTATATGGTTTGTCCTTGCGCTCGTTTGGCTCGACCACAGTTGATCGAACACCAAACATATGTGTGAGAAACATAGAAACCTCCCCTTTTCCGCCAGCAATGTCAAGGACTCCTGATCCAGAATTGAGGAAGTCTTTTCCAAACTCACGGACGAGCCACTTGCAAAATATCAATGCACGTTGCGAATGTGGCACTTTGGAAGAAATTGCATGCGGGTCCTCTAGCAGTTTGGACCGCTCTTTTCTAGCTTGCGAATGTTCTTTCACCCATATCTCTTGGACGCGATTATACTCCGTCCCTGTTGGATGTCTTTTGAGACAATCCTTCTTGATGCATTTTAATGAATTGATCCAAAATTTACAGTAATCTTCCCATGGAGCCAGCTCCGTACTTTGAATAGAGTCGCCCTCAATCACCATCTTTAATTGAGTTGAAGATGTGGATGACATGGATAGTGTCGATACTGTTGATCGTATACAGATTGCCGTCATAACCTCGCCAGGTAATGTATCGGATGAACTGTTGGATTTTTTAAGACCCATAGCGGGCTCAGGTGGGAAAGGGTCATTCCCAGGCCATGCCTTCAACACCACAAAATCCAATGCTTGATAGACAGGATAATCTCTCTTGGACTTTTCTTCTTCAGATGCCTCAAATACCGGCACACAGACTTTATCACCCCGTCGGACTCTCTTCCAATGGGAAATGAGTTCATGGTCGGTTAATTCTCCAGGGAGGTTTTCGCGAGAATCGTCAGAGCGAAAGAGGATCGTACATTTGAACGATTCGTTGATTCGCAAATCAATAAAGAACATCCGTTTATAACACCGGCGAGCATGAACTATTTGACCTGTTAGTTTCTGCGGTTGTACATTAGTAATGCTGCGAAATTGAACTTGATCATAGTCGTGATTGTTGTTATTAACCTGTTCCACAGTATGCATTCTTTAAAGAGTGGGTTATTAGAATATGTCCACGGCGACACTAAAATAAAAGGTTCAGCCACTTGAACTGGGCGAAGACGCTCGTGTGCGTGACATTGTGTCTCCATCTTTCTTGTCTCTCTATCTTGCTCAGATTTTCCCATTCACTCAGAAACGGTCATACTCGCATAGATATCATTCATTCTCATCCTTCTATGGCCTCTACGCCTTCATCTGCTCAGTCTGCCGCGGATGCGGACACTCATGGCTCTATTCAAACTACGACTGGCACGCTCGAGCCTGCGCCAGAAGTATTGCTCACCCGCGGTTACCCAAAGCGGTCGCTCGCTGCACTCGAGACAGAATTTGTTGATAACAATGACATTAACAGCATGGCACCTAGCAGCGCCGTCCTTCAGTCCAGCTTTTTGATCATGGATGACGCTCACAATCTCGAAGATAAGGTCGATAAGTCTGATCATGTCACTCTTCCTCAATCGCAGTCTAGCTCAGCACAACCACCACCCAAGCGAGTACGGTATGGCTCTTTAGAAAATGAGCCAACGGCGACGGATTATGCACTACTTGAACCCATTATCCACCCAGACAAAGATAATACTATCCCACGGGCACGACGACACTCTGCAGCAGCCTCGTCTTCCATTGTGCCATCCCAAACTTCACATCCCACCATGAGCAGGAGACGATCCTTAGCAGACCTAGTACATTCTTCTAGTCAACGTCCACCAGTCGTTTTAGATGAAGCTGAGGCAACAGCGGCATATGGAGAGCCCATTGATACGTCATCCCCATCCTTGGGAATGGACATTGATGCCAGCGAACAGCCCCCTACCCCAGTGATGTCTAGGTATCCTGGATCCTCACAAGTCGCTGCAGGAATCAATTCTTCGTCCCCAACAGCGACAGGTAACAGTAAACTGTAATGTCGACTAAAGACTTTTTTTGAGCTAAATATCTTTCAAAGTCTCATCATGATGTAAAATTTTATTTTCTCTAGAGTCTAGCAATACTCCTACGTATCAACGTCATGACAGTGATAAAAACAACGTTCAGACGTCAGTTACTGGAGGAAGAAGCAGTGGCCCTCGTTCTCCCTCCTCAGTTAGGTCACCATCTTCACTCTTCATGCCCTCACAACAATCCCACACGACAGCAAGTCACAGACGAAATAGTACCTCTGCAAAGAAGGGTTTTCAGCGCCCCGTGCGAATTCAGCTGCTTGATAAGGCAGAGTCTGAACAGATCAGAGAGCAGGCGAGACGCGATTCAGCTTCCTCGGGAGACCAAGAGCAACGGGATCGAGACGATGACAGCGAGACATTCATCCCTCAAGATGGTATTATCCTTCGTAACAGCATGGGCAGCGATAACGATAGTGACATTGCACTGCTAAAAGAGGATCCTAGTATTCATGACTGGGACAAGGAGGAGCTAGAGGACGAAGAGAATGGAAGTAGTACGCCTGCATATGGCGGTGAACCGCTCTCTCTTCCATTGGAGACTTCGCAGCGCAGAAAGTCCTTAGAAAATGACATCCGCCGAGCCGCCAATGCCTCTGGAAAACCTACAGGTGCATTGCCCCGTAGAAGACCAGGTCGAGAAGGCGATAATAGCTATAATAATAGTTCTAATGGTGATGACAACGAGGACGAGGATGACGATTGGGATCCATTGCGTGATCCGGAGAGGGAAATTGCAGTAATGAGCGAGGATCAGGAAGCAGACCTCCATAATGTTCACCTCAGACTTGAAAATCAACGTGAGTTTCAAGACGCCGCAAGTTTGGACCTTGGCGAGGCTGAGTCCCAGGCTGTGAATGAGGATGGACAATACGGGGGCTCCATCCAGGAGGATGATGAAGGTGAAGATTTTTGGGAAAATCGATGATCTGCCCCCTTTTTTCGACTCAATGATACACTGTAGCTTTTTTTCTCTTTCTTCTGTTTATTTGATGATAAAAGCGCACTGAGAATTATTCAAGATATAGTGTATACATGTACAGCCTCATGCTTGTCCTAACCGGAAAAGCTTTAGACGATGATGTAAATAACATAGAAAAATACTAAGAACATCCTGCGTTTTAAAAGTATAAAAAGTTTTATTGATGTAAAAGCGAGCAGAATGATTAGTGTTTGACTGAAAAGAGAAAGGCCCACAACAGTCTCTTTGCTAGAAACACATTGACATCTGACAAGGGGTATAATAAATCTCCACTTCCAAGCTCCTGATGACATTTAGTTCTTATATTTACTCCAGCTTTACCATTATAATAAATGTAAAAGTCTTTAGATAGCGTGGCCAATACTGCGCAAGTTCTTTTTAAATGCCTCAACGTGGAGAGAGAGTAGGCATAAAAAAAAATGCATGTCTCAAATTGATGGCTAGGGTGAAATCAACAAATCAAGCGCATTTGACACAGCGGCGAATGTCAGGGAACCTAATAGTTGTGCTTGGCTGATTGACATGTGTTTTGGTTTTCGTACTTAACAACCTCGACAGTATAGTGGTGAGTAATGGCATAACAATGATATGCCATTAATGTTCATCAGTTACGATGTGGATGTAATATCCCACGCAAAAAGTAGCTTACCTTAATACGCAAAGACAGCTAATTTGCTATAGTGCCAATAAAACAATCAATCCACATCGCTCCTTCTACCACCATTAAAGGTATCCAATGGTGAAAGATGGACATTAGTCATCAAAGGGGGTCTTTCAGTGTAGTATGGTTGTGTATTTTGAGTATTACCTTGCCATGCTAACCATTTCATATAATCGGATAAAGACATCTCTATACTCATTCACCCACCCCAACTACCATCCGCATGAGCATCTCTTCCCTTTTGATTGATCATGTATAGAAAGAAAAAAATATGTATTAAAATAGGGATGATATGATGTACAAGTCCATATTAAGGAAAGAAATAGGTTCACTCATCCTTTATTCACAAGAAGCACTGTTATTGATATTTGGTTTGATTCAATTCATTTAGAACTTGAGAGCGTGAGGAGCCTGGCCCTTGGAAAGGGAGAACTTGGAAGCCAAGTACTGGCGGAGGTGCTCAACCTTGTTGACAGCCTCGAGGATAAGCTTGTCAGTGGACTTTTGGAGAGCAACCTTATTTTCAGCAAGAGGCTCCTTCTTCTTCTGGCCCTCGAAGAAGGCCTCCTCAGTGGCGACCTTCTTGGCACTCTTGGGACGGGCAAAGTAGGCATCATTCAACTGGGCATCAACCTATAAGACAATTACCCATTATGAAAAAGTCAATCAGTACCTTATTAACTTGGCTTGACAAATGCAGATATTCCATAATCCCTTAAGTACATTGTTGTATAATGTAATTTGATAAACGCACCTTGGAAGCATCAATGTCAACCTTAGTGGAGGTGGCAATAACGTAGGCCTGATTGACGCGCTTGAGGGGAACGCCATTAACCTTGAAGGGGCCAGAAACGAGCAACAAGCCAGACTCGAGCTGCTTCAAGAAAACAACGCGCTTGCCACGGTAGCGACCGGCCAAGAGGATGAGGACAGTACCAGGGACGATGGAGGTGCGGAGCTTAGCGGTGCCAGCATGCTTACGGTTCTTCTTGGGGACAGCAACATCCTCGGCGGAATAGAAGCGAGGTGCCTTGGAAGCAGCAATGACACGAGAACCACCGTTCTTGCCGCCCTTAACCTCGACAGTCTTGTTGGCAGCCTTAGGGGCAGCAGCAACGGTTCCAGTGGGCTTGCGCTTATACAAGGCACGCTTGGCGATGACCTGGGAGCGGCTGTACTTGGAGACGCCAGCAGTCAGGAGAGAGTTGCGAGGCTAGGGGAAGCAGATAAGTTGGTATATAAAGCGTGTGTCGGTTAATTTCACCAAATTGGAAATCCAAGCATCCTCTCTTTGTTGTATACTGTTGACTGAAGAGATAATGATGATAGTGGTGTGGTGGTCATATTGCTCATTGCTTGCTTGCCACTTCTTTTTTTCTCCACTTGCTCTAGTTCCTGATGCGAAGAATATGGTCAGGATGTCCATTGCTTTTGCATGATTTTTCATTCGCAGAAATCCTATTCATTTGTCATGGTGAGTTCGTGTTTCCTGTCAAAACCAAACCTCCCGAATTCAGACTTCAAGTAGAGATTTCTGGTTCCTTCTCTCCTTCCTCATTTGATGTACTAGTACATTCTTTTGTTTTTCTTTTTTTTTTTTTTTTCATGTCTCGTCCGTATGATTCCGATCTGATGCATCGGATATTTTGATGTATTTGCTAAGGGCGATGATTCTATACAATCAATATCTATTTATCGATCCTTCTTTGTTCTATTGTTCCAGATCCTACTTATTGTCCTTATGCTAAAGTGCAGTATTTCTGAGAGCTGGCTATAAAAGGGTCGACGGCCTTCAGTTCTCTTCCTCTTCCTCTTCCTCTTCCTCTTCTGATATAATAATGCTGATTTGCTAGGATGTATAGTGCTGCATACCTTGTGAACCATTTCTGATATCTACAGTGTTGATATAACCAAACAGATATGCATAAATGGTATGGTTAGTACACTATACTATCAGAGTCATTTGTGAAAGTCGTATCCCAATCACTACTATAGCGTTGACTCCTGCTGAGTCTTCAAATAAAAATGGGGTTGAAAGTCCATGTTGGCATCGCAATCGTGTCGCATAGTTCTCCTTAATCAAGATTATTCTGAAGGATCAGGGTACTGGCATGCAACGTTATTCTGTCTGACCTCACACCGCCTCTCATGTAGATCTTTCATCATGGCGGCAGAAATTGGTGTTGTTTGACAAGAATCGCTAAAATCCAATAAACATTTCTTGTCCTGTATTTTTATCCTTGTTGGGTCTTGTCAAATCACTAACTCGAGCTAAAGATCTGATTCTATGCCAAATCTCGCTTAGAATGCCTGGAAGAATGCCACTATGGCCAATATATTATGAGATTCTGGATAATATATTGATGGTAGATATATCGATGGATGGGTTGATGCTTTCACGACTGATTTTTACACCAAGACAGATGGATGTGTTTGCTGAGTTCCTGTACTATCCCCATGTAACACCTATGTAGAGTTGTGTGACTGCCCCACATACATTTGAACGAAACGAAAAGAGAGAACAGATGTTGCCCACGCCGCACACACTAAAATAATCAGCAGCGTGCATTTAGGAAGACTATTTAAAACAATGAAAGCTCTATATATGCATGAAGAGACACAACCTGGGCTTATCCGATGCTGAGAGGGTTGATTAACTATTCTATTCTTTTTTGAGCCTCTATTCCTTTATGACTCCCTTCATCCAGCCAAATAATGATGCTGTGATCATTGGCGTCAAAACTAAAATGTAAACATTTCGGTATCCAACGATGCGATGATGACGGAGTTGTTGTTAGGATATCGTTGTCGAGTACTGCCAAGGTAAAGTTTAAAAATATACACATCGTCATAAAAAAAGCGGGTTTGTACACATGCACACACACCTTTTAGGCACATTCCTTCCTTTCCATCTCTTTTGAGCCTTTGCTCTCTTCGCACTTTCCCTCACCAATTCCTATCCACTTGTTAGCCCTATACTCTTACTTGCTCTGACTGCCACTATCCATGCACAAACCTAACACCCGTGGCATTGTTATAGCCGCCGGCCTCTGTTCGCTCCTGCTGGCAACCGCGGCACCAGACCGGATTATAGAGCATTGCTCTGGCGTTGGCTGTTCTACTGTAGTTCAGCTGTTGGCCCCCTGTGGAGGTGGCGCCACTAACGCATCACTCCAACAGGATCTCATCTATACCCCCACCGCAAGTCTCGGTGAATGTGAATGCAATTCTCAGTTTTATGATGCATTTTCTTCATGCCTTACATGCATTGGTACTCAGGGCAAAAACTCCCCTGAGATTCAGAATCGGCAGGATTGGATAACCAATTGCGCCGCCTATGGTTTCAACTTTACCTCGACCCCGGTCACTAACTCAACTAATAATAATAATAATAATAACCACAACGACAGCGGTTTGAGCAAAGGTGCAATTGTTGGCATCGTTGTAGGTGCTATCATCTTACTTGCGCTAATCGGAGCATGTTTCTTCCTCAGGAAGCGTAGGACAAAGCAGGACAAGGCTGCGCTCTTCGAACAGAGCCCCACATCTGGAGCTGGCGTTGTTACTACAGCCGACCCAAACTATCATGACCAGGAATATCCTTCTACTTATGATCACCAGAACAATTACTATCCTAATCAACAGTCATATGAGGATCCATCAACTCAGCAACAATATGGTAACCATAATGGGCAGTACCAATACGCGTCCGGCTACCAGAATCACTATTATGATATGGATGGTCACAACGATAACGTGATGATGCAGGAGCTAGACCATAGTCATAACTCTATCGGAGCTTATGTGCCTCCTCCTCCACATCCAGCCTCGTCTCCAACAGTATCTACCGTGGGTGCTGGGGCTGCCGCTCACTCTGCCACAGTACGTCCATCCGACTCGTTCCCTCAAAGCTTGCGAAGTAAGCCTAAGAACTGGGGTACTCAGGAACCGTCTTCATCTCTTGCCGTTACAGACAGTACGCAATATAACGACAAAGCTGAGTTTGATGAATGCGAAGCATTGGATCCTCCACGGTCTAGGGACCGGTTTGTGAACGATCGTGACGACTTTACACCCCGTCGTTCTATGACTCCACCTCGCGCGAATATGCAGTCCTACCGTGAGGAGATGAACCGAGCTAGTATTGAACGTGAACCCAGGCTTAGTGGATCGGAGCGAGGCTCATTTTCACTAGCGCGTGGTATGGATTCCAACAGCAACTTGCACGGAGACCATGATCGCCACAGCGATGATCATGGTCGCCTCTCTCAAGATAGTCCAGAAAGCGCTCGCCGACGAGCACGTGCAGCAGAACTCTTTTCGGCGGAAGGTCGACGATAAGAATTGAACTCTAGGCAATAATGTGTTTTTATATTTTATCCTCCATCCTTACTCGTTTTAATATAAGCAACATATATATATATACACACATATAAATATTTATAACCCTACAATATAATTTATCATGACGCCATGGTGAGTGAGAGCATCAATTTCTTTGTTATCAATTGAGGCAGAGACATGTACAACACAAGTCTCTCCCAAAGTACATCATAAACGTGACATCAGGTTTTTTGCCACTGTGAGAACCAGCCTTAGAAGCTGCTCGCTTGCGCCCACCAGACTTTGATCCAGTTCTTGCCAATTCCATCCAAGGATATCTTCGATATTCGTCTTTAGGAGAGATAAAGTGGTCGTTGTTGATGCATTAGGCAGCCACGAACAGTATTGACAATATTATGTTCTGTCATCTCGATGCAAGAATGTTTCTGCAAATCTGTCTAGCGTACTAATCCCTAGTATTTAGGGTATTTCTTGGAGGTGTAATAGACTATGTACTTATTTACTTCAACAGCAATAAAGCCTTGAGATCCAGAGTGAAGCTTGCATTCTTTACGTGCACATCATTTTTTTTTTCCTGACATCAATCCTCATCGCTCCAAGTCTCTTTCTGCCACTCTATCAACATTCCTATTTATACTCTTTTGTAAGCTTGTCCCTCCATATTATTTTTTTTCACATGCTTATCTTTTGCATAGATAAAGCACTATTCATAAGGCCAAAACATTGTGTGGCGGTCATGGCAGAATCTTAATAAAAGGCTCTCACTTGGCAATAATAATAAAGACAGCTTTTGATCTCCTAGACTTCCAGAACCTCAGAAAATTTCATCATTTGGGAAACACAGGGGATCACGAGGAGCTGGTGATGAAGCGGTTCTGAAAGGACTCGTATTTGGTGCCGTTGGTAACGGAGGTTGATATCAGTGATGTGGCTCGACCTCTGTCACAAAGATTGTATTAACTCTATTGAGGATTACCGCTTTACTGCTGATGAAATAAATGAAATAGCTACTCATCTTTTCTTGCCTGAATACCTCATACTCGAGGCTTGGGTTACGGTCCCCATATCAGGGCTCTCTGTCATGCCTTCCATCGATTAGCTATTCCAGGACGTTTAGCTGATGCAGAGATCATTTTTCGTAGGGAGCAGCCCTGTTACAACCTTAAATATAACAATTTTTTGACAATTCATTTGCGACTTCCTTGAATTCTTTTCCCGCTTTGACAAATAAAGGTATATTTTCGCCATCATAGTTGAAGGAGATATCGCTAAGTTTTTCAGATAAAATATTCGCAGGCAAAGTAACTTGAAGTTGATTTTCATCAGTGGATCTTGCACCGTGGTGTAAAATTTTTATTCGGTACGGTGCACTACCACTCAGAATATTCCCATCGTCGGTGGTTTCTGGTATCGTGTGCCAAAGGTGTTGGTGTGCATTCATGCTATACAAAATTATAGCAGTCAACGAGAATTTGTACCTGAAGAAGAAATGAGATATCATATACCTCACTCGCGCAATGGGTCATATTGGCACTAATGCCATGGTCATATCCATTCATGCTGAATAGGAAACACGGTCGCATCTAGCGCACTCGCCTCGAAAACATATGTTTGGCAAAGATCTATGTCCAGAATCTTTATCTTCTCAGGCTGACCCCAATATCCGCCCTTTCAAATTGGTCCGATCAACCTGTAGCCACCTTATTTGCGGGGCTTGTAATTGAAGCTAGCTTTTCTGGTGCGTTTGAGCTGCATCTACGTCCTTTTCAGGGACACCAAGATTACCTTGTTTTTGAATCCACGTCTACTCTCACATTCTTCAAGGGCTTTCCTACAGATGAGAATAGTGGTGTCACATGATAACCCGGTTCTTGAGCCGTGGGCCAATTTCATATCTGCTAATGATGGGTTGGTTTTTGGCTTTCTACCCTAGATGTGTGCTTTTCTGAAATATAAAGGACAGCCCGTCTTTTGAGAATGACACTAAAGGTTTACTACATTGGCGTTGAGGGAACCATCCCACAACTGATTTTAGTAAGTCGATTCAGATAAACAAAGTTCTCGATGGCAGAAATAGTGCCTTGAACTTTAATGACAATAGGGCTATGCTCGAACTATTGAGGAACTATACCCTGTTAGTGTCGCTACAAAATATCCGATAAACTCACGGGTGTAAAATATTAACGACAGACTCAATTGTTTTTCAAAGAACTCCATACTGCCACTTCCGTACACGTACTTCAACTTGACGGAAAGCTAGAACAAACCTGACTGCAGCAATGTCAATGTGGATATGGCGTTCTACAGCCTTTGAATAAACTTCCTGACTATGTAGTGGCTACTTTAGACTTCTTATTTTCCATCACATCAACATCGCAATGAAGGCGTGTTGTCAGCGTCTTCGTGATTATCTCCAGCCAATGTCTCTTCATCCTCCTCCTTTTTACCCTTCTTTGATTGCATTTGCAAGCGTGTAAATATGGGGAGAAGGGAGAGTTTTTCTGTCAGTTTCGTGGATACTATCCGAAGAAATCGCTCATAGATCCAATTCATAGGCATTTAACATATAGCAGTTTACATCAAGTCTCTCCTCAATCAAATGCTCTACAGCTAGAAGTATTATGTTTTCCAATTAACCTATTGCTTTAATACCTTATCAACACATGTAGACCAAGCTCCATTGGAGGCTGCGGTAAGTCTGATCTGGCCCCTCCAGAATAGAAGTCGACAAGGACACAGCCACATCCCATATACATATATATTATAGTTTAGGTTGTACGGGCTCTGAATCGACTTCTCATGCACACGGCGTGTCCATTTGACCTCCTTGTTGTAGGCTCTGAGTCGACTCGACCACTCCTCTACACTCTTCGCCTATGATAAAATTTTTAGAGCATGCTTAAATTTTTTTATTCCCGTTGCGGCGTGTCCTTTGCTTGCCACTAATGATCCGTGCTGCTGATTCTTAATAGCGGCCTTCCAACAGAAAAACTATTTATAATAAGCTAATCCTCTGTTTTTTTTCCTCTTTTTTTTGTTCACAACAATTCACCATCTCTCTCACATCTTCTTGTTACATTGATTCTGCTCTTCTCAATATGAAAATTTCCGCTTTGCTGTCTATCGCTGCCCTCACTGTGGTTGCTGCTGCAGACTTCATTCCAGCTGAGGACCAAGTCGCTGCCGCTCCACTAATCTTTAACGAAATTAAGCCATATTTCGAGGCGAAATCGGAATTCGAGGCTGTACTTCTCTCGAAAAGACAAGGTATACTTTGCGGGTTTGCTCATAAAATGTATGGATGGATATCTCGTTTAATTATATAACTTTCTAACAGACGTATTTATTTCAAATCCTGGGATTTGGCTTAGAATGCCGAAGAGGATATGGCCAATGTCCAAAGCAGAAGGGGTGCTGCCCCCTTGGCGGTGATTGCTGCAAAAAGGGCTGCTGTGGTGCTGGTTATTGGTGCTACGCGAAAGGCTGCTGCAGGAACAACCAGATGGGCTGCGATGGCAAAAGCTGCTGCCCCTTGAATTCGCGTTGCTGTAAGGGTGGTGGATGCTGCAAAAAAGGCTATAGCTGTTGGATCTCTGCGAAGGGGAAGAGAGGATGCTGCCCTACCGGCAAGATTTGTGCCTAAGCTACGAAAATACCCCATAATTGCCAACCCGGCTCTTATATCTTTTTAGTTCGTTGCGTGATACAGCTCCAACATCAATAATAATCAACCGAGACTATGTCTCTTTGATAGCTTCCCTAATAACCAATGAAATAGAATAAAAAATCGTAAACAACAATATAAAATATGAAGATCTATGACCTTCTGCTTCAATCCCTCCTGCAGTTTACATTGCTCTCCTCATACTCTTCCCCAGTCTCACCCCTTCCCCTAATATGAAAGAAGCCGGTGATATCCGTTAGATCTCTTTGAAGCCTCCCATCTTCGTGTTCCTCCTTCTGCCCCATTTCTAACCGGGACTGACAGAAGAAAGGCGATAACCGCAATCTTTAAGATGAAAGGCAAGGAGTACAAGTTGGTCACTTGCCTTTCAACTCATCTCTTTTGTGCTTGTATACGTATGCTGGCTAGACACTCACTTCATTTCTCTAGGGGAGAAAGGAAATTAGGAGATACCAAATATGTGACGACATGTGGTTGCTTGAACGAAGCAGAACTAATGGTGGGCAATTTCATGGATAAACGATGCTATAATACCCTTGATTCCGCCCAAGTCAACCTCCCGCCATACTCTAGCGGCGCCAGTTCCTTTGAGACTTGTCTTTGCCATGACCACCAATAAGGCTCACTTCCACAGCCAGCTGTGGCCATGAATAACTCTGTGTCTCTCTCTTATGCTGTGCAGATAGATCAAATTGTACACTATGATGTTCACTGAGAGTTAATATTTATTTTCATTATTGTTGATCAAATAGCATTGTTTATTTAGATCTTTAGAAATAGATGTATTCAAAATGCTATAACAGAAAAACAGAAATCCATCTTCAGGACCTCCAGTGACTGTATATTTTTTAAAGCAGCTTTCCACTGCTTATTGTTGAAGAATAAAGCGCCTATTTGGCAACGAAACATTTATCAGAAAGAGAAAACGATGATTTTCTGCCCTTCGGGATTGGTTTGGCTACTCGCGTCATACTCATCCTTTGCTGCATGGATATTCTTTCCTGTCTCTGCCTGAGTGCTACTTCCACGGCCATTGCCTTTGCAAAACACAATGAGACTTGGTAATAGGGCTTCATCTTCTTCCAAAAGTCTGACGTGTCCCCAATGGTACATGGGAGGTATCTAGCTGTAAGAATAGCTCATAGTGTCCACAAATAAAGGTGTGAATCGTCAAGTCATCACGTGACTGGTGTGGGAACCTACCAGAAACATCTATCGATCTTATGGCGCTGAAAATCTACAATTGAATGATCTTGTCACTTGACAAGATGTACCGAAGCTTGGTATTCTTCGCCTTTAGCACTTGTTCATGCTAGCCATCAAAATAGAGTGCTGTTCATTGTTGTATTCATTGTTTTCGTCAATGTGCTTCGCCGTTCTGATAACGACTATGTTCGTCTCCCTCATCCCGATGTGGCTCACCATACTTTTCAACAATATCGTGGGCACCATTTTTAACATGATCAGACTATACTATTCTTGTGATTGTCCTTTTTTTTTTTTCTTTTTTTCTTTATTAATGCGACGCGTTCTACTCATAGGAAACATATTCATTGTTGATCAGCAGCTGCGCAACGATCGACCAAGCAAAGACGCTGAGCTACTATGTTTTGACAGACCTTTAACTCTTTACTCCAGCCTGTGCACTGAGTTTAAAGGAAGAATAACAAGTTTCTGGATTCTATCCATAACGAGTTTGCCCATTTGATACTTGGCATATGGTATATATATATATATACTGTGAACCCATTTTTCTATTCACTTTGGCCCTGCGATTGTTCGGAGTTTTGAAAGTTGAACGGGTGCATCAGTATTAAAAAACACACGGGTAGTCTAAATGTACAGTATTGGAGGTACCTCTCTTTCCATGTGCTCTTTTTTTTTTTCTTTTTTCGAGAAAAGTGCACCCTGCCAGACTGTAGTAGACAAGCGTACGTGAAACCGATAAGCACTCTGTTCCGGGAAGACTAAAAGCTGGAACTTTCTGTATATATTTGTATATATATTTGTAACTATTGAATCGTATTATATATATATGTCGTATAATATATATATATATATATATATTTAATTTATATATATGTATATATATAAATATGTTGTTGCACACTTGCACTTAGCAGAGCAGCTTTGCAGAATTTAAAATCAAAAAAAAACGAACCTGGCGTTCGGCCATTCAGTCGGGACTCCTTGAATGAGTAATTAAAATAATTAGCATATACATTTATATATAATAGCAAGAAAGAAACAAAGACAACAAGAAAAAATAAATCATTCATCCATGATAAATACATCCATGGTACACCCATGGTACATCCATGACTATGTATTAGACCCAAAAAGATCTAAAATGAACGAGATTCAAAAAGAGCATCGATTCGATTCGATTGGTCGATTGAATGCGATTCGTCCGTTTTGTTTTCTGTTTTTCTATCCTATCTTGTCACAATATCAAAAATGTACATTTAAATATAGTCTGCACTGAGGTGAAATAACCTTTCATTTCACAAAAGTGGGACGTTAGAGTGTTTAAGTCAGGTTCTGTGGTGCTTTTTCATCTCGCCGGTCGCTCCATCATCTCTTCATTTCATCTCTTTCTTTCTCTGTCCGCACCGACTCGAACATTATTCCTCTCCTTTCTTTCATTCAGCCCCTCTTCTCCTTTTCGCAGTCAGTCCGTCACCAATCTTCCTTTTCTCTTACACACAATTATTCTGGGGTCTTGCTGCCATCCTTCCATCTCACACTTCTCCATCTCATACTCTCTCCCTCATCACCACCCCCTAAAAACAACCGATTTATTAAAACCATAATATTGTAATAATAGAGAGTAAGCCAACAAACATATTACAACACCCTTATTTCCTTTTTTTCTTTCTCTCTCACTATCTCACTCTCCTTTGTTCATCTTCACACGACATGGAACTAAGGAACATAGTTTAAAAAAATTTTGAATTGATGTGTGTACACAAAGTGTGGGTGTTTCCTTGCTCGGGGAACCACCCCTGTTCCTCTGGCCTTCGACCACACTATCTGTCCCTTCTTCCTGCTCTCAACCCGCATAACAATTTCCCTCCTTTTCTCTTTTTCTTCCTTTTGGTTCGCTATTGCACCACATACACAGACATTCGTGCAAGCGTTGTATACACATCGCTAAATATGGGTCTATATTGATATAGAATACCCCGACCTGACTTCGGTTATTTTCCAATTTTATTGTTTGTTGCTTTTTTTTTTTTTGTGGTATACAATGGTTTGTCAGCCAAAAGGCCCAAGAGCCAAGCGCCTAAAAACAAATCAAAAAATTAAGATGGGACCATTAGGGATCCAAAAAAAAAAAAAAAAAAAAAAAAAAAAAAGGCATGGTCAAAACTATCTTGCTTTTGCTCTTTCTCTCACCATGCTGTGCAAGAGGAGCTGGGATAAAAAAGAGCACAATGGTTTATTAATAACTCCCACATGGATTGGCCTCTGGTCCATCGTTCGCTTTTCGAGCAACATGCAATGTGAGATTAGTGATGCGATATGTCTTCACGTTTTGCAGCACACAGAAACATCATATCCCGCCAACCATTTATCCTATACATGCACATCTGAAGTCTTTTTCTGGCAAACAAAGAATGTTGTAACATTCAGGAGAGGAAAAAGATGGGCAATGGTCGAATTAAAGACACATCTCGTTTGCACATTGTATATGTGTGTATCAATGCACTGCTCTGTCCCCAAACCTTTCTGTACTTCAATATCAGACGGCTCAATTAAAAAGAGAAAGAGAGAAAGAGCAGGTGTGTGCGTTTGCGATGTGGGCAGATTGGCTTTTGTCATGTCTCTATATGCCATGGATATTGTACTTTTTTTTTTATTTAGTGTATTCTCTTATGTGTGTCTGATTGGTCCAACCCAGTGCAAGAGGCGAAATCTTTTTTCTTGCGATATAATTTTAATATGCGGTGTGACACCTCTTTTTTTCACTTTCTTCCACAAGAAACTACACTTTCTGCTTACTTACACCACACACGCACGTTTACTTCTCTTCACTTTGATACAGTGCTTCTCCTCTCCACTTTCTCTTTCTGTTGCTTACTTTTCGTTCCTGTCTTATCATATCATTACTATACATTTCTTAATTGTCAAAGAAGAAGGGCTTTGCTCCCTTTGCTTGACACGCGAGACTTTCTGTTGCTGACCAATCCTTTCCAATCCTTTCCAATCATTTTCCTTCATCTCCTTCTGGCATCAAAAAAAAAAAATCGGCACTACAGTTTACTCTGCTTAGACAACACCCTCTTCCCTTTCAGTCATGCCACTGACCCCGACCGTCGTCGAGCAACCTCCTCCGCCTCCTCTCACCAGGGGCAACTCGGTTGTCTCACTCTATCAGTCGTGCCTCAACCTAATCGAACGTCTCTCAGGCGTTCCTGGTTTTGAAGAGTACCTCAATCCTGATTTACTCCAAAACACTCAAGCCGGTGCCCCTTCCACCTCCAGTCCAAATGACCCTGTCCACCAACTATGGGTCCTTTTCCGAATGGGCTCTCCACTCGCCTGCATCTTCAACGGTCTGCGTCCCAAGGATCCTCTTAAAATCAACCCTGCCACTAATCTCAGCAACATCAATGCTTGCAAGGCCTCCGTCTTCCACTTTCTTGTGGCCTGTCGCCAGGAGCTTCACTTTAGCGAAAACGATCTCTTCTCCATCACGGATCTTTTCCATGACGACACTAATGGATTTGTCAAGGTATGGACTGTTTTTATTTTATTTTACATTTTTTACATGTTGTTTGTCTAGTGGTGTGTACGTGGTTTGTCTTTAGGAGAAAATGGGAGGCAGAATCATTCCTCTCCCGCCTCCTTGTTTTTCATTCATTCTCCCGCCTATTACTTTGTGATACCACCCGTTCAGCTGCTGACATTATTATTTTCATTTCTGGGGGGTGGCCATGTGGCGGATGATTAGGTGATCAAAGCAGTGAGTATGGTCCTTGATAGGATGGAAGATCAGGGATTGCTTCGCGCAAGGCTCACTACCAAGCGCAACTCTGATCAAGCCAAGCCTACCGACAACAGAGCCAAGGTTGTACAAGAGATTTTGGAGACTGAGCGCAGTTATGTTCGTGATCTTGAGGATCTCCAAACTTATATGCGCGCTCTCCAAACGGACGGCACTATAATTTCACCCGAAACTATCCATCTCATCTTTGCGAATCTCAATGCTCTAGTGGATTTCCAGAGACGCTTCCTTATCGCTGTGGAGACTCATGCTGCCTTTGCTCCTCAAGATCAGAATTTTGGGCAAGTATTTTTGCAGCATGAGGAGGCATTTGCTGTATATGAACCCTTTTGTGCTAATTTCAATGAGGCGAGCAAGCTGATTCTTAGTGAAGCACCCAAGCTTCAGGTAAGTTCAGTCTCTAGATACGGCTGTCTTTCAATATGATATTCCATATCTTTTCTCTCTTGCTCTCTCTTTCTCTATGGTACTTCGCATTACATGCTCAATGTCTCACTATTCCTTCTTTATTTCTTTCTTGTAGAAATTGGCCCATCTGATGGAGCCTATTTATGGGATCACCTCGCAACTGATCAAGCCTGTCCAACGTATCTGCAAATACCCACTTTTTATGCATGAGCTCATCAAGTTGACAGATCCGGAGTTCCCACACTACAGAGACCTAGTTGAAGGTCAAGCCTCCATCAAGCGTGTCGCTGACCGTATCAACGAAACGAATCGCAAGCAGGACAATCACTTGATTGCACAGGCCTTACAGCACAAAGTTGCTTGGAAAGAAGGAGAACTTGTATCTGACTTTGGTACATTGCTCTTACATGATAAACTTTTGAATCCCCGTAGCGCTTCAGACAAAGAGTTAGAAGTCTATTTGTTTGAAAAGATCATACTCTTTTGTCAGGAAATCGTTAGCAAAAAGAAACAGACAAAACCACTTCCTAAAGGCGCAAAGCCCAAACCGACACTTCACCTCAACGGACGTATCTACATCAACAATATTAAGTCGATTCTTCCTGTTACCGTCTCTGGAGCTTATGTTCTTCATCTTGTCTGGAATGTTGCGGCTGATGAGTTTGAGCTCCGCTGCCGAAATGAGGATCAGCTTAAGAAATGGCACAGCGTCCTTGATAAGCTGGTGACGGAGGCTAATGCACAAAAGACCAATATTGTTTCAACTACCGCCTTCGTTGGTATGCCATACGTGACTCCTGAACAATCTTCATTCTATAGGGATGACGATGATTATCTGGATGACGATTTGGATGGCGACGAAGAGGACTATGAAGATCAGCGTGGATATCGCAGTAACTCGTTGCCATTCGGTCTTGCACCTCAGCCAGCTATGCTTGGATCTCGCCCCAGAGCTAAGACCGAGGATGGCACAGTTCAACCCGTCGGATCCTGGAACTCACGTACCGGTGGATACACATCTCATGCAGCCGCAAACGGACGACCTTCACCTGGTATGTCGCTTCCACCTATGCCTCGTACTTCCAGCAGCGCAAGCACTACTATGGGTCTCATGTCACCAGGAGAGTATCCTTATTCCCCACCATCCTCATATCCTGCTTCTCCTACAGTTTCAAATTCTCGTGGTTCGACCAGTAGCAGTAGCTCATGGCAACGACGAAGCAACGGTGAAGGCCACTCACCTATGACCGAGACCATGTCCAGGTTCATGTCCCACGATGGTTCGGACGACTATACCCCTGGACAACCGCTCTCTAGAAATGCTTCCACAGGCTATTCTTACAGTACCTCAGGATCGGCACCTCCTCCTGTTCCTCAGATTCCTGGCCAGCTTCGTGTACGTGCTCAGAGCAGCCCCAATATTCATGCGGCCGCTAACCCCTCTTGGCACAATGCCCCCGAAGTTCCCACGCCTCTAGCTCACCACCGACGACCCTCTAACTCGAGTGGTCCCAACTCGCCAACGACGCCATATCCAGGTAGCTCATTTAACATCCCTGCAGTCCCAACCATTCCCTCTCGTCATAGCTCACCCCGTCCAGATCCCAGCCGTACTCTGCGACAGCAGCCATCCAACAGTAATCTGAGTGCAGGAGTACCTCAGCTCAAGATTAAGGTCAATTTCCAGGATGATGCCTATCTGATCGTGGTCCCCATTCAAATCGGATATAACGAGTTGGTTGAACGAGTTGAGAAGAAGATACGCCTATGTGGCTGCCGTCGACCAGACTCGCAGCCTCTGCGCCTTCGCTATAAGGATGAGGATAACGACTACATTATCATGAAGGATGACGACGACATCTCGTTAGCATTTGAGAGTTGTTATGCCGAAGGAGTGATGAACTTGCATGTTAGCTAAAGCATCCTGTTTCTTTTGCCTTCATTATGTCCATTATTTATTTAACTATTTAACTATTTATTTATTTTATTTTACGTCCTTTTTCATGTCCAGATGCTTTTGATGCCTTTGATGTTTACAGTCTCTTTTGTTCGCTATTCTATGTCTTTATTTCACGCGCCTTGTCCTGTTGCTCTTTTGCATCGTCCTTGTTTATATTTCACGTACTTTATTATTGTGGTCATGATTCTTTTTCTTATTGTATCTTTGTCTTCTTTTTTTTTAACTTATTGACTATTATTTTCACTTTGGAAATACATATACCAAATATCCACGCGATTATAATAAAAAAAAAGTATTTATGATAACAATTGACAACAAATGTCTGTGCTGTAGGAAAAAGAGAGTAAGTCCATTCAGTCTACAGGGGGTAAACATTACTGCTTTTGATGCTCGTCATTCTCTCCTTTTTTTTTTTTTTTTTTTTTTACTCAGATCTGGATATGTCATAAGATGTTAGGCATCATCTCTGCCACATTCACATAAACTAATACAGACTCAACGACATCATCAACATCAGCGGCAACATCATCTTCTTTTTAAAATATTGGATAGTGGAGCTTGAAAAGAAAGAAGAGCACGAGACTACAATCGTTCTTTTTTTTTTTTTTTTTTTTTTTTTTTTAAAAAAAAATCATTCTTCCATTTCCTTCTTTTCTGAAAACACCCTCATTGCCGTTTACACCAGCTAACCACAAGACCAGCCAGTCTCTCTGTGCATCCTGACGCCTTTCAATGTCGCTAAATCCGCACGGCACAAACTTTCAGTCGAGTAGCCTTTCTGGCCGACCTCCTCTCAGAAAATCAGCCACTAGCTCTACATCTATCACAGATCCACATCATAGTGGCCGCCATCTGAGTACGAGTACGAGTACGAGTACGATTGATAATACAACACACAAGCTGTCAGACACAAGATCCATGGGCGATGTGGCCTCAGTGGTTAGCCAACGAAGGAGCTCCATTAATTCCGCACTATTGGAAGATCCTCTATTGCAACCGCACGCTATGTCATTTACATCTCAAGTACTGTTCTCATCATCTTTGATCCGTGAGCAATCCTTGGCACTTGGACATTTGGAACAGCTCCATACCTTGGATCTCCCTGCAGCTGTAGCGGGCACTTCACTAGCGACGAGCACCTCGTTGTCTAGTATGGGTATGGCTGGAAATACTGGTTCACTTCAGTTTAATCAACCACTGTTTTCATCATCGTTTGGCGTCCGCCGTCAACAACTTTTCGAGGGCATTCCGGACAGGGAAATCCCTTCCAGTGGATTGAGTATGCTTTTGAAATCTAATGGTCAAAGCACAGGAAGACCAGAAGCTGCATCATCCTCTACATCAGCTGCAACACCAACAACAGCACTTTTAGTAAATGACAGCGACAACAACATCTTGAGCCCCTTTCAAAAACCACACCCAGTATCGTCCCAAGATCCATCCCTTGACCATACCCTCAGTCGCCATAACACAAGGACGACAATGACAACATCAGCCGCTGGAGATGGCCATATTGTAGAGGGTGGCGAGGGTGAGGATATGTTGGTGTCATCGTCCACTGACGCCACTGGATTCTTGGCTCGATGGAAGAACTTTTTTATTGGACCACAGGACGAGACATTCTCGAGTGATGAGGCAGAGTCGCTCCTCCCGCAGACCGCATTAACGAATGGATATGATAGTGTTGGAACCAATGTTAGAAATCAAGGACGATATTGTCGGCCACGAAGATCCATGAGTAGCCTTATCACGACACAGGAGAGTGCTTGGGATGACTTTAAATCAAACAAGTGGACTTCAAAAATGATTATTCAAAAGTGCCTATATGAACCTATCGGCTTTCTACCAGCAGTTGTTCTCGGCTTGCTCTTAAATCTTTTAGATGCCATCTCATATGGTGAGTGCGCCTTGTTGTGTCTGTTTTGAATTTTCACGATTTGTTGACTTTCTAATACAAAATTTTACTTTTATTCCATATTAGGTTTGATCATTTTCCCGCTCAACACTGCTCCATTTCAATCTCTTGGACCTGATGGCATCTCCATGTTTTTTGTGAGCTGTATTATTTCTCAACTAGTCTTTTCTCTTGGCGGCAGTGCTTTTAAAGGCGGGAACGGAGGAATGATGATTGAGGTGGTTCCATTCTTGCATTTGATGTAAGTGCTGAAAAAAAAAAAAAAAAAAAAAAAAAAGGGGGTGGGGAGGAAAAACAAGCTTTTTAGCGCGAAGAAGAGAGACCTATTATGTAGCATGAAAACCTTCTTCCACAAGTGTGTAACACAAATGATGAGTAATCATCGTTTATCTCTGTCTGTGGGTCTTTGCATGCATAGGGCAGAAACAATTGTGGGAAGACTTGGAGCTGAAAACAAGGATGAGGTTATTGCGACTACTATCCTCGCGTATGCTCTTAGCGCCATTATGACTGGTGCAGCCTTCATGTCTCTTGGATACTTCAAGGTTGGTTGGAAAGGATAACGGTTGTTGTAGTCACTAATGGAAGACAAATTAACATGTAAAAAAAAAAATTAACATATTTCATTCATCATAAATATAGCTTGGGTCTTTGATTGCGTTCTTTCCTCGCCATATCCTAGTGGGATGCATCGGGGGTGTAGGCTGGTTCTTGGTCATTACTGGTTTGGAGGTGACTTCGAGAATGACCTCTGAGTTGACATACTCTTATGAGACTTTTAGATTTCTATTCCTGAACCACCATGTCTTCTCACTCTGGTTTACACCGCTGTCGCTGGCACTCGTGCTACGTTTACTGCAGCGCAAGATTAAACATCCGTTCTTGATCCCGACATTCTTCATGGCTGTCCCAATGCTTTTTTATCTGATTGTAGCTATTGCCGGCTTTGACTGGGATATGCTCCGTGAAAATGGATGGGTTTTTCCGATGCCATCAGGCAATGCACCAGGCTGGCAATTTTATACCTTTTTTGGTATGACAATTTTTTTTTTTTTTTGGGTATCTCACGGAAGAAACACAATACTGATATCTCGCTAACGTTCTCAATGCTGTCATTGTTGTTGTTATTAACAATAGATCTCGGGAAAACCAATTGGAGTGCCATTTTGGAAACAGTGCCTGTGATGCTTGCATTAACATTTTTTGGAATTCTGCATGTTCCAATCAATGTGCCTGCACTTGCTGTATCCACAGGACAAGACAACGTCGATATCAACCGCGAACTTGTTGCACACGGCTATTCTAATCTACTGAGTGGTTGCTTCGGAACGCTTCAGAGTAAGTTGGTTTCTATTGTCTTTTTCTCCCTTTCTTTTAAAGCAAACTTCTATAAGCTGACAAGACACTATCCGTCCATGTCTCTTAACATATACTTAGACTATCTGGTGTATACAAATTCGGTGTTATTCATTAAATCTGGTGGTAACAGCCGAGTGGCAGGGATCATGCTCGCCGTAGCTACGCTTATTGTGTTTCTTATAGGCCCATGGATAGTAGGCTATATTCCTGTGATGGTAGTTGGTGCCCTTATCTTCCATCTAGGTATGGACCTTGTTAAAGAAGCCCTTTTAGACACCTGGGGTCTTGTTCATCGCTTCGAATATCTTACGATTATCTTGATTGTCGTCTTCATGGCGGCGCTCGGATTCGTCGAGGGTATCTTTGTGGGTATCTTGCTGGCCTGTGTATTCTTTGTGGTTAAGAATTCTCGTAAGGAATGTATCCGGTATTCATGCACGGGTGAATCAGCCAAGTCGACAGTCAGGCGTGTCTATCGACAACAAAAATTCCTTCGACAAGTCGGCCGTCAGATTTACATCTTCAAACTACAAGGTGACATGTTCTTTGGAACGATCAACAAAGTTGAAATGGCTATTCGGGATGTATTTTCACGTCGCCGGTGGGAATCTAATCCAATCCAGTTCTTGGTCCTGGACTTTGCTTTGGTCCGCGACATTGATTTCTCTGCAGCAGAGGGATTTGGTCGAATCCGGCGGACTGTGCGTGCTAAAGGCGTGTGCTTAGTTCTTTCTGGCTTGGACGAAGAAATGAGTAGGACGCTTCAAATGGTTGGCGTCTGGGGCGCAGGCTCTGGTAATGGTATGAGTGAAGGCCATGGTCATGGCCAACCAATTCAGGAGAGTTTCGATACTCAGGTGTTCCCCGGGTTAAGCGAGGCGCTCGAATATTGCGAGAATTGCTTGTTGCAGACGTTTTATCGAGCGAAGGCATCGGCCATAGAGACGGCTCGACGGCAACGACAGTTGGAGGAAACGGCTGCTCAAGAAGAGGATGGAGATTCAGAAACCAGCCGATTCTTTTCTGAGCAAATTCCCAATAGTCCGCGAAAAAGCTTTCTGTTCAATGTGGCCCGCGACACATTATTGGGTAAGAATACGACATTATTCATCTCATTACAAGATGTGGAAAAGAGGCTGACTCTAAAATAACTAATATTCTTCGGTCTTATTTTTATGCTTAACAATAATATTAAAACAGCACATGATCGGCCTATTCCACAACCTATGAATCTTCAAGAACCCGTTCCGACACTCTTGGCTGCATTCTCGGATACACGTGAGAATCCGATCGATTTCTTTTTACAGCTGAGCATGTATTTTACACGTAAGACAGTGTTGGCCGGTACAATACTCTGGCGTCAAGGTGGATTACCAGTCGATGGGCTTTATATAATTGAAACGGGCACGATGCGAAGTATACAAGAATTCCAAGACAGTGGTGTGATTCGACGGACAGCAGAGGTGGCTCTTCCTGGCACCATTGCGGGCGAGATTGGGCTTTTTACGGGTCAGGTTCGAACATCGACTTTGGTATCGGAGACAGATGGTGTGGTCTGGGGTTTAAGTCAAGACCAGTTCCAGAAGATGGTTAAGGACGATCCTTCTCTTGCTGTTGAGTTTATGAGAATCGCCATGAGCTACTCTGCAGGTAATTTTGTCTTTAGATTCAAATGTCTTTTGAAGTGCAGAGAAGTATTCAAAAACTTACTCGCTCCTATCTCTCTTTATTTTTTTATTTTTTTTTTTTTTCTAGAGCGTTTGAACTTGATGTCACAATACGCGTTCAGTTTGAGTTAGTTTCTCATATCATGTGACTAAAATGAGATGCGCTTGAGAAGCTGCACCGATCGTATGAGCTGCATAAATTTGAATAAAAGTGGTGATGCACGCGAGACACGCGTAAGCAGAAACAGCACAGATTTCATCCCTCATTACGCACGCATACTTTTTTTTTTTTTTTTTTTTTTCCTTTCTTTCATTGCTCTGAACAAAAAAAAAAAAAAAAAAAAGAAAAGAACGAAGCTAATAAACACACATACACATATATTCAAATAGATATATTTCTTCTTTTTCTCTTTCTCTTCCTCTTCCTCATCCCTCCATAAACATACATTCAATTACAAATTAGTTTTTTTTTTGCAGTTCTGTCTTGTGAAACACCTAAAGGAAGGATAATCGACAAAAAAAAAAAAAAAAAAAAAAGGAGAGACAGTAGGAAAGCAGACAGAGTCAGACAGTAGCTTTTCACCATGGTTCGTGACGGCATCAAGAGCTTTTACCGTGCCAAAATTGAGGAAGCCGAGGGTGAAATTCATGAAAAGACTCAAAATCTGCGTCGACTGGAAGCTCAGCGCAATGCATTGAATGCTAAAGGCAAGTTTTTTTTTTTTATTTTTATTTTTTTTCCTTCTTTCAGTTTCCATCAACCAAAGAACAAAAAAAAAAAAAAACCTCTTTCGATGAATAATGGGTCTTATTTGATTCTATTATTATTTTTTTTTTTCTTTTTCCGTTCATAACTAATAAGTCTTTCTTGTACATGTATATACTACTATCCGTAATGGTTATAGTTCGCCATCTTCGTGAAGAGCTTCAGTTATTGCAGGAACCTGGATCGTATGTTGCAGAGGTTATTAAGCTGATGGGAAAGACCAAAGTCCTTGTCAAGGTAAAAAAAAAAAAAAAAATGCTTTGAATCGATTCGTTTCTACTTTTATGAAAAGAGAAAGAAAAGTGCAAAAAAGAAAAGGAGATTTGACATTGGATCCAACTTTTTTTTTGTTTTTTTTTTTTAAAAAAAAACTCTCTTGATTCATCCTTCAAAAGGTTCATCCCGAAGGAAAGTATGTTGTTGATATTGGAGAAGGCATTGACCGGACAAAGCTGACTACGAACTTGCGTGTAGCGCTCAAGAACGATAATTATGCATTGCACAAGATTCTACCCAACGCTATTGATCCTTTGGTCTCATTGATGATGGTGGAGAAGGTGCCTGATTCGACCTATGAGATGATTGGAGGTCTGGACAACCAGATCAAAGAGATCAAAGAGGTCATTGAATTGCCTGTCAAGCATCCTGAGCTCTTTGAAGCTTTGGGTATTGCTCAGCCTAAGGTGTGTATAAAAAAAAAAAAAAAAAAAAAAGCAACGAGAGAAAAAAATTAGCAAGTATAGTAACTCTATGATTTTTTCTTTTTTCTTTTTTTTTTTTTTTTTTTATTCACACGCATGAAATGGAAATGCTGCTCTTTTAGGGAGTGTTGCTTTATGGACCCCCAGGAACAGGAAAGACGCTCTTGGCTCGTGCTGTCGCTCACCATACAGACTGCAAATTCATTCGTGTGTCTGGATCAGAATTGGTGCAAAAGTACATTGGAGAAGGAAGTCGTATGGTCCGCGAGTTGTTCGTCATGGCAAGGTATGTTTTATTATTATTATTATTATTATTATTATTATTATTTTCAACAGAAGGAAAAACAAAAGTTTCCTTATTGTTCTGAATAATGAATGCCTTTACTTCATTGTTCAATATATTCGGATATTTGGATACTAAACTTTTTCTTTTCTTCCTTTGGGCTTTAACATACCAAAAAAAAAAAAAAAAAAAAAAAAAAAAAAGAGAGCACGCTCCTTCGATTATTTTCATGGATGAGATCGATAGTATCGGAAGTTCACGTGGCGAAGGTGGTGGAGGAGGAGGCGACAGTGAAGTTCAGCGTACAATGTTGGAATTGTTGAACCAGCTGGATGGATTTGAGGCAACCAAGAACATCAAGGTGATCATGGCGACGAATCGTATCGATATCCTGGATTCTGCATTGTTACGGCCAGGTCGTATTGATCGCAAGATCGAATTCCCACCACCAAATGAGATTGCTCGTGCAGATATTCTCAAGATTCATTCAAGGAGAATGAATTTGACGCGTGGCATTAACCTTCGCAAGATTGCAGAAAAAATGACGGGTTCTAGTGGTGCCGAAGTGAAAGGAGTCTGCACAGAAGCCGGCATGTATGCCTTGCGTGAGCGTCGAGGTAATTAAAGAAGGAAAAAAAAAAAAAAAAAAAAAAGGTTATTAATGGTGTGAATTGAACAGATATTTGGAATTATTACTAATATTCTGTTCTTTTTTTTTTCTAGTCCATGTTACGCATGAAGATTTTGAGTTGGCAGTTGCCAAGGTCATGAAGCGTGCTGAGGACCAGAGCATGAGTGTCCACAAGCTCTTCAAGTAAAATATAGAAGACGCTCATTCTATGATTTTTTTTTTTTTTTTTTTTTTTTTTTTTTTGCGCTATTTCCTCAATAAAACATTTGGGACCAACACTTGACATTTGCTAGTCTGTTTAGTTTTTTTTTTTTTTTGTTCTCATTGGTTTTTTTATTTTTATTACATGAAGAGAGATATGTGTTGATACAATTTTACAGGTGTCATGACGTTCTGACAAGAAAGGAAAAATCTATGTGGCATATAGTCGTACAGTGGAACATAAGGTATTTAAAAAAAGGAAAAAGAAAAAAAAAAAAAAAGTATTGTAGAAAGTGTAGTGTAATGTAGTGTACATGCGATATGTGGTGGAGCTATCGCAAAAAAAATTTTTTCGGTTAAAAAAAAGAAAAGAAAATAAAAAAATAAAAGTCATGGAGTGGAGAAGAATAAAATACTTCAATCCCTGTTCTCCATGTATCGTTCCAGCAGGATTGACAACGAAGGTAGTGAAATTGGTTTCACCATGACATCATCAAATCCACCGCTCAAAGCCTTTTCACGGTCTTCGCCAATCTCTGCTGTCCAATCTGCAGTCAAGGCAACGATGCTGGCTGGATGAACTGTTTCTGATTTAGGATTAGGATTGATGTTGTTTTCTTCAGTAGAGTTTGGCTCGTCCATGTTGGAGGGCGATGCGTCCGTTTTCTTTGATCGCTCTCTGGTGGCCTTGGGTGATGAGGAGAGTGCGCCGGAGGATCCACCAGAGCTTCGTCGATGTGAAACATCTGGAGGGCCCGCAAAACGCTCGGGGGACCAAGGACAGTTATCATCCATCCAACTTTCGTTCAAAGTACTCATAATAGGCAAACCCTTGGACGGCTCTGCAATAACAGCTGTTGGACCCCAGTGCTCAGCTTCCTTCTGACGAATCAGTGTTGTCGCTTGGAAGCCACCCATTGTGGGCATCTTCAGATCCATCAGAACTAATACGTGGATACCAGGAAGGAAGGTGTCGACAGCTTCTTGTCCGGATCCTGCTTGGTCAACGCGAGACACGCCAAGCTTAGTCAGTTGATGGTACAGCAGGTTGCGATTGAAGGAGTTGTCATCAACAATCAGCACCCGCTTACCTTCCGCATTGAGGCTCTGGATACTCTCCGAGGACATCAAAGCGGGTCGTAACTTGCTCTTGGCATTTGCAGAGGCGCGCTTCAACAGGCTCTTGATTGGCCTCCCCACCTTCTCTACAGGCTTCGACCCAGATTCTGACGGTTGTGCCAGGGCGGCATCCCCATTCAAGGCAAGCTTGGGAACTGACCCATTCCTCTTTGCAAATCGTACATGAGATGCTTGGGTTTGAGCGACATTGGGATTGGGTGCCTGTGGTTGAGGTGACTCTACGGACGATGTTGATTTGAGATCTTTGGTTGCCTTTACATCCTTTGGATCATTAGTGGATGATGGGGCAAAAGTAGCCTTCTTGGCCCCTTCTTGTCGACCGAGACGTAGCCCATGCTCAAAGTCAAAAGCCTTGGCAGGCATGGATGGTGTACCGGGTGCAGGCGCAGGACTTGGGGTGGCACAGGGTTCCTCATTAACACTGGCTTGGATGGTGACGACTTGTCTTTTGATAATGGCACCCAAGGCACGCTCCGAGACCGGTTTACGGCAGAGCGAGATTTGATAATACTGTCCCAGCGTCAGCAGAGGTTCCTGACCTAGTGATGGGGGATGGCCAAAGGGGTAAAATAAGATGATGGAGGCCTGACGAGCAATGCCAACACGTGCCTCAGCTCTGATAATCAGCAGCTGTGAAAGCTTTGCCAGGAACTGGCGCGCATATTCCTGGTCCGTGAGTACACTCTCCAGCTTTGGTTGATTGGTGCTGGGACTCAGGTCGATCAAGAACACATCTCCAAAACGGGCCAAAGAGTCATCAAGCCCAAAGTCTGTTTGCCAACCATAGGTGCACTCTTCATATGACAGTCGTCGAACGCCATGTGCCTTCCAACGGCCTGCAGCAGTGTTCCACAAAAAGTCCTCAAAGTAATTGCACTGAGAATGAAGGTAGTACTGGCGGTTGGAGAGGAAGGCGTGGTCACGAGTTCTGAGCGTGATGTTGTTGGCATTTGCGCGCGTGACCTCGGAGGGCTGCAAGGTGAAGTAATCTTTAGCTTGGTTTTGATCCTTGGGAGTGGCAGCAGGAGTTGAAACAGGGGTGATTTTGATACCCGCTACAGAATCGTTCATGGGCATGGGTGTCGTGCTACGGGCAAGGCCTGGCGTAACTGGAAGGACGGGCGAAGCAGGATCTAGCTGAACGGTTCCAGCCTGGAAGGCAGACGAAACAGTGACAACATGATCATAACCGGGTGTCCTAAAAGCGAGGAACTGTTTCTCCATCTTGACTACAAATCCGAATGTAGAGCCCACGCCAAGTTTACTATCAACAAAGACAGTACCGTTCATAACTTCGACCAAGTTCTTGACCAAAAACAGACCTAGGCCAGTTCCAGCCTCGTGAGTCTTGCATTTGCCACCCTCGACCTGACTGAATTCAACAAAGAGCTTATCCTTTTGCTCCTCTGCAATGCCTTTCCCAGTATCCTGAACCACAAACTCGACAGTGACAGTATCGTCGTCCTCGTCCTTTAAAGAAACTCCGACGTTGACATAACCAACATCAGTAAACTATTAAGGTACGGAAGAAGAAGAATAAGAAAAAAATATATATATATATTAGGGAGGGATGTTCAGTCGTAATAGAAACATTGTTGGGGGAGATAGGAAGATGTTCTGGCCCATTTACCTTGATGGCGTTTGAGATCAAATTGCCAAGGACTTGCTTGATGATTCCTGGGTCAGCACGAACCAATTCCGGGACTTGAGCACTAAAGTCGACCAGTAATTCTACAGTGCGAGTACCGGAGAGACCGGTCATCATCCTAGCGGTATCGAGCACGAGATCGTGCAGATTGAAATTTTGACTGCAATTCGTCATTTTGGCTGCAGATACCTTGGACACATCCAGGAGCGCATTCAAGATTGTGAGTAGCGACAGTGTTGATGAATGCAACATTGACACAGTTGACTGGGCACTCGAGCTAAGAGTCTGGTCACTCATCAAGAGTTCGGTCCATCCAATCAATGCGGCCAAAGGAGTTCTGGCGAAGCAAGATAAAATATGAGGAAAACATGGAAAGTTAATATGCTAAACCCCATTCAGGAAATATACTTTTTTTTTTTTTTTTTTTTTTTTTGAATGATAATCTAGGAGTCTGTTATCATTATCAAAGACAAAAGCAGGAAAAGGAGGGTGCTTACCTCAGTTCGTGAGAGACGGATGAAACAACACCATCCTTTGACTTTGCGTTAGCAACAGCAATGTCCTTGAAAAGGTTGGCGTCGCGAACACAGACATCGACACACCATTGGTATAGGCATGTCATAGCTCCCAAGAACAGGACTGAAACCCAAAAGGCACCGAAGCCAGCCCACAGACGAGAAGCTTCCTCCTCGGAGAGCACTCCATCCTAGCAAGAAAAAGGTTTTTTTTTTTAAATAATAATAAAAATAAATAAAACACATTAAAACTTTAAAAGATTCCACAAACGATGATCATTAAGACATGTACTTTGTACTAACCTTAGTTTTCTCGCGATACTCTTCAATAGAATAGAGAATGATTGCCAGACAGGAAGCTAGGCCAACTCTGCGTCCGACAAGCATTCCAGTCACGAGGGGTAAGGCAAAGAGTAGTGTGGTCTCGAGACTGGGACCCAACAAAGGGATGGTCCGCATCTGAAAGTTTATGAAGACTGCGGTGATGGCTAGAGAAAGAATGAGTCCACATAGACGGGTTGCGCCTGTGGCGCCTTGGACAGCGGGCAGGAAGAAGAGAAGAAAGGAGCAAGCGGAGATGGACAGTTGCTTGTCAAAGACCAGACCGTAGACACAGCCCAGACAGGCAGCAATTAAGGAGGCACTCTTGACTAGTAAGAACCTGCCGAGGTTTTCAGATCCAACCTTGGATGAGGAAGGATGATCTTTTAGCCAAAGAAGGAAGGAGCCAAAACCGAATTGAATTGGACCTTGAATGGGATCGGAGCTCTTGCTTTCCAAATATGGAGTTGAGGGTGTGAGGATGCTGCCCAAACTAGTTGTGCTGCTCTGGCGACGAAACAGCTCAGAGATAGATGCGGGTGTTGATGCAAGCGACATGGACCTTGCAGCCTTCCTTTTTGAAGAAAAGGAGGATTTTGAGGCTACATTAAAACAGGAACACATTGGTGATGCATGAAAATAAATAAATAAATAAAATAAGAGAGGAAGAATTAGCACTAAGCCAACGGACCAAAATGAGAGCAAAATTATCATAATTATCATCATTGTGTCGTCGGGAATGACATGGCTCCCAAAATAAAAAATAAATAAAGAAATAAATAAATAATAATAATAATAATAATAATAAAAAAAGGACTAGTAAATCTTACCTTGTGAATGATGGTCATCAGAAGTAGTAGTAGAGCAAGAGGATGCAGATGAAATGGAGGATACGGAGGAGGATGTTGAAGTCCTAGAAGTGATAGTTGGCAGGGATTGGTGAGAGTTGATAGAGGATGAATCCTCAGATGGAGGGACAGAGGATTTTTGATTGGTGTTTGGAGCATTGACCTGTATTGAGTCAATTTTTGTGTCGTTGGCCTGTTCCCGTTGTTGTTGTTGTTGAGGCGGAGTATGAAGGTGGGGTTCTGATTCATCGCCTGCGTCTATGCAGGCAGTTGTAGTGTTGAGACTCTGTTGGGCCATGGCAGCGGCAGTACTTGTAGTCATGTTCCGCAAAGCAGAGTCCGTCCTGCCTTCTGTACTGGCGCCGATGATCTTTATATTACTAGGGATGATATCAGTGTTGTCAGTATCGGCGGTAGAGGAGGCAGTATATGTTGTATTTGTGCGGGATGAATTGCCCCCTGTGTGGTCGATGACAAGACTAGAGTCCATGTCCACACAGAAGTAAAAATAAAATGAAAATTAAAAAAAAAAAAAAAAAAAAAAATTAAAAAGAAAAAAGAAAAAAGAAAAAAAAAAAGATAGATAGATAGATAGATAGATAGATTAGAAGTTGGTTCAAGTAAATGAAATTAAAGGTGAAGAATAAGATGAAAAAGGACAAGGAACGTTATGATCACGATAATGAATAGGACCGAATAATGGGGAAAGAGGGGGGGGGGAGAAGAATGTAGATGGGAATTTGTTATAAAGAAAAGATGAGAATGTGCGGATAAGGGGATGGAGAAGCACAGCGATTGTATTTCTTGTGTCCGTGTATTATGATTGAGTGTACACGTTTCTTTTTGCTGATTAATCTGAGAGATACAAGAGAGGTAAGAGGATGAAGGGCACATGTATGTGTGTGTACGTCGAAAGACGTAAATGATCGACGGTGGATGAGGAGAATGTAAGAGTGTATGAGAGAGATTGAGAGAGAAAGAGAAAGAGAAAGAGATAAGGAGAGAGAAATGTGGAGAAATGAAAAAATGTGAGTATGTGCGTGATGAATGTGAGAGAATGTGTGAATGTTTGTGAGCAAAGATGGATTTGGACGATTAATAAGAGGGAAAGAGAAAAAAAGAAAAAAATTGGTCAGTTTCGTTTCAATTGCTCCAAAATGAAATGATTATTATAAAAATACGCCATATTTCCATATTTCACATTGTCTGTAGCTCAATCGCTTTTTTTTTTTTTTTTTTTTATTTATTCTTGGGAAAAATAAAAGGGAGACAGCCATCTCTCTATCCTCTCCTCTCTATCTACCTCTTTTTTTCTTTTTTTTTCTTTTTTTTTCTTTTTTGCTCTGTATCGACCTTGATGAGGAAATGGGACAAGAGCCGAAAGCAATGCAAGGAGTTCAAGAAAATAAGAGAAATAAAAGAGAGTGAAAGAGCCAAGGGAGCGAACGGAATATGCTTTGCTTGCCTAAAACAGATGGGGAGCAAAGCATCCACTTGTGGATAGAATAGGCTTCTCTGTTTCTTTTTTTTTTTTTTTTTTTTTTTTTTTTGCCAGATAAGCTCTTCCCTGTACTTTTTAAGAAGGTTGATTTCTCTTGAACTTTTTTTTTTTTTTTTTTTTTTTTTTATCAGTCTCCCCAGATGTAGACCCCCCTTCACAATTTTTTTTCTTTTAAATCCTTTTCATTTATGCGTCTCATCACCAAGTATGAAACCCTAACGAAGTGTACTGAAATAATTTATTGCTGTCGCTGCCTGTTACTGTTACTGTTGCTGTTGTTGCCTGTTATTGTTGTAGCTGTTATTGAAGAGAGGAGAAGGGAGAAGAAAAAAAAAAAAAAAAAAAAAAAAGACTCCTTGCGCAATTACGTTTTGGACAAGTGATTGATGGCTTGAATAATATCCTTTACTGATGATAAGGATATATAAGAAAGGTAAGAGGTTGAATGAAAGAGAGAGAGAAAGAGGATGTTGAACGAATGAATCAGGTGTTATTTCGTATTGAAATCAGTTCCCGTGACTTACTCAAAGAAGAAGAGAAAGAAGAAAGAATGAAGGAGAGATTGAACGTGAAAGAATGAGAGAATAATGTTTTTTTTTTATGGGGAATAAGAAAGAGATAAATGAAAATAGAACGGAATGGAATGGAATGGAATGAATTCAGCTTGAAATTGAATAGAGGTTGGATTGAAGAATGGATGGACAATGGGAGAATGGAAAAAGGAACGATGGAGTGATGAGAAATGAAAGTGATCAGAGATGAACAAACTCTGCCTTTCAATAATTACAAATTAAAATTGAGAGGAGAGAGAGAGAGAGAGAGAGAAGTACAAAAGAAAGAAAGAGAAGAAAAGAAAGAAAGAGGCGAAGGAGGGGTAAAAAAAAAAAAAAAAAAAAAAGTTTGCAAGCACGGTCATAACTATTTTTTTTTTTTTTTTTTTTTTTTTTCCTGACTAGATGACTAGTAACTAGATGACTAAATGACTAAATGACTGCAAAATGGGGCACTGCATTTCAAACATTTTATTTTACTATTTGCTTTTTAGCATTTACGATAATACGTAATAGATTGACATCAACAACTCGTTTAAATACTCTCCTCTCATACTACTATTATCCTATTATATATTTATATTTATATATTATACTGTATACAATAAGATATACCTTTATATATTTATACGTGTGTGACATCCAGTCCAGTTTATTCATAAAATATGTGTATCTTGGGATTTATGTATCGATTGATTGATTGATTAACCTCATCCCCCCCACCCCTTTTCTTTCTTCTCTCCAATCCTCCTTTTTTTCTCTTTCGCTCCACCCATCACCACTGCGGCATTCTTTCTTGTGTTGGATTGCGTTGTGTGGTATGGAAGGATATTATATTTATATCTACATCCATATGTGGATACAATCATAAATGGTATAAACATTGACTGCATATTCAGTAATTATTCAGCATTTATTCAGCATTTATTCAGCATTTATTCAGCATTTATTTAGATATAAATATTTCTATTTAAAAAATCAAGACTGAATCGAAAAAGAATAAAGAAAAAGAAAAAGAAAAAGAAAAAGAAAAAGAAAAAGAAAAAGAAAAAGAAAAAGAAAAAGAAAAAGAAAAAGAAAAAGAAAAAGAAAAAGAGAGAGAGAGAGAGAGAGAGAGTAAGAGTTGGTATTTCTTTAGAGTGTGCATGTCTATAGAATAGCAGCAATGAACGACAAACGACTCTTACAAACGACTCTTACAGACAAACAACAATAGCAAACAAAGAAGAAGAAAAAAAAAAAAAAAAAAAAAAAAAAAAAAAGCTGTGTGGCTGGTGGCAAATAATAATGAAAAGAAAAAAACGGCTGGGCTGGGTTCTGTCCTGCCAATGGATGCAATTGAAACTAAATATAAATGCAGGATACAAAATACATCTATCTACTGTATGTATATAAAATATATACCGTAACAGTAATTCATATATGTATATTTAATACTCATTTTATCCATTTATATTATATTATATATATATGTATATTAATAATATCAATGTTTATATTAAAGACGCTAAGATGATTGAATGGTGATTGACCGAATTGAATAGGTTAAAAACAAGTCTGTTATATATGTATTATATATATATATATATATACCTTTTCTACTTGCGAAATGAATTGAATTTTATATATATGTATATAAATTATCCATTCCAAACAAAAAAATAGAAAAAACAGGTCACACCAAAAAAGGCTTTTTAGTCGAAATGATCAAAAGGATCCTTGATGAATTCGCTCCTCATCGGACAATCCTCTTTCTCTCTGATCAAGACTTTACTGAAATGAAGGACTGGTGTATATTAAGCACAGCTTGAATGAAGACCAGAGCCATTTCCTACTTTTTATTTATTTATTATTATTATTGTTATTATTATTACTATTATTTTTTGTTCTAAATAAGATAATACGAAACCGGACTAGACCAGACCAATTTAGCGTGCTCAAAAGACCTCGAGTGATTTTTTTTTTAAAGGAGAAATGAAGTTTTAACCCAAAGGGATCAATCATGACAACGACATGAATGCCTTTTTTTTTTTTTTTTTTTTTTTTTTTTTTGGTTTTTCATCATACCTTTTATCCTATTAAATGAAGCCAATATACAACGACCAAGATACAGTTGCGATCTGATGGAACTGTATACATTCTCTCACGCCTAATCTGCGCACGACTAGAATCACTAGATCGGCATTTCATCTCGACCTAACTAGTTCGTGACAACTTTGTTTTTCTTTTTGGAAAAAAAAAAAAAAAAAAAAAAAAAATTAAAGGGTTGGCGCCGCTATAATCTGTATACTCTGCGTCATCAACTGGACCGTTGTGTCTAGTAAAACTAACTTGTACAGAACTATATCAGCTTTGCAGTCATGTTATACCAACAATACCCCTCTCCACAATGAGCGATCTACAAAGTTGTTTGTAGTTCAGTACTGTATTCCATATGCAAATATGCAAATGCAAATATGCAAAATGCTAATGAATCTTGTTTGTCTTGGATGCTTAATCAATTCAATTGAATAATGGTGATACAAAATTCTCTTCTTTTTTTGTATCATTCAATGAAGCATTATGACATCATCAAAAAATAAAGAGTGACACCCGCGTCATTACTTTTTCTTTTTTTGGGTCCTTGGAATCTCTTGCTTTCGTGACCCCAAGCGACCCCAAGCACAAACTTTTTTTTTTTTCGAGAGTGCGTTTTTGTTTTTTTATGGTCAGGACGCCGCAAAGGAACAAAATGGCTTTTTCGACTTGAGCAAAGCTTGGAACACCAGACCTTAAACAAGGAACAGGAAAAACAAGCTCCAAACAACTATGACGTTGCGCTCGAGCTTTGCTTACTTTCTTCATCTTTGTAAATACGATTATCTACAATTCTATACTATCCCACTATCGTGGGGTGATAGTCTCTGGTACCCTCTCCAACGCAGCTGCATCATTTTCTCTTTTTTTTTTTTTTTTTTTTTTTTTCTTTCTTTTACTGACAAAATAGCCTTTATTGCATAGCGCCATTAAAAAAAAAATAAATAAATGAACGATTGCTTCATAATCGCGCTACTACAGTTCAACTACGAACAAAAAAAGTTGGCGTAAAAAATAAAAAAAGGTCCGTATCCGAATAATCTCCTTTTTGACCAAGAAGAAGGACCATGGGAAACAGACTAAAAAGTCATCACCTGCTAGTTAGAATAGTCTACGGTACCATGGCTTCTTTTTTTTTCTTCTTTGATTTACCCTTCAATCGCATCCCTTACCGAGACCCCATCGATTTCTTTCTTGAGAATAGTACATTTGTATAAAGTACCGCCCAAAGCAAGAAAGCAAATGGACAAGATGCAGATATTATATTTGATTTTCGTCACTTCTTTTAAATGTCTCATCCGTACTGCACACATACACTTTTACCACATCTACCATATCAGTCAAACAAGTCATGAACAAACAGGCTGAAAATGTTTCTCTGGACCTAACATGGCCACCTCGGAGATATCAAAAAAAAAAACCATGTGAGATCAAATTGACAATGTTCAACTACAATACATGTTCTCTGTCTCCTGCATTTTCTTTTTTTTTTTTTTTTTTTTTTTTTTTTTACTAAATATAAACATCATATCTTGGTGTCATCATTGTCAGCGATAGTTTAGCATCTGTGTAACAAAGGATTATCCAAAGGAACAGTATGTATAAAAAATAAAAATAAAAAGCCCTTGCATTAAATGATTTATTCCATTATCCCCTGCCCTGATTATCTTATTCCTAATAACCGGGTGTGTCTTCATCAAACTACTTTCTCCTTGTTTGTCAGCCTCAACAGCATTATACATACATATATATCATGTGTATCATTAACTAACAAACTAAAAAAAAAAAAAAAAAAAAAAAAAAAACAGGTTGTAATGGGATTATGGGAGCCGATCTCGTTTCCTACTGGGTTCTAGTAGTGATAATAAAAAAGATCATTAAATAAATAGAAAGATCATCATCATCATCATTACTTTCATCACTCTACTCACTTGCATGAAAATATCACGATATTTATAAGATACAACGATACAGCGATATAACGATATAGCACATCTAAACGGGCTCCTTTCCACTTGTTCAATTTTACGTCAAAAAACCAAAGCAAGTTCTTTAATTATCTTAAAAATAATAAAAAATATACATGTAAAAAAGAAAAAAAAAAAAAAAAAAAAAAAAAAGAAGCAAGTTCTTTAATTAATGTTCCATCTCTGCCCTCATGCCTTGTCCCTTGTTCCAATTTTTATTTCCGTCATAGCTGTGCAGCAGATGGTCTGTTGTAAGAAGAGAACAGACAGAGAGGATGGACAATATGCATTAACATCAACATACCAATCCAATTGATCACCAATCTTTTTTTACATATCAATGAACTCTCATCATTGCATTGCTGTCCAAAACTTGGGGGTTTTTTTTTTTTTTTTTTTTGATGGAAAACGAACTAAAGTTAGCTCTCTCTCTCTCTCTCTCTCTCTCTCTCTCTCTCTCTCTGTTCCCTTCTCTTCCTACGAACTTTTTCCCAACTCTAATTATCTCTTTACTGGCTAATATTGATAAACGCGTCTTAAGAGCCAAAAAGAATAAATTTTTACTCGTAATTGCATATTAGACTATCATCATGACAACACTAATGAATATGCACAGAGAGCTTTTTCCCGTCTTTCGAAGCTTTATTTTTTATTTTTTATTTTTATTTTTATTTTTTTCCCGCACTATTCCTTCGCGTGCAAAAACAACGTGTTTGTGTAGTATATCCATCATTGACGCACTGACAGCGATTCTATGCATATAACAATCTAACAATCATTTCATTGTCTCCTTGTTTTTTTTTAATGCATCCCACTAGTGTTCTTTCAAAAAATGTGTAATTTGTTTGGTACCTTTTTTTTTTTTTTTTTTTTTTTTTCCTCCTTCGTTAATGCTGTTTATTGTAGACTCTAATTGAAGAGCTTTTTTTTATTTTATTTTTATTTTTTTATAATGATTATTATATATGATTATTATCATTTATTAGTCATTATTGTCCCTCTGATGCTTCAAATTCTGGAAGATCAAAGACGAATGGGTATTGTCCAAAGTTGGCCTTGAATTCAAATCCGATCGTGTTGTTGTTCGATGATGAGAACTGACTTAAAGTAGATTGCTCTCTGTTGAGGTAATGTGTCTGTGACAGAGGTCCTCCCACTCCCCCACCTTCCTCCACAACAGACACACATGGGTAACAATCCAACACATCCACTCCATAGAACGCCTGACCTAGGCATTCACCATTAAGTGTAAAGAAAATCTCCCGGGACGCAAAATCAACACCACATCCAACAATGGATCCTGCTTTAAAAGGTTGACCACGGGCACGTGCCTTCATCTTCCCAGACTGTGAACGTGCATTTAGGCTAGGCCGGTTGTTGGAGAGTGATAAAAAGTTTTCATCACTTGAATAACCATACGAATTCTCCTTCCAGCCCAAGGTCTCAGTCATGCTCTGATCCTTGCCACAGATGCCAACCACAATCGTTCTAAAAAAGCAGTGGTAGTAATGTAGTAATCGGAGTCGTGAGTAATATGTATATATACGTCGCATAAAATTAATAACAATAATAACAATGCGAGACTATTATTATTATTATTATTATTATTATATATAAACATATACCTACCCGAGATTGGTTGGTGGCATGTAGAGAATAGTAACCTCGAAATAAAAGACATCCTTATCGCGAGGTGAGACCTTTGGCCCACGAATACATCCAGAACAAGCAGCAGAAGATGACCTCCCTTTCATCCCCATTGAAAGATCATGGGCAATGACAGAGAGACCGTCTGATAAGACTTTGAAGATCTTGTCATTCCTGACACCGTTATTCCATGTAATCAGTTGTGGAGCTTGAACAGGTTTGGACATGATTCTCTGTGGAAAAAAAAAAAAAAAAAAAAAAAGTTTAAAGGATATAAATTTTTTGATCAGCAAGCAAGCTATATATTTATAAAAAAAAAAAAAAAAGAACACGTCTTTTCCTTACCTTCTTGTAGTCCACAATGTTAAACAAGAATGTCTGGTCTCCAAAGTTGGCATTGATTTCTGTGCCAGCATGGGACAGGCCGATGGCTGGGTACAGAGGGATTGTGTCCTTGATGAACCGGAAGGCCACCCCCAACATATCTCCATTCAACGTAAAGAACACTGCACGGTCCACAAAATTGATACCACAACCCACGACATCATTCTCCTTGTATTCGTATGCGTACTTGATGGATTGTTTACCATTTCCAAAGTACAGGTATCCATCATCACTATGGTAACCCCAAGAGTTCAAGTCCCAGCCAACTTGACAATTCTTCCGCAATGCTTTGCTGGCAATGCCCACACTCATAGTACTGCCTTTAACCTCCTTGTAGGCGTCAATCGTGATTTCAAAGTAAAACAAACCGCACTGGGGATTGATCGGATGGTTGGCTGTGACAGAAGCTGACACTGTCATGTCGTTCTTGAAATCGGCTATTAAAAAAAGTTTTGTGGACATGTGCGCATGTGTGTGTTTAAAAAATGTAAGTAAAATGATGATAATAATAATAATAATAATAATAATAATAATAATAATCTACAACCTCCCCTTATAACTTACATCGATACTTGATATAGCTACCCTCGACATCCAACTCTGGCGGCGCATCATCATGATCCCAAGCATCCGGGGGTGAGAGATACAAATCTGGATTGTCCACAGAATGCCGGTTCTTGATAATAGCTCCAGCTGATGGTTGTGTGGCCGTGGGTGGCTGTGAGGAAGATGATGGGCTTGCTTGGAACGATGAGCTTGACGGCTGTATAACATCGGGTGCTGCAGACCTAGGACGATCATGACCACTATTTCGCAAAAGCAGCTCATCTTCCATCGACAAAAACACAGGAGCATCTGCGGGCAGATCATGCAGCGCGTGTGGACCTGGTTTCGAGGGTGTCACAGGTGTTTCAGGAGCAACAGGTGGGTGTGGTTTGGGATGTGGAGCTGCTGGCATTGCATCTTCATAAGAGTATTGATGTAGACTTGGCTGATACTGATACTCAAATGAGACATGACCCGGTTGAGGGACAGAGTCATATTGCTGGTGCTGGTGCAACTCCTGATAATCCTGATGTGGGAAAGGTGGTTGTGGTGGTTGATATGGATATGCAACATAGATATCTGACTCGTCAGGCTTTTGTTGTCCTTGGCTGAGCTCAGATGGGTTGAAGGCGCCCGGAGGTGAATTAAAAGTACCCAAAAGTGGGTTGTACATGTTCATAAAATCAGAATTACCCGGGGAACTTGCGATTGTGCTCTGTTCCTGAACCATAGGCACTGGAAGGGGTAACATGAAGGAAGATGACTCCTTTGCTGCCGCTGTTGTAACTGCCGAAAATGTGGGTTCAGAGCCGTTTGAGAGTAGGGTAGATGGGCCTTGGATAGGACGGGGCGGCAGACTAACTCGACCAACTGCTGCTGCCGAGAGCATGAGTTCGTCTGGGAGTTCCGTCGGTAACTCATAACCAATGGCCTTACAGTTCACAAGATGAAGACCCGCGATAAACTCCGTTCGTGTCAACGCCGGTTTTTCTTCCGGGTTTAACAGTTGCCTATACGCATCCGAGTATTGTATATTTTTAATGCACGTAATGAGAATCCTCTCAAAGGAATAATAGTAATAATAATAGTAATAAACAGTTTATGCACATCTGTGTATTCTAAATCAGAGACTCACCATATTTTGTAGAGATCGCTATTCGGGAGTCCAAGTGTCATGAAGACCTTCCCAGCAATATCGGCTAAAAAAAAAAAAAAAAAAAAAAGCGTATCAGAACGTTGTATAGTTTACAGATTACCAGAATCCTGAATACCATTAAACAAAATTTGATTATAAAATGTAGATGTTATACTCACATGATACACACTCCTCTGCTGGACGCTCCCAAAGTCCAAAGATACGCTCGTAGGTAGCTTGCTCTGATTCTGTAAAGGTCCATTCAAACTGCGTTGCCTCCAGCTGTTGCAAGTCATCCTCATATTGAAAGTTATCTTGTCCTTCTTCGCTAGCTGTCATGGCTGTTACTGCCTGCTGAGGCTCCACAGTGGGCTGTTTTGGCACTTCAGCTCCAAAGTCTACACCTTTTTGCTGGCTGGTCTGACTACTGCTGCTGTCAGATCGTCTGATAGCACCAAGGTCTTCATTTATGAGTGGATCTAAAACCGATCTGCTACCGGATCCTGATCGTGACAAAGGCATGCTTGACTGTAGTTCTCGGATAAAGGCACTTACACCATCATCCACATGATCAAGATCATCCTCCTCCTCCTCCTCATCATCATCATTCTCATCCTCATCACCCTCGTTTTCTTCTTGCAGAAGAGGGGCATCCTGCACAGGAATGAGATCAACCCTTTCCGTCGGAAAGGGAATATAAACCTCTTCCGAAATCGTGGGCTTCGAGCCTGAAGAACCTGCTTGTGGGTGGCTAGCTTTTGCGGCTGTAAGCGCTGCAGGTTTGGGTGCTGGGATCGGAGGAGTTCCACTAACAGGGCTTTTAGCCTTTCTTGTAAGCGAACCAGATGATAATAGAGATTTCGGTATTGGTGATTCCGGAACAGGAAAGCCGTTGGTTATCGTGGGTGTAATTGGATTTAGGCTAGTACTTTCAGTTCTTTCAAGGACAGGGGTTGAACGGCCCGCTTCTGCCAGGGTAGTGTCGATGTGTATGGTGGCTGGCGATCGTTTATGAAGACTACCCGTTGGCGACAATAGGTTCTTCACATCATCAAGAGACTCATTCTCCTTCAGGGCCATAGGGTTTGTAAAGTCGGATGGCATCGTCCAGTTGCTCATTGAGAATGAGGACGCAGCTACGTCCGTAAGCGCCTTCATTGCAGGTGAGACAGGTGATGAAGCAGAGTCGATGTCCTTATCTTCCGCACCTGCGTCCACGTCCACGTCCGCGTCCGCGTTCGCGTCAACATCTGTGCTAGTGGTAGAGAAGGCCACGGCAGTTGCGGTCGTAATTGCGGTGGACGTTGTTGGTTCAGATGATGGCGCCGTCTTTGGCTTAAGCTTAATGCCGTCCTTTGTGGCTGTGAGCCCTGTTTGTCTGAGCTTCTCGATTGACTCATCCACTTCTGTTAATGAAGATTGTCCCGAAAGTACATACGGTCGGTTGTCGACCTCTGTCAAGGGCGACTGGGCTTCCAATGGATGTGGCAGATTGTCGATTTCAGTGAGAGCCGACTGTGATTCCAGAGGGTGGGGTAGATTGTCGACTTCTGTCAAAGCCGATTGCTCTTTCAATGGATGAGGTAGATTGTCGACCTCAGTAAGGGCCGATTGCTCCTCAATTGGATAGGGTCGATCGTCTATCTCGGTCAATGCTGACTGGGCTTCGATTGGGAATGGAAGGTTGTCGACTTCTGTAAGGGACGACTGATTTTCGATAGCTGATGGATATGGCGACTGGTTAGGGCTCTGACGATTCGGATACTGAGTTGAGCTGAACTGGGAGCTCCGTCCACTAAATCCTGGTCCCGAGCCCGATCCTAGTCCTGATTCCGTTCGACTAGGAGAATAGACTCCAGAGCTAGTCCGAGATGTTGCGTCCATCTCTGTCAGTGACGATTGGTGCTCAATTGCAGACGGGTATCCCTGAAGTGGTTGGATTGCAGGTCTGTCCTGAGTGGATGAATATGGCCGTGAGACTCTGGCATTGATACCTGTCGTCACAGCAGGCGCAGGATCGAGTGTCGTCAGTGATGAATCCCGGTCATAGTTTGGTATCGGAATGTTGTCCGTCAGAGAAGATTGATATTCCACAGGCATGGGTTGCATCGATGCGGCTGCTGTGTGCGACAAAGGTGTTGTGGGAGGATAGGGGCTGTGTGCAGAGCTTGGACTAGCACCACTAGAGGAATGGCTCCAGGAGGCAGATGGCTGTGGCGAAGGGGGCCCAGCATTGAAACTACTACTCTGGCGATTGTGCAGTGCCTGCAATTGGGTTTTACGCTGCAGCTCTGGTTGTGTTTGCTGTTGCGATGTTTGAACAGGACGATACGCAGAGGAAGAAGTGGATGAAGAGGAAGGTGGTGTATTAATGGATTGTGTTGTAGATGAAGAGACCTCAACCTTGATATTCTGTTGGACGCGTTGTTGCTTCCAGGTCTGGGCTTGACTCTCAGTCATCTCTGCCTTGTAAAAAATGGGAGGAGCCCCTGGCGAAGTTGGTGTTGTTGGATGCATTGTTGGAGCAATTGAAACCGAGGAAGAAGGCAGTACGACTGAAGGACTCGCAGGCAAGGATGAAGCTTGCTGTGCATAGTATGGAGGGGCAGGCGAGAGGGGTTGATGAGGTGGATACTGCGTGGGATGGTAGGATCCTCCAGAGAGAGGTCGTGAGGGCTCTGACGAAGGTGAAGGCGAAGTCGGACGGTGAGCAGCCTGGTAATATGGATGATGCTGTGCTGTGTGCGCGTGTGCGTGTGGATGCTGGCTTGGCTGGTGTAGGTGCGGAAGAGGGGTGTAAGGTGAACTAACAGGCACCTGAGGGTAACCAGTCCAGCCATAAGGTGGAGGCGGTTGCTGGGGATGTTGTTGGGCATGGTGGCCAGGTTGAGGATGGCCATAGGGATGTCCTGATTGAGGGTACATCGTAAAGGTAATCTTTTATTCCTTTCTTTTTTTGTGAGAATGCAAGAGGCGAAAAGAAGATTTAAGAGATTATGCGAGTAAGGGCTGTAAGCAAAAGGCAAAAGACAAGGAATGCAAGAAGAATGAGAAAGGAAAAAAAAAAAAAAAGAAGAGGTGTTGTAGAAAAAAGGGTTGTTTGATGCGGGAAATGCACAGCCCAGTGGCGTGTGATTGATCTTTTTTTTTTTCATCTCTTTGAATCTTGCCCCTGTTCCATTGTGCTATTGTATGTTAATTGGTAAATTGGTGGCAACCTTGGCCATGGCTTTTTATTGCTTCCAATGATAGACACCTGTCTCAATTCCAGAGCATGGGAAAAATGTTTTTTAGTCATTTTAAATGTTTAAATCGAAAAAAAAATAAAAATAAAAATAAAAATAAAGACAAGAGAGACACCAGACAAGGACAAGTGAAGTGTCATGTCACCAGAGTCAATGTGATCATTTACATCTTCGCCACGTTTGCATCTTTTCCTTCGCTCCCAGTCTAGATGGATTCAAAAACAGCGCCTCTTTAAGGAATGGCATCAGGAAAAATTGTGCAACACTCAAACATCCTTTTTCTACATTCCCCTCCCTCTTTTCACTCGTCTGTCACCTTGTTGTCGCCCCAACCATCTTCTTTTCCCCTTCTTCATTCTTTCCCCTCATCACAGTTACCATGAACCGATTCACCTCATCAACCACAATCCTTTCCCGAACCCCACCCTTTTCCTCCTCCACACCTGCGCTATTTCCCACACGCTCCTACCGTCCACTTCAGTGCCCGACCTGTAAGGAGCTCTTGCTCAATCCTATTACCCTGCCCTGCGGCTTTACTGTCTGCCAAGGCTGTCTCCCACCTCTGGAAACCATCGACTTCCAGCAGCAGATCCGATGTCCCTTCAATGCCTGCGCACGCTCTTGTCTACACACACCGGACCAACTAGCCGTCGATGTGACCCTTCAGAATCTCTCAATGATCTTACGGACAGCGGCACTCCACTCCAATTCCCTTGCCAACATCCTTCATGAAGACTCTGAGAACGAGCGGCCCCACCATCAACCAGACAACCTCTTTTACGGCAGTACAGAGGCCGATCCTACCTGGGAAGCCACTTTAGAAGGCCTTTTTGACCCATATATGTCCATTCCAACTGAGCCAGTTGTCAGCTCAAGTTCAGCTTCATCCTCAGCCCTTTATCGCAATATTCCTACCATTGTTGACAATCTACGTCTAAAAATTCAGCAAGAAGTCGAATGTCAAATTTGCTTTCTGCTCTTTGATCATCCTATCACGACTTATTGTGGTCATACTCTTTGTAAGAGCTGCCTTATCACTTCTCTGGATCACAAACCAGACTGCCCACTCTGTCGACGCAAGCTACCTTTGTATATGTTCTATCACAATCAACCACCCAACAAGGCACTTCTGCGCTTCATTCAGTATCTTTCCACTCGCCCAAGAATAACTTTTGAGAGTGAAAATCATTCATCTGTCGAGGAACGAGAGGTTGATCCAACGCTGGCCGTGACCCCACTGTTTATCAATGCTCTCATCTTCCCACGGATACCCTGCTATCTCTTGGTATTTGAACCACGATATCGAAAACTGTTGAGGAATGTACTCAAGACAGAAAGCAAACTATTTGGAATGGTGCTCCCGCCTCAACAACAAAAGTATCAAGATCTGGAAACCTTTGCTTGGGAACCCAGTATGGAGTATGGCACGTTATTAAAAGTGCTCTCCTGCGAGCTCTTACCCGATGGACGGGCACTTGTAGAGACCGTTGGGGTATCTAGGTTCCAGATCCTGACTTATTCCAAGGTGGACGGATATTATGCTGCCACGGCCGTCGATATAATTGACGATATACCCGAAGAATACGAACGAGGACTTGAGAAGAAGGTTCTGGATGCTGCCGCCGCTACTGCGAAGGAGCGTGAGCAGCAAGCAGAAACAGGCATATCTAAAAGTATAGCTGAGAGTGGTGAGGAGCAAGCCAGCCATCTGCTCGGAAGAGCAAGTAAACGGAGACAAGACCAAGAGACTTCACAATCGGGGACCACTCCGCTCCTTTCGCATTCAAGTTTATCACTATCTCCATCATCATCATCATCATCATCATCATCATTGTCGTTATCGGTATCAGTGTCAGCACCGACGTCATCTTCAGGTCTCTTAGAAGATGTAGGTAGATCTTCTTCTCGCCAACTGGGATTTGAGGACCTCCATCGGCAGAAACTTGAGATGCTATCACAAAAGCAACTACTGCAGATCTTAGTAGCGTATGTGGCCTATATGCAAGACCGACTGGGACCATTGGCAACGCAGCGTCTCCAGCGCGAATATGGCGAGATGATTGAGGATGATGGGCAATACTTGTCATTCTGGGTAGCGTCCGTACTCCCAATGCCCCCGTATCAAAAGTACGAGCTGCTGCACGAGACCTCTGTTCGTAAACGTTTGCTGACTGTACTGAACTGGATCAAAGACATTGAGACGCGTCGCTCAATGGCTGTGTGCACAATTTCGTAGTCAAAAGATATTGACATTGGGGCATGGTTGATGAGAACGTGGCTTACTTTTACTTTTAAACATCTTTAAATAAGTTGGATAGAATAATATGACTCTCCACTCTCTTTTCTTTCTCTCTCTTCGTACCTTTTTTTTTTTTTCTCATAAACGTCCTAATCAAAAAGAAAATGTCGCGTGGCGCGTTCATCCCTGCCATCGCAGCATCACTTGTCATGCCTGGCATGGTCTTTGCTGGTATGTGCCTGTTGTCAATCGGCATAGTCATCTTTTCGCAAAGACATGATGTGTTTACTCATTCAACAGTTGATTATCACAACGGATAGATGCTTCGACAGGATCGATCGCCGCCTCGATCCCGTACTTTGAATGTAAATGACTAGACATGCACATACACTTTTTTCCCCCTCCTTAATTGTCACACACTTTGGATCTGATATGGCTAAATTCATCATTTCCTTGATTCATTTATCTAGCATTTGACGAATTGCGAGACCGCTTTGGAAAGGAACTCATGTATATCAGCTTCATCTTCTTAATCCTGGTCACATATTGGGTTGGGAAAAGGCATAATGAGGTGCTTGCAAAGTCCACTATGGCAGTTATGCTGCCACTCTTCCGTGCTAACTTTGCACGTGTGGGTGACAATGGTGCCGAACTGGCGATCGATGCGCCTCACGAATATATTATCTACTTGACGGGCCGTCGCCATGTAGCAACTGTTCATGGACTGATCAAGGTACAACATAACATTGTTTTTATTTCCTTTCAAATCAAGATTATTTTTTTGGAGAAAGAATTTCTTTTTGCATCCAATATGTTAATTTAAACTGACTTTTCACTCTTCATTTTTTGGGGTGGCATGGTCATACTAGATGCGGCCTCGCCAGGATCTCATCCGCACGATTTTCACCTTTCTATCAACCCCAGTTCAGGATACTTGCACGCTGAATGTAACCATGAACCCTGGCGAGTATAGTGACGGAGTATTTGCGGTTGTGCCCAAGACCACGGGAATATCTGTTCGCGCAAAGTTTTATGATCTCACAACGTTTACCAAAGCTTCGAATCAGAAATCGTTGGACGCTTCGTTGATCACATTAACAGAGTCAAATGAACTGACAGAGGCCATCCTGCCTTTAATCAGCGACAAGTTGAACAAGGCTGCTCAATGGCTCGATTACTTTGTCGTCTCCGACCAGCCTATGTACAAGCCTGAAACGTACGTTCGTTCTCTCCTCTATCTAAATTGCAACATTTTATACCTAATCATTGATCTCACTCAATTTTTTCTGTTTTTTTTTTTTGCTAGTGTTTCTACAGAGCCCTATGCCAAGCGCATCTCGCTATCTTTCCGCTTGCCTAATGCTAGATACACTCGTGAGATCTTGCCTCTCGTGGAGGCCCTTGTTGCCTGTCTGGACGGCCTTCCTCGTGATTGCCATGTCACTGCAGTGGTAAGTGACTTTTAGATTGGAACTACCCAATTTGTCTCTATTGCATTGTATCTGCCGTAATACTAATTTAAAACATTTCATTCTTTTTTCTTTTTATCTTTTTCTTTTCTTTTTTTCTTTTTGCTTTCAGACAAAGTCCAAGATTATTAAGGCTCGTGAAGAAGCTTCTAAAGAGCTCGACAAGAAGGCTCAAGCAGAAAGAGCGCGAGAGTTGGAGGAGAAACGTGTACGAGAGAAGCGTGAGTATGAAAAGAACTTATCGCCCGAAGCCCAACGCAAGTTGGCTGTCAAAGAGGAAAAGAGAGCACTCAAGAAGCGTCAGAAGATGGTCACCAAGAAGGCATAATAGATCATTCAGAAAAAAAAAAAGTGAGAAAGAGAAGAGGGAAAAAAAAAAAAAAAAATGTAAAGTAGAAGACAACGACTAGTCTTTATTTATCTGTCTGCATTCATTAAACCAAAACATTATGAAATATCTTGTTGGGATATGAACCAATTTTAGTTCGGTTTGTTGAGCAATTGATCCATAAACTCGGCAGCAGAGACTTGTTTCTTCAGCATGCCTACACCTGTGCCAGCCCAGAGTGGCAACAGATCGAAATCCTGATCTTTGGTGGCCCTTATCCAATCCTCCTTGGTACCGGTGCGATCTTCTTTGAGCAATTTGAACACTGCTGGACCTGTCTGTTCGTACAATCCATGGTTTTTCAAATCCTCCTCTTCACGCTCCGTCACTAAATTTCTCACAACTCGCCCGTCATAACCCTCAGGCCAATTGAACTCGCGCAACTCGTCAAAGATGCGGGTGCGGACGGTGCCTGCACCACCATCCTCGACCTTCAAGAGGCGTTCCTTTGCATGCTGAGGGCCTGGCGATTCGTATGTGGGCATGAACCCGGTTCCAATGACTGCGCCAGATGCTCCCATTGTCTGAATGGCTGTAAATTGAGATGCAACTGAGATTCCACCTGCAGCCAAGATGGCAGGCATGGTAAGTTTTGATCCTGAAGCATTGACTGAACCAACCTTGGCCTCAAGAGCCTGGATAGCTTCAGGGATCAAAGTCATCAAAGGCCATACACGCTGAGCACCATGACCTCCAGACTCCGTTCCCTGCAAGACAATCACATCGACAAGTTCTTGTTGAGCTTCCAGAGCTTCTTGAATTGTTTGTACTTGTACAATCACTTTGGTTCCAGTCACTCCATGTTCGCGAATCAGCTTGAGGTATGGCTTATAGTTCCCAAATGAGAACCAAACTGCTGCAGGTGGACGAGGTGGAGATTGACGGTTAGGATCATCACCTCGACCCTTGAGGATATCTAATAGCAACTCAGGTCCTTGACGGTCCAGCCAAAAAGTGATGAACCCAACTCCATATGGTAAAAATTGATCTGGTTCAGGACCTGCCTCTGCTCCTGTTACTTCCCCTGCCCTTGCTCCTGCTGCTCCTGCTGCTTGATTGCTGCCTGGAGCCTCAAGGTCCTTGAGAAGTGGAAGAATGGACTGAAGCTCCTTGAGGATCTTGGGAGGATCTGTAAAGTAACCGATTGGATAGATGGGGAACCCTCCGTGATTGGCAACAGCAGCAACAAGTGTGGGTCCTGACCAAGCGTTCATGGGTGCGGAAACGATCGGCTTTGTCACACGGAGAAGAGGTGTGCCATTGGAAACAGCTTTTGTAAGATGGCTGAACGTGCTAAGGAAAGCGTTCTTGGCAACAGACATGTTTTTAGTCTGTAATGATAATTAGAAGCGTGAGAGAGTGAGAGAAGAAAGATGTGTTATATCAACTGCGAAGCAAAAAAAAAAAGTATATTTTGGACTCTGCAACCCTTCATCGCGCCGTTGGGCAAAGGGAGATAGACTAATCCAAATCGAGACAATGACAAATTCAGAAAAAGGCATTCAACATTAAGGAATGAGTCATTCATTTCATTAGAGTCAAAGGAGGAACATGGATCGAAGGGATCAAATGAACAACTGACTCACTGAAAGTGAGAAAGTAAAGTCGGACAAACCTCCTTGTATGAACCGTTTTTCTACTGCGCACAGTGTATGTTATGTTGCATGTGTCATAGTTTTTTTTTTCCTGCCTCGATGCACTGTACTCATTCCAACCTTGGCTTATTTTCTTCTACTTCTCCTTCTCTTTTGCCATCTTAGTCCAGCCTTTTTAGTAGGAGAGCATATTTTGTTTTTATTATCAACAATCCTTTTATTCGAATAAACAAATGGTTGATGACTGCGGGTGAATTGAATAAACCTTTTGTCGGGTCGCTTTGCCTTTTTCCCTTTTTCCCTTTTTCCCTTTTTTCTTCTTTTTTACGCAATTGCATTCCGAACACTTTTCATATTGACACATTCATTCGCTCAAGTCCTGCATCATCCACTTACTCATCTCAAAAGATTAGGAAAAGAAAAAAAAAAAGTGTGAAACACAACAATGTATCTGAATCAGAAATCTATTCAAGCGCTGGAAAATCTGAAGAACTATCCGCCAAGTGTAGACAATTATCAAGCCAAGAAACGCTCGGCTGTGTTAGTAGCGCTTGTAGCCAATAATGAAGGCGATCTTGAGGTCATTCTCACAGCTCGCTCTTCTTCTTTACGTACTGGTGCTGGTGAATCTGCATTTCCTGGAGGTTTGTGTTGGATCTGAAAATTGCCATGATAGGTGGACCTTTATTCAAGTTTTAGGCCTTTTACGGTTTTGTTTTACATTAATTGACACTCCGGTTGCCATGATTATTAATTGATCGAATATTTAGGCAAGCAGGACCCTGAGGATGCTGATTTGATAACGACGGCTGTAAGTCATTCTGTCAAAAAAAAAAAAAAAAAAAAAAAAAAAAATGCTTTTAACCATCTATTCGAATGCATGAATTATTAAACGCGCATTTTTGCTCATGCGACTGTGATACCAGAAACGGGAAGCGTTTGAGGAAGTTCGGTTATTGCCTTCTAATTCTCAGGTATTGACAGTACTATCACCTGTACTCTCTCGACATCTGCATGTTGTCACACCTGTAGTCGCCTTTTGCCCCGACCTGAGGACCACAGACCTTACCACCCTCCTCCGCCCAAATCCTGGAGAGGTCGCTGCCATTTTCACAGAGCCTCTTGAATACTTCCTCAGTCCTCGCCCAGGAGACTACAATTGGTTTGATATGGATTGGATTTCAAATCATCGGGTCCACAGGTTCGAGCGATGTGGGACCCATAACTTTATCCTTGAGAAGCTGGAGAGTTCTGGGCAGTTGCCACAGACAGCAACAACAACATCATCATCAAACTCAAGCTCTGTGTCGAATAGTGGGGAAGATAAGCAACTCGAGAAAAAAGAAATTGTTGCTCAAGAGAATCCAACCAAGGTTGGCTGGGCTGTATATGGTCTCACAGCAGGGGTGCTCATCGAAGTTGCAAAGATTGCCTATCAACGTAACCCAGACTTTGAAACTTTTGCACCAGGGCAAACCCTGAACAATGAATCTGTGGTAGCATGGTATAATCAGAAATATGGTCCCCAGCCTGTGTTATAATGTAAATAAAAGTATGTGTTTCCTATCTCTCAATTCGGTTTTTTATTTTTTCATCTATTGGCGGATTGTAAGGTACAGAGACATGTCCTTAGAAAAGCTAATTGGATTGTCAACTCTGATATCTTCACATTCATGTTCTGTGGCTGCTGCTGCTGTTGTTGTTGTTGTTGTTGTTGTTGTTGTTGTAGTTGTAGTAATTCATCAGCAGCGTGATCCAGATCCTTGGAGAGTGCTTTCAAAATGGTAGCGTATTTTATACGTTGCTCTTGATCTGTCATAAAGTTTCTAGTCTTTCGCACTCTAGCATGTAGCTGACTACTGACAATATTGCCTAGAGACGAAGTGCAGATGACATCGCATCCAACTAAAAGTTCGATCCAAAGCTTAGGAGCAATGCAAGTGCGATATTCGTTCTTCGTGTCCTTGTTGACACTAGCAGACGATGACAATGCTACTGCTGAAGGGGAAGAAGAAGAGGAGGAGGAGGAGCAATAGAAGAATGGGTTGGAATTGACATCCAACTCGATCAGGCCTTGAAGCTGACATTGTTCCTCTAATCGGCGGTTCCATTGTGGTACTACGACCAATTGGATATACCAATCTTCTTTCACGCGGTAATGATCTGCGAAGAATAATCGAAACACTGGGAACATGGCTTGTTGAAGGTCTGTAAAGGACACTTGAAATCGGATCTTACCATAGGGAGAAGAAGGAGCCGGCCGCTCATCCAAGGCAGGAGTGGTGCAGAAAAAGATTCCCAACATATTGAAATATGGATTTACGATCGGAGAAAAGTCATTCAGACGATCGAGAGCGTATTTTTCAGCAGGATACGCAACCAGATATCGCTTCATTTCATCATTAACGCTAGGCTTATTAAAAGCAAAGGGGGAAGTGACAACAATCTCTTTCCGTTGCATATCCTCTGAGTGCCAATTACGGTAAATCTGATGGCAGGTCGCATGCTTAGCTGACGCGCAGTAAGTCAAAGCCTGTTGATAGCGTTCTTGAATCAATACTTGGATTGTGTTACAAAATTTCTGTGCAGAGTCGATTGGCTGTTGTTGTTCACCGACAGTGGCTGTGCCTAAGGTGCGAATGGTGCTGCTCTCTTGTGTCTTTTTATATCTACTTCTACTTCTACCTTGGCTTCCGCAAGCAATATGACCTTTGTGTTTATGATTACCTGATGACAGCATCATGGATGGGACGGATAAAATGGGATGAAGAGGGGATTTTTTTTTTTTTTTCTATACAATAAAAGATTGAGAAGACAGCAATAATGTATTGCCTTTTAAATTTTTGGAGACATGGAGGATGTCAGCAATTTTCAGCTGTGCATTAACCACTGTGGATCAAATTCAATGTGCAAAGATAGAAAAGACCACAATGCTCCTTGGTGCTGTGTGGACAACATAAAAGTATAGAATAAATGTCAGCTTGGACAAGAAGAAAAAAAAAAAAAAACCACACCCACTTCGTTCTTGGAGTGATGAGCGTAAAGTAATGTTACCTTCATAAGGGCTGACAAATCATTAGTTTTGACTAAAAATACTCGAACGTTCTGCGATAGGAGATCCCTTTGTTGATTATTTAAACTCTCTCTTATAAATTTATAAATTATGGAATTGAGTTTGGAGATGCATACGGAATCCGAAGATTTGTATCTGCCGCATCATACGACTTACATCATTCCTGTGATGTCCTAGTTTGGGATCAAAAGGACATATCCTTCTATCAACTGTGCTCTATGTTTCCCATTATGCTTCCTCTCCTTCCCATTACTCTATATCAAACTGTGTACTCCTTGTTATTGCCAAGAAGGAGAAAAGCAAACTATATTAAAAAGTAAAAATAAAAGGATAAAAGATATTTCAATCGGCTTTTTTCTTTCCTCCACGCAAGCATTGTTGATTCAAATAGCAACAGCCGGCGAAAAGGGAAGATGTTGGCTATTAGACATTTAGTTGCGCAGAAGAGTGGAGGAGGGAGAACCAATTCTGAGTTCTTGCTGCAAAATCACATCACTTTGCGTGATGTTTTCGTCAGACGGACGACATTGACGGTTGTATTTATTGAGTTTATTTATTTACTTTTATCTCCGGATCCGCAATTCATTTACTGCCTGCCTGCGTATGCCTTGACTAATTGGATTCTTTGACTTGAAGCCTGTGTATGGGTAGAATGCATTGGCAAATTGACAAATAGGTATAAGCGATGGTCGATTAAATTGCTAAGCAAGCAGAAAATGGTATAGTCCCAGTTGATCATTAATTTTTTTTTTTTTAGTTCTCTTGATGTCATTGTTGATTGTTGTGCATGGTTTCTCCACAAACTTGACAGTTGACGGTTCCCTTTTCTTTTTGCTTCATCTTTGGATCTCCGACTCTGCTAAAGGCTCCAAAGGCTGCCAAGGTCGACGGATACGGTACGACTAAAAGGGTTTACGTTGTCATGGCTTCTAGGTTCTTCTCAAACAATAAAAAAGAACAACTGATACTGCGGTGCATCTGTGGCTCGTGCATGCTCAGAGAAAATATAAAGAAGAAACTTTTTTTTTTTCTTTTGCATCCAATTTGATTTTAATTATTCTTAATATTTTTCTTTTTCTTTTTCTTTAATCTTCAACCCTCAAGCGCATTCAGCATCATCATTATATTAAACAAAGCAAGCCATTGACACCAAAAACAACTTCATCAGTTCGGCATAAACCTCACTCCCTCTCTCACACTTTCAAGGTAATGCTTTTTCTTTTCTTTTTCTTTTCTTTTTCTTTTCTTTTTTTTTTTTTTTTTTTTTTTTTGAGTTTCTATTTGATTTCTATTATGAAAATCAACCGTCATCATTTAGCCCCAGCTTTGGAGATTTGGTGTTTTGTTTTTTTTCTCTTTGCCATCAAGCATACCATCTCCATCTCTTTTTTTTGTCGCCTTTCTGCTTCCCCTTCTTCCCCCAATAAATCAACCAGGGAGCTTACATTATCCATGAATCCTCAGCTCCTTAGTCAAGCATTGTGCTTTTTGCTCGACTTTGTCTTTTAATTGATTACCCGCTGTTAGATAAAGAAAATACGATGACTAGGGCGAAGCAATTAGCAAAAAGCGGTTCTGGGTCTTTAAGACCAAGGAAAAACAATGACGATAAAGCACTGTTCTCTTGACGTTATATTCAGTTTTTTAAACCACATTCTTTCATTGTTCTGTCACGCACACAATACCATGGCACTATTCGCACTATCTTTAAATAAACAAAACGCTTGCTATATATACACAATTGGCACGCAACGGAGCGATGATCACTCATGATCTCGTCTTTTTTTTTTTTATTCTTTCACACTCCGTCTGACTTTTAAGGTGTCCTATCTATCACAAATGCTTTTATCTTTTTGATTGTCATTGTAATGCTTTGCCTTTTTTTGTTTGTATAATTCATACTGTCAATTCGCAAATGACACCATCTTCCAAACAAAAGGCTATTTCATGTATCATTAGTGAAGACTTCATCCTGTTCCATGTTGTTGAGGAGAGAGAGACAAAAAGAAAACATCATGAGACAAGGAAGACAAGAGGGATTAAGGAGGTGGATGATGAAATAAATGACCTTCAGATTATATAGCCAGAGCGGTAAACAACTCATTATTGGGATAATCAATTTAATTACTCCAATCTATTCTTTTTCCATGCCATTTTCATCGTTCCGAGATTCAATTAATCAGCATTTTGGTATCATCGGTTACACATCCCGATGTTCATTATTAAATAATCTTTAATTTCTTCATCCTTACTCTCCATAACCATTCACCGCTTCGTCTTATGCCCATTTCGCATCTCAGTACCTAAAATAAAAAATAAATAAATAAAAAAATAAGGAGTGAGAGAAGGATAAGGAGAAAATAAAGGGAGTACGAATATCCTCTCAATGAAACTCAATTGATTTGTGTGTTCAACAGAGTGAGAGCTGAATAAACTAGAACGAGACTCTGGTGGTAATGGTAATGGGCAATGGTGATAGTGGAATGTGTTACTCATCACTCTGTGCCACCTTTAGATTTCCATTGCACCCTTTTTTTTTTTTTTTTTTTTTTTTTTTTTGCTCAATTACTCCTAATTCACATCCTCCACACCTTATTTTATATTTTTTTTTGCATCTCCATATTCTGCGCAGCCCTTCATTCATTTCCATGTTGTGCTGTGCTGTGCACGTTGTAATTCATTTGGGGAAAGGCCAATTGAATCATCTTCACATGCATGTTCTCTCTTATCAAAAGCATTCTCTCTCCTTTTTTTTTTTAATCAATGCCTTCAAGGCATGTTTTCTTCCCTTGTGGTCACGCCTCGTTGACTTCTATAGTGAGATGCCATTGACACCCTACATGCTGTAGAACGAGAATATTTCTTACCAATGACATCTCAGCTACACACATTTGAATTGGTTTTTCCATCTTATTAATCTTCTTTATTGCCTTTTTATCATTTTTCCTTATCCCCGCCCTGAAAGTTGGAATCTGATTCGTTCCCTTTGCCAAGCACCTATTGCTGACATTAATTTTTAAGTCTAGCCGAATTGACGAATTACCATATAGAGTAGAAATCCCGTGACAGTCATATTTTATTCTTATTAATTGGCGCACAAGCCATATTATATTTTTATTTTTGCTTTTTGTCATGCCCATGCATGGTTTTTTCTTTTTCATTCTACAAAAAACAACAGATCACCTAAGCATAAACTTGGCGATCGATCCAGTCCTTTTTCTCCCCCTCCTTTCCTCTCTTCTTCTAGCACATTTATAACACACCTTATTCATCCATATCATCATACACCATCATTTTTTGAATTTTGGCCATTTCGGTGCTGAGTAGAAAAGAGAGGAGGCGTAAAAGTCAACTGAGTTTGACCGTAAAAAATCTATAAATTCACCTGCGCCTTCCAACTCTCAATTTTCTTTTTCTTTTTTTTTTCTTCTTGTTTCCCGCCATTTTCACTGCACCGCAGCAGCATTGCCACCAAAAAATCATACACAAAAAAAGAGACACTCTTCCCTCTCTCTTCTGTCCTACAAATAACATCATTCATAATTCAAACACTCTGTCGCTTGTTTACTCATCTCTTTATTTCCTTTTTTTCTTTTCTTTTTGACAGCAGCATTCACCACACTCTTCTCACTCATCACACTTCCACACTGTTCTTTGTAACGAGAGCAAAGTGATACATCCACTTCGTCGTTGGTCATCCCACCTCGACATGACCACAGACCACACTACTCTACCCCATCTTCCAGTCGCACAGCAGCATCCACAGTCAGTTCCATCTCAACAAGCCTCATCTTCTTCATCTCAGGGACAGCATCAGCCTTCGTCCTCACACATCCAAAGTTCTTCGCAAGGCTTCCTTCGCAAGTCTCAGTCTCAGTCTCAACCTCAGCCACAACCTCAGCCTCAGCAATCCATCCTTGATCACACGCTCTACCAGGACAATAGAAGAAACTATTCTTCTTCTCTATCCGCTAATAATAGCCCCCTTATCCCATCCGTCACCTCTTCGACTCTTCTTCCTTCTCCACATCTTCCTACTTCTTCCACAAAGAATAACAGTAATCAAATTAACAAAAGCGACATGATGATGGTGGGACATAATATCACCAACTACTCACAAACACTGCCACAGCCACCATTGTCTCCTCCTCCTCCTTACACAAAGCATCCCATTCAGCGGCCATATCAGACATCCCAGTCAGACTACCAAAAAACTTCTTCATTTCCATTACCTAACCCTGAAAGTATTGGCCGTCTACCTGTGAGAATGGGTTTGTCAGATCCTCGAATCGGCCATTATCTCAAACCGTCAAAATCTACATCTGCATCTGCAACCTTACCCGCACTTGAACATACTACCCATACCCTATCCTCACCACTCCAAGACCATGTTCCTTCAAGGCCTTCTCCGCAGTTATCCGCCGGATATCTTCATGGCACTGTGCCTGCCCGGTCCTATTGGCCAGGATCAACTTACAACAACAGTAACAGCAGTCATAGACCAACTTCTCCACAAGTCCCTAATAAATTCAACAAGCTCATGGCTGATGACACTGGGCAGTTGTCAATCCGTCGAGACTTTGAGCTGTATGACTCTCCCAACCCTAATACATCGCCTCAGTCAAGACAGAGCTATGACAAACATCCTGCAGCTCGTGGGCATAATCATGAAAATCACTCCAATCATCCCAAGGTTTGTCACGGAGCTGCGCACGGACACTCAACCGTTGTGCGCTCCTCCGCAGACTCTTTAGCTACAAGATCATCAAGCTCCCCAAGCCCTCTGCCAAGCCCTGCACCTACTGTCTCGCTGTCACCTGACTTGCATCTGACTTGCAACAATAAGACCCAGCATCGTCCCCACACCACATCTCAGAATAATATTCAACATCCACATGATCTTTTGTCACCCTCCAGTTCAGAGGCAGATATTGGCGCAGACTCTAAAACTATTCTCTCGCCATTATTTCCATCGAGTCCTCCAGCAGTGTTCTCAAGCATTCCACAGTACGGCGGTACGCATCTCTCGTCTCGCCCCTCATCAGCTTGCTCGGCTCCTATATATATGACAGCTTCACTATCCGGATCAAGCAATAGCTCTACTGTATCGCGGCCATACGATAGTGCAGCAGGAAATCGGCCAATGTCACCACCTTCATTGGCTCCATGGACCTCCAACAAGAATCAAACCTCATATGCACACTCGCATCCACACAAATTACCACCGAGCCGAGCACCAGAGCGTTCGGGGCAAGAGGTGATGCGCACATCGTCATTGGATACAGAATCGAGCGAATACATCAATTTGGATTACTATACCATATACCGTCAGAATCCTCGACTGCTACGACCAGAAGGCGGTCGATACGACGAGAAGCGACATCATGAGGCATCCAGCGAAAACCAACACCATGATGAAGAGGAAGGACATGCTACCATGCAAGGAAAGGCCAGGTTTCGAGGCAGTGCAGGCGAGAGCTCATCAACGGGCGTGTCTAGAAGACAATCTATGCCTCTGATATTAACAGCCACTGGCAGAGTGCTGCGCCATGAGGACGCCAAGCAGGGGTCGACATCGGATGTTGCCCGCAATTTCGGCATTTATTCATCGCCCAGTAGCAAACCCAAGTCAACGTTTTCCAACAGGTCCATCTCAGAAGGTTTAGGAAGCTCATCTTCTGGAAGCTCATCACGCCCCGCAGCTATGTCGATTAGCCACCTGTTGACAGATGATTCATCTATAGATACGGATACTGATCTAAAGCATTTTTACCGCGATTGGTCCGAGAATAATGACAGTGATATCGGAACCAACTTCAAGCGTCAACGAACAGACTCTACTTCAGTGGTATCGCAAGACAATGATACTGAGCCCATCAAGCGCACTCGTATGTCTAAAAAACGAGCAGCGGAGTTGGGCTTGTTGGATGCTGACGGCAACATCATTAGCAATCGCAAACGCACCAAGAAATCTCATGGTGGAGATCATGTGTCTTCTTCGGGCTTTACACATGGTGGTGAGCGTGTAGTTCAGGAACCTGAAGAACTGGTGATCCTTGAGCCGGATGTTGGACCCATCTCAATGTTGGATGTCAAGACCCCACCCGCAGTTCATTGGAAGGGTAAGTAGGCTGTTTTTTTTTTTTTTGTTTTATTCTGCTGCTACTTATTCATCTAAAATTAATATTTGTTTTTGCTTGATCCATTGATCTTTTAGGTCAACCTCTCTCAATCACAGATAAACCTGGTATTGAATACTTGCATCCTCATGAGGCAAAGATTGCTTCGATTCTTCGACTTTCACCTGCCCAGTATCTGAACTGTAAACAAACTATCATTCTTGCCTCGCGTGATTACTTTGCAGTACCCAACGGCAAACCATTCCGCAAATCGGATGCGCAAAAGATGTGTCGCATTGATGTCAACAAGACTAGTCGACTTTGGGAGTTTTTCGCTAAAGTTGGATGGCTCCAAGGGATCAGTGCCAAAGATGTTTAAAAAATGGACTTTATGAAAACAACTTGAAAACAAAACAAAAAAAAAAAAAAAAAAAAAAAAAAGTCCGCTTTATTTGCCAACCTAATGTTATTTTCAATCACGCAAACATTGTTTGCAGAATTATAGGTTTTTACGCTTTATTTCTTTACTCCTTGATGATTTTTAACCATAGCCTACATTTATAATGTGTACAATCATTCACCCCTTGACTTTTCAATGTTGCAAATAATTATCATATCATGAAAATCATCAGCAAAAAAGCATTCCTGTAAAATAAAAACGAAACTGGTGGGCTCATTCAAATCTTGATAAAGTTTATGAGCTTTGTATCAGATGTTCGCCGCTTTTAATGGTGGCAAAACTATATATAAATGTGTCGTTTGGGACATCGCATTTCGTTTCTTTCCTTTGGTCGCTACCTCTTATTTTCATGTCTGTAACAAGTCCCTAGTTTAGATATACTATTTCATTATGGATCGATCGCCCTCGCCTCTTCCTTTTGACGTCCTTGTGTTGATCGGTTTCTACCTCGATCAGAGTGATTTGATCAATTGCATTCTCGTTAGCAAGGATTGGAGCAAAGCCTTTAAAGCAGCACTTTACTACAACATTCGAGTATGTTTTGCTACTTACACCGCATTCATATCACTCAAGATCCTCGAAGAAGTATCCAAGAGATCAAGGCATATCTATTCGATTGAAGCTCCGCATCCTTCATTTGTCGGTCCGTTACTCGAAAATGTGGCTGTCTCTGATCGTACTGATACTGAGCCTTGGTTCCCACGCCTATGGTCATTGTCGATTTTATTTGATCAGGAGATCTGCCGAGCACTTCGACCGCCAAAGATGCAGCCAACATTTTACTATCCCAGTGATTTGGAGGATCAGACAGATGACAGCGATGACGATGGCGACGATGATGGTGGTATGAACTTGTGCAGCGAACATGGCAGTCAGCCTCAACATCAAGATATTAAAGGGAAGCTGCCTAGAGAAGAATATCGCGATATCTTGGCCCCAGTGGTACCGGTTCGAGCCGACGCATGCTTGACACAAGATCCTTACGATGTTATCCGACTAATCCGTCAATGCTCTAACCTACAGGAGCTCAAAGTACAGGTTCGTGTATTTGGCAATGTTGGTGGCCTTGAGCACCTTCTCTGGCCAGGCATCCTCCCGCAGTCGTTGAAACGTCTCGAAATCATCGTTCCGGACGATTGGAGGGAAGAATCCTACGATGATTCTGAGGATGAGGACTACGATCATACGCTGTATCCAGCACGCGATGTTGAAGAGGAGTATGAAGAGGATGAGGATGATGACCAACAAGAAGGGTTGACTGACGACGATGACGGTTATGATGAGGATGAGCTCGTAAGATGGTATCATAATCGCCTGCCAGATCCGGAGCCTTTACATTACTATCGGCATGAGTACTTTAATAATATTTCACGCCAGCCGTTGGTCAACCTTCAAGAGCTCATACTCAACAACGTGGAGACGGCTCGAGCTTTGGTTAGGGTCTTCATTGCTCGACGATGCCCTCATTTACGATTGCTTCATCTGATCGATCCAGGAGACTACTTTTGTGAACGGTTCGATATTAAGATAGCAGAAACGTCTTTTGAAGACTTGACAGAACTTAAGGTCGAGCTTCGGAAGGATTCGAGCGAACTTCGAGAAGAGCATTTCTCCAATTTGCTCGTTGCGACGAATTGGAAATCGATTGTGCTGCGTAATTTTATCAATTTTTCATACGAGAGTTTGTCAGCTATTCGAAAGAGTAGTGAGCTCTCTCTTGAGATATTAGATCTTGGGGTTCAAGCAGGAGGGCTAATGAGCAGTGATATCCAGCAATTTTTAAAGTGTATGCCTCAGCTGAGGGTCTTTTCAGGTCAGGGGCTGTACTTTTTAGCTCAGTACATAGGAGATGAAGGAGGAAGAGTAGGACGAGGAATAGAAGCAGGATGGTATTATCGAGAAGAGGAGGATCGACAGCAGCAAGAGCAAAGAGAGCGTTCTCAGTCGTCATGGCTATGTGCTGAGACACTTGAGGTTATGCGATGCCAGATTATGTTGGAGGTGCCTTGTTTCAATTGTTCAATCAAGCCACCCATAGCACCTAGGATGCCATCAAAGCATTCAGAGGAGATGGGATTTAAAGAACTGCAAAAGCGGGTCATGAAGCAGCTAGGGCAATGCTATCAACTTCGGGAGCTGGATCTTTCCCATTGGTCGTCTGGTAGCTTGGAGCTTCGAGGGCCTCACGGAGTGGTACGATCTGCTCCAGGCCTTATGGGCCTTATGGGTTACGAAATCAGTATATATGGAGACCCAAGACACCTCGGTCGAGAACATGCGAACGTTCGGCTCCCCTGGACAATGACCTATCAACAGAGTCAGTGCCTAGAGTTTACCTTGGAGACTGGGTTACAGGAATTAGAAGGACTGAAAGAGCTGCGAAAGCTGGATTTGACAGGATTAAAGCATAAGATCTCAATCAATGAGCTTCGGTGGATGAGAGAAAAGTGGCCACAACTAGAACAGTTTAAAGGATTAATGGTGGTCACCAGAGCTGGAGCTGGAGTCGGAGCTAGAGTTGAGGTTGAGAATGACGATGGTGGATATGATAGGTATGGAGAAGGAGAAGAAGAATTGACTGCGAGAAGAAAACGCGAAGAGGAGATGTGTTACTGGCTGGAAGGAGGAGAAGTTATTGAAGGAGACCATACATTTTGGAGATCATGGCGACGTGACTAATAGTACACTGCTAACGTTGGAAGTATATATATTAAATAAATGTAATTTAAGAGGTTATGACATAAACACGCCACCAAAACATTAAAAGGAGAAAGGGCTTGTTGTGCTGTATGTAGGTACAAACAAGGGCTTTGTTGATGGCATTTGTCTATTTGTCTTTAAAGAACTAAGTTGTGAGTATACAACTCAACAGATCCTGCATGAAAGCTCACATGCCCAAAAGTTGACTGCAGCGTAATTAATCATCAAATGCATCCTAAAAGAAACAATCATGGCTTTGGTGGTGAAGCGGACAGAGATGCATGCGTTTAATTATTCTAGGCTTCATAAAATGATACAACCGGAAACGAGATGTGACAACGTGACAATGGCTGGACTGACATGACTAAGTGACTAAAACATCATTCCATTCCACTTTCTATCGAGTGTTTGGGCTATGTTTTATGAACAACTGAGCAGATCTAGATCTTGAGTCCACATATCTGTTAGATTAGTATTTCTCCTTGACCTCCTCTTTTTTTTTTTTTTTTTTTTTTTTTTAATCCGCCATTTCCACCATTCAGTGTGCTTGGAAAAATGAACCAAAAGTATACACTCCAGTCTCACTGTTTTGCAAAATGTGCAAAAAAGTGGATTTTATATACGTTCTGCGATGCTCATTGGCTAGATTCACATTTAATTCAAAATATTTATTCTAAAACCACAATTCAATTGCCTGATTTTTTTGCTTGTCTTTCTCCTCTCACCCTTTGCCAGCCAATTTAAAATAAAAATTTTTGAATTAAATGTGAATCTAGCCAATGAGCATCACAGAACGTATATAAAATCCACTTTTTTGCACATTTTGCAAAACAGTGAGACTGGAGTCGTAGAGGTTTCTCTTATCGTATTAACTCGTATAATTCCTATTGTACAACGACAACAGTCCAACCAATTCAGGATCATTGACTCTGAGGAAGAAAAGAATTACAGGTTGTACATGTACAGGATTGAGTTTCGATAGAGTTTTGTTGGATAAATATAGCCCATTAATCTATGAACAGAATAACAACAGCAACAGCGACAGTAGCAACAGGAATTGTAATGGAGGTTATCAGCCCAGAAAAACCCTCGGGTATCAAGGATATCTCGGGACTCATAGATGAGTAACTTTAGTCCAAATGAAATTCGGAAACTAGAGGGCAAAGGGAAGCTAAAAAAGACATGGGTAACTATTATTGTAAATATTCATCCTAGAAACAGGGCGTGAGAGATGGGTATGTGAGTTAAATACGAAATAGATAATAAGATAACAGTGTCTTTGAATGAAGAGATGCCCCACTCACACGACCATAACGTCGGTACATAAGCAGAACCTAAAAGCCGTTTTGCTCTCTTTGCAGGTTTTTTTTTTTTTTTTTTGTTTTGCTCTGATTTTAAGTGAGCTTCAGTCGAAAATGTTATGAATGTTAATGTCTAGAACATTGTCACATAAACAGCGTTAATTTTTTTTTTTTTTTTTTTTTGTTCTTTCTGTAGGATAAACAAGATTCTGGATCAATGTGTGCATTCGCAAGTTTTTGACAGATGAATCAAGGAAAATACTATATGCGTAGTATACACACTTGGACCATCAAAGAGTGTCTCCCAAAAGAGTGAGTGAGAGCCGGATTCTCTCCTTTTTCATTTTTCCATTTCATTTTTCTCGGACGACCAGTAGAATTCGAGGAAATAACGTTTCATCGGTCATGTGCTAAGTGTTATTGAGCTAAATATTCATATTGGCTTTTAACTTTTTTTTTTATGGTCCTACTATTTTGATGGAATAGAATCTTTGTGGTTCCTATCTGGGGCTGAACTGGTGCTTGTTCCTGAACTGAAAAAAAAAAGAAAAGAAAAAAAATTAAGGTCCACAATGTAATGTTGTATACATTATTGACTTTATGGTTGCTTTGTAATAGGACGCACTGACTGGAGTGGAGGAAGTGTCTAAAAAGTAAATCTTTTCAACAAAAGTGTTCACAGCGCACCAAACAGACTGCTTCGTCCAGTAGTCAGTAAGCGAATCTGCGATTCATACTCTTTACCCACTGTCTTGGCGACGTCTGTGTCTAGTCCATTCCATCTTGTTCTTTTAGCCAAAGCTGAAGAATAACATGAGCTTTTTAATATACTATATACTCCCTATGCTATCATTATTAAACCTTCTTTTCTTCACTCCCACTCCCACTCCCACTCCACTCTCACTGCTGCTTCACTCGCTTACTTTCATCCCTTTCTCTCTCTCTCTCTCTCTGTCATAAATATGGAAGAAGTTGGTTCTACTTTGCTTGCTGTCTGTCACGGATAAAAAATGTCTACAATAAATGTTCGTACGACATTGTTGGCAAAGAGGCGAAAGTTAAACGGTCCACTTGCCATTTCTGCATTGTTTTTTTGTTTTTGATTTCTTTGTGACATGTCCAGGGTCTGGGCGGACCACCGTTTGCGACCAAACCTTAAAAAGAATGAAAGATGTACATGTACCACGAACAAAACATTTATTTATTTTCGATGAGCATTTCAATACAACACCTCAGCACTTTGATGACAGGGCAGGCGTAGAAGAGAACAATAAAAGGAGGACTCTTTCCCCCTTCTCCGACTCTGCCTCACCCTTTGTCCAAAATCATACCCAACAGTCATCTCTCATTAATATCATAATACTCATTTATTCATTCATTCATTCATTTAATCATATCATCAATACCATCTTTAACGCCCCAATTCCACACGCACTTCTACTTCCATTTAATTTCTTCTGCATTCAATCCTTTTTTGTTAACAACACTCAAAACACTTGGACTATTAATATTCCAACTTTGTTTTTTTATTTTCTCCTCCAGCATCATCACTGACACACATTCACGACACGACAATAAAAATGTCGAAATACGACCCAGAATTTGAAATGCAGGAGGGGTATTATGAGATCGACCAGATACAGGCGATCCCCCACTATGCAGGTGTCGCTGCAGAACAACGGGGTCTTAAGCGTGATCTCCGTCTCCGACACATGGTCATGATCGCCATCTCGGGTACAATTGGCACAGGTCTTTTCTTGACCTCTGGCTCGACTATCGCTACAGCAGGACCTGGAGGCGCCTGTGAGTGAGGAAAAAAAAAAAAAAAAAAAAAAAAAAGACAGACAAACGAACAAACGAACAAACGAACACACAAACAAACAGATGCTTTCCCTTCCCTTCTGCTCACATAGAAATTGACCCTGCTCAATAAAACATGTGAACTAAATGGTTTCTTTTTTCTTTTTCTTTTTTTTGCTCTCTCCCGTGCAGTACTTGCATACACTATCATTGGTCTTTGGGTTGTCTTTGTTTGCCAAGCTATTGGTGAGATCGCCACATTGCTCCCTCTTCCTGGTGCTTTCAATGCATGGGGTGGGCGTGTGTTTGACGAAGCCCTGTCTTTCCAGATGACATGGATGTACTTCATCAACTGGGCATTGACAATCTCAGCAGAGCTGTCCGCCTCTGCTGTCATTATTGAATACTGGTTGCCAGCAGGATCCAACTTTCCAGTCTGGATTGTTCCACTCAGCATCATTGTGCTCATGGTCATCATTAATATGGCTGGTGTTAGAGCATATGGAGAGCTCGAGTATTGGTTTTCGATCCTCAAGATCATCACTATTGTAATGTTTGTTGTGTGCGGTATCCTTGTCGATGCCGGCGTCCTTGGAGGAGTCAAGTACGGTATGAAGGCATGGCATGTTGTTGGTGCTCCCTTCAAGGGTGGTATCATTGGATTTTTGAGAACGTTAGTTGCTGTCGGCTATTCATATGGTGGCACTGAAATGATTGGTGTCACCGCTGCCGAATCTCGTAATCCTCATAAGCATGTTCCAAAGGCCGTCAACACTGTCTTTTTGCGCATTGCGATATTTTACATCCTCTCCATCTTTCTTCTGGGTTCGATTGTAATGAACGATGATCCAGCGTTGATGAACGCAGATTCATCGGCTGCCAAGGCCCCTTTTACATTGGTCTTTGCTAAGGCTGGTGTCAGTGCTGCTGCAAACTACATCAACGCTGTCATCTTCACCTCGGTTTTCTCAGCCATCAATTCTGACTATTACATTGCTACGCGCACACTCTTGTCATTGGCTCGAAATGGTTGGGCACACAAGTCCATCGGCTACACGAACGCACGCGGTGTTCCCTTGGTAGCTGTTGGTATTGTTACCATCTCTTCTTGCTTGTCCCTTATCACAATCTTTGTTGGTTCGGGCGTTGTTTTCAAGTGGTTCGTCTCTATCATCGGATCCCTCCTTTTCCAATCGTGGATGCTTATCCTCTTACTCCACTTCCGTTTCCGTTACTGCTGGAAGAAACAGGACCATCAAGTAGTCGACCTACCTTATGTATCTTGGGGCTATCCTTATGGCAACATTCTGGCCGCTGTCATTGGTGGATGCTGTATTGTTGCCACCTGGTACCTGTCGATCATCAACCCACCTCGAAACCCAGGGTCTGGCGCGACGCCAGAAGAAATGTCGGCTTACTATACGGCCCGCGATACATATATACAAGGTTTATTAGGTGCTTGGTTCCCATGGGTGATCTCTGCGATCCTGTTCTTCTCATTCAAGTTCATCCGTGGTACTAAGCTAATCAAGGCTGAGAACGCAGATCTAGATACCGGCCGGTTCATCCCTTCAGAATCAGACAAGGAGGATATGCGGGCCAATCGATCCACATGGAAGAGGATTTTACAATTCGTCGTCTAGAGTTCAACATTCAACATTCAACATTCACACTCACAAAAATAATGTAAACAAAAACAAACAAACAAACAAACAAAAAATTGTACCATAAAAAAATTCTTTGAAATCTTGCTCAATGTATTTTTATTTTCTTAAAAAGATTGTTCGTTGATCCTTATCAAATAATGTATACAAACAAAAAAAGCTTTTGGCTAAATAAAGCCATGTTATAAAGACATGGAGAATTTTTCGGCAATCCCATGTTTTACCAAAGAATTGCTGGAATGTTTAACAGTGTTTGTTTGGCTAGCTCGATGGATAATGAACGTCAATTATTCGACAGGGGTTATATGAATGAGCATCAAAAAGCGCGAATCAAAATGTAGTGGGAACGTAGAGGACGTGTCATCGTACAGGTTTCATGGGTCTAGCATATATCCTAGAAATCCCAGAAAGGGTTGCATCGAACATTTGCAACGCACAGGTGCATTTGGCTGAATGATCTGCCACCAGCATGCCCCAGACTTTTAAGATGGTACAGGGAAGAAGCGTGACAAACCACACATACGATCAATGCGTTATTCTTTCTTCAACCTCTTTCTTCCTTATATCTGTTGTCTTTCTCTCTTGCCCATCCAAAAAACAAACATACACACCTCTTCATCTTTTGCCTCTCTGCCACTCAACTAGCTGTCTTTCATACACCAGAGCTGACTAAATCGGTAGGGGGGGGTTTTTTTTTTTCGGTCTTTGATGTCAAAATCTGAAAGTGATATTCCTTCCATTCATTAATGTAGATAGTCTTTTATCTCTACCATTTTCTAGATTCAACTATCTTTCTCATACAGCTATTGAGAGAGAGGAGAAATGGAGAGTGTTGAGATCAGCGCTCCTATTCGAACTGAAATTTTGTCAATTGATATTTATTTTTTTAATCTGAAACATCATAATTGACAAAATTTCAGTTCGAATAGAAGCACTGGTTGAGATCATTACTGCTACAGCTGCTGGCTTCCAAGTAGCGAACTACATATCGTCTCGTTAGTTGCATGAATGAAACATTAGGACATGTACTGAGCCAATACTATGTGGCCTTGACTGAAAAAGAATGCCAGAAGCGACATGTTTCTTACCCGGCATTGCAAATGGAGGATCGTTGTACAGTACAATGCGGCGAATTCATCTCTCGTGAAGACATCTTAAATCTTTTAGCCGTGCTGATATGTGAAGTGGAGGAGCATCTTGAAAGGACGCATATTATGAATCCGCCAACTTGTCCTCGATGTGCAATAAAGAGCGGATATTAATCCACGAAGTTCACTTCGGAGAGAGCACCATGGAAGTCCTTAAGGACGTGTGAGAGAATCGATTGACATTCAATAAAGTATCAAGTCTTGAGCAGTGCCACACAACGTCCAAAATTTCCTTGCAGATCGCATGAACTAGGCTCGTCATCAATGCGCTGAAAAGCAGGGATCAAACTTGATATTTTGCAAGGGGATTTTCTGCGATCGTAAAAAAAAAAAATATGGGATAGACATGTATGACAGCATAGTTGCCCAGACTGAGGAACAGGGCCTTTCCCCCGCAGCTATTTAATAAAACGGTTTGGTCTGTCCCTGTTCAAAGGGCATCAGCAAAGGAACGGGTACATCTAAACCAACCCTGATTTACCATCCATTATAATCGGGGATTGTTGCACACACACGACAATGATAGGTCATATGCTCAGGAAAGAGAGAAACATACGGATAACTTTCGCTCCTGCATTCGGAAATGCATACCTTTACCCTCCTCATTTGTTGATTCGTTGTTTACCATGAGGTTGACCAGACATGATAAAAGACATCGCAGAAATGTAACTGGCATATAAGCCTACAAGAGATGGGTATGCAATCCAAGTACTTTAATGAAATTTGTGATGTCGTTAGGGCAAACATGCTGCAGTATGTGTATGGTCGTGCTGATGGAGCTTCCTTTGATAAGTGAGGGAAAGTACCCTTCGACAAAATATTAGATCCATGTTTATGTTCTTTCATGATTTATTACAACCTTGAATACACAAGGGGGGAAGAAAAGATGATTTCCAAGGATCTCAGGACCCCATTTTTAATGTGAAGCTTAAAAAATAGAGAATGTTATTTAAGCAACCAACTGAACGACACCACCGACAGCCTTGATCTTCTGCTCAGCAGCACGAGAGACATAGCGGGCCTTGACGATAACGGGCTGAGAAGGGAGACGACCCTTGGCAAGAACTTTGCCGTATCCAGCACGGAGAGTGTCAATGACGGGGACGATCTCGGTGTTCTTGGCAGCGTTCTTGCGAGTCTGTTCGGAAACGAGGCTCCAAAGAGTGTCCAAGTTGACGATAGGGCGGTGGTAGCTCTGGCGAGTCAAATGGAAGTGGCGCATACCGACCTTACCGAAGTAACCAGGATGGTACTTGTCCATGTTGATGCGGTGGTGGTGCTGGCCACCAGCAAGACCACGACCACCGGGGTGCTTGCGGTGCTTGCCTAAAAGAATAATAAAACATTGAAACGTGAGCAAAAAGTATCAAGTAATGTATGTAAAGTGCTTATGGCGAAATATTCTATGCATTTAAATCACGGTTGCCCAAGCAGCTTATTGGTGGATGCAGTAGCATAACACTAGCTTTGACGATTGATTCAGCGTTCCGGCTCTGCTTGCATTATAAGTTAAGGATAAAATCCTGAGCATCTCGTCGTGCAGGAAATGATAGACTGAAAGATCAGCCCTAGATCATGCCGATGTTCCTTTGGTTGTCGTTAGTCCAAATACTACCTAGGTCTCATCCACACGGACTTCAATAATTTTCGAAAGAATCTGCAAATCACACTTCAGCGGTTCCGACACAGCATTCCTCAGATCACGGAAGTTATTCTGTTGATGTCCTGTGCAAAGTTGTGATTCCCGTATGTCCGTGGTTTTCAGATTCAACGATGATTTTGACCCTCAACCATGTGATTTTATAATCTCATCGTTTTTCTTCCTTGACATTTAATAGTGAGAAAGAGCTTCTTTGTGTATTTGTCCATAGAAACTCACCAACACGACCGTGACCGGCAGAGACGTGACCTCTCTTCTTGCGGTTGTGATGAAGGCGGGTAGGCTAGCGAAATGCAAGGGAAAGGATCGCAGTATTAGTCCTCTAGTGCTACAATGTTGTCATCCATGTTGATGGTGTCGATGTAGCAAGTGCCAATGTCCATGCCAGCAAAAATGCGAAAGTAAAATGATGGATCTGTGCTCGGATATGAATCGATAAAAGCGTTATCCTGATGGATGTATATCTGAACATAATCCGAGGCAGATGGATGCAATTGATGTGAGTTACACTCCGACAGTACCATCTTTAGATTCCTATTGTGAAAGAGGTCTTTCAAATGGTGCACAGCCAACACTGGGTTTTCTATCATCTGATCAAAGCCACATTCCATTAGTGGTAGGCTAGACGCCACCAATTTGCTTCCAATAAACGGTCACGATCGAAAGCTTGAAACGTGGAATTGACTGCATGCGAGCATGTTGTTGTATGTTCTAAGTCAGCCGTCCTCCCCATCCCTTTTCATTTCTGTCAGCTTGGCTTCATGTTTACAACCTACACAGTTCAGCCGCTCCTGCGTGGAGTGCACTTAGATGACATTTCTGCTACGGGAACGTCATCATTGTCGAGGTCTTTTCTTGACAGACCCTCACATGGAGGCCAAGCAGGGGGCGGAAGTAGTCCAGTTTCAAAATCTTCAGGAATATTTAATAGGAATACACGACCTCTCATTGAATCTATAGATAATTTTGGTTGGTCATATGGCGGTGAATTGCCCAAGCATTGGAAATAGTTTTTTTTAGCCTCCACTTATTGACTTTTGATTATGTCTTTTCCTTTACATCACATTATAAAATATAGAGAACCATCTCTACCTTGGGACATCTGATGGGATATTGCTTCATTATACGATTGATGAACAAATATCTTCTGAATCTGTATGAAACAAATAGTCCATTCTTTTAGAGCATGACCATTAGTTTTTTAATCATAAATTGAACCATGATATCTCGACCCTTTTTCTCACTCGAAATAATTACAAAAAAAAAAAAAAAAAAAACGCGAATAGGATTTACCTCGCTCGCGTCTTGTCCAAAGGAAAACTCTTGGGTTCGGGAAGAAGGTGGTTGAGCGTATCATGGTTATTTCGTGCCTTCGCATGGCCATTGTTTTATGTGGTATGTTCTTACAAATTTTTTTTCTTTTTTTTTTTTTTCTTTTTTAAGTAAAGGATTTATGGGAAGAGATCGAAATCTATGAGGGCTAAATGGCTTTGTTAAACACGTACACCTACTAGATTCTGCCATGACATTCTATAGCCTTCCGGGTTTCTCTCCGTTCGCCCATCAAGTCTTACCACCTATTAAAGGGGTTACAGCATTCTGCGACGATAGTTCACAAAGAGGTCAACTTGCCGAGGATGGGAGTGTTCGCCTATGCATTACGAAGCGGAGGACTATTCAGTTTTATAGTCTTTGGAGCGACGCTATATCAGAACCAAGAGTATGTATCAGATCACTGGTGGATATCAAGCTGAATGGAGTTTGTTTTATGTGATGGAGGCAAAGCACATTGACAAGGGAATAATCTTCATCGATTGAGCAACTATTAGGAATTGAATCTCCCCAATGGCGCACTAGTTGTTACAAGATGGAGGAATATCGTTTGTGTTGCGGACTCAAACGATTTCAATCTGATTGACATTCGAGTAGGCAGGATGATCCCAGTCTTACCCGTTGTACAAAATGGGCCTGGGTCAAGTGCTCAGGTTCTCAAGCCTGTATGCCTTCCAATTGCAGAAAACGAGTTTTTGTTGGCCAGCGCTACCAGTTCAGGGCAGACAGCCATTGGGATATTTTGTAGTGGATCAGGAGACCCAGTTCGTGGAACACTGCAATGGTCAAGCTACCCTAGAGCCTTGGCTGTGGAATTTCCATACGTTACTGCTCTTTTGAGAGGCAACATAATTGAAATCCACAATATTTTGGATCAAAAGTTAGTTCAGTCGATCCGTCTTGATCCTAGCATCGAGTTACGGACACTTATGCAAGGACCCGGTATCACAGTATGGATGTCAACTTTGGCCAAGGTGCTCACTCTGTTAACAGGAAGCCAGGACACGCAACAAGGAGTAGGAATCGATCAAAAGCAGCAGGACACAAACAGATTACCAAATGTTCTTGCAAGGATCCTAATTGCTGGAAAGGACAGCGTATCGGCGCTTGTAACAACTCCATTAGTACTTCATGTGGGTATTTGATAACTTGATGTCTTTTCATGGGTTACTAGGATCTTTGTCTAACTAAATATGGAAATGTCGGATTCTTATGATTGACACGAGTATGTGCCATACGATGGCTCTTCTGTTTTAGGCCGATATGCTTCTACAGCAGGGCCGTGTTGAAGAAGCATTGCTTTTGTCTGAGAAGACTATTGCCACAATCTCTTCAGAAAACCTTCATAGAGAGCGTTTGCAAATGGAATTGGATTATATTCACCAAAAATCGGGCCTCATCTATCTTGGTGAAACTTTGTTTGATGATGCGTTTGGGCTTTTTCAACGAGGAAGAATGGATCCACGAGTGCTTATATCCATTTTCCCTGATGTTTTACAACGAGTTGATCTTATGAGTCAAGTCAGCCTGTTTCGAGGAATCAGGGATCAGATTGAACGGCTAAGAACTTTACCAGATATCAGTAAGTGTGTTTTTTTTTTTTTTGTATGCTGCTGATCAATTACTAAGTAGTATATACTCAATGAAGCTGACATAGTTTTGACAAAATCCTGTTATGGCTGTATGCAGTTAATAACCTAGCAAAAGCAGGTAGTGAACAGAGCGAGGAATTTGGCAAGGTTTTGCTGGGAAATGCAAAAGAAGTCTTTTTGCAATACCTTACGCGGTATCGGAAAGAGGGTATAGCTCGTAAAAATCGCCCACTTCCTCAAGCTGAGGTACCCTCCCAATTTATATCATTAAAAATAGAGAAAGGAGGCTCGCTCGTAACTTTGCATTTAGGACAGAATCGCTGATTGCTCTTTTTAAACTTTTCCAAAGGCTACAGATACGGCACTACTTGGGCTCTGGGTGGACAGTGGAGATGATGCCAGTTTAATACAGCTGCTTAATTCCAATAATCTATGCATCCCGGACTTGTGTGAACAAAAGCTTAAGGATAATGGTAAGCATTATGCTCTCTCGATCTGGTACAAGTCTAGGAAGGATTACAAGATGACACTTTCTCTATGGAAAAGGTAAACGACCTTTTGCATTTTTAGGCTATAATAGAGGTTTTTTATTATTATTATTTAATTTCGCTCCAGATCTTATGTTCATATGGTATTAAAAAAAATTCCAGTCTATTTCTTGGAGAGGTTAAGGACAACTCGTTCGATATGGGACTTCAGGATATGGCTACGCTGCTACAATCGCTCCAAGACATTAGTCTTGTAGAGGAATATGGATGGTGGGTCGTGGAACAGGATGAAAGCATTGGACTGAAGGTAAAATGACTTTCAACTGTCAGTGTTTGATTAATGTCTGATCAGCGTACGCTGACCCTCATGGCATCCATACAAAAAAAAAAAAAAAAAAAAAAAGATTTTCATGCCTGGAGAAACAAAAAGGGCGGCATTATTCGATCCGGACCAAGTGCTTGCAAAATGTAAGTCAAAAATCAGCAATGAAGGACTCTTGACTTACATGGAATATGTAGTTATCCAGAGAAAAAGTGAGGTGGGTTTAATAATGCTTTATTTGAACATATCCATTAAGACATTAAAACGGTTGATAAGAAAAGTGGTTAACTTTTCTTGAGACTCTTCTATACAGTCTTCAGAGCACCATGAAATGCTCATACAAATGTATGTGGACAATATCAAAAGATTGACAGAGGACATGAATACTCTCTCGCGACACAACGAAGTTGGTATGTTGCTGTTTCCATAGAAATCCTCCTTCAATGAATGGAATATGAGCATAGTTAATCATCATATCGTCGCTTTCTTCGACGATAGTATTGGAATTTACAAATCTCCAGAAGCGATATTTACTTGGGCTCGATGGATCTCGAAAGTCTTCGGATACAACCACTAAGGCAGCTCCAGTACTCTCATACAGTAGTACTTTTGCTGCTTTTTTGCATTCACATGCAAAGTCGGATCTTGTATGCAGCTACCGCTCAAAGTTGTCATTACTTTTGCAACTATCTGTACACTATACTGCTTCGACTGTCTTACCTCAAGTCGAAGCGGTTTCCCATCTAAAATTTGAAAAGGCTATTCTACTTGCTAGGGTAAGGAACTATACCCACGACTGGCTTTTCGGGCATTTTTATTTTACTTTTTGCTAAGACATATGTTCACACATTAAAAATGGTTACCTTATCTTTGTCATTGGTAGCTTGCTTGTTATGAGGAATGCATCAAGATTATGGTTAAAGATATTAGTGACTATCAAGGGACCGAAATATTTTGTCTGAATGCAGGGGTATTCAGGAGTCCAAGAAGGACATCTAGAGGTCTCGCATCAGAGGGTTCACAACCAAAGGAATCTACGGCCGAAATAGAAAAAAAAAAGCAGTTATTCATGATTTTACTTCAAGAGTATTTGCACCTGGCGCAGGATCAGGGCATGGTGGCGCTTGCATTGTCTCTCTTGGATTCACAATCGTCATATTTGGACATTGCAGAGGTGAGACCAGTTTTCTTTCTTTTTATATCCTTGTCAAATAGTCATATTTTAAAAAATAATAATTATACTCTCCATATTTAGGTCATCCACATGTTGCCGCCAGTTTGGTCAGTAGAATTGCTCCAGCGTTACCTTGTAAGATCTCTACGTAGGAGTTACCATGAGTTTAAGGAAATTCAGGTTGTCAAGGGACTCTCTCTGGGAGAAAACCTTCGGATAAGCGAGGAGCTCTACCAGCTCTATGAAGCACAGGGACCAGTAATTATTACCGCAGACGATATCTGTCATGTATGTGGTACGGCTGTAGCTGACACTGTGTTTATGAGGACAGTGGATATGAAAGTGGTTCATCTTCACTGTGGATCGTTGCAGTCCTCGTCATAGATGATTCAACCAATAATAAAAAACGCGTCTTGTATTTTTCTATCCCCTTAATAGACTATTGTGCTGCAAATGTTCCAAGCTCCTGCTTTTGATCTAGATGCATTTTTATGAATTTCATCATTTTAAACACATCCGTTCGTGTGGGCCACTTGTGTTGTTAGCTTTAGTTACTGCATACTTTTGCTTGGTCGGAATGGGTCATGTCAAGCTTGCAAACTACTCGCTCGCATATAAGCGCATCAAGAATGCCGCATTCCATGACCCAGGAACACGCAGCACAGTGCTCTTCTTTGTCGCAGCGGACGTCGACGCTATATGTGCGTTCAGGATGTGGGCGGTACGCAACGACACATGTGGACAAATCCATAATGCATGAATAATTTTATCATCCACAGGATAATACTACAAAATACACAAGTCCTCCATCCAGAGCTTTGCATATATTTCTTGTTATAGATGCTGATCTGTAAATCATATGATTATATTTGTTATAGATGCTACTAAAATCAGATTGTATTAGCTATGTCGTTATCCCGGTCGCGAGTATGGAGGATATTCAATCCGAAGCAAAGACGATGAGTAGCTCAGTAAGTAAAAAAAAAGGAAAAAAGGAAAAAAAAAACTTAAATATCACAGGACAAACCTTTGACATATCTTTCTCTCTCTCACAGATCCGTTCAATCTTGATGCTGAACTGTGGTGGCCTCTTCAATTTGGAAGATTATATCGAGCTATCTGAGGAAATCACTATCTATGTTCTTGACAGTCATCGACCTATTAATCTTCGGAATGCGTTCTGGAACAACGAAGTTATTGTATTTCACGAAAATGATCTAGATAAGGAGCTTTTGCAGGAAAAAGAAGCCATCATTTTCACGGAAGTATGTCCATTTTTCATTTTCAATTTTATCTTTTTATTTTTTTATTTATTTTCAGCTAAACGTTTTTTTTCCTAATGTACAGGAAAATGAATATGTATCGAGGAATGGACGAGGACCTAATTCAGACGATGAAGATGATGAAGATGATGTTGATGAAGAGGAGGCAGAGAGCGAAAATGACGACGGACCTAACAGTGACGACGAACTGGAAGAGAGGCATCGACGTCAACGGAGGCGTACTGGAATTGACTCGGAAGTAGTACCGACAGATTTAAACCGTCAATGGAAAGCAGCACGCGCAATCGTTGTAGAATATATGTCTCGAGGTTCTGTCTATGGAACATCAATATCTAATCAGACCTATATGATGGCAACACAGCTAGATCGTACATCGACCGACTTGCTTTGGTACGTTTTAAGGGGGCATGAGTAACAATCAAACCAAATGAATCTTGACCTTGAGTGTTTTTAACTCTATTTATATTATTTGTTTTTTTTTTTTTTTTTTTTTTTTTTTATAAAAAAAAAAAATGTAGGCTAGCAATTGTTGGTTTGACTTCGCAATATACAAATGAACAAATTGGACACAAAGACTACCTGGAGACGGTGCAAATATACAAAGATGAGTCGGAGCGACTAATGCCTGTCTCCAGGCAAGCACGAGGTAGTGGATCAAGTTTACCGGATGACGCCGTCTTGGCGACAGTGATGACTACTACTCCAGAAGACGGCATCATTCGCTGTGCTGAGGAGTATAGATTTATGATGGTTCGCCATTGGTCTTTATACGAAAGTATGTATCACTCCAGCTATGTTGCCTCACGTCTAGGCATCTGGCGTGAGCCTGGACGAAAGCGCCTGCAGGCACTGTTTGCTAAAATGGGGTAATATTCATGTTTGAATTCCAGTGCGATTCATTTAAAAAATTCTCTCTTTTTTTACTGACCGTTGACTGAGTTTTAAAATATATCCATAGTTTTTCGTTAGAGGAATGTAATCAGGTGTTTGCGCACATGAGTATTGATCTAAAAAAGATCTTGAAGGATCGATTAGAGGCTGTGGCACCAGAATATGGGCTGTATGAAATTCTGTACACATCATTTACACGGTCGTATGGATACCGTGGTCTGATAAGCGCCAGTGATGTTGTATATTCAGTCACCAGTCTCTTGGAGTCATCACCAGAGGCATTAGTGGCACTTGGATATAGATCAGAACGTATAGCAGAGGAGACGCTAGGTGTAGGTGTGATAGCCAATATTGGTGATAAGCAAGACAGCACAGCAAATGGATCAACGACATCATGGTGGCATGACAACTTTTTCAAGGCATGTGATTCATTAGAAGCTGCTGGGGGAGAGAATGACCAACTTCGGCAGGGATTACGATTATGTATGGAGATACAGAAGGCAGTTGTTCGTCAGGCAGTCGCAATTATTGAGAAGCAGGTTATCATCACACTATCATCATGTCGTGTCGCCACTCTCAAAGATGGCCCTGATTTACCTATTTTTTGGAACCCACTGACGCTTAACAAATTGGCTCAGTTTCTGGTCTATGCCATCAGGGTAAAAAGGCTTCTCCCCAGAATTGAATTATTGCATTTTTATTTCATATTGACCATTATGTTTCGGTCTGTGTACACTAACATGTGCATCTTTTTTTACTTTCACAGGAATATGGAAGTCGAAAAGCGGGACACAAACCAATTTCACTTGTGGTTGCAGTTCTCAAAGAAGAAACACAAACATTTATAGTGACTGGAGTACAGGGAGCGCCGGTGATTGGCGAGGTTATTCCCAAGTAAGTTACATCGTTCTTTCGAAATGCAATCTGCGCAGTGTTCACGCACGGTCAATAAAAAAAAAAAAAAAAAAAAAAAAACACTTTACTCAATAGATTGTTGTTTCTTCCCTTTTTTCATAAACTGTAGTAAATTCGGGGCTGTTTTTGAAAGGATATCATACAACGAAAAAATTCCAGTGAAAAGCCTAGGATTTGACAAGTCTGTAATTGAGATTGACCGCGATGACCTGGAGACATTTATGAAGTCAATCGGTAGGTATATGCGGTAATTTCTATCAATGAAAGTAAAAAATAAAAGTAAAAAAAAAAAGCAGAGCACGGTCCCCAATGCCCAGTGCACATTACATTACTCTGCCATGTGTCGAGAGTGTCACCATTTGAAAGCTGATAAAAAGTGAAAAAAAAAAAAAAAAAAAAAAAAAAAAAAGAAAATCAAAAGTATGATAGTATGATGAAAAGACAGAGAGTGGTTGTGAGATGCACATGTCGCTCCGCCGAATTCAGGTTGAGGATTAGGCAAGAGTGCGATAGTCTGATTAAGTCTATTGTTGTTAAGCCTTCTTTTTTCCCTTTTTTTCTCCCGCTGTGCTTGAATGTCTTTTTGGATTGACTTGCACGTGTCAGCCCATGTCAATTCAAATTTTAATCTCTTTGGTCTGTCTCTATTTGTTCTGTTCTGTCATTGTGAAAAAGCTGCTGATTCCTTCCTCCCCATCTTTTTTTCCTTGTGAATAACTGACTGTCAGTTGCTCCTCTCTTTTCTCTTTTTGCAACCAAGAACTCATTTTTCATCCTTCTCCCCCACAATTGACTGTGCACCTCCTTGTCTTGCACCACACCTAAATCACCACAGCTCAAATCTTTGTATTTATTCATTTCTGGGCGTTTCTTACCATAGTCTTTTTTGGGCCTTCTTTTAGTGTTCTTACTTGAATCTTTTTTTTTTTTTTTTTTTTTTTTTTTCATCGACATTTCAAGCAACACATTCATCCACACACCCCTTTTTTACTCTTCCCCCTTTCTCTCTTACTCTCTCACTCTCACACACTTTCTCGTACGCTTTTTCTTTTTTTCTTTTATTATTATTTTTTATCCCATAAGTTTGTCATACTTCTCTTGTTTCTGATCCCTTTTAATTGTCTGCACTGCATGTCTTTCATCCCTGGTCTCACATACTCAATTGCGTCCACCGTCTGGTCAGGTACCTCGGCCGCACTGGGCAAAGGTCACTCTAACAAGAGCGCTACCACCACTACGGTCACTGGTCCTGGTTCACTTCACCATCACCATCACCACCATCACCACTCTTCTAATTCCTCTCCTTCCCCCTCTTCCTCTTCGCATCCTCACAGCAGCCCTGCTCCTAATGGCAGTAATGGTTTTAATAATAGCCGACGATTCTCGCAGAGTCGCAGACACAGTAATGCAAACTATAACTTCAGTCGAAGCCATCCCAACGGTCCCGGGGGTCCACCTTTGTCTTCGTCTATCCCCATGACTCCACCTCATTCACCTGGTCATTACAGCTACAGTGGTGCATCCTCGGACAGGAGGTCAAGTCGTAGACGTAATCCATCTATATCACCCATGCCAAGAACACCTCCGTCTTCGCCACTGCACGAGTCCGCTGCTCATGAACCACATTCTTCCTCCTATAATTTCTCCCGTAAACGAAACTACATGGAAAATACCAGCAGTAACAGCAACAGTAGTGGGAACACTTCGCGACCAAGCTCCATGCATGGTCATTACAGCAGCAAACAGAGCACACAAAACGGTAGTCCCAACAACAGCAGGAAGAGTACTACCAAAGAAAAGGAAAACGTCTCCAAGGCCCCAACTACAGCTGAAGAACGGTATCGAGTGGTGGATGATATCCTTGAGACTGAAAACCTCTATCGTGTCCTCGCAGTGAGTCGCACAGCAACAGCAGAAGAAATCCGAAGGTAAGCTTTGCTGTTTTACTGAACTGTTTCACTGATTTAAAAATAAAATTAAACGACTTGTTTCCAATGTACCTGATAGCTAACGGAAATGGTCATAACTGATGCATTTTACATTTAATGTATATAGGGCCTATATTGCCAAATCGCGAATCTGTCATCCTGACAAGTTTCCAGAGTACCCGCGTGCAACTGAGGCCTTTCAGAGTAAGTTGGGAGACCCCAACCATCAAGCAAATATGCAATTTTTTTTTTTTTTTTTTTTTTTTTTTTGTTTTTTTTACACGAGATATTTTTTTTTCCTCTCTTGGAGATAACATTTACACGTGGAGGAATCTAATAGTAAACTGATTGACATTCCCCCTCTCGTCATGACCTCAACTGAACTGAATTGTGCCCTCACACACACTATTCCCTTAGTTTATTTATGTTTTTTTATGAAAACATGTGTTTCGTGTGCTTGTATACTATCTATGTGGCAGATCTCATTGAGAGGAGGATGCTATTCATTGGAATGGCACATGCAAACCACTGGGCATTTCGTTAACAGTTGATTGTCATTCTTTAGCAAATAAGACTAACAGAAACTGATTTGTTGTGGATGAATGGAAATATAGAACTTTCGTTGGCCTACGAGACCCTTTCCAAGCCTTCTTCACGGTTTGTTTATGACTCAACGGGAGGGTCATCAGGCAGAACCATGCTGGGGAGCGATGAGACACTGCAAAGTGTACTTTCACAAGTATTTTTTGAGTTTATGGATGGTGACTTTGAAGTGATTCGAAATATGATCAGTAAGTTTTTTTTTATATAAACCTTTGCGGTTTAGATTTATTCTATTCATCTACATTTTTATTTGATGACCTATGAACTCACATAATCATTGATGATCAAACGCTATTTGATATCTAGATACGATGAACAACAACGCAGGTGGCGTGAGGCTTGGGGAGGATGTTATTGGAGTGATTGAAGAGATGTTTCTTCGCTTGCGTTTTATTTTACATGGTAAAAGATTTAACGGTTTTGAATGACAATTGGTCTTTTTTTTTTTTTTTTATGATGGTCTTGAGGGCTCACATTTATTTCTGTTTGTATACAGGATGCAAGAAATATATGACATTGGTTCATGATCAGGTGCAGCAGCTCTCGGATATCCATCATAGTATGCGTTCATTAGCATATCTGGATGTCCTAGGGCGATTCCGGCTTACGCTCAAGTTATCAAAGGTCATGCTAACTATCCCTATGATTATTCAGGATGAGATGAGACGAGAGATGGCCGTGGCAGCAGCATTGGAGGGCGCATCGGAGGATGAAGAGACTGGAGCGAAGAAGAATGCAGGTATTGTAGGGACTGTCTTCTTGAATGATCGCGTCGAAACGGTGCTCAAGAAAGTTGTTTCAGCAATTGAAACAGGAGAACGCTGGGTGTAGTAGTTGCCGGATAGAAGTAGCGACATTGTATAATTACCATAGATCATCATCAACCCTGTTCATTCACTTTATTACTTACATTGCTATTACTATTAGTTTTTTTTTGCTTTTGTATTTTTTTTTTGTAAAAGCATTTAATACCTTTTCGATTCTTGATATGTACTATCACGCTGTGGTTGACTTGGTTTTATCGTTTAATGTTTTAGAACTAACAATTGATACCCCTCAAAAAAAAAAAAAATTGCCATGGCAGATCCTTGTGCAACGATTTTTTCGCTTATCTGACTATTCAAACGAACAATAAAAATGAAATGGATATTGCATGCGTGCACGTTGCAAAGTGTGTTTAAGGAACATGGACCTGTTGTCCCTTGTGTGGCTATGATTCCAGTAAGATGCGTCTGATGGGCTTTTGGTCCTTGTCCCCTGTAGGAACTTGGTGGATTGCACGAAGCAAGCAAAAAAAGTTTTTTTCCATTGATGCTTAAGTTTGATTCCTAAGCATTAAACAAAGGTCCAATACTCTCACTCCCATAGGACTCTATCCATACAGACACTAGAAGAAAGAGAAAAAGTGAAAGCTAAATCAAATGTCAGTCAAATACGCAAGACAAGTAAAAAAAAAAGTAACAAACAATAAAAAAGAAATAACTCTTAGTTCCTGTCCTTGTCAAAAGTGGTGAAGCAGTCAGCCTCCCTTTCCTCCCCCTGTAATGTCCTTAAACTCAAAGACTTGCCTCTCTCTTTTTCTTCTTTTTCACCTTCACTTCGACCCTGTTAGCCTAGCTCTGTGTGTCCTGTCTCTCTCTCTCTCTCTTTATTTTTTTTTTGCTTGTTGTAACCTTTATTGCGTTGTAACTTGCTGGCTTTATTTCTGATTCATCTCTTCTGAGGACAGAAAAAAAAAAAAAAAGAAAAAGAAACTACACACATCCCGCATTCGCATACAGCCAATCCCGATCCATAAACCATTCTCATTTGTTCACCTTGTCCACCATGTTGACACTCTCGCCAACAACCAGCAAACCACGTGGAATCTCACAACAGAAACAGAAAGGTTCTCATTCCTCGAGAGACCATGGGTTTGAGCAGGAGGAAGAAGAGGATCTTATTGAACAGCTCAATCGGAAGTTGTCTAATGTCACATTGAATCCTTCAACGACCATTCCTGACGAGATGAATATGGCAGATATCTCCACAATGGTAATCATAATGTTCATTATTCTTATTTTTATTGTTTTTTATTTTTATTTTTATTTTTTTTTGGTGGCAGTTGCTCCTTTCGATAAGCAACGACACTGTATTTGCTGTGGGTGCCTGCTGACAATCTATCGACCGCAATGGCAGCATTGATTAGTGGTGATAATGCTGTTATTTTTTAACTGCCAAAGGAAGAGGCAAGGCATATTCATTCATAACTGAGGTTTATTTTTCTTTCTACGAAAAAAAAAAAAAAAAAAAAAAAAAAAAAATCTTTTGGTAGCTACCGACATTTGCGCAACCTTTATACAATTTGTTAGCTTCTGGAGTATATGAGCAGCAGTTGCTAGCCATGGTGCGAATCCGCAAGTACTTATCACTACGTGAGTGTTTTTTTTTTTTTTTTTTTTTTTGTAATCCCTTTGTTCAACCGTGAAAAGACATGTTTGACTTTTGGACCCATAAGCAAGGGTCCCACGCTTTTTTTTTTCTCTCTTCATCTGGCCAATAATGGCCAAGTACAATGCTTGTTGCTTGATACTTACTGTTTGATTTAGATGACAAAGCCAAGCTAACTCAGCTCTACTGACCATCATACTCATTTTTTTATTAGAGGATGTACTGCCAAGAATTGATAATGTGCTGGCATTGGACTGCATTAACTTTTTCATCACCTTTCTGAACATGAGCGACTGTCCGGATCTTCAAGTATGGCTTAGAATATCTAGTCCGTGATCAATTTCAGAGGCATTAAGGGAAGATCTAGGATATTTACTTTTTTTTTTTTTTTTTTTTTTTTTTTGACCCTCTTGCTATCACTACTTTTTCATCTTGCCTTGCCTAGTATGAAACTGCGTGGGTTGTTACAAACATTGCTGTAAGTCAATGAAAAGCCGCTACCAGTTGGAGCTGAAACAGTTTTTTTTCTTCTCCTGATAAATCATTGATCAAGGACTGATCAACTCTTTTTGTGTTGCTTTCATTATCTAGGCAGGAACCACTCAACAAACAGAAAGACTTGTCAATGCTGGTATCTTGGCTCCATTAATTCATAATCTTCGCGTGTCCAGATGCGTTCATGTTCAAACACAGGTATAGAGACCACTCTCGGTTATTTCCAGCACAGATCTTGGGCTGTGTCATGGGTATCGAGCTAATTTTTCTGTTTTAGACCATTTGGGCGCTAGGAAACATATCAGGTGACGGTCCTCCATTTCGTGATCTCATTCTAGGATCTGGTGCTTTGGAAGTGATCATACAGCTCATTGAGATGTGTGAGGATCCCTCTGTTGCCAAGGATCAAAAATATATGATTTTGAGGATTGCTGTATGGTGCGTCTCCAACCTCTGCAGGGGAAGCGGTCGTTGTGCACCAGAGTGGTTACAGGTATAAACAGACGCCTATTCGGATATAGCATTTGGAATACCAACCGGCAGTCTATCATTATCAGTCATCCCAGAGATTTATTTTTAAGGCGAATTTACGGTATCCTATGCAATTACGACCTTTAGGTTACGCCTGCATTTCCAATACTTCGTCGTCTCATGTATTCCGACGATGTGGAAATTCTGGCAGATACATGGCAAGTGTTGATAAAATAATGGAGCTATAGGAAGCTCTTTATAATCGAGATATACAAACGATGCATATTAATCTCGGTTTCTTTGCATTCTAGCTGGGCAATGTGTCGAATCCTCAATGGCACGCACAAGATGAATCTGGATACTGTTGTTATTGATCGAGAGCTGTGCGCACGTTTCGTGGCGTTGCTAAGGTAAGCGACTGCAGGGAGCTGCAATGTTGTTTTTTTATTTTATTTTATTTTATTTTTATTTTTTTCCGGATAAATTAAATTATTATTTGAAGACTAAGTTGAATTTGTGCATGCATGGAAACATAGCGAGCCTCATCCTACGATCCAAGTTCCTTCTCTCAGATCACTGATTAATATTGCTTCTGGTCCAGAGCACCATACTCAACTCTTGATTGATGCGGAGGCGATTCCAGTCCTAGGATCAGAGGAGATGTTGGGTCATCATAACAGTACCATTCGTCGGGATGCACTGCTGGGCATCTCTAATATTACTGCAGGCACAGCAGATCAAGTGCGGGAAGTCACCATCCAGGACAATGGTAATGTGATGCGTCGTGTTTTAGACGTCCTTCGGAGAGGAGATATTGGAGGCGAAGAACTTGCAGAGGGCACAGAGGGTCACGACGAAGGTGGAGACTGGCGAGTTTTGCGCGAGGCTGCTTGGGTGGTTAGCAATGCAACCAGTGTACTGGATCTTGATATTACAGGGTATGTGAAAAAATAACAACAGTAATAATAATAATAATAATAATAATAATAAGCGCATACTACGAGGAGCTTATTGCTAAACTTTTCTGTTGGAAATTGTGGAGCATTAACAACGGCATGGTATATCTTAAATGTCATCATAGGCATCTTGTCTATCGCCTTGATCTGCTTCCATCTATTGCTCAGTTGATCGATCCTCGTCCGGCTCGCAAAGCAAACTATATCCTTCCAGCTGTTGGCCTACGACACTCTGCTCTCTTGACGAAGTTGCTGGACATCATATTCAACGTTTTAAGGTGCAATGAACATTATCCTAAGGAACAATTTATGAAGATTTGGGTAAATGATTGTGAGGGCGGGACGATTCTGCTAGAGCTACTTAAGCTATCAAGTCAAACACCAGCAGAATTTCATCTGCGACATCTCGATAATCTCAAACTGACGCCCCGTCCATTGCAACACCTTCGATTTGCACCAGATGGTAGTCCCAAACCATCATCGGTTATGGCGCCGCTTGGTCCATCTGTTAAGAAGCGAGTGGAGACAATTCTGGATAATTTCTTTGAATTTGGACCGGATAACGATGGATTTGGACCATTCTTCGGAGAACGTCAGCAAGGGGGCCATTCTGGCAATCGACCTCCACGCGATGAGTATGGTACGGACGACCACGATGAAGAACATGAAGATGAGTTTGATGATGAGGAACATGGGTACAAGAGTGGATACTATACGACCCGTGGTGTATCGAATAAGCCTAGTACAGACTTTGATATCGATGAAATGGAGGAGCGTGTGAGTCGTATGAATCTCACATAGGAGCCACCTTGGCTGGCCTCTGGCTCTTTAGTGCCCCTCTTCTACTTTGCAAAACAGTTGTCAGCGTTCGGAATCCTTTTTTTTTTTTTTTTTTTTTAGTCTACAATTATATTAGTTACCCTGTTTGTTAAAAGTCGATTTCTTTATTAATGATGAGTATTTTATGTGAGTACTTGACAATCAAGTCAGTTTTATCAGTACTAATCCATAGAATTGGGATTGTCGCAGAAGTTTATGGCAAAACTAGCAGAACTGAAAGGAGGATGAATAAACATGAGATAATAAGAACATGCTTGGCTGTGCGTGAAGGATTGGACGAACAGTTCAAACAGACCAATAAGAATAAGAATGAGCCTTTAAGTTTGACTGTGGTTTTCCAACCTCATTTTCAAAATGGTATATACAAGTATATTTATACAGATATATAATAATGATAGTAAAATAAAAATAAAAGAGAATACGCGTGTGTCACGACGGTTAGATTGAGAGATGAAGTTATACATTAGAGATCCGAATATTAATTTGTAGGTCTAGGTTTTCTCTTTCCAATTAATGAGCCATCGTCATTTTTTATCCAGTGTATCCTCGCCGCATTCCTTTGAATGGGGGTACAAATCAAAACAGAAGACGACACTTGTTGATACAGTAGATAAAAAAGACCAACCAGGAAGGATGCAAGGATGCGTCAGTGATATTGGCCAGGCTCAATAGGGTGATACGCCTTTGCTCGTGAGTATTTTATCCTGTTTGGAACAGACTGGCGGAAGAATGGAAAAAAATTTTTTTTTTGATACTTTGCAGGCTCTCTTTGTTTTTGTAAACTGCTCTTTTTTTTTTTTTTTTTTTTGTGCTCTTTTTCTTTTGTACACGAAGCAGTAGATGCAAATCATGCAGAGTAGTGTGTGAATGTGGGTGGGTGATGAGAATGAAATGCGTGCGCCTATCTTTCCTTGTCTTTAACTCAAAGCTGGCTGTAGGTGAGTAAAGTCGAATTCATTATACATGTGCCTACAGAAAGAAGAAAGAAAGGGAGAAAGAGGAAGAAAGAAGACATACATTTGCAGAGGAGTTGAGGAGTGGCGGTGAAATAATTAGAAAGCAAAAGCAATGTAACATTGAACATGCAACATTTTCAACATGGAACAAATAGAATTCAAAACAAACAATTGGGTACTTTGAAGTTTGGGATGAACAGATTGGGTGATTAAGAAAGCGCGCCCATCCACTTGCTATGCTGTGCTCAATGCCCCTGCTATCCATCTCTTTTTCTCTTTTCTTTTTTCTTTTCTTTTTTTTTTTTTTTTTTTTTTTTTTTTTTTGTTCCTGTGCTGTGGCCTTCTTTCACGCTCTCCTTCCCTTCCCTTCCTTCTTTCTCACGTCCATCCTCCCTTTCTACTTCTCTCCTCCACCATCCGCGTCATCTACTCCATCTCTCATTCTTACATTCTCTCCGTCTCCTCATTCCATCTATCCACTTCGTCCACCTTCATTCAGAAGCCCAGCCTCTTTACTTTCTTTTTACGATTTTAATTCCTACAACGACCACCCAGCTTGGCTCCATACCTTATACAAACCTTCGTACATTTACACTACCTGTACCTGCATTCCTTTGCCCTTCTTCCTTCGCCCTCGCCCTCGCCCTTGTTCACGGCCTGCACCATCATTCTTTCTCTCTCTTCTTTCCCCCCATCTTTTCTCTCTGTCTTTTTATCTCTCACCCATTCTCCCTCCACATACTGGAGAAGGTAAAAAAAGCAACAAGATCTGACTCATTCCACTCCACACACACACACTTTCTCTTTCTCTCTCTTTTCTTCTCCTGTCCTCGCTCTTTCTCATCCATTATTCATGTTCATGTTCATGCAAATTGTCAATGTTGTCTCCAAATGGGAAGGTGTATTATATTTTGTTTGTAATCTAATCATTTGTTTCTTGGATTAGTGTGGTTGTTATTATTAGCCCTTGTCAATTTAATTACCATTTGTTATTTTTATCGTTCACATTTTTATACGCACTCTCTTCAGCCCTTTACTCTGGCCCTTATTTTCACAAACACAAACTCAAACACAAAGCATGATGCCTGCCTGAGAGTATTTATTTTTCTATCAATTTCCGCCCTTTTTTATTTTATTATTATTATTATCTACGATCATGCTTGTATATAAAATTTGAATGCTGTAATTTTCAGGCACACATCGTTAAACTTTTAATGGATCTCAAACAGGCTAGTCTTTCTTTTATTAATTCATTTCAAGACTTTGTTCCTGAATTTTCTCCCCTTTTTTTTTATGAACGAGGAAAAAAAAAAAAGACAGTTGCCGCAGATGCAACGACTTCCTTCTTTGACATGTTGTCTTCATTGCCACTAATTCTGACAGTAATGTGTTTATCTTTATCCATCTATTCTACAGATTACATAGATAACAAAATACGAGACTGTACACAATGTCTCTTCCAGGTTTTTATTTCAGACATAGAGCACCTGGCGCAGTCAGGCGCCGTGCAGAGCACTCTGCCTCACTTGAGGCAAACAAGCCCGTACCTACAAAGACAGAGGCTGTCCCTCATCGCAAAGGCCATTCAAATGATACTCCCCGTACTTTGACCGAAGCTCCATCCATGACTGCTCCCGCCTCTCCCTCAACCACCACCCGCGTTGTAACCGTTCCTGGCCATGTCCTACGGCAGCAGCGGCAGGAGCGGCAACATCATGTCAAAAATGCTGATCCAAGTGAAGGAGGTGTTGGTGTGATGGCCGTGGAAGACAATGAGGATCCTAACGCCGATCCCAGTCCTGACAATGGTGATACTGAACCTGAAAAGGGGAGAAACAAACCCGACAAAGAAGAAACTGAACCTGGCAAAGAAGAAACTGACCCTGGTAAAGAGGAAACTGAATCCGGTAAAGAAAAAAATAACCCTGGCAAAGAGGAAACTAAACCTGATAAAGAAACCAAGCCTGATAAAGAGGAAACCAAGCCTGATAAAGAAGAAACCAAGCCTGACAAAGGGGAAACTGATCCTGAGAAAGGAGAAACCGAACCTGACAAAGGGGGAACCGAAATTGATATAGGAACCGAACCTGACAATGAAGGAACAGAGCCAGGCGATGAGAACCCCGATCCTGGCAATGGAGACAATACGACTAAAAACCCAGCCTCGTCATCTACGACAACCACGACGACGACAACCACAACGACGACAACCACAACGACGACGACAATCCCCATGACGACCTCATCTAGCGCTCCTTTCACTACAACCACGGTCGAAACTCCTACTTCCTCAGTCAGCACAATCACTTCTACTGACAATATTACGAGCACATCTATGGTGACGGATACTAGCACGATCACAGCCACATCTACGGAAATGTCGAGCCCTATTGTCACACCAACTATTACACCAAGTCCCACTGTTACACTTTCGGAATCTCCAAGCTCTTCTGTTTCTACAGGCATTACTGCCACTACGGAGACATCGGTTCCTGTTACAGTAACAGAAACCTCTGCCTCTGTTACGGTTACGGAGACATCGGTCTCCATCACAGCTACAGAAACTTCCGTTCCTATTACTGCCACTACAGAGACATCAGCTCCTGCCACGGTTACAGCGACATCAGCTCCTGCCACGGTTACAGCGACATCAGCTCCTGCCACGGTTACAGCGACATCAGCTCCTGTCACGGTTACAGAGACTTCCGCTCCTGTCACGGCCACAGAGACATCAGCTTCTGTCACAGCTACAGAGACTTCCGCTCCTGTCACGGTCACAGAGACTTCTGCTCCTGTCACAGCTACAGAGACATCAGCTCCTGTTACGGAGACCTCCGCGCCTGTCACGGCCACAGAGACTTCTGCTCCTGTCACAGCTACAGAGACATCGGCTCCTGTCACGATCACAGAGACATCGGCCCCTGTCACAGCTACAGAGACTTCCGCTCCTGTCACGGTCACAGAGACTTCTGCTCCTGTCACAGCTACAGAGACATCAGCTCCTGTTACGGAGACCTCCGCGCCTGTCACGGCCACAGAGACTTCTGCTCCTGTCACAGCTACAGAGACATCGGCTCCTGTCACGATCACAGAGACATCGGCCCCTGTCACAGCTACAGAGACTTCTGCTCCTGTCACGGCCACAGAGACTTCTGCTCCTGTCACAGCTACAGAGACTTCTGCTCCTGTCACAGCTACAGAGACTTCCGCTCCTGTCACGGCCACAGAGACCTCCGCACCCGTCACAGCTACAGAGACATCAGCTCCTGTCACAGCTACAGAGACATCAGCTCCTGTTACAGAGACATCAGCTCCTGTTACAGAGACATCAGCTCCTGTTACAGCTACAGAAACCTCTGCTCCAGTTTCGAGCACGGAAGTGCCGGTCACGACGGAGCCAGTGAGCCCATCTTCCTCCTCAGAAGTCCCAGTAACAACAGCCACTATTGAGCCTTCTTTGACCCCCACTTCAAACATTGTTATTCCCACCACGGACACGGTCGTGATCCCTACAACAGTGGCAAGCGAAACCCAGCCTATTCTCACCCAAACTACCGAGTCAGTGACGATGATCAGTGGCACGATCGTTCCTATCGGACGTGACACAAACCTTCCTGGCCCCAATGCCGGTGATGGTGGCAATGGTCTTGACGGCTCAGGCGTATCTAAGAATGGATTGAGTCAAGGAGCCACAGTCGGCGTGGTTGTGGGAAGTTTGGCAGCTCTTGCGTTGATTGCGGGTGTGTTCTTTATCATGTTTAGACGTCAATCGCGTCGCCTCCAAAACCCTAACAGCCGGTTTGTGTCACGCGCTGCCTCTGGAGCAGGCGCAGCTGGAGCAGGCGGCGATCTTGGACATTTATACAGCTCTCGTCAACCCGAAGGTTCTGGATCTCATGGCTCGTACGGTTCAGTGCGTAACTTGCCTGGTGGTGCACCTGTGGCTGGCCACATTGTCGTCGCACCTGAGATGATGGAACATCCTGCTAACCGCTCCAATCTCAATCTTCACTCTGGACCTATGGCCTTTGGCACGAGTGCTGCAATTGGCGCTTCCTCTGGTTTGGCAGGTGTTCATGCTCACGATGGTTACCATGAATCAAGTTCAGACGGACGTGAGATCTCTTCTAGCTATGGTGCTAGCGGTGGAAGTGGAGCTGCTGGGAGTGCAGGTGGCGGTGGAAGCGGCGGTCCGTTCGGCACAGCAAGTGGATCCATGCCTACACCTTCTGGTGGAACTGGTTCACCCCACAGTCAACAAGGCAGTATTCACTACATCTAAGTAGCTTGTGTATTTGGTGTTCTCTTTTCTCTTTTTTTTTTTTGCATAGTATCCTATATCCCCCAGGGTTTTTATGACTAATTCATTTATACTTTTGAGATGATCATACCGTCATTCCTACCATCTTAAGAGCTCCTTCATTTTACTTTATCTATTTTTATTTATTTGAAGTATCCTATTCATCTTACTTATTGAACAAAAAAAAAAAAAAAAAAAAAAAAAAAACGAAGTTGTCCATTTTTCTTTTGAGTTCAGTTCTGTCCTTTTGCCCTATTGTGATTTTGAGGGCGTCAAAAAAAAAAAAAGTAAAGAGGATGAGACTGTGTTATTAGATCGCATGGCTAAGATGCTTCAATTACTCACATGTAAATGTTCTATGAATCTGTTTTCCAGTTGTATTTAACGGCTAAAATGAAGAAAATGGGGCGTCCACAAACTATACTTAAATTAACCATGGCCATCAAAGCCGGATGTAACCACGATTTTACCAAGGTGGTGCAGTGTCAAGTTCTTTCACCGACAAAAAAGGCAAAAAGAAAAATGGTAGTGAACACTTTATTATTGTTTTACAGACACAGGCTTGGAAAGAAGTAGTAGCAGAAATAAAAGTTGCTGCATGTGAACTGATAACAGGGAATATAACAAGGAATGGATGATATATCGGATGACGATGACTTGTTTGAAATATGTTTTTCGTTACAACGCCAAACGTCGCCACTGATGTCGAAACAATCTATGCATTTAGGCGACCCACACTTGCTGTTTAGGACAGTGGAATCCAATTTATCCAGCATTGTGAAAAGGAGGAAAAAAAAAAAAAATAGTTAAAAAGCATTATTGCAATTGCATTTTTGTGTCTGCATTGAGTGGAGAGGTTTCTGCCACAAAGTTTAAGGACGCGTTTAAAAAAGGTTGAGGTGATTATGCGGCTCACTTTTTTCCCTTCTACAATTAGCTCTATTACTCTTAGCCCTACTTGCTTGCTCACTTGTGAATTTCCCTCTGTCACTCACATCCCTTAGACCTCTCAGGTCCTTTCCCTCACACCCTCTTTTCCTTACTTCATCTACCATTGACTTTTTACATTTGTTTTCCATTCCAAAAGACCCAGCTCGCTTCATCTCAACACACCTTGTTTATAACACCTCAAAAGGACTTGTCTCACTTTTTATTCTCTTGACTTCAGCCATGTTTTTGCAACCCACAACTCCGACCAACTCTGCTCAAGAGCGTAGCAGTCACTTACGATGGCCAGAAAGTCTGTCTGGCGCAGCTCCTATTCCTTCTAGATTCTCACACCTGCTTAATGAGCCTTTAGTGATAAACCTGAATAATACCACATCTGAACAGGGCGCAGCCAGCAGGCTCAAGGAAATGGATGAAGAGGAAGAAGAAAAAAAAGCAGGAGTGAAAGGAAAGGAAGAGGATGAAGGAGAAGTAGAAGAAGAAGAAGAAGAAGGAGAAGAAGAAGGAGAAGAGGAAGAGGATATCGTCTGGCTTGCTACTCCCGATGACGAGATACTTTCTCAAAGTAAGCTTCTCTAAGGCTACTCATAACAACAAGACAAGTGTGTGTTCGAGGTAACATGCGCTTTATCAATAAGGTTTATTAATATAAGATGTACATATATTTGTGTTTCCAAAAAAAAAAAAAAAAAAAAAAAAAAATGCAGGTTTGGACGACCAAGAAGTGGCTGTCTATTTCGAGATTCTGGAACAAGCTCCTTTAGAGACTCTGCCTTTGGCTCGTAAATTTTGTTTTAAACCCAATTCGCAATTGGTACTTGGGCGAGCCCCTTCGTCTGGTGTCAGTCGTCTGGCTCGAGTACAACAAGTGTTGGCTCAGGATAAACGAAGATCTGCGCAAGCAGAGAATGGATCTGATGATGGGTTGTTCCCTAATCAAGTCATCAGTAAAGTACACGCTGTTGTGTATGAGGTAGATGGCCAGCTGATCCTGGAAGATAGAGGATCGACACATGGAACATTTGTGAACGAGGAAAGGATCCAAAGTCGAGTCTTGCAAGACAATGACCATGTAAGACTAGGACGTGATGTAGTTCGAAAGGAGATTCCATATCGACCATTGAATTTGATAATCCGAATCAAGAGCAACGTTATGAACGGAATTAGTGAAATGGATTTTGGAGAGTTCAGTAGTGAAGTTTCGGCAGCAACTACACCCCTTGACACCAATGGTATTGATGGTAGTAGCAGTAGCAGCACAGAGTATTCCGACATGTGCAATAGCGTTTTGCAAAATGGAGACGACACTATTCACGAGAATACTGTCGTGAATGAATTTGATACGGAATTCAGTTGCGGTGGTTCTGATAAGATAGGCACGGTTGAAGATGAAGACAATGCTGATGGTTCACCTGTGTTAGGCAAGGAGGAATGTGAACTAGAGCCTGACCTGAAACCTGATGAAGACGTTCAGTGTGAATCAATTCAGCGCGAACGCATGGAAATTATTGAGGCGACCACAACTACATCAACTTTCACCACCATACCAGCAGAGGTAAGCTTGGAGAGAAAGTGCCATACTCATGCACATGTTCCCGTAGATGAAATATGTATTATGAATTAGACGACTCACATTTTTTTTTATACTTCTTTTTAGATCATGAATACTTCTTTCACACTAGAGCACGAATCACAAACTACAACAGTGTCCACAGGAAAGAGGAAGCGAGCTTTAATTGATCCTCAGGATCCACCAGTTAGTCCTAGTAATAAGCGTGCTATAGTTGTAGCAGCACTTGCAGGCGTCGTGGTTGGTTCTGTTGGCACTGTTTTTACACTTGCTAATATCTGAAGATTTGGCGATTTGCTTAAATAGGAGTTGTATTTCTTTTTTGGTTTTTTTTCCCTTTTAGTTTCATACTCCATACTCCTTCTTCTCATGTATTTATAACATTTTCAATTGTCTTTTTTCTTTTTGTTATCGCTATTATTCTTGTTGTTACCCTTCATTTCCTCCCCTCTTCGAAACCAAGATTTTTTTTTTTTTTTTTTTTTTTTTTTATAAAATATGTTTAATACCAAGCTCAATAAAATAGTGAAAAATGAAAACAATATGCAAATATCTTTATACTTCGATAATACCCTAGATCTCCACACAAACTCATAAAGCTGGATATTTATCCGCGGCCACGACCGCCACCGCCACCACGGCTGAAGCCGCCACGACCGCGAGGGGCACCACCGCCACCGCCACCACGGCTAAAACCACCACGACCGCGAGGAGCACCACGTGGAGCACCACGACCACCACGAGCTAGAAGAAAATAAAAAGAAAAAGCAATCAACAAGCGTCTCAAATATAGAATACTTGTAATAAAATTTTAAGCGGCTCAACTTACCACCACCGCGGGCTGCGCCACGTCCACCACGTGCAGCGTTCATGCCTTGCATGCCTCCACGCTTAGCAACTATCGAATGAATCATGAAGCAAAGGTATGAAGGATCAGAATATATTTTTATAGTAATAGTAACAGTAATATAATTCTTTTTTTTTTTTAGCGACATACCTTTTCCGACGGCCTTGGGTTTGGGCAAGAAGCGCTCCAAAGGTAAGAGCTTATCAGGGGCGATGAAGACTTTGTCATTGGGCTTGAAAGAGGTTGCAACCATGCCATCCTGAAGCTTGATTGTAAAATAGAGTTCGTTCATAGGACCGAGAATCTCGTCGACCTTTCCGATCTGGCTCTTGTTTTCAAGGTAGATGGGGGCATTGAAATATGGGATCTTAGAGTTGGTCGATTTACAGACCATTTCTCCTTCGCAAGCGTGCGTGAACTGACCCATTTCTTTAATGAATAGAAAAAATAAATAGATAAAAATGAAAATAGAATGAGAATGAGAAGAGAAAGAGATTATCCCTTTTTTGCCAAGTCTAATGCTCCTTGTTCGGACCACAGCGTATGAAAAGCGATATAGTCCGATTTCTGTTGTCATGCATGTCTATCCATGAGAAAAGTAATAGGGCCACCATGTTCGCTAGGAACTTGTCGAGAGACGGTTGTAGTTTGATTTTCATGACCCATCCGTCCAATGACAAATGTATTGGCTTGATATCTTATTATTTTCTCTTTCCTGGAGTGCAATTGATCCATGATTTGTTGGATAGGTCCAAAGTTCGAGAGATTTTGTATTACTCCATTGAGAGATTAATTGAACAAAAAAATAAAAATAAAAATAAAAATAAAAAAGACAATATAAAGATGAGAGGACATTTACCAAGTACAGATTCTGGTGGTCCGAAAGAAGGGGCACCACCACCAAATCCACCACGTCCACCACCACGGGCACTACCGCCACGGCCTAAAATAAAAATACATGGATGAGAAGATCGAATCGTATCAATACATAGGCCCACAATGGACGGGAGGTAAATATAATGAATGGAATCACATCCAGTCTTATTTGTCTTCTGGTAAAAACTGGAGTAGATATTTAAATAATATATACCTCTTGGGGCTCCACCACCACGACCTCCTCTAAAGCTCATGCTGTGTTATATAAGATTGTTTAAGGAAAAAAATAAGAAAAAAAAATCAAGGGAGCTCGAAGCGAAAGAGCAGGCAGTCTTTTGTTTTTCTGTGGTGCCTATATGGAGATGGGTGATGGTGGAATCAGCTGAAGGAACTCAGTTGCATGTGTGAGATGTGGGTGTTACTTGAAGGTTTCAAGTACAAGCATTTTTTTTTTTTCAGTGGCTTATGTTATTGACTATTCAATTTGCCTTTTTATTGTTGCCAGCCTGAAATATTTCAATATCAGTATTCAGACTCCATGTTTGAAAGAGTATTGGTGATTCTTAAGTTTGGATAATTTGGCAGCCTTTTTTTTTTTTTTTTTTTTTTTTTTTTGCTTCACTGGTGGTTAATGTAGACTTGCATATAATTGTTACTACCACCTAAAAAGCTTGACTTTATCAGTATAGAGGGTGCTTGAGGGGTGTATTTTTTCTAAACAGTGACGTAGTATTAGCGAAATTTTGTGTGTGAAAATGAGTGGGAGGAGTAAGTCGCGTTACGCGTACACTGTGATGACTGAGTTCTGCATCTACTCCATAGTGACATGGTCTTTCTTGTTCTTTTCTTCTCTTACCCATTACTTTTTTCTTTTTATTTTCTAAACATTCATTCTTTTATTGATATAGCTCCTTCCATTATTTCTTTTTCATTCTCACAGCCTTGCTCCGCACACACTTACTTGCGGACACTCTTTTCTTCTTCTCTTGACGACACATCGCTCTATCAACTGCAACTTGATTCCTTGCCTCATTCATACCTCCTACTCCCTCGTCCCAAGAGCGTCTTATAACCATGGTTGGACTCACTTCTGCTGGTACGGATCCCCATGCGCCTTATTCTATTCGCTCTTATATATCTTGTGTATTGCAAAGTTGCTCATTGCCATAATCTATTGACAATCGAGCCTTTCTTGTCACTATCCAACAATTAAATCGTGTTTTTAATCTGTTTGTCTTTTGAATATCTTCTTTATCGTATAAAGCCGGAGTCATTGCTCTCCTCGATGAACAGGACGATGATCTTAAGGTCTATGCCCTTCAAAAACTGAACGGGCTTGTGGATCAGTTTTGGGCAGAAATATCGGATTCAGTTTCCAAGATGTAAGCAAAGAAAAGTCATGGGAGATCTGTTCTTTATCGTCTCACACTCGCCATTTGACAGCAATGCCAGGACAGCGGTCTAATAGACAAGCATATATTATGTCAATGTTTTATTCATAGTGAAATTATGTACGAGGATACTGAGTTCAAGGATAGACAGTTGGCAGCATTGGTTGCCTCCAAGGTACAGATCGGATTAAACCGCATTGTGTGAAAGCGCCTGCCTGACCGGAGACAATTTTTATCTAACTAGCGCCCTAAAAATCCACATATGGCATAGGTTTACTATCATTTGGGCGAATTTGATGACTCCCTCAACTTTGCGCTTGGAGCTGGAAATCTCTTTGACCTCTTCTTAAAGTCGGAATACGTTGATACTATTGTCTGTAAGTCTGCAAGAGCGCTATCAATGAACATTTTAATGGATCGTGAGGTCAAGGCTAATGTTGACTTACTATTGTTAATTTGTTATCTACTAGCTAAATGTATCGATAAGTATATCGCTCTCCGGACTCAGGAGCAACAAGAACAAAGTGCAGAACCCTTGGACCCCAGGCTCAAAGATGTGGTAGAAAAGATGTTTGATCGCTGCTACCAGGATGGAGAGTACAAGCAGGTAACAGTCTGCGCATCTCACCATGGTTTGTGCTGTACACATACTGGCATATTTATTGACCGTCAGATTATATCTATTTACGTAGGCCGTAGGAATTGCGTTGGAATCGCACCGTCTGGATGTTGTGGAATACTCAATTAAGGCTGGCGGCCCCTCAAACATTCTTCCTTATGTGTATGAATTGGCTATGACGGTTGTTCTTGACCAGACATATCGTAACACACTCTTGCAGCTCCTCGTTGACCAGTTCCGAAAGTTGGAAGAACCCGATTATGTCTCCATCAACCAATGCCTTGTGCATCTGGGTGATCATCAAGCCAGTGCAGAGTTGCTTCAAAGCCTTGTCAACACTGATGTGCAGGTAAATTTCGTGGTGTCAAACTGCTTTAGTTATGCTTGTTGATTATTAGAGCTTTATCTCTTTCATCATTTATAACAAACTATATTTTTTGTATTTTAATTAGACTGATTTGTTGATGGCGTATCAGCTTGCATTTGATCTCGAGAACAATGCTACACAAAAGTACTTGAAAAAAGTGGCAACTGCTCTCCCGTCTGATCCTAATGAGAAGTACGAAAGAATCAAATCTATCCTTTCAGGGAAGGAGACTATCAGACTTCAATTGGAATTTCTTTGTCGCAATAACCACACAGATATGCTTATTCTCAAGAATTCCAAAGTAAGTCATGAACTTTTTTTTTATCTTCATTTTTTTTTTTTTTTTTAATTATTGTTAGGTGATTGTTGTTGAAAATTGTGAAGCTGACTTTTAAATTGTTTGCTGTATCTGGTTCATGATTTTTTTTTGTCACGACCTATTTAGACGGTACTCGATGCACGTCTTTCCATCTACCACTCTGCAGTTACATTTGCAAATGCTTTCATGAATGCCGGTACAACGAGCGATGATTTCTTGAGACAGAACCTGGAGTGGCTTTCTCGCGCCACAAACTGGTCGAAGTTCAGCGCGACAGCTGCTCTGGGCGTTATCCATAAAGGTCATCTTGCTCAAGGAATGACAATGCTTGCACCTTATCTCCCACAGGACGGCGTTACAGCCAGCCCTTATTCGGAAGGAGGCTCTCTCTTTGCTCTCGGGCTCATTCATGCCAACCATGGAGATGAAGTTCTGGACTACTTGCGCGGGGTCCTGAAAAACACACAGATTGAGGTATTGCAACATGGTGCTTGCTTGGGTCTTGGAACTGCAGGAATGGCAACGGATAACAATGGTGAGTAATAAGCTCGGTAATACGTTTGACTTTTTTTTTTTTTTTTTTTTTGAGACTATGTTTAAACACTCAGGTATTGACTAGGCAAGTGTCCGTAACTTTACTATGCTGCTTATATAGATATCTATGAAGAGTTAAGAAGCGTCCTCTTCAGCGACAGCGCGATTGGTGGTGAGGCTGCTGGTCTCGCAATGGGAATGGTGATGCTTGGTACCGCATCAGAAAAAGCCTTGGATGAGATGCTGCAATATGCACATGAAACTCAGCATGAGAAGATCATTCGCGGATTGGCAGTGGGTATCTCTCTGGTGATGTACGGCAAGGAGGATGCGGCTGATGTTTTGATTGAGAAGCTTGCAGCAGATAAGGATCCTATTTTGCGATACGGTGGAATGTACACTATTGCTATGGCTTACTGTGGTACTGGAAACAACAAGGCTATTCGCCGCCTTCTACATGTTGCTGTCAGTGACGTCAACGACGATGTAAGACGTGCGGCTGTCACCGCTCTCGGTTTTATCCTTTTCCGATCCCATAAGCAGGTGCCACGCATTGTTCAGCTCCTCTCTGAGAGCTACAATCCACATGTGCGCTATGGTGCGTGCTTGGCCCTTGGAATCTCTTGCGCAGGAACTGGCTCACTTGAGGCAATCGAACTGCTAGAACCAATGGCTAAGGACAATGTGGACTTTGTCCGCCAAGGCGCTTTTATTGCATTGGCTATGATTTTGATGCAGCAGAACGAAGTACAGAACCCAAAGTCTGCGGCTGTTCGTACAATGTACGAGGAAGTTATCAAGAAGAAGAATGAGGATGCTCTTACCAAGTTTGGAGCTGTCCTTGGGCAGGGTATCATTGACGCAGGTGGAAGAAATGTCACAATCTCGTTGCAATCTCGTTCTGGTCATTCAAACATGCCAGCTATTGTTGGTGTAGCCCTGTTCACACAATTCTGGTACTGGTACCCCGCCAGTCACTTCTTGAGTTTGGCGTTTACACCAACTGCCATAATTGGAGTGAACGCTGACTTGAATATGCCAACGATTGAATTTACGTCAAACGCAAGGCCTTCTCTATTTGCATACATTCCACCTACTAAGCCCCCAACTGCCACTGTTGTGGAAAAGGTGGCTACAGCAGTTTTGTCAACAACAGCTAAGGCCCAGGCCAAGGCTAAGAAGGCAAAGACAGCAGAACCAGAGGCCATGGAAGAAGACGAGAAGCCGGAGGAGAAGGTGAGTTCAAAGGCTGATCATTCTTATTATTGGAATGTGCTCTGTGACCCAGAGATAGACCGTCAGCCATACTAATTTTTTTTTTTTTCTCAATTTGTGACATGTCATTAGTCAGAGGAGGCAAAGGATGAAGAAGCTAAAGCCGCAGCCAAGCCTAAAAAAGAGCCTCAGTCAGAGAAGCTAGGCAACCTTGCACGTGTTCTTCCTGCTCAACTTAAATACATCTCATTCGACAAGGAGGCGCGCTATGTCCCAGTCAAGAAGGTACATGATGTTGATTATCCTTAACTTCCTTAATAGCGTTTTAAAAATCTGTGAGGAAAGAAGCTATTATTAATAAGATGCATTCTGACTGTGAATTTGAAAATAGGATGTTACTGGTGGCATTGTAGTACTGTTGGACAACAGGCCCGGTGAACCCGAGATGCTGCTCTTAACGAGGGCCACAACTGCTGGCGCTGCAGCTCCTGCTTCAGACAACAAGATGGAAGTGGAAGAGGAGGAGGCGCCTATGCCAGAACCATTTACCTATCCATTTGATCGAAACTAAGTAAACGTGATGATTCTCCTTCTGTTATCAAGCCGGATTAAAATAAAATAAAATAAAAAGTAAAAGTAAAAAGTAAAAAGTACAATAAAACATTGATAAAGCATTCAATAATAGATGCCAGAATAAAATGTCGCTATTAGTGTGAAGAATCCATGGGAATAAAGACACTATCTCAGTTTTGTACACGACAATGTTCTAGTAGAGAATGGTGGCCTGGTTGGATTTTATGATGCGACTCATGCAGCGCAAGTTGTTTCGAATAAAAGATTATATTGGACTTCAAAAAATGGGGTCAAATTCTTAAAGTTGGAGCGAATATAAAAAATTTGGCTGCATAAATAAACCATCCCATTCTTCTTCCTTCTCCAAAGACCCCACTTCCGTCTCTTTTTCATTCTCTTTTCCCCTCCTTCCATCAATGCCTTCTCCTAGCGCCCTTCCTATTGTTACAAGAGGTTCGTCGATAGATCTTGCTGAGGCTTCTCTCAACTCTACGGACTTATATTTCCAGGTCCTGTACCCTCCCATATAAGGTCGCACCGAGTTGATTCGAAACATTCTTGCATACCATGGCACCAACTGGGGGAAGCTTACGGTTGTAAGATTGAATAGACTGAATACAAAATTGTTTTATAGCACAAAAGCTATCAACCAAAAATGAACTTTTTTTACCCTTATGTTGTATGACTAGGACTGGCCAAAGCAAAAGCCCTAGACTCCTTTCCGTGCTGTACCTGTGGTTAATGAGAAGACCTCTTCGGGCGCTACATTAGAGTTAGTAGAATCAAATACAATTGAGCGCTATCTTGTTCCAAAGTTCAAGTTGCTAGGATCAAATATCTGGGAGGAGCATCTAATCGACCAATACCTCCATAGCGCAGAGACGTTGCAGCAGTTGTTTGGACTTAAAGTGCTCTCTGCCAGTCCCGAGATTCTAGTGGAAGAGGAGGTTAATAAGTTTCAAAAGGAAGTCCTTGCGAATTGGATCTCAAGCCATGAAGAACACTTAAAGCAGAACGGTAATTAGGGTCATTATGTTGGTCATAGCGTTACTCTAGCAGACATCAAGACTGCTCAGGTGATTGACGGTATCCTATTGCTGGTGCCTAAAGGGGTGGAGGTGCCCTTGTCTGTGGCCTTGACTCCTTCGCTTTGGAAAGTCAAGGAGGCTGTTGAGAGTTGTACATCATATATAGAATGGAAGGGAAGCGACTGCAACGATGAGCTTGACATAAATACTAAGGCTCACTTCCAGTTTAAGTAGGAATATTTTTTCATGAACTTCTAAGCTCAGACATCGCGTTACAAGTGGCAAATGAATGCCAAAATAAAAAATAAAAACAGAAAAATCTGCCAAAAAAGTCTTTACGACAGAGCTGGTTTCTGAACCTTTCCTTTTTGTCATGTCCCTCACGGCTCTTGTCCGCTCTTTCTGAAATACCTGTTTCAAAGCAACAACAACAACAATAACAACGAGCACAAGTTGTATTTGGAGTAGTAGAGTTTCTTACCCATTCACTTTCTTTGTCGGTCGTTTAATCGTTTGATTTGCAGTAGCAACGTCACCTGGCAGTAGAAGCCTATTATGAGTGCAAGTAGACGGAAGACAAATGCGTTGGCGCAATCGTCTACTTCGGAGACAACAGCTCCAGTTTTATCTGGTGCAGAGATGCTGGTGCTTCAACAGAACATTAAGCAGTACATCATCACCAGACAGGTAGAATCAACTCTCACTGTACATCCGAACACAGAAAGCCTCAAAGACGTCCGTTTAATTATTTTTTATTTTTTTATTTTTTTTTATATGTGATAAATTGTTATACAGACACGAGCATTGACAGCGCATGAGCTAGAAGAGTTTGAGAAAATCAAAGAAAAACTGTTGCCAAATCTTCTCCGATACTCCCAACGCGCTCCCTCAGTCCTCACCAGCGAACCCAATGAAAAGAGTACTGAAAGAAGACGTGGAGTGCCTGTCATAACCTCAACTGCACTGACAGATAGGGAGACAATCGCGTCATCACGACCAAATACTGAAGCTTTTCCATCACAACGTACGACTATCCAATCACAGAGCAATATACCTGCCCTTGAGGCTCCAGCTAAAGCCAAAGCGAAAGCTAAAACCAAAGCTAAACCCATGTCCAAGGCAGGTCCAGCAACGGCAAGTACAGATAACAAACAATCAGCAGCTAAGACGGAACCACTGCAGTCGAATACTGGTCCATTAAACTTGACTCAGGCGTCAACTACTGCAGCTTCTAGTCGTGAATCTGTAGGAAATACAGCCAAGAAAGGAGACAACAAGAAGCGACCCAAGATCGAAATCTATCAAGATCCTGAAAATGTGCCACGGAAGAAGAGGGCTCGCGCAAAAGCTCAAGAGGGTGATGCAAATGATTCGGACAAGGAGAATAGGAATCCGCTTGATTCGACTTCTTCAAAGCCAAAAAGGAAAGCACTTGGAGATAGCACCAATGTTGTCAATACAGCCAACGTCAACACCAATACTAAACAGAGGAATAGAAAGGACAAGGGTGTGATTCATGAATCAACCTTGAAAAACCCAACTATTCAGTCAACATTGAAATCCACTACCACTGCCGCTACCCCTACCTCCAAGGCATTATCAAATCAGGGTACGCAACGACCTCAATTGCAACGTTCTAGAATAGACTCAAGGCAACCTTCAACCAAAGTAGTATCTTTTAAAACTCCTCTGGAAAGTACATTGGGGCCACAGGACAAAAGGGAGATATCTCAGGAACATGTAACAAATCACCCACCTGTAGATGTGGAAACAGAGGAGTATGAGCAGCCAGAAACCCCGGCGTATGATCTCTCTCAACAAAATAGCGAAGCAGAGGCCAATGACCTAGCTGTAAATGTCTCTACATCGATTCGAGCTCCAAGAAAGAGCAAAGACTCCGTGATAGAGATCTTGGCTAGCGTGGAGGATGATGACCCAGCTGCCAGTTTTGACCCATATATCAAATCAGAAAAAGCATCACCTGTGCGCCGTATACCTGTAGTGGATTATGAAATCATACCAGACTCAGAGGACTCGAACGAAGAAGAAGCAACACTTCCAGCGCCAAACTTTTTGCTTGATGATCTTCCCGAGGAAGAAAATGAGACGACGACGGCCGTGACTAGCAACTCTCCTGTGCATAATGCGATTGTGGACCTACATGGAGATGAACCAACGTTACCCATGCCTGACTTCCTGTCAAATGGTGCGCCTGAGGATCTAGAAGATCAGACTACGGAAGAGAGAATGACTTTGAGTGATTTGTTGGCCGAAGATAGGCACCCAGATGAGCATATAGACTCTGCTCTGCCTTCGACAGAAACTACATTCGTTGCTACTCAGGGATCTAAATCTGATGTTGGTATCATGGAGAGCACCCGTTATGCTGACGGCGTCTGGTGTATAGAGGATTGTGAGAGTGGTGTGGTCTCAGCCGTGTGCGGATATACTAAGCAATGGATCGCGATAGAAACAAACCAGCATGTGCGGTTTTTGCGGTTGATTGGTGACAGTCTCTCGGAGAGCAGGTGGTTTAAATATTTAGAGGTGAGCAAGGAGTTTATGTCTCCAATGCAGGTATGTTCCAGTGGCTTTGTGTTCATTGTGGTTAATTGCTCGTAAAAAAAACAACTTCTATATTTCACCGCAATTTCCTAAATCAGCCATCTGTCATCCTCTATCATTTAGCTCATATTTGCACCGGATGATTCATTCGCGATTCTCTTGAACCCGATTGAGCAGTCATTTATAAAAGTATCTTTGGACGGTGTTGACGACTGGAAGGATTCAACGACCAACTATAAACAAGTTTCATGGGCTGGAACAAAACCTTTTTTATTATGTAGAAGCCTAGTTGTCAACGCGCAAAATCAAGGTGCTGAGGCTTCATATCAACTCGTATTCGCTGCAGATAAGCCAGGATCAATTTGTCTTATACCTATCCCGAACGATGATGATCCTGTCACTTCAAAAGTATCACCACTGATGATGTCTATTCCTGGAGCCCGAGGGCCTGTGAATTCTGTTCTCAGTATTCGCAATGCTTCATCACTGATTCTTGCATCTTGTGAACACGAATTAGTTCTATGGTAACACGAGATGGACATGTCTTTTACTACAAATATTTACGTGACTAAGGGAAGTGCAAATTCTGACCATTTTGTTTTTTCTTTCAATCGCAGGGATTTGAACGACCATACAAAACCAGTATCAATCGTAGATACCTCATTCGTCTTGCCATCATCTCTTCCTCGTTACTCCTCATTAAATCGTCAAATACCAGAGGTTATGTTCGCAACCGTTCCAACACACTTCTTCAAACAGTACAAACACATCTTGGATTCGGAGGGTATACCATACTCTCAATGGCCTATCCTAGCAGTCCTCAAGACGTGTGATACTGAAGTGGATGATTCTGACAGGAATGAAGTTGATCGTTGTGCTTTGTTTGTGATAAAGGGCAACCTTATTGAGCTTGTGCACAAGTTTCAGGGATCTGCATCCATTTCTTTTGCTGCATCAACACCACGGTTTGTTACCTGTAGTGTCAAACAAAACGGAAAAGATGCCTTGCGTGTGTGGGACATTTTGAAATCGGAACCAGTGATCCAGTTGTCAGTCATGGATCCGCCGCCACGCCTCGATCTTTCTTCTTTCTGGAGTGAACCATCACAACAACCTCAACAAGCCAGTGATTCAATTCATCAGGAAAAAGTGCCACAGAGAGTAAAACGAGACAAGGCTGATCGTGAGGAAGAAGCGGACGTTTTCTCTGGCGTATCAACATTGTCAAGCCCACCTGATCTTTTCTCATCTTCGCCGTATCCCTCTCCCGGAGACGGATCTAAATGCCCCCAGCAGAGGGATACCCCAGTGTTGACACTCTCAGGATCAGGAAACCCTTCAGAAATACCATCCCGACTGACGGAGAAATCTGACCCTAACTCTGGCCATAGTCGCCTATTGCGACAGCCTGAGAGGTCGATTAACTTGATATCTGTTTCGTTGATGGAGCGTAAGCATATACAATTTGCAGTACAGCCAGAGCAACATTGGGTTGTGGTCGTGCAGCAGGATATGTCTCAACAGAACCCAACTGTCATTCACATTATGGACTTTATGTCGATACTCTCAAGTGAGTCTGCATAACGGATGGATTTCGCACAGATATCATGGGACATTGATTTTAGTTCAAGTGCACTATTTATAACACCTATATAAGGACGTCTTACAAGATTTGTTGCTGTTGCTGCTGCTGATTAACTTCCCAGTCGACAGTGATTTTGGATTGGTCAGAGATTTCATTGCAATAGTAGTGTTTTCTAACTCCACTGTGTTTATCGTACGTTTCCTGACTTTTCAAGCGATTGTTGATGATACTGTCTTCAATTTCAAGAAGATATGGAATTGTGATCTTTTCTGCAAAGTCTTCAAGCGAGAATTGCATCTGTAGTTATATTAAAGCATTGTCCCAAATATGTCCAGATAAAAAAAAAATACATATTAGTATTTATCTTTTTTTTTTTTTTTTTTTTTTTTTGTTTTTTTCATGTTGCCACTAAGGCAGATAGTAACCTACATGTTCGCCTTCCATGACGTCGAACACAAGTTTTCCGGCTCGGTCCATGGTCTTGAGACCTAACCAGTCTTGTTTATATTGATCTTGATCTTTTAGGTCTATAATCTCGCCATTTTCGTCTTGGAAACCAAACCACTAATAACAATAATAAATAGGAGAAAGGGTCAATAAGTCTGTTACTGCCACGATGATATTAAAAAAAAAAAAAAAAAAAAAAGATATGTAAAGAGAGAAATGTAAAACGCATTGATTGGAAGGAAAAAAAAAAAAAAAAAAAAAAAAAAAAGGTCGACTCACAGCGGTCTCTTTGGGTTTGACAGTAATGTCCTGGAGGAACATAAACATAACCAATTTGTTGATACTGGTGAGTTTATTTTTGTAGGTAGCATTCTTGGATTCTAATTCGTTATTGATGTCTGGAAGGAAGATGTTTCTTTCAAGGTAGGTTTGCAGATTGTGTGGGTCCTAAAGATGTATTATGAAATATCGAATCAGTACTTTGAACCTTTTTTTTTTTTTTTTTTTTTTTTTAATAAGGTACAAAGAGTATAGAGTGTCACCTTGAAATATTGTGCCTGGACGATACGTTCTCTTACGTATCCGTTATAGACACCACCTCTGGCAATGGAACGCATCAGACGACAAGAGGGATCTGGAGAAAGACATCCAGGGATATCAACGACCCCGCCATGTTGTGACCCTACTGTGATCAAGTTATGGACCGGAGGATCATTACAACGTTGAATATAGGCACGTAAAAATTGTCCTCCTTGAGAAAACCCGACAGCATTAAACCCATCTTTGAGGTCTGGAAGATCTTTGAGTTGTCGACAGACTTGTTCTATCTGAAGATTCACATTGCCAAAGAAGCCTGCACGTTGGTCATCTGCCTCGGATGAAGCAAGAGATACACTGTGGATAAAGATTTCAGGAGCGAGTGCACGGATAGAGTCAAACAGTTGGAGCATGCCCTTGGAGTGTGCAGAGTCACCCATGCCATGGTAAAACACCACAGGACGAGGTCCAGATTTCTTTATAGGACTATCAGAAGTAGGAGTGGGAGCAGCCAAGACCGTTATTGCGACATCAACGAGCGCAACAGAAACTGAGAGTGCAAGAGTAAATACGAGCGAACGCATGGAGTTGTTTGCGATGGTATTGGAATGAAATGCAATGAATGGCAAAAAAAAAAAAAAAAAAAAAAGGCAAATGGAGATTAAGAGAAATGGGCTTCGCCCGCGTGAACAATTATGACTTGTTTGCATGTGCAAGGTCTCTGAACCGTTGGCATATTGTCAAATAGATGAGCAATATTTGTATATTTCTTACCCCTGTTTCTTTCGCAAACATCACCCGAGTAATACACGCATTTTTTTTATTTTTTATTTTTAACATTGTTCTTCCATTCTTTCTACAGCTTTATACTTGTCATCGCTTATTGCACCTTGGAGAAGTATGGTGTCATGAATTCAAAGAAGGCAAATTGGCTGGGCTCGGTGCCATATCTGTACACAAAACGTGAGGCTAGATATGATCCAAAAATCGCTCGGACATAGTTCTCAGGTACACGCTTCATTAAAGTATCCAATCCCAATTGCTTCAGCAATAGGTTGGGGAAAGCCTCCTCCAACACGACCTTGCGCAATGGCACATTGTCCCACAACGACGTGTGCTGTAAGTCCTCATTCAGCTTCACAATTGCCAATGACAGCTCGTCCGATAGGATCGATCGTGGTGTCCTAGTCCGCTGATGCTCTCTCCACAAGGCCTCAAACTCTAGTTGCGCATTGCGCTCAATGATCGCTTGTACTTCTTTAACATAATCCTGATAGAACGCTGGGATATGGCTCTCAGTCACTTGCATGTGTTCTGCAAACTCTTCATCCGTAAACGCCAATGCAGCAAGGACTTCTAAAGAGGATGAGGTGACTCCTCCCTTGTTAGCTGATGCATCTTTGAACACGATCGCGCCTGCACGCTCCAGACGAAGACGAGCCTCTTGTGTAAAGAACAAGTTAGCACCCTCAACAATATACTTGAATCGAGGGTGGTTCTCGTGATCAAGCAAACGACCCACATTCTGGAGATCCACGGATTCTGGGCGACCACCACAGGGTACAAAGACTTGACAGCCCACCATCGGGTTTAAATGGAAGTTGTTGCGGAAAGATAGACCATCATCAACGACTTCTCCATATGGCAATTTAACATTAACCTCATCCACCAACACTCGGAATCCTTTTGGCGAGAGTTTCGAGACATCAAAGTTTGAAATCATGAGACGACTTTGAGCCAAACGGTTCAACTCTGTTCGATTAATACCCTCTGGGTCATACAGAACACCTGAGCCATCGACAATACCACATGTCTTGTCCTTGGAGATTTTGATCTCGTTCGAACCCAAGTCTCCATCAGGACCTCCTGTCTGCAATTTAGTGCAGTTTTCTTCCTTAAGCCCCAGTTTGCGATAGATACCAAGAACATACTGATGGACTGAGCGTGTAGTCATACCATAAGTATCGTGAGGAATGCCTCCTAGAGACTGGGACTTGCCTGTGGTGAAGGCCTTCCAGAAACTCGCTCCACGCTCACGAGCATGAGCAGACGCCCAGTCCATGTAATCTGCTGTGCCTTCGTCTGGCCCGAAGAATAAGATCTCGGGTTTCTTGTATAGATCTACAATGCGTTCCTTGATACCAGGAGTTTGACCAGCAATTAGCAGGTCTAGAATAGCATCCACATACTTTTCAAACGCCACAAGAGGCTTGTCCTGCTGGTTAACATCTAGTAAAATTGTGCCCTTGGAACCGCCTTCAGGGATATCTTTGTTCTTGCGCTGCTGTGTGGCTGCTAACGCGTAGTTCTCATCAAAGAGCGAACGCAAGTTGATAGAATAGGCCTCTCGATTACGCGAACGGATGATTCGGATTCCTCCACGGGCGACATCTCGGAAGCGCAAGTGGAAGCCACGGAACTCGGATCCAATGACTAAAAACATCCCAAAGAGCTTAGTTGGGTACTCAATCTCAGGTAAGAACGAAGGATCCATGCGGAAGGAGAGAGCAACCTTTGTGGGTTGATAAAAGTTGGTTTTGAGGACATGCTTGTTGAAGATCAAAAAAGACTCAAAGACCATTAACTCGTGTGAGTTGGAAGTGGTACGTTTGATCTTTTCGTAGAGTTGTTCTTCTGTCAAGATGTTGTCAGTCCTGAGACGTTGGTACGACAACGTGGGCTTGAGTGAATTGATTGCAGGATTTACATAGTGAATCATTGCAAAGTTGATGTAGAGCAGCTTGATGAGTTCTGGGTATGTTTTGATGATCTCCAGAATATAATCGCGGGTGAATGTGTCCGTGCGGAGGCGTTTCTTCATCTTGGAAAGCACACCCTGATGAATGGAATTATGGGGATCTAAAATATTGACCAGAGATGTATACTCGTTTCCAAGACGGTTCAAAAAATGCTGAGCAAAGATCCAGCCGATATAGCCGTAGATCGACTCCTGAACAGAGAGCTTGCCGGTCTGGAAGAAGGTCTGAAGAGGGGTTGTGGGCAAGCAGTAGATCAGTGAGGCCTCTTTGATGATTTGGTGGATTGAGTGCTCAATAGGAGGCGCAGTTGACTTTGGGATCTGGTTTAGATACAGAGAGACGATCGTGATGCCATTGGAGAATTGCTCCACGTACTTGCGAGTCGAGTACAATTCGTAAAAATGGTAAAGATCTGAAATGGCAGAGAAAAACGATTGCGTTGTCTGTTGTTTGTAGGCAATAACGAGACGGCGCTCACGCGAACCTTCGACCTCAAACATCTCAATGACAGGGCCTGTCCTGCTAAGCGCCAATTTCATGATGTTAGAATAGATCTCAAGAGTATTCTCGGTCGCCTTCTCAAGGAAAGACTTGTCAGCGGTCTCGCGGATGTCGGTTTCCTGTTCCTTTGTCGGGGATGGGTTCACGAATGTGCACTTACGCACGAAGTAAGTGCGAAGTTGAGTTGATGATGAAGATGATACTGTTCCCTTGGATCGATAAGATTCGAGACGGTACGCATTCTCAACGTTGCTGACATCGAGGTACTTTGAATCAATTCTGTAAAAAAGCAAATATGTTTGATGTTCACTCTTAAGTAAGCAATCCACTAAGCACGAAAATGAACCTTAGCCAAAGACTCAATATTCAACACCCGATGCTGGTTGCAAGGACATATTAATCCGCACTGATCTCTATTTCCTGTTCCTCCAATGAGTCCAACTATCTTTTATTTGGAATGCTTGAGAGATTATTTGGATATGATACATGAGATTCCAACATTCCAAAGGTTAATTGATAATAATCATGTGCTTATTCTCTCTTTTCTATCTCTCGTTCTCGTTGGGTTTGTAGTAGGGGGGTTTTTTTTTTTTTTTTTTTTTCTGAAAGAAAGGACGGGATCAATTGCTTCCATGACGCATAGATACGACATTCAGTCGTCAAAGGAATCAAAGCGGGAAAAGACTAAAACTAGTTGGAGTCAAGGACTCCAATGGGTGCTAAACATTCAATCATGTCTCTCCTCTCTTCCCATTCCTGAAATAAGATAAACTATTCAAAAACCAATTCTTGGCCCAGGTGAACCTTATTCACCTTAATACTTCCACCATCTGCCATTTCTCAAAAAGCATTAAAGAACCAAGCAAGATCCCTTTGATTTAAAAAGAAAAAAAAAGGGAATGATAAATAACCATGGATAGCATGCGATTCAAAGATTGATTTTTACCGTTTTTCATGTTGAGGGCCATAGAGTTGTGAAACACCAGGGCTAGATGTGTGGATGTAAACAGCGCCTTCCTCAGTTTCACGCTCAAGGTTGATGTCAAGGCCATTGTCGTTCTTGGTATAGGCAAAGATTTTGGCGCCATATAGAGCCAAGATATGGTTGGCGATGGATTCGATTGACTCTGATGCAAAGTACATGTCGTCAATACCAAGGTTACTATTTTATAAAGATAATAAAAATAATAAACGTTAGCAAATTAATTCGTAAAATGAATCACTCGAAATTTTATGTTTTGCAATTTTTTTTTTTTTTTTCTCATCATGGATGCAGAAGCTTCATTTCATTCTCATTATTTATTTTTTAATGGCTGTAAATGCTTACCCATAGAACCATGATACTTCATTTTGAGCAAGAGCAGCGGGAATAAAGGCTTTTTCACTCAAATACTCGGTAACTTGGACCATCTGCTCCTCCTTGCCAAGGAATGCATTCTCGATATATCCAGATGTGTCCTTGATTGTGTGAGACAGACTATTACGTCCAGGGACAAAACCAGGAGTCAGGAAGTTAGACATGGCTTAAAGAATAACAAATAACAGCTCTAATTCGGTGGAAGAGTGAAGGGAGAAAAAGTATAAAAAAAGAAAGAAAGAAAGAAAGAAAGAAAGAAAGGAAGGAAGGAAGGAAGGAAGGAAGGAGGAAAGGAAAGAAGAGAGGAGTGACAAAATGAAAATGACACGGTAGTATAAAGAGGGGAAGAGGAAAAGAGGAAAGAGGAAAAGAGGAAACTAAAGCGTAGAAGAGAGAGAGAGGAAGAGAAAGAGATGTGATAGAAAGGAGAGGAAGTGACTTTAATTGAATAACAAGGCAAAGCAATGAGCAATCCAAATAAAGCAAAACATTCCCACGGACACACCCAGGCACACCCAAGGCACAAGCAGCTAATCAATGAACTTGCCTCATTCTTGTCTTTCCTCTTCTCTTCTCTTCGTCTTCCTTTCTCTGCCTCTATCTGTTCCAATCCATGCCTATTCTCTTTTCTATTCACATATGAAAATCATAAGAAAGCAGAAACATAAGAATAATTTACTTTTATCTATACAATATAATTGAAAGCGCACGCAATCGCCGCCTCATACACTACTTTTTCTACAAATTAATAAAAATAAATCAATCAATCAATTAATCAATAAACAAGATGACCTAGCAGCTACAATATAAAAAACACTATTGCCGTGCTGTAGGTGGAGTTGGAGGTGGCTGTGAAATAGTCGAGAATGCGTTCCATGGAAAGTAGTCGTCAAAGATCAGTGAGTTCTGTTGGTTCAATAACGGCTGTGTATTTTGTTGTTGGAGTTCCTGTTGCCGCAGCTCTTGTTGATGGTGGAGCTGCAGGTATCGGATCAGGTTCGTTGGCGTTGCTTGCATACCCATGTGGTTATAACTCTGTCCTGCTTGGCCTCTTTGGTTATCATTATTGCTGTTACTATTATTATTAATGGCATGATAAGGATCGTCCGGCATGAGGAAGTTATGGAGCTGAGGAGATATGTTAAACAGCTGACTTGGATCTGAGTTGGGGCTAAGGGGCTCTAGGGATCTATTCAAGGGAGTAGAAGCCGAACCAGTACTTGAAGTAACAGGACTGGTGCCCGTGGCAGCTACTGTATTCAAGTCATCATTCATCAGTCCTGATCCACCTGTTCCCGAGGATATCCCAACGCTATTGTTCCCTAATCCCATGCCTTCCTGCATCATCGTTGGCGATACCTGAAACGAGTTGGATAAAAAGGAAATATCCCCTTGAGGTAGTGCAAAGTCAAATATCGATCCTAATGACTCTGTTTGGATTCGCCGTGTCTGGCTGCCATCATAATTGGTGCCATATACCAATGGCAAATCAAACGGCGTCATGGTCGATGATAGGCCTTGTGAAGAGAATCCTGACTGATTTGGTAATGACGAAGATGAAAAGAACGAAGCTGAAGTGAATCCACCAGCCGGTCCAAATGCAAGGGAGGGCGATTGTGCGGATTGTCCCTGTTGCAGTCGTAGTTGCTGCTGTTGTCGCTGTATGTTACTGTTTTGAGCCATATCAATGGACTGTGCAAGTACTTCATGCTGTTGCTGCGCATAGATGTCCATTAACTGACGACTCACGTTCCCTGATGAAACAGCCGGTCCAGTTACTGTTGACTTTGGAGGTCCAGAGGCTGGTTGAATCCGCATTGGCTGAAGGATATACGACTCTTGTAGCTTCAGCTGCTGGGGTTGCTGTATGACTGTATGTTGATAGGTCGATGACGCTGTTCCAAGAGTTTCGTCACCAGGCGCTTCAAAGCTCGACATAGCGTTTCGAGTATTTATTGATCGAGCCTCGTCTGCACTCTCCTGAGTATCCATAACCGAAGACGATGTAGCTGCTCCTTTAAAAGTAGGCTTGGGCTCTTTAGCTGTTTTACTGGTTCTAGCTTGTTTCGCACTCCTAGGGTTAATTGATTCTTCTCTATGCCGCTTCTCAACTTCAGTTAACAAAGTTGGTGTGGACTGTTGTGTCACCTCATCCACTCCCTCGACAGTAACGTTGCCCGATATATCAGAGCCCGCAGATAAAGTGGGTACATCCACCCTGGATCTCCATCTTCTATCAAATTCTTGGTTGATCTGCTGTATTTCTAGGGCATTCATCCTTTCGCGATGTTCCCGGAGCGCCTTATCCTCTGGATGCAGCTCCCTCTTCCCCTCAAGTCCTTTGTTTTGCCGAGGCGCTTCCTCTGACATAGATAGACGATGCTGCTCCTGTTTTGCCTCATCTAGGACCTGCATCTCCGTCGCGCGCCTCCAAAGCGCAATCAAACCGGAGTCGCTCTTAAGGAAAGAGCTAATCGACGCCAGTTTTCCGCTCGGTTCCGAGCCGTTAGTTGAATCTTCTATGCCTCCAGCCCCTCGATTGTATCCGGATTGGGTATCAAAGGATTCTGACGGCTCTCTTCTAGCAAAGGGGTTATCACCTTGACCCGAGCCTTCTTGTGTTGCAGTCTGCAGTATTGATTTCCTTGACGCTGAAGAGCTAATTTTGGATTGGATAGAGTAAAGGTCACGAATGATATAAAAGAACTTGTCTGCCATTGCCCAGTACGATTTCATGGTTTGAAGGATTTTGACATGGGTGCTGAGGCTGCGCCTTGCTCGAGAGGCAACTGTTGCATCGGATGCAAACGCGTTCGTAATGTGACTACGAACGGAGAAGATAAGAGAATAAATCATGGATCGCTCCCCGTTTGAGTTTTTCTTCAACAACGCTTAAAAAAAAAAAAAAGAAAAGATAAAAAAAGAAAGTCGAGTCTCGTATGTGTAGAATACTCACATTGTAGCTGTCGTGAACACTGGATAAGCAAAAAAGGCTGAGATAAAGATCCTAGGCGGACAATTATACGATTGTACAAGCTCAAGTACATCAGAGACCTTGCTCGCAGCATCAGCACACCGTGAAACAGAGTTCTCAACGAACTTGGGGTCATGGGGGAATGCTGCCTTATCTGCTGCCAAGATGGGTCTGTGAAGAAGCACAACGGCTGTGTGATAGATGATATGCATAAAGACGATAATGCAGCCCTCGCCTTTGTGCTTGACCAGCCTTCCGTTCTCGAATGAATCGGTGAGATGAGACGGAATAGATTTGTGCCAGGCAGTCAATGCTGCATCAATCACCGAGAATTCTGATCCGCGTTGACTCGGAGGGATGGCCTTTTTGGATCGCGGCCGGTTCACATACTGGGAGACCTTGCCGAGCACAGCTACAATGCGGATTAAGTACGCAAATGAGCTGAGAACATGTCCACCGCCTTGTCGCTTGGATTTTGATGATGTTGATATGCTATCAGTCGACTTTGATGTTCCCGATTCTAAACTATTGGGTGCGGTATGTTCAGCTGAGCTTGTTTCTGTTGTTGAGACAGTAGACTGTAGTCCGGGTACACTCTCATCTGGTTTCTGAGATTCTGAAGTTGGCTCTTGCTCGGTCCCTGAAGAAGAGTCCTCTCCATCATCGAGCATTTCTGTGACGACTGGCCGTTCATCGCACCAATCATGATCCTCGCTCGGCAATAATACTTCACAGTCTCGTTCATCCATCATCCGTGGCCTTCCTGAGGATGATGATGCCAAGATATCTAACATAAAACACGCCCAAAATGTCCTCCGCCGCGTCTCTCGCATGACCCAATCCCCCTTAAGGTGGAACACGGGGCTGCTGTCTTCCCGGTTTAAACCCAGTTCCTGGGCCATTCGGACAGCCATACCTCCGAACATCCATGCTCTTGGGCCTCTAGCGGCCCCATACTCATACATAGATAAGAACAACAATGCTTGAACATTTGAGACTGTAGGAGTGTCGATCGATTCAACTAGCATACCGCGGACGTTGGTAGCAAAGGGCTCTCCTGCTAAAAATGCTGGTGTGGTGACAACATCCGGATGTGTGGAAAAGCGGGCAACGGCAGCACACATGGCATTGAGTAGACCGGGTGAAACTTTTCCTTCTTTGTACTGCTTCATGAATGTCCCAGGATGGATAATAGGTAGCTGAAAGTAGATAGAGTCAAAGAAAAGGCTGACAAGATGATCTAAAATGTCCTTCCTTGGAATCTCGTCCTTGATACCATAGATCGGGTTCTTGGGTCGACCCTCGCGAGGCTGCGTTTGTCCAGAGTTGTATTTAGCTCCAACGACATCCATAACTGAACTGCTCTGTTTCCCATATTCTGTATATTGTGATTTATAGCCAGATGTCGTCCCAAAATAGCGCTCATCTGGATCTATCCATACTTTTGGCTCGCCCTGATCACCGCTCTCGGATGCTTCAGGAGAAGCAGACCGTCTACTATTACTGCCTGGACGAAGACGCGAGTTGAAGATTGACTTTGAGTCCAAAAGTTCAGGATCAATTGCTGAGGGGCCATGTTGTAGCAGCTTCTCCATCTTGTCCAGTCTCTTTTCCAACAATTCAATGTATCCCTGTCTTGGGCCTCGTTTCTTCATGCTGGGTAGATAGGTGCAATTAGCATTGAGCTTGGTACAGTTGGCACAGCTTGGCTTGACACCATCTAAAAAAGAACATGGAGGAAAAACCAAAAAAAAAAAAAAAAAAAAAAAGAGCAAACACAAAAAAGCGCGCATGCAACAACAAACAACACAAACAACAAACAATGCAGAGGTTAGTCGCTAAAGATGAATTGCGCATAATTGTCTAGATAGCTCTCTCTCTTTTTTTCAATATTGCATTGCCCAATAACAACTCATTGTTGCTACTTTGTTGTTTGGATTTCATTTCACTTGGAACCTTTCCAGACGGGGAGTGCGCGTGCACAGTAAGGACAGTTGTTGTTTCTATCCTTTTTTGTACAATGTCGCTGACCAATTCTCAATTGTCATTTCAAACGGACGTATACACACATTTCATCGTGTCATGCAATGGCAACTTGCCATGCGTCTCTTTGTTACATACCGCATTTGATTTTCTTTTTACGACAGGGATCGCAGGCTTGAGTCAATCGTTTTCTCTTGACTGGTGTAGTTTCATCTGCAGTTGAATTCCCTTTTGTGTGTTTTTGTTCTTGTCCTTGACTCTGTTCTTGCCCCTGGACATGGTCACTGTCATGGTCGTGGCCATAGTCGTCATGGTCATGATCGTCTCCTGATTCAGAGTCTGAATGTTGTTCTTCACTCGCTCTCGAGGAGGCTCCCAAAACAGTATTCTTCTTGGGCATAGTAGGACGACTTTTTTTTTTTTTAGTCTCCACTAGGTGCACACAGACTTGAACTCACACTCGCAGACTTCACACCTGCTGAATAAAACTGGCAGCTGGTTCCTGTCTCTAAGAATTAAAGCTAAAGAGGGAATTAAGTGGTGAACGTCCTCAATTAGCTGCTCCTTTTTCAAAGAGCAGTCCAGTTGGTTTTTTTTGCTTGATTTGGATGTGCCAGCAAGGAGAATGAAGTGGACAAGATATTGGATATGACGGAAAGGAAGGAATGAAAGATGATTCACTATTCCAGTAAACAAAAAAATATATAAATATAAAAAAAGTAATCGGGTCTGAAATTTGCGTGAGACAATTCGGTGGATGTATGAATTTAATAATTTTTAGTTTTAATTTGTCGAAGCATTTGATGGGTTGGATATGATATGCAAAAGGTGGATTGATGGTGAAAGGAAAGAAAAGAAATGTAAAGGATGGACTTTGTGAACATGGAAAGTGAGTAAAATGGCGACATCTCTTCAGGTTCTTTATGAAGTGTTAGCGGAATGCCAATTATATACCTTGGACTACCAAAAAGAACAAAGGGACCTGCTTTAAAAAGACCGCCCTGTTTCGCACATGAAAATGGTGCCCGATTTTCACAGTAGATCTATGATCGAGTTGGAAGAGCTCCCAGTCGCTCTTTAAATCCATTGCATCTCACGGATTATTCGTTTATAAACAAGAACATGCAGTAAAAGAAGATAGAAACCCTGACCACTCGTCAATGCGTTCCTTTTTTTTAATTGCTCATCAATCATATCGAGTTCCTAGAATAGAATTTGACAAGGTCTTGACATGTGCACACTCAAAAGGTTGCATAAGAGTCTTTCCACGCAGACTATCACGTTAATCTGCTTTGGTTATTCAGAATACTCTGCTGGAATAGAAAACCTGCCAAGCCTATATTACATACAGACGACAGCGCTGTAGAAGATACCTCTATTGTTTGTCCTTTTGCTTTACTTCATTAGTTCCGAGCTCATGTCCTTGATTCTTCTATTTGATATTATAATTACAAGTGCATCTCTCTATCTCTCTCTCCTGATCTCGATTTCTGCCCATCAGTCTTTCGATCCTTTTTTTTTATTACTCTGCCCGGGCACGAATGATCTTGACCAGCTCTTTGGGTCTATCGTTTGAATCGGTTGCAACTAGACCCATCCTGTTGACCACCCTGAGGCCCGCAGAAACACGTCCAAAAATCGTATGTTTATTATCTAGCCATGGTGTTGGAGCCAGCGTGATGAAAAACTATCCAACAAAAATTCATGTTGATGTATCAATGTTAGTGGTATTAATAGAGAGAAAAAAATAAAAATAAAAATAAAAATAAAATGTTGATAATAATAATTTATCCTGCAAATTTGAAAAATCATCTTTGAATTCTCAATTTTGTTGATTATAACTTTACCTGCGATCCATTAGTGTTGGGTCCAGAATTGGCCATACTTAAAATGCCTGCGCCTGTATGCTTAAGAGCAGGATGGAATTCATCAGCAAATTTATCACTATTGAATCAAGAAAGACTATTAGCAATTAGCAAACACGTAATGCTATAGCAATAGTAACAGACCACATCAGCCATTTTATGAGAATCAGAATAGTGAGCAAAGGTAATGGATCATACCCGTAAATAGACGAGCCGCCTCTTCCGGTTCCCGTTGGATCCCCGCCTTGGATCATAAAATCAGGAATAATACGATGGAACTTGAAAACGAAAGTGAATGTCAAATGAAAATTATTATTCGTTCATTCACTCTGATATCTTGGTAGATCAGGTTATAGGCTTCAATCAAGTTGAATTAATGCAATGACTGAAATAAAAAAAGCCATAAGATCGACTATGGTTGGCATTGCCGATACCTACAATAACATCGTTATAGTAGCCCTTCCTTGCCTAATTTCATGTTGTAGTGATTGGACCTTTCACGTCAATTGCTTCGTAAATAGTATGAAGTCGCTCATTAATGACATTATCTCAGGAGCATTTTGTTGAGAGCCCAATATCCACTTACGAGTTCATAAAAGTTTTTACAAGTCTTTGGCGCGTGTTCTGTATAGAGTTCGATGGTAATCTCTCCCTACATAGGATTCCAAGAAAAATGTCAGAATGCCAATCCTTACAGTTACAACCCTGCATTGGCGACACTACTAATTCCGCTTTTCTTATTTTTTTTGTCATCATCCTGTTTTACCATTGATGTTTCCAACACTACAGTCGACATGGCGTCTTATTCTTTTTATTTTTTATCCTTTAGTTGTACAACGAGAGATGCTTTTTTTTTTTAGTGATTCATTTTGTAGTTGCTCTTATAGTAGAATGAGACCAAAGCCACAGATGAAATGTATACTTGGTAACTTGGGCACACTTCGAACAATCTGGCACTATTTCATGTCTATTTGATATTTCTATGGATTCATGCCTTACTCTGAACGCAGAGACCTACACCAAGGACTACCATCGCCATCCCCAGCCACGAACCTGATTACCAACAGATCAATAGGATCGAAAGGGGATTTTACATTAGTAGAGAAAGAAGCATTAAAAATAGTCCAGGCTTCATCAAGAGCAGTGACGGACTTACGAGGCGATCCTATGCTCTCTCCCAAGAGGATGCCAGCCAGAGTTGTAAAGATGAATGTAAGCGAGTTAGTAATGGGTACGGCCAAGGACAAATCAGCTTTACCCAGTGTGTGGTAGTAGACAACTGAACCGCAAAGGTTTAGCACCAACGGGACTACATACTATCATATAAAAAAACGAATGTCATTAAAGGAGCAGACCTAATCATTTAAAAAATGTACAAGGAAGGAGTAAGCATTCCAATTTACCTGCCAGCGGGTAAAGAGGTACCAATACTCCGCTGCAGCCTGAGATATCCATGAATTTCGCTTAATAGTCTCTAGACCCTTTGAGCCGTTCTTGATGAATGGGTTGGTGAACCCCCAGCAGAGTGCCACTAAGGTGGTATCATATTTCATTAGGATCGAACTTCGCTTTTTTCTTTTATTTTTACCTAAAAGTCGTAGTATAATCAGATATTCAACATATGAACATGTGCAGAACAGCCCTGTTCTGTTTTCTCTTACCAAGGATAAACCCGATGGCGTTTTCGGGAAGCATGTTGTGAATGTCAATGTGAATATGTTGTAAAAATTGAAATGTGATGAAATGAAATTGAGCGAGGAGGCTTAAATCCGTTTACCTCAAGAAATAGAGAGAGGAGGGGAGCACGCGTCGTGTCGCGCACAAACCAGACGCGTTTTCAGACGCTCAAATCCTTGGGCTACCGTAACTCTGCAATTTTACTTCTTCTGCGATTGTATTGATACACGGTAACCATAGCTCCTATCTAAGAATAAAAAAAAAGTTGGAGGATCAATGGCGCTGCGTGTAAAAGTCCGGCCTTTCGCATTTGACTGGGGGCTCAGTAGTTTTTTCCTGGCAACACTTATGGGCTTTCTTCTTTCTTTCTTCTCTCACTTCCTTCTGCTCAGGACGTAGAAGGAGAATCATCTGAATCCTTTATTCATTCATTCACTCATTCAGCTAATTCTTTTTCTCCGTGAATCCACCTTCATCAATGGTTGCTGCCAAAGACGTGCCACAGGCACCTGCTTTGCCTGCTTCAGAACATGAATTGATGCAGACTATCCACACTGTAGGCTACCGCCATCGCAATACCTATATCCAGAATCTCATCAAAACCCATAAAGAAGCACTCCTCTCTCTCCTACCTGAACTCCTCAAGACTGTTCCCACCATTCTCTCTATTCCTATCCAGCGGCCTCCGCAGGATGAAACCACCTTGTATGCTGACGGTGGAAATCCATCTCCTGAAGCCGACGATGTCTCTCTGCAGTTTCCACAGACCAATGCATCATCTCGCTACGTACAACGTCAGGTTGGTCAAATCATTGCCATGACCTTAGCTCAGAAGGGTTGCAAGGAAGCAATTGCCTTCTTGCTGGCTGATTTGAACCATCCATACCAAGTGGGCAAAAAGCGATTGATCCAGTGCATTGCCACTTTTGCTTCGGACGTCGAAATCCTTGCTGCTACGACCGATACTGCACCTGCTGTTCGCGATGCCCTTGTAGCATCTTTGGTCAAGCAGAAGCGCAAGGGCCTTGCCAATGACATCTTGAGAAAGCCACGCGCGGTATGTAAGCTGTAGATACTTGAGATGGCTGTTCATACTGCACTATTGTAACTAGTCAATGATTAACTGATTCAGCTTGCCTCTTTGTCTTCTATCACTACAGGCGAATAAGGCTGATAAGAAAGAGCCCATCACGACTCGATTCAAACAAGCACTTGCAAAGGCAACAGAATATGAGCGTGAGAAAGTGTGGAAAGCATATAGCAAGATCATTGATGTTGCCAACCAAAATGTAAAAGGCGCTTGTGATCCCGGCGAGTCAATCAAAGACATTATCTTGACCCTCCAAGAGACCTATCCGCCATTGTTCCCTTGGGATGAAGCCAAGCCCGAGGTCAGGACTCCTATGCTAGCTCCATTAATCAAAGAATACATCCTTCTCTTTGTTCAATACGATGCCGAGAGAACATTCCGTATCCTTCAACAGACATCGTATCAAGCTCGTGGTTCCAATCTGGTGTACTCTGCCCATATCCCCAGCGAACTTTATGAAACCAGAAAGGCGCAGAACCATTGGAGCCATCATCCTCGTCACGAGGCAATGTTAGAAAAGTACGTTCTTGATCTGATCAATGTTGGTCAAGGAGAACTCCTCAAGAAGGACCAAATCCCTCAGCTGTTCAGTTGCCTCCGCGGCCCTGCTGTCACTCGGCTGGTACGCGCTGCCTTGAAAGTACTTGAACAAGATGAGTTCAAGATTCGCTCTAAAACACAAGGCAACCAACGGGTGAGGCGTCTGAATAATGTGCTCAAGTTCGTGGTGAAAGGTGTAGACAACCTGGTGCATCGTGTCGTCAACTGCTCTGTACACAAGGATCGTGTTGATTCAACTCAGAAGTTCCACCAGACATTACGAGAGCTCATCCCAGAGCTTTTCTCTCCTGCCTTGGAAGCTCTCCGTATCCAAGATGTGGATGATGATGCGGTCAATGTTCGTCTTTGCAGGAAGATATTCAATCCATTGTTTCGACAGTCCTCCAACTACTGGGAAGCTCACAAACTGTCACATATAAAGCGCTTCCCTCCACTGGCTGAAACTATCTTCGATCAGCTCCAGCCAATGTTCAAAACCAAGACACGCAAGGATAGTGCTGTAATCTCCATAGTTGAAGATCTCTTGGCTGTCCTTGCACCTTCAGATAAAAGCGTCTATGCTCTATCTGATGACGCCTTTGTGCAACCCTTTAGTTCTGTTCCCTCTTGGGACAACTCTGCTGTGTTCCAGACTTGTGTCGCTAACTGCCTGAATAGGACAGGAAAAGCAATGATTCAGCTGGACTCTACATGGATCGAGCACTTTAGCAAGCTGGGCCCAAGCTTGACACAAGCTCAGCGCGATGAGGTAGTCCAATGGATCATTGCACTACCCAGTTTTAAGCCTTTGATCGAGAAGGACCAAGGCGTATCTGTATACCCGATGTTGGAGGCTCTCTGCACCAATGCTGAACTCCGTCAACAGATCGTCCGTCCACTTGTGTTCTATGACAGGAGAGAGAAAGTAGTGGATTTGGGTGACAACCTATCCAACTGGGCATCTTTTGTCGATATCCAAGTCCCAGAAGTACGGGCCCAGCTTGTCAAGGAAACGACCAAGCCGTCTTTTGAGGATCGTCTTAAATGGCTTACTGCTATTATGAAAGCAACTCGTATGACAAAAGATGTGAACCAATGGCTCATAACACTGAAATGGCTGATTCCCAAGTGAGTTACATAGTCTCAGTCTTCCAAGCTATGATGAACTAAACCTTTATGTGCTCCTGGTTTTTTCTAACCTGTAACCCGTTTTTTTTTAATTTTTATTTTTGGAAACCTTATCATCGCAAAGGATCCGCAATGAAATTCAGCCCAACCTCATGGCTTTTGCGCCAAGTCTGTTCCTACGCGACCATATTATCCCGAGGCAATACCTAGATGACGCAGATCTGCAGCAAGCTAATGAGCTATCCGCATTGTACCTCGCCATGGACGCACAGGTAACAGCACATATTTCATATTTCTTTTTCTTTTGCAGGAAAGAAGGGAAAGAAAAGATAGCAATATCCTTGAGCAAGGAAATGACATATATGTCTTTCTAACACCATCAACTTTATTAGAATTCGGCTGCTATCACACCAGTTTCACAGATTACAAGGTTTTTGGACTCTATTGGCGATGCCGCTCTTTCGCGCTTCGCAAACAATGACTCTCACCCATTCTTCCAAATGGGAACAGAGATCCGCTGGCGACGAGTGGTTAATGTCCATGGCGATGTAAATGCTTTTAAGTACTTTGACCTGTCCTTTAGCAACCCTACTTACGGCCAGGATGTCCATGAACGCAATGAGCAACATGAGATTGCTAGACGAAAGGCAATTGCCAAAGAAAATGAGACATACAAAACTGAGGGTGGTGCATGGGGTCTACACCTTATCGAAGAAGGACAGGAGGAGACATATGTGCAGGCCAAGATCAATGCTTACCATAGCCGCTGGCTCACTGTGAAGGCACTAATGGCCCCAGATATTACAAGTGACTCTGTTGAAGCGTTCAAGTCGTCCCAAAAGATCTTCTGGCAAAACATTTGCTATAGCCTTCATGATGATCTAGGATGGCGATGGAAGAATTCACCGACGCTTGTGGAGTATCTGCATGAGACCTTGGATGTCCTAGCAAGTGCTCCGACTTTAGTATTCGGAAAGGATACTGTCCTAAACTGGAAAGACGACGAGTTCCTATCAAGTTCATCGAACTATATCCAGCATGTACGTGAGATCTATACACAGGAAGAGTGGGTTCAAAAGAATCTTGGCAATCTGTCATGGTACACACTGTACCGCGATCTTCGATTAGGATCAACTGCATATGAAGGGGAAGTAAAGGCACGTGTGAATGAGTGTGTGTTCCCAGGCGGCAAGCGTGACCATAATCGATACGAGCAACTCATGGTCGGACTCTTGAACAAATCTCCATCAGCTATTCACCTCCCTGCTGTCCTAGATTATGTTTGCGCACAGCGGCCGGATCTTTTGACAAATGACCATCTGTCGATGACCAAGAGTATTCCTGGACTATTCAATCAAATAGAGACCCCAGATCCATGGGACCTTTTATTTGTGAAGATCCCCTTTGAGCTAAACCCACAGCAAAGTGAGATGCTCAAGGCCAGACACTTGTCAGGAATGACCAACAGCTCGACTCCATTCCAATCCCGTGTTCAGCATGCTAAGGCCTTTATGAGTATGTCGACAACAACAGTGGAAGATGTTGCCAATGCTCTGACCACTCCATCTTTACCATCACGCATTGTCGAGGCATTGCTGATGTTCCTTCCGACCCTGGGAGAACCCGCAAGCACACTTCAGCTCCTCATGGCTCCAGTCTACCTTCAATCTCATGTCGCTCGTACATCCATTCATGCAGTTGAGAATGCGCTCAAGTGTGTCCCTGTTCAGCAAATCCCTGACTTTATCATACCGCTTTTCCCATCCTCTGGACAGCGCCAACAAAAGGTCACTGTTCAGAAGGAAGGCATTCGTTTGGTACTGTCGAGTATGTCTCTGCTGGTGGATCCAAAAGTCAGCTCGCTGATTGAGGATCTGTTAGCACGTCGGGACCTCCATCAAGATGTCAGAGTGGTTACCTTGCAATCACTGATTCGCTTACTTACCGGATCAGAAGGCAGAGAGGAGCGCTATAAAGCCACCACAGAGTGGATCTGGACTACTTTATCTACTGTCGCTCAGTCTACCTATCATAAAAAATCAGGGGTTGCATTGGTCCTTCTTGCAGTGTCCCCTTCATACAACTACAGCAAACCATTACCTGTCCCTTTTGTGGACTCTGGCTGTATTCACCGTACTCCTTGTATTAACACAGCATTGGGGGCTTTGTCCAAGGAAACCGTCCCTGAACGTATTATCGATCGTTATGTCAGCGATATCCTTATCCCTATGACTGCTGTTCCTGAAGGCGACAGTGCAAGGGACAAAGATCTAATTGAAGTCAGAGTCCTGACGTTGCAAATGCTTGCTCAGGAGAGTGGGTGGATAACCTTCAAGTATGCTTTACACTTTGCTAAAGAATGGCGGCAAGAAGCGGCCAAGGTACCCCTAGATGATGACCCATATTCACTTTGGAGGCTATTTGCTCTTGGTATCGCTCGCTGCAGTAGCGTGGAGATTGCAGGTAAATTAGCGAACGCTCAAGTCGGTGACGATAGCAGCAAGGCCAATATCAAAAATAACAACGGTAACAAATGCTGGGAAGAGCTCATTGGTTATATACAGGATCAAGTGGACGTATTCCTAGACAAGAGCCGACGACGTGGCTTCCGCAACCTAGTGCTCGATCGGATTGAAAGCCTTCATTTGAGCGCCAACTTTACACTTTATAATTCTGATGCTGCTAAGAAGGCTGGTGCCTTCACCGGCGATGAAATGGATCCAGTTCGCCCCCTTCTCTCTCAAGGAATGGAATCGGTTTTATGGGTGACAATCTTGGGAAGAGAGATTGCACTGTTTAACCCTCAGGAAAATATGACGCAAGCACAGATTAACCAAGAGGTCCTTCGATTGCTTATACGTATGGCCAACTTGAGCAATAGGTTCCTATCTATAAATAATGAAGCTATTATCCTTTCGTGGATTACATTGTCGCTCCTTCCCAAGGGGTGGAGTAACGCAGAGCTCAAGAGAACTCTTGGTAAGGCTCTCATGGAGCCTAGCGAAGAATTGGCCGACTGGGTTCATGGAGACCTTGTCGCCTTGCATATTCTGACGAATGCCATTGGGGTCTTTCCGCTGAAGGAGATTACTGCATTTATGGATCGACTGGCGACTGCAGAGAATACCAGCTTCTATTCAATGAAACGAGATATGATCTCAACTATCCTCCTAGGTGAGCTAGCTCTTGTGCGTGAAGCAAATAATGGCCAGTTGACGATGGAGCAAATCACATCTATGCAAGAAGCGTTTTCAACATTGGTTCAGCGAGCGCAAACAGCAGGAAAGAACGGGCCAGACACTGCTATTGTCCACCGTATGCTGTTAGCTGATACTTCTTTGATGTGTGCCGCTTTCCCCAAAGAAGTCGGCCCAATGCTTCATGAGCTCCTTGTAATCGATATCGAAAGAGGCACAATCCCTGTTAGTATATCTACACGCAAGCCTCTTGATGAACTTGTTGAATTTGGACCTCAAGCCATTGCCTTAGGGAATACTACAGGCATGGGAAGTGGATCTGAGGCGTTCAGTAGCGGCTATGGCATTTCACCAGCAAGCGTCTTAATCCTCGAAGCCTTCCTGAATGGCAGCCTGGATGCTCTGGATCTGACTCCATTCATGCAGCCACAAGACCTCCCTTTGAATATCGCTCGTGGCCAATGGTTTCCATTCCGAGGCAATTCGGATTTGGCAATGGAGGTAGAGCACCTCAACAATAACCCGAAGACACTTAAGGAGCTGGATGCTTACTGGGAAAAAACTGTAGGCAGCTCTGAATACTTGAAGAAGCTGGACCAAGGTTAGTCTTGAAGGATTTGGCCCTCTCTCTGCATCTCTATCTCTATCTTTACCTCTCTCCCTCTTATCCCCTCAGTCCCACTACATTTCTCTTTTCTTGACTCACATAACTGGAGAGAAGCCTGCAAATCTAACATTCATTCTTTACTCTCTCTCTCTCTCTCTCATTGTTCTTTTGACTATATCTGAACTGATGGGTGGTCAAATAGCTGTCCAAGCCAATGCACAGAAGAGTGTATCGCCGGCTCTTCTTGAAGGTTACCGTGCAAGTGCGGTTGAGACTCTTGCTGGGAAGGCCAAGTTTGTGCTGATGCGTCCGTTTGTGTGTCTCGAGTTTATGCGACTGGCACTGACAGCACCAGGAGCTACATTAACGGCTGAGAAAGCAGCAACACAGTTAGCGGCGGCCTTCAATGTAGCTCGAGAGCCAGGTGCGGATGATTTCACCTATATCTGGGCTCCGCCTCTGTCTCTGGCTCTGGACATGGCCGAATATTTATTGCATGAGGTCCGTGAAGAGGCTCGGATTGAAGGTCAGCGTGAGGCTCAGATGATTGAGAAAATGACAGCTTTGTTCTTGAAGAAATGGATGGGTCAGGTGGTGCTAAGGTTTGCAGGCAAGGTTTTGGCAGAGGCCGAAGATGTCAAGGCCCTAGAGGCGCGGTATATAGCGTTGGCTGACGAGTTGTGTGAAGCAGGCTCCGGTGGTCAGAGTATCGCATTGACTTTAGGAGACTTTATTCCTGGAGGAGCAGATCCACTTACGAAGAAACTAACTAGAAACCAGAAAGTAGGTGGTGACGACGAAAATATGATGGACACTGAAGGAACGACGGCTGAACTATGAAATTTAAATACTTGAATGACATGAGCAAAAGCAACAAATAAACCTACAGTGTATGAACAAAACTGAGTCCTTTATGGTTCTTAAGCACAAGGGGCATATTGCGTGGCTGTATTTACATGAATGATACTAGTAAATCTCGAGTGGTTTCATATTTCTAGTAAATTAAATCCTATTGCTACTGTCGGCTTGTCTCTCTTCATCCTGGACTCAGCAAAGGTCCTTTTGGAGTTTGGATCCAGCCTATCAGTGAGGGTTAGTGTAATGCACATAAGCCATACAGACTGGTGACGAGCCTAACGCGTCGTAAGGATTCGTGGCTGTGTGCTTAGTAGGCTTTACAAAAAAAGCCACGGGGCCTGAATACATGCGTTTAATGTCCATTCAAGATAATCCCTATTATAAAACTAGAGCCAATAAGATGATTGTATTTTACAACTATCACCGGAAATCGCTTTCTTGGAAGGATCGCGCAGCGAAAATTAAACAATTTCATGGTTAATTCAATTGAAATGACATTAATCAGACTCCCTGTCAAACACATCCCTGGCCTGTTCATTCTCACTCTTATTCCTTATGCCTATTGTCTATTAACTCTTACTTTTTATTTTTATTTTTTATTGTCTTTTACTTTTCATTCTTCTATCCTTTTTTTTATGTATGTGTTTTAAACACATACACAACGCGCTCTACTTCTACTCAGTCTCACCTTTGACTGTGAAATATGCCAAAGTCATTACAGGTAACGAGGACGAAAGGAAAATATATTTATTTTAATTCATGGATCTCCGTTAAATAAAAAAAAAAAAAGAGTAAAAGCATCATATGAAATGGTTGCCAATCGCAACGGGTCGGTAATCGCTTCCCTATTATACCAAACCATTCATTCATACAACAGAAATAAGTTACCTGTCAATCCAGTCGAAAGCGGTGCTGTAGGTTTGGTAGCGGGGGTAGAGGTAGCTTTCTTGGTTGCTGCTTCTGCTGTTGCTCCAAAGGTAGTTGGCATTGCACTCTTCCTCTCCCGCGTCCTTGGCTTCCTTGACTTTGGCTCTACCATGAAGTAGGATCTGATAGAGTTCCTGGAGCTTAGAGATGGCCTCAGATACGATGAAGAAGATCCAGGTATTGGCATTTGATACGGATATGAATACGTTGCTGGCTGATAATATAATGGATGAGGAGGCAGTTGGAGAGGTGATTGAAACGATGGTTGGATATATGGTTGGACACTAAGTTGTTGCTGAGGATGAGGGGGATAGTGTGCGGCAATTGGGACTCCTGGATTCATATGATCCTTGCTGTGCGTTTTTTGATAAAGTTTTACAAAGGTCATGTATTTCTTTCCTGCAGTTGATCGCCAAAATTATCTATGGATTCCCTTGGTGATAGCAGCTCGTCAGCAAATGTCGTCTCTTTTATGGATCGAAGTTCACTTGCAATTATTGACATGGCTGCTTCACATTGCTGCAGAGGATCAACCTCCTCTTTCTTTTTAAGAACCTCAACTACTTCTTTGGCAAAATCCCCAAAGAATCGAGTCTGAAATACTTCGCTTTTGAGGAGGCAGTTTTTTTTGACCATAATACAATAGCGCAGCTGCATCCTGCGATATTATCCTTCGGCAACGGACTAATAGCTTGAGGAATAAGCGCTTATAAACGTCCTTGGTACTATACATGCAACGGGTGTCAGTAGCTGAGGCAGATGCAGGCTCTTTCTCTTGCTGTTGCTCTTGTTCGTCAACTGGCTCCAAAGAGTCTGGGATTTCAGTGTTCGGAAGAGCGACTTTGTTTCCCCGTTGCTGACCCACTGTAGCTTCCGCCTTTTTCTTCTTTCGTTTTCCACTTGAAGCTATAGCCTCTTCCTCCAGAGGGATGCTCATCCTCTCTACAGCTTTCACCTCGTTCTCATCAACTTCTGCCATTTCATCCTCACATTCCCTTTGCCAAAATTTCCAGGATTCTGTTCCGGGTTTGCCATAGGCCTTCTCGATCCATGGGAAGATAAGGCACTGTAGTTCGACCGAAGGGCTTACTTTGTTACGCTGTAGTTCGATCGAAGGGCTTACTTTGTTGCGCGTTAGAGTGTTGTCTTTGTCTTTAAGGCCAGCCATAACTAAAGCACATCTAACTGGGATTTTTGCCAAATAGCTTATATCCACTTGATTTTGCCTCGAAGCCCTTCCACCTGCATAGGTGCCCTTGTAAGATGCGCCATGCGCCTGCGCATGCATTGATCCGGCATGCCGCCCGCTATGAGTTTTTTGGTTGATGTAAAGCCAACCTTATCGTACAACCGCTTGACAGCACCTATCTGAGTACTAGAGGAAACCCCATACTTTGGATCGGTACGGCTTGCAAGGACGTGGAACTGGGTCCAATCTGGATCGTCAAAGTTTGGAAGCATTGCTTTGTCCAACCTGAACTTCGACTGCCAAAGATAAAACATGTAAAACGCAAATGCTGAGAAACCGCACTGTCAAACATCAACATGTCGGACAGCACAAGAGTACCAGCTTGCACCGCTCTTATTAGCTTCTCCTTGCTGTATACGAAATATCAAGCTGGATATCTTTCGGTAAGCCGTCTGAGGACCATCAAGTGTTTTGTGGAAACACTCAGAGAACCGAAGGTGACGGATGTCTTCATCACGAAGCATCATTTGATGATGAATTGCCATAGAGAAGTGATCCCTAATATTGGCGCTTCTTCTATTAAGTCCGATTGGATCGCGCCAGAGTGTCATCAGCATTTGGACAAATTGTTTGGGACTATAGGCATTTCTCAATGGACAGTCCACTCGCCGGGTGAGATCTGGCTGTAACTGATCATATACAAGGCTAAATCTATAATTTTTTAGCATAATCGCTATATCCATGTTTTCACGCGGGGAGCAACAGGTAATCCATCCTTTGCTAGCTTGGACTCTCTAAAGGTCTGTGATCGTATCCAAGGCAGCTTGAGGCAGAGAATTAGATACAGGCACCTCAATAACCCTGCGTCCTTCTAGGTCTAAGGCCTCAGTGGCGAGGACTTCACCAAAACAAATAAAATGAAATAAAAAGCGTGGATGTGAGCACCAATATGCACCAAGTCCTAAGTGTCTAGGTGTGTAGTTTGAGCGCTTCAAAAGTAAACCACTAGCTTACCGTCTCTCAATGATGAAGTACTTTTATCGTCCTTCTCCGCCTTATTTGTAATGTCAATTTGAGCTCAGACAGTTTGCCCTTCCACGACATGTTTCGTCAACTTTCTATCACATTCCTCTTTCATGAAAGGAACCGAATGCTCTGGAGCGACTAAGGACTTTTCTATGAATAAAAACTCAAGCGGTGTATTTGCCTCCTCAGGATCATCACGTTCATCTTCAGGCTTGAAATGCTTGTTGCAGAATATCTAGCAGAAAAAAAAAAAAAAAAAAAAAAAAAGTAAAATTACGGAACAGGGTTAGAGTATTAAAATAATAATAGAATAGAAGCCAGGCTCCGACTCGACAATGTCATCTTTCTCCTGATCGATTGGATCGTCTAGCTCTCTGTTGACGACGTTCTCAGAAGATGAGCCAACAATGTCGTCTACCTCCTGTAGCAGTGGTGGCTGTGGCATGGATAGAGGTTGGATAGTTGAGACACGTGCACAATGACTCCTTTGAATTAGGCGGTTCCTGTGGCAAACCTTGTAATAAGAGTAACTTTTTAGGTTGTCTTTCTAGGGCTACTGGCGGAGTGGTATGGCTTTGTCGACGTGGTGCATGTGTTGATTCTATCTTTCGGAGGCGACCACGTTTTTTTGGTACCGGCAGAGCCTGTTCTGGTTGTAATAGGGGGTGACTCTAACTCTGGCAATGAAGGCGGAAACTTTACAATAGCAGTCCATTTATCGCTCTCTTTCTCGCGATCAAGTCGCGTCTGTTTTGGCAAGGATAGAGGTTGAGAATTCGCGATGGCTGCCTCTTCTTCGTCATCATCCCCACAAATAATTCATCTCTGCTTTGGCGGATATGGTTTTACCATGTTCATGTTTCGTGTGAAAGAATTGAATCTTTTAAGTTTAGATTGCAAATGTAATGTTGAAATGTTAAGGATGTTTTGATTGAGAAACAATGAGTAAATGTTATTGAAGAATTGAAGAGTGAGAGGCTATTAACATCCCTGAACGAGGGGAAAAGGATATAGAGATCGTTAAGAAAGAAGGAATCGGCGAAGGAATAAGGAAGGAAGCGATTTTTTTTTCTGTCTCCAGTGCACATCTTTTTTCCACTTCTTTGCGCACCTTGCAACTTGTTGGTAGTCAAATAATTGTTTCTCCGTTGTTTTTTTTTTAATGCGATCCGAATTGCATTGCTGCTCAGCCTTTTGTTTTGCTCTCTTTCATACACCTACAAATACACCCTGCCCCTCTCTCTTTCTTCTTTTCTCTCTCTCATTTCACGCTGATACAACGACATTTATCTCTCACCCTCCTATCCTCTCACCTCATACTCCTACATCCTCACACTCTCACAGATTACAATCTTTACTTAAAAGTAAACCATATCTGCTCAAACAACTTCGACTTCAATCTATCGTTGCATAAACTAACATTGCTTGCACTGTTTTATAGTATACTTTCTCAAGGTGGGTATAGAAGGTCTCTATTCATACCTTTCAAGGAGAGATCTGCTACCAAAGGAGATTGATGTACATGAGCTTGCTGCCGAACCCGATTCATCTTTTGAGTTGGATCTGCTTGGCACTTTCCACTGCGATATACACAATATCATCCTAAGGAAACTCAACCAGCCGAGTTCTTTCACTGTCTGTGACCATGCTATGGCTAATATCATTCTAAAGATCTTTGGTCCTCTTACCATAGTGGCGATACACATTGATGAGCCTCGCTCCAATGAAAAAGTCCGCGCTTATAGAGCCCGAGACGTTAAGCGTACAATAGCCGATGCAAAGCTCGATACACTCATAGCCAACATGAAGACCAAGTCAGAAGGCCAATTTGTCCATTCAATCAATATTTTCTTCGGTGGGATTCAAACGCAGGCTTTGAAACAACCAACCGCTGAAAGGTTCCTTCATTACCATGACAGGACCTTGGCAGCGATATCCGCTAAGTACCAACCTCAACCCAGGTAAGCTCCTACAAACGAACATTTTTCAAGGCATATACAAAAAAAAAAGCCATCTACTTGACATTATTGCTTCGTAACTAGATTCTTTAAACCTAAACGCGCAAAGCCGGATCACTACCTACCCGTTTTCCCTACTGAGAAAAGAGAACTCTTCCCCAAAAAATATGACCTAACCAACTGTAAATAACATAACTGTCCCGTCAGCTCCGACCATCAAAGAAAGCCCAAGAAAAAAAAGGAAAAGAAAGAGGATGAGAAAGAAGAGGAGGTTAAGGAGGAAAAGAAGAAAAAAAAGAAGAACAAAGGGAAGGCCAAGTATATCAGAAAGACTGATAAAACCAGGAAAGTGAAGGATACTACTACCGAGGATCCACTGTTGCATTAACTCTGGGCACGTTAAAGATGTATATAGTTGCCAAGTTGAACTCTACTTCCGATCCCAATCTCAATTCCGAGCAACTTGCTGCTACAATTCAAGGGCTCATTCAACCATTTATCAAAATGTTGAATGAGGCACGGATTCGAGCTTTCTGGGCCTGCGCCTTTTGGATCGATAGCCTTCTTACCACTGGGCCATCCAATCCAGCTGATCTCCCACAACCCCTAGATGAAGTTCTTGATAGCAAGGACTTTATTTACGGCCTTGCTGCGTTGTTGTATCACGGACTGATGAATCCATTATCTAGGATGTGAAGAAAAAAGGCGAAGGGAATGTAGTCAAGCCGTCCCAGCTCAAAGTATACGAATACTTCTATGCAAAAACAGGACTTGGTCCTTTAAACCAGATCTATCCCGATTTGGTGATCGGCAAGTCGTCTCGGATGGTCATGGTCCCTGTTCAAACAGCGCTAAGGTCTCACTATCGGAATGCGCAGGTAAATATCATATTTTGAAGTTATCTTATAATACGTTCATAGAAATGTTCCTAATCATTTCTTCAATATAATATTTAGTTTGACATAGATATTCCAGACGATGGAAGAAGTTCCATCCAATTCTTTTTTGAGCAAAATGCTACTGCCAAAAAATATCTGGATTTCCCTACATCCGCTTTCTCGCCTCGGTCTCTCTGCTTAACGGAAGCCTGCCTCCTGGATATATTATGGTCTAACCCTACAGTTCGAGAGGAAATAGTCCAATTGTTGGAATTAAATATGAGTACCAAGGGGGTTGCAGAGGACAAGCTTCTTAATGACAAAGGGATATTGTTGCAAGAGCTGTTTTCCTTGAAAGGATACAAGGACGTTGGACTGCAATCTGATGATACTGGCCCTAGGAGGAAACTACGAACATCATTCCTCACAAATGGCCTTACCCTTACTCTTCTTGCCTATGATACATCAAACCAAAAAAGAAGTAGAGGCTCACAAGCCATTCAACCTTCGAATACTCAAATACTGTTAGATATAGTTAAACTGCAAGCAGAAACTGCAGCCAAGAATGCCAATACTTTGAAGATGGTGTCTGAAGCAATAGAGCTTTCTTCGGAGAGTACGCAGAAAACCAACGAACTCCTGCAGGAATACATGCGCAACGCATAGAGTTCCGCGATAAAGATTCGTTTGCTTTATTATTATTGATGGCTATTATACTTATCGTGTTTATTCTATTGATGTTAGGTGTTGTCGTCGTATGCTATTCTGTACATGATTATCGTTGTTTGCGCGTACGAGTACGTCGCATGGAAGGATTAGTTGGTTTATCGATAGAAGGCTTGCACTTGGCATAGAAGTCTACCCAATACTCGCTTATGCATTGTCTCTCAATAAAATGTTCTTTTTTGTTATCGGAATGCTCATAGCTCATAGCCTTTCTATTTGGACAAATACTGCATGACACTTGAATAGTGTTTTCGCTGCGGTGTAAGCTGCTTTGTCAGGGATTACATCCAGCAAAACAAATCCTGTGCAGACATTTACGAGGACAAGTAAAAAATTTTATCCTCAGGCTCAACGAATGGACCTGCAAGATCAATTGCCATGTGTTCTCCTGGTAGCTGAGCATGGATCGTTTTAAGATGATACCCTTTTCTAGAAATATTCATTCGTTAGCATTCACGACATCTTTTAATGAAGTTCGAGCAATCCTCAGCAAGCTTTAGCCAGGTTTTATCTCGATTATGGATGGATTTTATCATGGAATCTATGCCAATGTGGCTCATTGCATGTACATTATGCGATATATTATTTCTCTTTTCCATGAGCAATTTGTCCTTGAGGCCTCTTTATTCTGTAAGATATGCATATATGCTATAGCTATGTCCTATCCTTTTGTAGCTTTCTGTTTGAACAGGACAGCAGGTGGGAATAATCGTGGCAATGCATTGGGCAAGATATTCAGTATTCCAGGCCTCTAATGGGCCGTAAAAGAACAATAGTTTCTTGCCAATTGATCATTGTTGCATTCAAGTTTAATTGTGAATGGATATACATCAATGCATGGTGATGTGTATATCGGTGAAAATGCCTGCCCCACAAATACTATTCCCAATAGTTCCTTTCTAGTGGCGCTATATTTCCGCTCTCGCTCTTGGAAAGAGCGTCACATAAAGGGTACATAATTAATTTTGAGATTCCTGGTACAAGACTGCTCCAACGCCAACATCGGATGCGTCTGTTACCACGCAGAAGGGTTTACTAAGGTCCAGAAATAATTACCGGTGTATGAGTAAGCAGCTCTTTTAAAGACTGAAAAGCCTGTCGCTGCTTGCCATTTAATACAAAAGGGTCAGTGCGGTCGCGAAGTGCGTCTAATGGTGCCGAAACTTCACTGAAGAGGGGAATGTTCTCTCGGTAGAAATTGAACGCGCCGAGATAAAATTGTTTGCTCTTCTCACTCACGTGTATTTATAAATTTAGTAGGATCAGGGCTTCTGCCGTGCAAACCAATAATTTGCGTACTGTAGGAATGATACTTGTTGTGATTTATAATTAAGTTGGCTTCGTACAGCCGGTCAATCAAATGCGCACATGTTCGGCATGTCGAGGACACTACAGTATCATCAATGAAATTATCGGCAAATGGCCCTAGAATTCGCGACATGACCCTCTAGAAAAGACAAGACAAGGGTTTCAGACCAAACGATGCTTTTTTAAACATTTATTGTACTCCTCTGTGCATGAAGGCAGCTAGAGGCTGATCGTCAGTATTGACAAGTAATCGATGGTAAGCCTACGATAGATCAATCGTGGTAAATATCAAATGGCCTGCTAAACGCGCAATGGTACCAGGTATCAAGGGTAAAGGATAACTGTCATTCGGAAGATATTTGTTTAGTGCTCGTAGATCAGGGCATACACGCCATAGGGTTCGTTACCCCGTTCATCCTTTTTAGCGGTGAGCGTAAGCATATTATTATGGGCGTTGCCCACTAGGATCAAGGCGATGACATCGTCAGTGAACCATTATTCTATGGTTTCATCGAAAATACTCATCTGCCGTTCAGCAAAAGGCCATGATTTTCGATATTGTACGATATATTTGGAAACACTTTCATTTCTGGCATAGGACAATAACTATCCTTGGCGGTATTCTTATTTGTGTCAAAGCTTTTCTTAGCCCTAAATAGGAAATAGCCTTCTTTTCTAAGAGCCTTTATCTTTTCTTTATCAATGATTAGATCAGGGATCAAGGATGGTTTTTCATGCTGTATTAAGAATACTAAATGGGCTGTAGTATATACCAAGACTGTAGCGCCAAGGATTATAAACAGCCTCTTTATATACGTATGTAGGCATTGATGCTCATATGCACTTAGGCAGCATCTGGGACAGTAGAACAGCACAGGATGGATGCGTTGATTATGTGATCAAGGCAATTCTGAAGCTTGTAGGTGGAAGTAATGCAAGAGGCGCCAATATGATTGCGGTGATCTGTATTAGACTTGGATCATTCAAGATTAATCGAGTGCGAGTATCGAAGCATTGGAAATTGACGAAGAAGCTTGTTGAAAAGGTGAATCTCATGTTCAATGACATTTAATTATGGGTCTTTTTTAATATGGAGTATTCAATCGGGATCGAATAGGCAAAGTCTCCAGATTACTCCATTTTAGGCTGTTACAAATACTACAGATCTGCCAAATGTCCGTCACCTCAATGTGATACTTTACTGGAGAATGCTCCTTATCGACACAAGTACTGTCGGAATTGTAAAACATACTTTGATCGGGTTGCTGCTGGTGCTGAAAATATTCCAAGGGTCTGTGGGTCACAGGTGAGGCTGCAAAAACGAGCTGCAAAATATATGGAGGAATTCAAGATCAAGCTTCTAGCAGTAGTGGCAGCGATGGTGGTAGCGATGGTAGCGGTGGTTGTAGTAGTAGTGGGACCAGAAAAAGGAAATATTCACATGAAGGAGGAGGAATAGAGGGATCAAGACCATCGAAAGGGCCTTTGTTGCTCCCAAGAGGAGGAAAGACATCAAGCCGGCAGCAATAATAGGATTTGATCTACTACAAATATGACTTGGTTCTAAAAGACCTCTGTCTTGAAAAGTTGTAAGTATTGGCTTGACAATACTTTCTTTGGTTAATTTACTTATTTCTAAGCACTTATGTATTTCTTGTTCTTTTACAATAATCCTTGGTCTAGATGGCCTATCCCGTTTTTTAATGGCATGGACTATATTAAAAGATGTGTCATTAAAATAAAATTGAAAATAAAATTGAAAATAAAATTGAAAATAAAATTGAAAATAAAATTGAAAATAAAATTGAAAATAAAATTGAAAATAAAATTGAAAATAAAATTGAAAATAAAATTGAAAATAAAAAAAAAAAATAAAAAAATAAAAAAAATAAAAAAAAAAAAAAGACGAATTGTGAGTTAATTTTCCTTCCAATATCCTGAAGCAAAAGTACATGTTCAAAATATAACATTCGCACTTTGCTTTCCCACACTTACCGGAAAGGAAATAGGTATTAATCTGATGCAGAAACAACACAAACCAGACTTAATGCTGAAGCTGCGTGAACGTACTTCATAGGCCTTTGCCTACAGAAAAATTCATGTTTTTATCAGTTAATCTGTTTCGGAGTGATGAAAGGTAGCAGCAACTGTCCTGCTTAATATTGATGATATCCATAGCAGCGTTACTGTTTCTGATGACTATCGAGATGTTGTGGCATCTTTCTATCACGGAATGTGCTCCAGGACTTCGGTTCAATACCTTGCTGATACACGGCTGTCTCATATAGGAAGAACTGGAGAGCCAGGTTAAGTCCGTTTGCGTCCTATAAAGTGCTGTTACGCAGAACAGGTCCTCGTGTAAATCCCATCTATTGGTTACATCCACTGTAGAACGAAGCTCAAATGGCAAATGCAATTCTCAAATACACAATAGACTAACAAAGTCTAGCCAGTGTTTTTCTTGACAAGCTTTTCCACTAGGACTGCCGCTTGAGGGCCTTCAATTTGCTCCACACCAATGACCAGTGAAGCCAGCTAGTCATGCATTAGAGAATGAAATGCCACTCTAAGGAACATCCCTTGATCACCGCTTGT